CCTATATATACTAAACTACACAAGAGCACTCAGGGAGCATGAGCCACTAAGAACAATAAGCTACAAAGAATGAAAGAAAGGAATGTCAAAGATAAAGGTACAAAGAATGAAGGGATGGACAAAGGGTAAGAGACCATAGAATGATACAAAGAATGAAGGGGTGGTCAAAGGAATGGAATGATGAAGTAAGGAAGGGTAGTGGCAAGAGTCAGCACACATATAGTCCATAGACAGTGCCCCCAAGGGACGGAAGTCCTGAGTTCCAGTACAGAAGGGTGCAGAACCCTCAGAACTGAAGGTATGAGAGTGGAGAACTGTAACACTAAGTGTTTCTAGGCAGGATGCATAAATTGACTGGATGAATTAACATACCAAACACTGCCTTTCTTCTACAAATGTTAGAAATTTTGAGATAGAGCATTTTATTCTCAGTGATTAGAAGCTTCCGTGGTCATAATCGTCGATGTACCAATAGACCCTTGCTTATAGTCTTGTGATGATATGTACATTTATCTTATTTTCGTACAAATGTCATTAATATTCTGACGCTTAAAATCTATATCTACAATAATAGTTGGCTATTTGCTTGTTTTACGCAAGGTCTGCAGTCTATGCACTAGGCAGCGGATGTCCACCTTCCTGACGAGTCACATCTGAAATCGGGGTTACAGGAGACCATAATCCTCATAGGTTTTTCGCAGCTGGTCTTAATTCCGATCAATTTCTTCGAGTTCCTCGGCGCTAATTCCGCCCGTCATATACGCACGCACTTGTATGTTATGATCGCGGATGAATTCGTGGATCTGTATTTTATTAGTCAACCCGTGAGAGCACTCCATGTCGCATATTCGGAAGTTTCTTACACGTCCGTAGGCCTCCGGACTCAACGTCCCCGCCCTAACTTTCTCTTTGAGTAGACCCAAACGTAGGGATAGGAAGATTGCGAGGTCTGCATCAGGGACCCGTAATCCGGTACGCTCTGCAAGCCAGTCAGATGGAGACATCTTGCTGATGGACGACGTTTCGAGAGGAGGGGATTCTGGCCCAGTGGGTAGAAGTAGAAGCAGATGAAGGGTGTTTTGTATTCTGTCTCGCTTTTGTGATTTGTGTGTAAGTGACCATGGAATGGAAATTCGGGACGTTTATATGCAGTTTTCGGTACGACCCCTCGGACCAAACGAGCCATTGTCAATGATACGCTGAAAGGGATACCCACAACAAACTTGACATCCAAGTTTGCTCTCTAGTCTTTGTCCTTTGAACGCAGCCACAACCACAACTTTTGAAGTTACAATGAATGTTGAAGAGCCACCTATTGATACAGAGAATAAAAATAGGTTAAATACAATGCTCACCATAACGATCATGATAAAGGACCGCAAGAATTATACATCGTCATCCTAGTCCACGTCCATACCACCGTCGTCATCTTCATTCGGTTCTGATTCTCCACGAGGAGGGACAAATCCTTCCTTGCGCATTCTTTGCTGCTCGTATAGCTCATCCCGCTGCAAAAGTTTGGAGTCGAGATCAGCCTGAAGCTTTCTAAGTGCATCTTCAAACCGTCGCTATAACAAGGCATTAGATGACAGCCTCCACCTGAGAGAAGTATTTATTTACCTTAATTATTGGGTTAGCAGAGCTGGCAATTTCGGCGTTCTTCTTGGCGACAGCAGCTTCAAGATCACGTATCTCCTCATTCAACAACCGTCGAGCTTGTACCGTCTCATCATCCTCGTCCTCGTCCTCATCTTCCTCATCGCTGACATCCTCTTCATCTTCATCTCCCTCATCCCCTTCATCCCCGTCATCGCCCTCGTCACCGAGTGCAAGGTCAAGTTCAGCAGCAAGTTCCTCGTCAATTTCACCTTCATCGTCTTCCATACCGGAATCCTCAGCCCCTGGACCTGGCGTAGGCATATCGATGGCATCTGAGCCTCGCATGGCAGATTCGCGAGATTCGTCTTGTTCCATGAACTCGGAGTCGGAAAGGTCTGGATTAACATTTTCCAGCACAACTGCCATGTATCATAAGTATAAGAAGAATTTTCTGACAAATTATGAAATATGCCCACCATATTCAATCTGATTCGCTTTGGCGTCTTCCTCCAACAGACGCTCAACCTCTTGTTCCACCGTTTCAATGGTCTAGAAAGAGAGTCATGAATCCGGTCGACCATAAACACCTTAGCTTGTTTAACTGACACGCCTATTGATCCGCTTTCGAAATCGTCGTTTCCGAACATGATGCAGCGGCGGTGTAATACCATGCGGCCAGATGAAGTCGTCCAAGTTGAAGCCTTTTTGATTAGCCACAGCATCTTCAGAGTCAATCTTATCATCCACGACGAGCATCTAGAGGTGGCGCAATAAGTGCAATGAAATATGACATAGTGATTTCTTCCGAACCTGACAAATGTCCGAGACTTTGAACATTTGTTTGTTGTCAAGTGTTTTTTGAGATTCTATAATACAGGGAAGGTCGACTAGCTTTGCGGTGTAAAGATTATTCCCGATGTGAAAGACCGCTCTGCGCGAATCTTTATAGAAACGTAGAGGTGAGTAAAGAGGTTAAGAAAGGAATTAACCCTACATACCTTTGAACTTGATCCATACATCGTTACTTGTCTCGCGTGCAGAAACCATTTTCCTAAGTTTTTCTAAATCCTCGCCTGGAGGAAATCGAAGAATAAATTGCTCCTCAAATGACAGGTCTTCGTCGTCAGAGTCGAGCTCTCGGTCATATGGACCGAGGAAAGACGACCCGGAGGCCATTGCGGCAGTCGCTTTCTCACTCAACTTCAACTTCAGTTTTGTTTTTCCTTTCGGCTTTGCATTCGCGGATCGCGTAGTGAGACCCGTCCCCACAGGAGGCGTACTCCGTCGACGTGAGGACCGCATGACGGACTCAGCGATGGTACGAGGTGGGCGGTCATAGAACGTTTGCGGATCAACAGCTTCTGAAGGCTGATTCGCCACTATTATCGACTCTTCTTCATCTACAACGTTAACATCGTCCTCGTCAAGCATGGCGCAGATAGACCGAACACCGGTGGTCGTTGTTTGAATTGAAAGAGTCGTCGTGTCTTTGGAATAGTGGACAAGTGAAGCAACCCACGTGATGAACGCCGATCCTTTCGTACGTAAGCAAAATTTGGTGGTCTTGGTTAGACGACAGTGCTCCTGCGCTGCAGCTGCTCATCCGAGAGCCTCAGCCATGGAGGACGCAAACGATCCCAGTACGATCACGACAAGGCTTTTGACTCTCCTCAATGTATCTGCAACCAAGTCGCTCAAAAGAAGGCGTCTGTACGATGAAGTCGTGACTCCAGTGAAACTCAACAAACGCAAATCTGTTCGCATTGCAGAAGACATCATAGTTAGCATTCCCTTACAACCTGAGAAGGGTCAAGAAACCGTGTCTGACACAAAAACGGACCAAAAAACCCCCCAAGAAGGAGATATTGTACAGTCGGAAGAAGATGGAAAGGATGACGAGCGTGAGCTACCTATTAATTCTTATGTTGGAAGTGAGGTTGACGATGCGATTTATCAGCCAGTTCGAGTTCGCTTCAACTGCACTTTGGCCCAGATAGTGTAGTTCTAACTGAAAGTGCGCGAACTTCTACTGAAAACAGGAGCTGGGTTGTATCCAAGGATAAGAAAGAACAACTCGGGATTGTCGCGGAATATCGACCAGAGACTCATCCCAAGGACATGTTGGGGACGTCATCGGTATGTACAAAGCGACTCACACAGGTACATGGAAGGCTCAATTATACCCAAAGCTCACAGAAAAGCTGATGTCACAGCACAAAAAGCAGCAAGAAAAGTTACCAAATGGTTAGCACTGGGTGCTTCGATAGATTGACTGGATGTTACTGACAAGAACAAGAACTCAAATTATTGCAGGATTGTCTTCTTGTTGAGATCTCCGCATACCAAGACTTCCATTTTCCGCGTTTGAATCACGAGAGACATCCTGCTGTTCGGAATGTCGTCACTCTTCACGCTCTAAATCATGTCATGAGGTGGGCCAAACTGTATCTTCTTTCCGCGCTTCCTAACACCTAATCTTTCAGAAAGCGACGTCGAATTCTGAAGAATAATGAACGCCTCGCCCGAGCGGCGAAAGAGTCATCTGAACCGGAGGTCTTAGAGATCCGCGATCAGGGCTTCACTCGACCTTCGGTTCTCATCATCGTGCCTTTTCGCTCTTGGGCACTCAGTTGGATTGAGTCTTTCACGAGTCATGCGCCCAAACCTGAATTTCAAGTCGAGAATCATGCCCGATTTTTGTCGGAGTACGCCTTACCTCCGAGTGCTGTGGATAAGCTCGAAGCAGCACCACCCGGAACATATCCGCCTGACCATGTCGATATGTTCAAGGGGAATATCGATGACAGTTTCCGATTAGGCGTGAAGTTTACGCGGAAGAGCGTCAAGTTGTTCTCGGACTTCTACCAGAGTGATGTGATCATCGCGAGTCCTTTGGGATTGCGGTTGTCTATTGAAAAAGAAAAGTGCGTATCTCTGACGCGCAAAGAATTTTGTGACTGACCTGCTGGCAGAAATGCCGACTTCCTTTCATCTATCGAGATTTTGGTCCTCGATCAGATGAATGCACTAAGCATGCAGAATTGGGAACATTTGCAGGTTTGGCTAACCTCCTAATTTCGACTGGTAGATGGTGACTGATAGTGAATGTTCAGTTTGTATTGTCAAATCTGAATACCCTTCCTAAAGAGACTCGGGACACCGATTTTTCGAGGATTAAACCTTGGTATCTTGACGGACAGTAAGTGGTACATCGATTGAATGTTTTGATAGATGCTTCAATGTCTGAATTGTGAATATAGCGCGTGTTATCTGCGACAAACAATCATGCTGTCTCCATTTGAGACTCCAGAGTTTAGACATGTATTCAACGATCTAAAGAATGTGGGTGGAAAAAAGAAGGTCGAAGGCCCTTATGCTCCCGTTCAGGTGCCAGAAGGTATATCGCAGGTGTGTGGCATTGCTCTCATTAGAAACTGCCTTTCTTACAAATTTTCCGGAAGTCATTCACTAGCTTTGAGTGCAGCAATCACAAGGAAGAGGCAGATAAGCGGTTTGAACATTTCGGCACGAAGGTTTGTAATGTTTTCCCATTGTGCTTTCAATTGGAAACTTAGCGACTGCATGCGCTGCGTAGCTGTTCCCTGCAGTCTTGAAGTCCGCTGTGCAAAGCACAAATACACTCATTTTCGTACCCTCTTCATATGATTTTATCCGGGTAGAGAATCATCTGCGAAAGTCTGGTGTATCCTTTGTGGTACTCTCAGAGTAAGCAATTCATGTTGATTAATTCAACGGGTTTCTCATGCTGTCAAATCTTCCAGATATTCATCAAATCAGGATATTTCGCGTGCACGTCAAGCATTCTTCTCTGGCAAGAAAGCTTTCTTGCTTATAAGCGAAAGATTTCATTTCTTCCGAAGGTAAATTGCATCTGTCTTCATGTCGCGTCTTTTGTAGTAATTCTTCGCTGTAGATACAAGCTGCGCGGAATACGCAACCTTATCTTCTACGGCTTACCCGATCACACACAGTTTTACACTGAGCTTCTCTCCTTTCCTTTCCTCGACGATGGTGTGGAGGCATCTGATGTTACCTGTCGGGCGCTCTTCTGTAAATATGATTGGATGCGGCTGGAAAGGATCGCGGGAACAGAAGGAGCTCTGAAGCTGCTACGGAACGCGTAGATCAGTCTTCCTTGAGCGCTAAGGGTATCCATCCTCGTTCGGGAGGGTTGTATGCGATCATCCCTCTGTAATGAGATTTACTACTTTGTCCTGTGTTTTATTTTCGTACATATATCATTCATGCTATTACTGGCATGCGTTAAACGTGATAATATATGAGTCGTGCGCCATGCCGGGTGTTGCCGAGGTAATACGGTACCGAATGTGGACGGCTGAGCTGCTCATTCCAAACCTCGATGACGACTGCCTCGTAGACTCGAAGCATACCTCATCTCTTCGCCTTTGTTTTCTTTACGGGGATTAACGATACTATATTGTCTTTCTGCGTAATCTTGCACCTGGATTTGCTCAAGTTTCCTTAACAATGACGGACGACCAACATGCACGTTCAACACACCAAAATGACCCGAGCTCAAGCTCGATAGCAGACGAATCATTTCCGAAACCTCCAACACCTCCACCGGATGTAGTCGCCATCCAAGAAGCGGCTGTTCCAAGCGCGTCAGCTGTGGCGGACCCGCCTCCGCCGTATCCGTCACGCGACCGACGTTCGCGAGTAGAGCGTGCACGACTACGAAGAGCGGCGCAGCTCTCAGCGGAATCAGGTGGCGGGACGCTGTCGGCGGCGACGGGCAATACGCAACATCTAAGAGTTTTTGTCGACCCATTATTGAACGCGCAATCCGAAATGTCTCCTTTATCTCCGGAAGATGGCACGGAGACGACACCGCTGCTCTCACCTCGACGTCGGCCACGTACTCTGTCTCATTCAACCGGGATGTCGACGCACTCGCTAGCTCAGACTGTTCTCTCACTCTTTGGAACGGACGATGCTGATGTCGAACGGAATGCTGCTGACCCCGAAGGTCAGGAGGAGGCAATTTCAGCTGCGCTTGGATCTCGAAAAAGCCTGAGGCAGTATTTCAGACCGCTATGGCGATTAACTTATTACAGGCCTCTGGTACACCTCTTAATCATTAATTTTCCATTTGCGCTTTTCTCGTTCATTTATCTGTTTGTTGGGACACTGGTGCGTATTTCTGGAATTTAGGCTGTTCAGCAGATGATTGACCAATTGACACTTCCATAGACTGGAACTACGTTACTCATTGCCTTGCCACTCGGTGCCGTGCTTTGTTGGCTGGACTTGGTTGGTGCTCGTGCGTTTGCCAAAGGAGAGGTAGTTATTTTGCTGCTTACTTTTATGAACATGCGTGATTAAAGGTCTTCGTAGATCGCACTACAAATGTATTTCCATGGTCCCTTGCATACTGAGGGCCCTACTCAACCGTATCTCATATTTGCACGGCCCAACTCCACTCCTCCTTCCTTGGAAGCCGGCCAGCAAGCACCTAACAACCAACCCTCTTTCTTGAGGAACACCTATCTCATGGTTCGTCTGTCGTACAACGTACACTCTTCTTGCCTTGTTCTCATGTTGCTTTTACCGTAGTTTACTGATCAGACGTCTTATCAAGCTGTACGTCTTTCTTACGTCTGTCGAATCTTTTGTTGGAGCCCCACTCACAATGTTGCAGTTATTCTATTTTTTAGTTATCAAACCCAGCATAACGCTCTTTCTTACACTTGCGCTGATTATTATCGTGCCCGTGTCGTTCATCCTTGTAGTTCCGGCACCGGCTGTCCTCAGGGCTGTCAAACGGATCGGTGTATGGCAGGCTAGCGTTGCGCTCGAGGGCCTTTTACATCCGAGACTCTGATCGAGGATACCATGGAATTGCCTCCGAAGTTATCTTTGTCTCATCCACATGGCGCATGGCGCAGCCGTGTCGCAGTCGAAGCTTGAAACTCCACTCCGGGACCGAAATGCAAGGCGCATGACAACTCCACCGTAAGGAAGACTTCGTTGATGGGAACGTCGTGTTAACGCGTTGAATGCCTCTTTGAGGTACTTGTGGATTCCTGGCTTCCTCGCCATCTCATCTATCTAAACGAGGGGGCTAAGAATGGCGGCTGCATATAGCACACATGCATCTTTGTGCCTTTGCTCTCAGCACAGCGATTGTGTAGCGTACTAGAGCACGTGATAGTCTTGATTTCATTTACAGCTTAAAAGTATAATGTGATAATTTGTATGACATCGGTCAATTGGCATTTGACACTGCAATGAAAATGTCAGAAAAAGGGACAAGCTAAGTAACAAGCACTCCACATGTCCCACCAAGGCCGTCAACGACCTTGTTTTGACCTCGGAGAGAGCCGTTATTAAGTCCGAGACATACAATACCGCTTCCCCTTTTCTAGGGGTGAGTTCGCGTGAGAGGAATGTCGGTTAGGCTGGGGAGACGCACAATATCTCGAGGCTGGAAATCTTGCGATGAGCCACCGAGATTCTTGCGCGGGGTTAGGCTTGCATGATCGCTAAGAGGGAGAGAGGGCTGTGAAAGAGATGAGAGTTTCTTTCCCCACATGCTTCGCGTACCTCCGCCGGCTCCAGCATAGCACGATACTCGTGTGGAGGAACATTCAAATCACTCCCACTAATATGATCCACTGGTTAGCAGGCGCAAAATAGAACGTGCATGCAATCACATTTTGGCCAACCTGTTGAATCGATCCCTTGGTGTCGGGATTGTGCTTGCACTATTCAGGATTGATCTTACCGCGCGATTTGCAAGCAGGGGATAAAATCGACAAACTTGGATATCTCGAGTGGCAAGAAGTCGGTCATGACGCTCGCATTCGTAGCTCATGGCGCTATGGAAGTACATCCAGATGTTCACGAGAAGAATGTTACTGCTGCGGAAGTCGAGAGATTTCGGCGGGAAGGGGTTTGGGCGGCCGACTTCGTTGAAGTTGTCCCACCGGAAAGGCCCGAGCTCTTGAAGAGATGTGAGCAGAACTATAGTGAAAAATATTCTGAGAATAAGAAGAAGTGGTTGGCTAGATACGAGCATTTTCGGAACAGTAGCATCACGGTGGCTGAGTTTAATAGACAATAGTATTCCTGCATGTGTAATGGGCAGAATAATGGGGTGCAAAATCTCGGACTGTATTTCCGAGGCCATCTCAGTTCTAGGCTTGTATGAAATCCGGCATGCCAAGATGCAGAACGACGCCACCAGCATGATATGTTACGTCTCTGGGCGGGACCAGCACGCTCAAAACCATATAATCTAGTGACCATGTCTTTACACACGAGAATTAAGAAGCAAGGGCCACGAAGGCTAAGCGAAACTGTATAAGACGGTGGAATTAAAAATTAAGATGTTCGCAAAGATGCTCACAAGTTACGGGAGGACCAGTTAGTTCTAGCACCGGAAGGTCGCTCAAGTGGCAATGGTACCTGCGCGCTGCATAATTGTATGTCGGCCATATGCGGCTTGCCTTTCATAGCGCAATGAACAGGTGGCGGCAGAGAAGAATCTGAGAGGAGGGTAATTCGTTGAGCCTCAACTGGGAGCGCATCTCTGCATGACCTGGCTTTCATACAAAGCTGGATGTTTGTTCAACTAAGAAGACAGAGGGGCTCAATAAGCGAAGCTTGATTCTGTTGGAAGCAAGATAAATACGACGAGTTTGTCTCACGATTTATAAAAGGCGGGCTGGTCGGCAACAGCGCCCCATGCGCCAGTGTCGCGGACGCATGCTAAGTGTTTTGATCCGAGGCCGAGGCCCACGTAACTGAGAGACGAAGAGAGGATAATGGAGCCAATAGAACGGAGGCAATCCATTAAATAAAAGACTATTTCAGTATCAATTTTGTAAAGCGCGTCTGTCCCTCCTGGTGGGTACTGAACAGCACCGTGGACATGCCGGAGAAGGATGTTCCAGCGCGGTTGGAGAGACTTCGTATACCCTCCATGGACGAAATAGAAAGATGAAACAGGAGCTTCAGCAATGCTGAGAATGTCGGAAGTGCACCGGCGTTACTCGTGAAGAAGGCGCCGGCAGCGTCTCGTTATTCGGGGATCTTACGGTCGCCTTGAGCGCTTGAGTCCCGACTTTACGTTGTCCTTGCTCAATAATGTACGGGGGGAAGATGTCGCTTGATGCGGAGTTTGAGCGGAATAGAAAAAAATCGTCTGATCTCAAAGAAAGTGGGGTATTAAGCAGGCAGAGAAAAATGTGCCACTTAAAGCAGTATAGGGTCACTCACTGTCTGTTTAATTCATGTTGGAATTATTCCTGGGTTGGAAAGCAACTATACGAGAAGCAGGGGAGTGGAAGCTAGAGAGACTGAGGTTTTTCGCCTTCACTTGTTCGTCATCGGGTGCCAGCCAGAATACTAATCAGCATAGGTATTTTCTGTTATCCTGGATCCATGTTAAGCAAGACAAGTATCAATTTGGTTATGATAAATAACATAAAATTTTGATGAAGGAATGGAGTCCTCTGAGATTGGCGTAGTAGGCCTGGCAGTATAACGAAGTGCATCTTGCTCTCTAGCATACTCAGGTTTGTACAGTTATTTGTCTAGAACAAGGCTATCCAGTTTTTCTGTACCCTACCACATCAACTAGCCATAATCCACGAGCCGTGACAAGGAAGAAGGTGTAGGATGAGTGATACAGTCCATGTTGGATATACAAGAGCAATCCAGTGAGGTGAAAGACATCGGAACAGAGACATCGGAACAGCTGAACAACACTCGTCAATAAATTACAGATTGCCTTTTTTGTCTGACTGAGCTCAAGAGTGTTTGCGTGTCGGTACCGCCACTCTCAGCAGCTGTGTGCTGGTACTCGGTGCACGCCCACTAACCGTTCCGTCTACCTCTTGGACGTGTCAGGACATATCTATTGGAGTTTCCTGTATTTTGTCATCTAAAGGAACATCGTGTGCTATCGCGGTTTGGCATTCGTTTGGGAGATACGGAATTAACTGAAGGCTGGTTACTGCGATGGAGTAAGTTGGATTTTTCCCTGTCTTGCACGGGTGTGTTTACACATGTTCACATTATCAGGCGCGAAAATGAAGAAGAGAATCGGGGCCGTTTGTCCATGAACAGGTCGGATTCTGACATTCGGGGTACTTTTCAACGTGGCATGATTTCCTCTGCTGCTTGGCGTCGCCAACGGCTCTTGAATATTGGAACGACCACTTCACCACCAGCAGACACGGATGCAGATGCTACTGTGGATGAATCGACTTCCTTATCATCATCTACACCGAATCTGCGGGTGTATGGAACGTTGCCTGCACGAAAACGTTATGGCAGAGGTAGGAAGTCGCTACCAGCTTTACCAGCTATCGCCACAGCCCCAATTCAACGATCACACCCTTCATCTCCAACATGGTCGCCTCTTCGTCGTTCTACAATATTCAATATGAAAAGGCACAAGACCATCTCAACATATGATCCAGCTCCAAGTTCATTCAAGTCCGATGCCGATGACTATTTCCAAGATGCACGGTTTCTTGACACGAAGCTGAATGGCATTCGTGTCTGGTATTCTAGCTTTACGTCTGTTGACTGGTTACATGATGCTATTAAGGAATCGTCTCGTTTATTCCGCCTTCGTTCTCGAAAGTCGCTGCGGGGAAGACTACGCAGCGGCATTGATACCTCTATTGACTGGATTGTGGTTACAATAATAGGATTCCTGACTGCCATCGGTGCATTTCTGATTGTGCGGAGCGAGCAATGGTTCTTCGATTTGAAAGAAGGGCATTGCTTAAACGGCTGGTGGAATGCAAAACGGTTTTGTTCGGAATGGCAAGAGTGGCAAGATGCATTCGCGTCTGGCAAAAACGGCGAAGTCCCAGATCAGTGGTTTGGAACTGCATCATGGGCAATTGAGTACATTGTGTACGCTACGATTGCGGTATGAAGAACTTTTTTTACGTTTTCTGTATTTTGTTATCTGATCTATTTGTGACAGCTCTGCCTCGCGACAATCTCCTCGTTATTGACGATTCGATTTACAGCATCGCCGTCATTCATGTCCGACAAGGATTCTGGAGTGCTTGGCCCTGACTTTGAATCATCTGACAAGACTGCCTGGTCAGCGCCCAAGAGAAAAGTTCTGTATTTTGTAAGTTTATTACATTAGTATCTTCTTTGCTACGACATCAAAACATCTCGACCTAGGCCGCCGGTAGTGGCATACCAGAAATCAAAACAATTTTATCAGGTGAGTACTTTGGTTTATTAGCCTAGCGACGTCTCTCATAGTTGCTGCTACGTGAAGGCTTCGTTATTCACGGGTATCTCGGAGCACGTACATTGTTCACCAAAGGAGTAGGGTTAGCGCTGTCCGTTGCATCGGGCTTAAGTCTAGGTGAGCTCTGAACGCTTAAATCAATCTGAGAACTCGTAGTCATGCTCCTTTCGCTTTAAATAGGCAAGGAAGGGCCCCTAGTTCACATTGCATGTTGCATTGGCAACATCGTGAGCCGTTATTTCCCAAAGTACGAGACGAATGAAGGTTAGAACTTCTATTCTGACACGTGGTTGAGAAGGCTTGGCGACGCATCACTGATCTGGCTTCAGGAAAGCGTCGTGAGATACTCAGCTCTGCGGCTGCCGCGGGCGTCGCGGTCGCATTCGGTGCGCCGATTGGTGGCGTGCTCTTTAGCCTTGAAGAAGTTTCTTACTATTTTCCTCCGAGGGTGCGCTTTAGAGTTCTTAAGTCTTGCTTGTACGTTCTACTCATACGATCGCATTCATGTTGCATTTTCAGGTCATGTGGCAAAGGTAGAAGAATCCCGGTGCATACTCGTGTGAAATACGACTGAGGTTTTGCCGATTCCTAGCTTCTTTTGTGCTATGATTGCTGCTATTACGTTGAGGTTCTTGGATCCGTTTGGAACTGGAAAGCTGGTTCTTTTCCAAGTGACATATGACAAGGTAAACTTACCTTTTCGACTTTGAATTTCTTAACTGACTTATTTCGGTAGGATTGGCATGCATTCGAACTAGTATTTTTCTTGATACTTGGTATCTTTGGTGTATGTTCCTATTTGCCGCGCCGACCATCGCGCGAACTGATTTTCTTGATTTAGGGAGTATATGGAGCTTATTTCTCCAAACTGAACATCAGATGGAGTCGCCGTGTCCGTAATGGAACGTGGTTGAAATCCCATCCTATTGCCGAGGTTCTCCTGGTAAGATATGTTACTTCTTCATGAATACGATTCAGTCAATGTGAATGGTTGTAGGTCACCTTAGTAACCACCCTACTATGCTTCCTCAATCCATACACGCGGATGGGAGGAACTGAGCTCGTGTACAACTTGTTCTCGGAATGCGGCCCTGACAATGACTGGCATGAGGGCCTGTGCCCGCGCGATCCAATTGCTCTGGCGGGTCCTCTCGCTCAGTCTATCGGTATCGCTTTGCTTGTGAAAGGTGCTTTGACTATCGTTACCTTCGGGATCAAGCTTCCAGCGGGAATATTCATTCCAACGTTGGGCGTGGGTGCATGCTTCGGCCGAATCCTGGGTATTGGTATTCAGTATCTTCAATACAAGCACCCAAACTTGCGCATGTTCGCAGCATGTGGTGGGGACATGGACTGTGTAGTCCCCGGCCTGTATGCAATGGTTGGAGCTGCGGCTACTTTGTCGGGCGTCACGGTGAGTTACTGTTCTCATACTGTCAATTGGTCTGGTTGTCAACTTCCTTACTTGTATTTGCATGTCGTAGAGGACAACTGTCTCGTTAGCTGTCATTATGTTTGAACTGACAGATACTTTGACATACGCAGTCCCTGTCATGTTAGCTGTACTTACAGCCAAATCTGTAGCAGATGCCCTTGAGCCCAAAGGAATTTATGACCTTGTTATTGAGTGAGTTGACGTTGCCTAAATCTTGCTTCATTTCTAACTTTCCGTAGGTTGTCTCAGCTTCCATACTTGGATGCGAAGCATGAATATTTATGGGGAAATCGACTTGCTTCAGACATGGTGAGCTATTCGAATTTTCTAAAAGCAGTCCATTACTCATGCAAAAGGTTGCAGACTGATAGAAACGTTGGTGTGATACGTCTCGATGGACATAACACAGTGAAGAATCTACGTGATAAGCTCCGGGAAGCACTCGCTGCTGGATACGCAGATAGTGGCTTCCCGATTTTGCGACCGGATTTACAAGGGCTAGGGTTGAGGACAGCCGGGTACATCGGGTTCAACGAATTGGAACACGCACTTGGTACGTACTGAATTGTTGCGGCGGGGATTTGTTCCTGCAAATCACGACACGTGCTAATAGCCATTTTCCTATAGCAATTGTTGCTGACGATGCGGATGCTATCTGCTACTTCAACACTGCTTCCGAGATCGCCACAAGAGGACTTACATCTGCCGACTCGTCGTTTACCGAATCAGCAGCCCCTAGCAATGACCCACTCGATTTTACGGTTTACACTGATCAGGTCAATAGTACAAAAAATTATTTATATGGTATTAACCAACACAAAACTTCTCGGAATTAGGCACCTCTTATGATCCAGACGAATACACCTCCAGAGCTTGTACAGCAATTGTTTGCGAAGCTCGGTGCAAAATTTGTCATCGTGACAGACCCAAATGGATACTGTGAGATATTCACCTTTCTTCCTTCCATGTTGCTCTGTTAACTGGTTCTAAACTCTCGTGACTAGACGAAGGCGTTATCGAGAAGAACGCATGGATCGCCTATGTGAATGATTTAGCCGGACACTGATCTTCTCACCAACATTGGTCATTATGTATGGCCTATAATATGTATTGGACATTTAGCAATTACCACTAGCACATTCAACTTGGATATGCATCGTCGTTCTTATCATTTTACCATTTACCATTTTCAACATACCTAGTTTTATCCTCAAATCATCTGCACTCAATTCACATGCACACTTTTCTGTATTTAGTATATTGTTGGTAGCTATCAATATAATCCCTTTCGTATTCATTCATTTTCCATGAGCATGATTGCTTGGCTTGTACAAAGCATAATGTTGCTAATTATGTGAGGTGGGAGGACGCCGCTGGCGTTCAAATGGAAGTATTGGCTAGGAATGTTCCTGAAGAGATTTTGTCAAGCCAATAGCATTTGTCTCAGAAGGATTTCCAATGGAGTATATATTCTACCGCTATGGATGTGACAGTCATGTTTGCGATGTTTCACCGATCAGTGGGGTGGAATGACAGACATGGAGTATTAATAACACGAGATGGACATTCTCTGAAGCTTCGAACTCCGAAAGGTGCACTGTTCCGGGTTTCTGGGGAACGAGGAACAATGACGATGCGATGGCAAAACGTAAAGCTTCTTGCTGTTTGTAATTCTCCTGTGAAACAGGCGGCAAAGTGAAGAGAAGAAGCAATTGGTATTTCCACTTGCATACCATGTTGCAGATCGCATAGATACTCGAGGGAGTTGCGCAGCATCATACTCAATGCAGCGCATGCGGAAGTTGCTATCGCAAATTCCGTTTCGCATAACCTATAAATCTATGAATATCGTCATATTATATCCATATCGTATCATATCATCGGCTCTTGAACTTCTCACAAGTGTAGGTTTGACCACCTGATGTGTGTATGAAAAGATAGTCGCTGACAGATTAGTCTAGCTGTAACTGGAGTTTCGAATCGGGCTCGGAAGTGAGATAGGCGAGGTTTGATGATGGGAAGAAAGTTGCAAGGATGGTTAATGTAATAATTATGGGGCACGACGAGACGATGTGATGATATTCGACGATTCTATGGGTAAGATGCGCAAGATGTGCGATGTGCTGATTTGTTGTTTGCATCATGTGTTACGAGGTGGCGCTCAAGTTAGCGGTGGGAGCGTTATATTTGTCGGTTACCGTGCTTCATTCAAGCCTTGAGAGCACCATCCAAATCTGCAAGTCGAGGTATTTGGTAATGGAAGTCAAAGTACGGCGCAACACTGAGCGCGCCTCCGGCTTGGCGGCGCCGCATAGAAATAGTGAACAAGCGAAAGAAGCAAGTCAATCCTTCAAAGGGTATCATCAGGTATCACTCCATGTCCATCTCCATCCAGGCACACGAAAAGATTGTTTGGATTGGAAGAACCACGGGTTCAGCAAACTTGCGACACTGGTCTTCGCTTCTAGCTCAGGACAATTAGCCAGGGTGACCACTGCTACGTTATAACAGTCGTCACTAAGTCATCAGTGGTCACCCGTGCTTACCTTTCTCGCCATCCCGACAACCGCGTAACAACAAAGAAGTTAGGGGGAGTAAGAGACAGAAAAAAAAATTACGATTTTTGGCGCTGATTTGTGTTTCGTATTTTTCTTTGCCGTTCGATTTCTTCTTTTGTTCCTAAATCTCTTCTGATGACGGGTATGACGAATCGAGACGACGATCTCTGATTTCACTTTCTGCTGTCTCGACTCTCGTGCGTGCGGTACCGTCTTTCCCGCGATGCGCGAGCGAACGTCGGTCTCCAAACTCAGGGCTGCCCGATGACCTGAGATAGAAATGAGGAGAGCAGGAGGATTACGTATGTGGAAGAGGTAAGAATGAATGCATTGAAAAGCAAGGTTTGGATGTTTTTCCCATTGTCATCTGGCAGGTGCATATGCAACCAATGCGTGCTGAGAGTCGAAGGACTCAGAGACGCTCGTCGTACGCCTCGGTATCTTGTCGAGCGAGCTTTACCGACGGTGAGATTTGCGAGACGCGATAAGTAATGCAGCAGGACGAGAATTCGAAGCATGAAACACGCTGACCCCAACTCGCGTGCGCCCTGCACGACGACACTGTAGTCCGTTCGGTCGGAACGGCTCTTTTGCAGCAACAGGCATAGGGTCGGCCCGGAGATAAATCACGAAACAGCGGGCAATGCGGAATTTAATATTAATATGCAGAACATGGGCGGCATGCAGCTCCCGCGAGCAGTTTCTTACAGTACTGGGTATAAGGTCTATACAAGCACGCATAGCTGTTCAGACATAGACCCGACTATCCCTCATCTTCGTCAGCTCCTCCTTTCCTACCCCGTCTGAACGGAACGAGAAGAAAGGGTGCAGGCGAAGGCGAAGAGATTGCTTCTCGCTTTCGGAAATAAGATCTTGGATGATAGAGTTCCGGGTGGCGGCCGCGCTTTGCAGTGTTGCCTAGCGGAAAATTCATATATGTACGGCATGCACCTGAGGCTAACCTGAGGCGTGCATGACGAGCCCTGAGGGACAATCGCATGGTGTTCCAAAGCGCACGATCATCCGCGATTTTCGAGGTGGATGCGCTAAAAATGAGAGGTTGTATAAGCAATCTGACTCTGCACTAGTGGGATTACCAGTGCGATAGCCACGCGACGACGACTGCTGATGTCCTTCGATACAGTTTCGCCGTGTCGCCCGTTCCCGTCCGTCCACAGCGGAGATGGAGTGGACACCCCTTAACTGACTTGCGTCGTACCCTTGCAGTTTCTAAAGTAAGAAAATTCGGAGATGCTCATTCTGTTGCTCCAATTTTCTATTTCTATATTCTAATTCTACAATTCTCTATTTCTGGCTTGTTTCTGTTTGCACGTATATGCCTGAGCCTGAGATTATGTTTCCGATCTGATGATGATGCGGTGGAACGGAGCGCATTCTTGCGGTCCGGAAAATCTGGCCCAGAGCGGTATGTGAAGGGAATATGTGCCGTGAACCGTACTGGGGTGGTCTGAATGGACAGTCACAGAAGCCATGCAGACTATTACTGGCCGTGCTAGCGAGCACGTCTGGAGGCATCTGGAGAGTATTGCCTGCACGTATTCTTACTGAGGCCGGTGAGAGCAATTGGCCCGAAGGAGAGAGGTGCACTCGATTATTGGCTTTACGTCACTTGTCTCCGGACTTTGCCCTCACGAATTCACGTCTGCGAGAAAAAAGTGATTGTCGGCAAGACTACCCTCTCGACTCCCTTTAGTCCCGCTAAGGACAATAATACAACACAACACAGTCGCCGTTGCACTGTTGTGGGCAAGCGCAGGCTCAGGGTTCTCTGGACACCGCCGTCTCTCTCGGCCTAGATTGGCATTGAGCCGTAGCGTAGGAAAATCATCCGCATAATGAAAAAGGCGTGAATATATAATGGACTGGCTGCCCTGTGATTGTTCGATCGTCGCACCAAAGTACCGGGGCTACGGAGTGGTCCGCGCTGAGGAATGTACGTATGCAACGAAACCTAATTTTCTTGCCAGGGCAATAAGCAGGGACTTCTAAACGAAGCGTCTGACTGGCGACAGGTAAAAGAGTCACACTCAGAAACGTTCGCCATCTTGCGCCAGCCCCGAAGCAGCGAGCCATTCTCGTGCGGCTGCAACGCCCTTCTTAAACTCTGTGCGCTCTCGCGTGGCTCCCGCTCAAGCAAGATCCTGATCCTGTAAATACCTCCCTCCTGTCCGTACCTCTCCTTCTGCCGCGTCCGTACCCTCTCCCGACCACCTATCCTTCTTCCTCGCCTTCTCCTACCTTTCGCTCCCCATGGTCGTCGGCACAGCTACAGACGCGAACGGCTTCTACGTCCCCTTCCAATATCCTTACGTCGACGATGCACCTCAGTCCAGTGAGGACGGCTCCGGCCTCCACTCCCCAACCTTCATCGATTCAGACGCGTCCATGGATGCCCGTAGACACGGCTGTACGTACATGTTCTCTTATCGCTAAAGTTCCCGAGATGATTGGCAGTGGCTCACTCTCTTTCGCTCTGTTTCTCTGGCCGCATTGACGATGTTCACACTTTATCCAAAAACTCTATTACTAAAGTCCGCGCGTCGCCCTCAGACATTGATATACGCTCCGTAGAGGGACTGATAGCAGATCGTTTTCCCGTAACCCATACCAATGCGGGCAACGGACTCCCTGCATACGTCTCGCTCCCATACTCACATGCTCAGAACGAACTTCAATATCCTAATTATCTGCATTCGGGCCACTCGCACGTTTTTGAGAATGAGAGGCGCTATATACCCCGAGAGGACGAGGGACTCTTGCAGTCCAACCCAGCAGTGTTTCCCCCCGGTAGACATCCAGGCAATAAGTCACTGGAAATGCCGCGTCCTTTGACTATCCCCTCTCTCCTCCCGTCAAATCCTATGCCCATGAACAACCGGATGATTGGTCGAGTTGATGCTGACTCGACTCATGTAGCGGAATTCCGTCCTGGAATGCATCAGCAAGAAATTACCTCGCCCCTTTCATCAACTACAACTGAGGCTCCGTTAAGCGCAAGATCTCCTGTGGTAGAGACAAGTGGGAGTACTCACCCGCCTTCCAGGCGGGAGCCATCTCTTGTGGTTATTGCATGCCGCCAATGGTTTGTGTGCTTTTTCCCATGTATTTTTGACTAGTCTGCTCCTTAATAGTGTATCCACTGACTATATGCGCTCCCAATTCTAGCCGTGCTCGAAAGATCCGTTGCGATTCTACTCGCCCTTCCTGCAATAATTGCATACGACGTCAGAACGAATGTCAATATGATGCTGTTCCAAAGAGGCGTGGACCCGATAAGCGACCTGGGACTCGTCAGCGCTCGTGTAAGAAGCGACCTGCAGATGGTTCAATGCCTATGAAGAAGAAACAGAAGAAGGGCGGACTCGCTGAGTCCCCGACAGTCACCTCGCCTTCGTCAAGTGCCGTAAAATCGGAGGACAACGACAGAACTACTGATGGCAGAGTCAACGGAGCTGTTCTACCAGTAGGTACTGTTGGACACCATCACGTAAATTCGGGGCTTGCGCACGGCACTCGAGCTGACTATGATAGTACAGCTGGGGGGATGGGAGGCGCGGTCGGGATGCATGCAAAAGCGAATTTAAACCTGCGCCTGGACATGAACTTCATGGATCGCCCGCAGTCGGCGTATGGTTCCGGTCAGCTCAGTTCGAACTCCCACTCGCGGACCCACTCAACCCAGTCGTCTCAGTCTCATCACCTGTCATCAGGGAGCGTCTCGCCAACCACGAGCATGTCTCTCCATACTATTAGCGCATTATCCCCCGAACTGCGTTTCCCCAAGGTGAGCCCATCTTTTGCTCTTGTGCCACACCCTTGATTCTGTAAATTTGTTCTGATGCCTGAAGTATGCATGACTAGTCCTCATTCCGGGACGACCCCTTTTCGAAGTATGAGCAGTCAAGTGCGGAAAGCTTATCTGATTCCGAGCTTACTGGTCGTTCATTTGCACGTCAACTTAATCTCAACGCCCTTTCCCCTCATACGCACGTGTATCTTCCTTCCCCTAACGATCTTAATAATAGTAAACTTTGGTGGGATACTCTCCTGCATGAATATTCACCCTCATTGGAGCATTCGTGAGTTCTTGAGCTCAGATCGCTGTAAAGTTTACTTCGTCTGATTGTCAAACAGCGAAGCAGCTATATTCCATGATTTAACTTCACTGTAGGGGTTGACAATTTAGATACCCATAAAGAATGTGCTGACATCGTCCGTTGGATTCAGCTTTAATAGTTCCATTCATTGGCTTTCATTCTTGAACGAGAAGTATTTTTTCCGAAGGCTCTCTGATCCGTCAGAAAGAGAGAAGATGCAACCGTCACTTGTATATGCAGCTCTCGCCCTTGCAACACTTTTGCGGTCTAGTGAAATTGAGTTGGGGGAAACAGGTCGTGAACGAGCGCTTCGACTGCGCGATGTCGCTCAGGCCCATCTAGAATCTTCCTGGAACGCTTCATCAGTCGATCCGTCTTTGGCCCAGGCTGCTTTGGTATGTACGATCGTACCTCAGTGACGTTGATAAAATTTTGATTTTTCGGTTCGCAGTTGATCGCGGTTTTTGAATCGTCCGCTCATCCGCTGTATAGTGCCGAAAGAGCTTGTGCTTCGCTCATTCTCCTCGACCAGATCATTCGCACATTGGCACTTACGGCAATCGATCTTGCGGACCCGAATGCCTGTGTCTTCTCACCCGATTCCGTGCCGAGTGTTCCCCGTCCTACTGCCCATGATATCACGCTTGAGGACCAATGCTATTGTGCGCCACCCATCCATTCTCCCCAACTTGATTTGGGTCGCGGAGGTCGATTATCTCCGAACTGGTCCACGAGTATTATATGGGACCCCGCCTGGACAGTTGAGGAGATAGAGAGGGAGCAAACACGCAGGCTCTGTTGGGCAGCCCTTTGTGCGTGAAGTTATTACTAATTGGACTGGAAGAATTGTGTTCTTACACGGAAATGGGGTCTGATTAGCTCTAAGTGCTGATCACGCCGTCCATTGCAGTGCTCTTCACAAAGAACCACTGGATCTGTTCATCAGCCGGCCCGAGAATGTGCGTTTGTCTCAGGCTTATCGTTTTATGAACGCTCATATTCATATTGATTTTGACACTGATGCTTAATAATGCCTGCAGTATGCACTCCTCTTTCCCGGTGAAAAGCGTGCCTCCGCCGATGAAGGCCACCAGGGCCCTTATGTGTCACCAAAACAATCGATCTGGGCGCTTTATTGCAGGAGTATGCTGCTTTGGAACAGTTGCTTGCATTTGCGTAAACTCGCGAGTGATTCGGAAAAAGCGGAGTTCTCCGTTAACGCTTGGCTTGAAGCCTCCGACATTGAGGATGCGTTGGACGCACACCACTGCTCAACAGAATCGCACTTGATGTATATGACCCGCGAACATGTATTCAAGTGAGTTGAAGCATTCATTTCTTCCCGCCGGATATTTTAATAACGCAACGTAATTTTTAGCACACGCATTGCGGTGTCGTACGAATTCCGACGGTGTGTCTAGTCGCTTAACGCTCTGTGAATGGTGAACTCAATTATGATAAACGGCACGCAGGCTTCAGAACGTTGATAGTGGGACATTGCCGAAGTTCAATCGTCGCCAGGCCGAGGAATGGAGTAAGTATTCAATTATGTTTACGCGTTTCGCCGTCTCTCTTCTTCCCACATCATCTGTTCCGAGCTTTCCTGCAGTGCACGAAAGGCGTGTGCTTCTAGACTTGTGATTTCCATAAGCCGGTCGTCGTGCCCGCGGAAAGCACGGAAGGCCGCGATTTTTGGATTTGATTTCGACCTTTTTCTAATCTTTGAACTTTATTTTTCCTTTCGAACAGTCTACTACCAAACTCAGACTGCGAATCGATTCAAGTCCATTCTTCACGATGGGCGAGACCCTTTGGCACAAGTGCTTGCACGTCGGCCATTTTACGTGGTCAGCGGACTTCTTGCTTCCGTTGTTTCTGAACTTGTCCTGATATTGACGGATTTTCCTGTGCAGTGGTGGTTCATGAGCCAGTTGGCAATGTGAGTAGACCTCTTGAATGTTCTGAGCTCTACGACTGAGTACACATTCACACGACAATGTAGAAGCATGTCTCTTTGGGTTTACGATAATACTTTGATTGAGGCTCTGGAGCTATCGAAGGCCTTTCTTGTCCCACTGAACATGCTCAGCGCTCTCTGGCCTTGCCGTGGTAGGTTTCTTCTTTGATATAGACCATGCTCATTTTCGAAAGTGTGCACTCATGCTCCTTGATCAGTTCAACGCGAGCAGTATATTGGGTTATGGAGTGAACTTGACGACCACTGCAGGAAGGCAGATGTCCCTCTACCACCTCGTCCCACATATGCTCTTCCTCGTTCATTTAATCATTGAATGCCTTTATCTACTTCTTCGATTCTGGATTGAACAATACCCAACCCATAATCGCTGTGCATTGCAATTCTCACGATCTCTCGTCTGGAACTTTGAAAGCACTTTAAACCTGTCTCCACTCCTTTGTTTCGATGGAATTTGTCTTTTATGCATGTTTGTGTAGCAATAGGTCCGCTGTCTGTTTCGTAATTCCCCTGCGTGGTTTTGTATTAATTCATCACCCTCCTTGTTTTGTTTACTTGCTTTTGAGTTTTGACATCTTCTGACTTGTCCTATCTCGTCGTGGATCTATTCCCCCTGTCTCTGCCGGATTATACCAAACTGATTCTTAGCTAACTGTGTACTGTATTCCATATAACTTACATATTTACGAAATCCAATTCGCCGCTGACTTTTTATATGCGATGTTCGAGACTTGGCGTAGATCTCTCCCTCGGACATTATAACCCTGACGGAGGATTTATGTATGTCAGTTCAATCCAGACTAATCCTCACGTTTGGCGGCAGTGTACGTTATCGTAATAAAGAAACAAACTATACTGTTGATTGTAAGTCTGTCTTCCGCCGCCGGCACTCATTCCGCAAAGAATTACTTACGTATAATGAAGAATTGGGGATGGTTGGGTCGTGAAGGCCGTGTCTGGAGAAAACTCGCGAAGCTTGCGGAAGTTAATTGTGCAAGTACCGCAGCGCTGGTGCATTTTGGAAGGTTGGCAACGAGTAGTCTGAATTGTGGAAGGTTATCGTGTGTAAGTTGTGATGATTTATGCATTGATTTGAGGTTTTCCCATCGTTGCACTAAGATCGTGATTCGTTCGGGATGACCTCGATCTTCTCTTGCCAAGTAGTTCCCATCTTGCGTGCAGGCTTGCCACAAAACGGAAATTCGATTTGCCAATTTTAGGGATGAGATTATGTCGCAGAACAAAGAAGCACAAAAATTATACAAGAAGTAGCCGTATTGTGAAGTGAGGACTTTGTCCTGGTCACTCGACTCTCTGGAGGTGTGAAATCAGAATCTATCACTTCCTCAAAAACTGCGACCAAATATCCTAAGGTGGTCATATTCAGTCATCGTGAGCACCACTGCACTAAGGATAAACCCCTGCGATGTTCCTTTCACTGTCGTTGGCTGGCCAAAGCTTGTCAATCTTGCCATTGAAGCTTACTCACTGGAGTAACAAGAATCTCAAAGGTCTCTCGAATGACAGCTTGATATTCACGTGCTGGCGGTCGGAGCAGGAATATTTAATTGTGGATTGCCTAGTATGATGCGTGATTCAGGTTAGTTCGCCCTGGCCTGAGAGGATGAAGAGGTCGGTTACAATTCAATGGAACATCGTTTTTGCCTTCCCGCCTTCGCTGTCATACAGCACATTTCAATTGCCATATCGAGCCGGCTTCCTGGAACAGGAGTTTGAGGTGCCTGCAGCGCCTCTGCTTGGCTGTCTTCTCCGGAGGTTTGTCAGTCAAGGGCGCAGAGCTCGCCAATGCAGACGAGTGAGCGTGGCATACCCGCATGATTCGGGATGGCGGCACATTAGTTTTGGCTGAAACCCGCCGCATATGACCGACATACTCGCCAACATCTATTGCACGAAGGGTTCGTCAATACAGTTATGCAGTAATAAGTATACATCGCAAAGGGGCGGAGAGTGAAGTCAGGCGCATAATTTTCGGCGCGTGCGCGAGGCCGGACGTGCACAGGTGGAGATCCGTGCACAAATCAATTATGGCGAGCATACCCAAAAGAGCACAAGCGCAAGGTCCCAGTCAACGATAATCGCAAGGCTCGAAGCATTCTGCCCGGTGGTATTAGAAGCAAGAAGTAGTCAGAAACGGCCCCGAAGCACCTCGAAGCCTGTACTTCGCTGAACTGACTTCCGCGGCTTCGACAGACGTCCCTAAATGAAACGATATCTCTCATGATCAGTGCGCAGCCCGACTTCGAAAACTAGTCTTTCCACACCACTGACCCTCAATTAACCGGAGCTAACAGCGCCCTTTCTCCGCTGCTTAGATCCTTGATAGTCAGTCAGCCAAAGATTATCGCACAGAACCCATGCTGAACGACTGCTTGTAGGGTGCATCCCCTTCGTTCATAGAACTATTCTCGTCCGCGTACATAGGTAACAAGTAGCTTGTCGGACTTGTTTCGCATGAATAAAGGAATAAATAGAGTCCTCAGTTTTCCTGCGGGGTCATCCCAAGTCGGCTCGCACACTAGTCATGGTTGCACTAATTGTCAATGGGGAATTTGACATACGACTTCAGTGCATGTATCGCCTGAGCTGAGAAGGGCTATTCACATTGTATGCTGAATTCACTGACTGGCATCTAAGGGTAAACAAATTCTCCGGCGAGAAAAAGGGTAGCTGATGTGGCCTTGTTTGGACAAGTTCTTTGAACTATTGTGAGCAATTGCATCACGATGCAGATGAGAAGTCGCAGCCGCCATCTCCCGTCAAGAGATAGTCCAGCAGACGGAGGAGTTAAGGCATCGTTATTCCCCGCCGTTAACCCAAATTGCATCAATAATGAATAGCATTAATCTCAGGGGTGGAAACTTATCACGATCCGCGGAAACGTGCAGGAGTTTGACCTTCAGTGTAACGTCTCCAACGTTCCCCAGTCCTGCCGTTGACTGAACAAAGATCAAATCAAGATAGCCGATTATATTGCACTGGCACAGGAGCGTAAGAAAGTTCAGAGCCAAAAACTTACTATTTTGTGGTAATTGATCGGCAATCATATAATAGGCCAAGCACGTTGCAACAACGGTCCGTCACGCACCGCTCATGAGAGGCTTTCGCTTTTCAGGACGTTCTGTGGTCATGAAAGCAATCGCAAAGTAATTATGAACAGGAAGCCTTCATAATGAAAGGGGTACGAAGTCAGCGGATCGGAGACCACGCGTCTTCTGCACCTGTGAAAGCCAGCACAAGGAGTTAGAAGAGCGCTAACCAGAGACAGCATGATCAAAAAGCATCAGTTTCGTAAATTCAGTGTAAGAGCACTAGATTAAGAAAGCCCCAGCGCCGCCGAAGCCAAGGATTAAGCTTTGAGCTTGCTAAGACGATGCCGTGTGAATAAGGTCAGCAGTTTTGCAGAAGACGGAGGCCACTAGTCAAGGGTTCGCTTGATTGTAACTGTAAACAAGGGCATGACCCTCTCTGATTGGGCGAGGATTCGCCGAATAAAGCGTTAAGCATATCCACTTGATAGACGTCTGTCAAATCAAATATCATCCACCGTTCGACCAATAATGAACCAGCGTGCGAAAGAACCGCGCGAAAGGAAGACACAATTACTGACGTACAACATGATAGAGTTAGCATTTACACTGGTACTGGCAATTGTGCGGGTGAATTCACATTTGAAAGAATATCCTCAACGAGGCCGATTGCTGCGGGGAAGATCTCTAGCGGCGTTGGTGTTCCATCGTCGTCTGTCTCGTTCTCGTTCTCGTTCCTGCTCTGCAAGGTCATATTCTCCACGGTTGCGTTCATCCCCGTGCGACGCAGGTGATTTCGAGCGACGCCGTACATGTGGAGGCACAGGAGATCGCCTTCTACGGTATTCGTCAATCCATTCGCGGGAGTCTCGGCGTCTGGGTGAACGTGAACGCGACCTTCTTCTTTCTCGCGAGTTCCGTCTCTCCCCATATCGATCTTCGCGCTCGTAATCAGAAACAGAGTCGTCCCTGCGCCTATCCATCCTCTTAGTTTCCTTACGAGCCTTCTTTTCAGCTTTCCTTGCTTTCTTTTCCATCTTTCGTCTGTGTCGCTCAAGTTTTTCCTTCTCTTTTTCGACGTCATCGCCTGGAGGTGACATATTTCCTGACGTACCCGCCACAGGACTAGCCGAGTTGTTGCCATTCGGAGTGGCATCAATGGTTTTCTTTGTTGGAGCAAAACCCCTAAAAATACACAAGATAATCTTAACGGACGTCCCAGGGCCTTTGAGCTTGGAAACTAACGTACAACATTTGAGCCATTGCATCAGCTTCTGCCTCTTTTATCCTCTTTATCTCAGCCAGCTTCTCTTCCTCTGCCTGATTTTGATCCCTATTGTACCAATGAACATCCTTATTCTTCTGCCATCTACCAGTTGGTGCATTGATGCTGTGTCCAAGGTAATGCTAGCCAATACAATAAGCTTCTTGAACAATCGCTGGACGACTTGAATGACAACTCACCTCCCTATCCTTGTCTGCAGAGACGTCAGACCATTTGAACTCGCCCTGTCCGCCTCGCGTGCCTCCTCTGATCGGTTCATACATACTCTTGACAATGAAATACTATGCCTGAGAGCCAAGTGTTGAATAATTCCGTGGATCTTGAGTTTAGAGGACAACGTACGGTTCCAAGTTGGTGACTTTACGCGAAATGCGACCGTCTTAGAGCACGTGATACGTCACGGGCAACAAGTTGCGGAACGTGCTAACCAATTTAGGCGGAGCTACAATAATCGAAACTCATAAGTGCAGACTATTGTAAATCACAATATTGACACTATTAATACAACAAATAACAAATTAGCACTACATGGCCCTCCTAACCCCTACCTTCATAACCCTAACTTAATAATGATCTGCTGCAGCAAAATGTGACCTCCCAGCACCTTTCGCCCCACGTTTACTTTTACTTTTACTCCCTCCGCGAGTAGAAGTCGAACTCGTCGACCCAGCTCGTCCTCGTTTACTAGCAGTATTACTTTTAGATGTGGTAGTCGTGCTACGGCTTTTAGTAGTGGTAGTGGTGGATTTGCTTCTTCGAGTGTTAGGTTCGCCGTTAGGGCATGCTGGAGTTGAGTTCATTGTTAATAAGCCACTGCATGAACGAAGAAAAAAAGTGGGTGAGGTAGAACAGTGAGGTACGCACCATTACTATAATGCCCTTCGTCTCCACACTTAAAGCAGGCTCCAATACTCGAGTTTTTTCCATTTGGACAGGCTTAACGAAATCCAACATTATTAGAGAAGCAAGACATAGCGAAATGAAGATGACACACCACTACTGTAGTGCCCCTCTTCACCACACTTGAAGCACGCAGTCGAGGACGAGGACGGATTCGGATTGACGTTACCTGCCGACGAGTCGATACTCATTGCGCGGTTTCGATTGGCCTGAGCACCATTCGGACATGCTAAAAAAGGTCTTATTAGTTAATTACCCAAAAACACGAATAAGAAAAGTAACAGTAACGAACGAACGTACCACTTGCCCAATGTCCACTCTGTCCACACTATCCGAAAACGAATACCAAAACACAAAATTAATATTAGTTCCATCGGATATATATGAAGAGGAGGAAATACTAGAAAAACGCTTACATTAAAACATTCATCCGACCTAGTACCAGCCGTCACACTTCGTTCAGGCTCCTCCCACTCAAAATACCCACACTGATTCGAACTAGGACACGTCCAGAAATTCCGTCCCTTGCTCGGCCCCTCACGCACAACAGTCCGCTGTACGGCTGCTAGGTCACACTTACATCGCCGATCCGAAGTAGCAGGTCTATTAGCGTTGTTATTCGTTCGTAAGATGTTAGAATCCGAATGAGTATCCATTTGCCTTGACGTCGCAGAACCAGAAGGGAAGGAGGTAGAAGAGATAGAAGTCAACGGTCCATCAATCCACTCAAAGAAACCACACTCGTCTCCCTTCCCACACTTTCGGAACCTCCTCCCCTTGTTCGGACCCTCTTTCACAACAGTTCGTTCACCTGCCTGCACTCCGCACTGACATTGTACTATTTGTGCTACTTCAACAGCAGGGCCTGACCCGGATCGGAAGGGAGCTGGATTGCGTGAAGGCTGATTGGCAGTTGAGAATGATGAGGATGAGGATGGACCTGGTCCGGCTTGATTTTCTGCGGATTTTCGAACTAAAATTACTCGGGATCGAAGTTTCGGGACAGGTGGAGGCGGGGGTTGATGAGCAACTTGCGTAGGTCCGTCCAAGTCGATGTCGCTCTCCACCGTTTCTAAACAAAGATCACATATAAGTGCAATCATGAAATAAACGAAAAAATAAACTTACCTTCGCTAGCAGTAGCCTTCTTTTTACGACCCGTTGTCCGAGCACGTTTGGGACCTGATCCTCCGTCGGCACCATCACCTCTGCTCGAAGAACCGCCTCCCCGTCCGCCTCTTCGCGTAGTTCCAGTTCCGCCTCTACCACCTCTAGTTCCACGACCACCACGACCTCCGCGGCCTCCACCATCTCCACCCCCACCTGCACCTCCTCCTCCGCCACCACCTGGATTATTACCTCCAGCACCAGCAGCGTTATTATCTCGGTTTCCGTCACCTTCAAGATATCGACTGACGCTCTGTTCAAAACGATCACTCGTTAATACGGGCGGTACTCTGGAAAAGTGGGGAAGAAAGAGACTTACAGTAACAATTTTATCAAACTCCCTCCGAGCCCGAATAAAGACTTCTTTATACTGTTCAATGCTCTGCTCGAGCATATCATGCTTCGACTTCGTCCGTTCACACACCTGCACCATCGCCCTTTCCGTCTACACGTAAACAAAGAAACAAAAAAATTAACATCATCCATATATAACATACCCAAAAAATAAAATAAGGTGAGAGAAACTCACATCCCTCCTCAACTGCGGCTTACTCAAACTCCTCTCAAACCCAATCTCATTATACCCTTCCACAAGCCCAATACCCAGAGTCGACGGTACAAGATACTTCACCACCCCCTCCATCCTCTCAATCACATACCCCCTATCCGTAACCATCTGAATATGCTGTGCAATAGTCGCATCCGTCCCAATTCCATTCTTATCCATCAACCCAACCAAGTCCGCTTCAGTCAACAAAGTCGGAGAAGAGGTCTCGCCTTCTCTGAGTTCGCATATTGACGGCATGAATTGTTCGCCTTCGTCGAAGTTGGGTAGGTACCGACCGTTCCATTTGTCGTAGACGTAGACGTCTAAGTAGTTTCTTGCAAGGACGATAAGGCCTGAGGCGGAGAAGTATTCTCCACCACAGCATACCTCTACAGTAGTTTCTTGACCTTCTGCGTCTTTGTGACAAGACGCTAGGAATCTCCTCGTCACAAACTCGTATACTCGCTTCTCATCACCAGCAAGGTTTCCAGCATAATTGGTAGGATGGATAGGAGGATGCGCTTTGTCGTTGTTCTTGCCTTTCCGTGGAGAGGTGAATTCACCATTTTGAAGTCTTTAAATGATAGATAATGAGCACGAATCGAGATGTGATGTCGAAACGTAGGAGAATTCAGGGCTCACTGCGTTGCGAATCCACCCCAAGTAGGATCTACAGTTTGCTTGCCTATTAGAGACATGAAATCAAATTGAGGATCATATTGATCTGTTTCCGTGCGTGGATAAGATAATAATCCACGCTGATAGAGCTTCTCTGCAATCTACAAAGGTATAAACCATAAGTTTTCCTACTGGACACGAGAAGGCCCGAGAACAAAGGTAACGAACATCAAGGACTGTCTTCGGAGCCAACCTCAACAACCTCGACCCTGCTTTTTGAAGTTCAATAGTCGTCAATGGCAGCGGCTTCCTAACAAACAAATATCATCAGGCCCAAAGAATATAGATACATACAAGCAGATGTGCTCTACCATTTCTTCGTCGGCTTACACGTCTTCTTCGTCACCCTCGCCACCGGGTTCTCCACCACATACTCATAAATAGCCTCCGCAGCCAACCGATCAAACAACCTCACTCGTCTCCACGAAAACTCCGTCGTCTCCTCCTCACCATTCTTCTTCTTCCCTCCTTTCTCCACCGACGCACCACTCCGCGACAAAGATAGGTAGATATACCAAAACGCCTCAGGTACGAACGCCTGCACCTGTTCATACCTCGACACCACAAACCCCAGAGTCGGAAACTGACAAGGCCCGTAAGAAACGGGTGTACCAGTATCTTTAATCTGCTCGAATCGACGTTGGAGGTTGAGAGTTTGCATTCTCGTAAACGCAGCTCCGAGACGCAGGTCGAGGATCGTACGCGCTTCGACTGCGTCTGCTTGAGCTTGGTCGAGGAGACCTGGGTTTTGGGCGGCGCGGTGGATTTGCCTTCATACACAAGTAAACAAATACACATAAAAAAGAGTCAAGTCAATATCTCTCCGCCTGTAAGTATAACCAATGACAAAAAAGAAAGAATATAAGACATACTGCGGAATAATCGCACTAAACCTCGCCCTCGTAACCCTAATCCCCACATTCACCTTCCTACAAACCCTAACAACCTCAGCACCAATATTCTCTCCTTCCCGATCACAATCCGTCCAAATCATCAACTCATCCGCCCTCCTCGCCTCTTTCTTCAAATTCTCTTCAATTGTCTTATTATCCCCAGCAATTCTGGCTATCACGGGGGCCTCGAAGAGTGTGAATGGATCGCAGGACCCCCATGATCGATACGCCTCGTCGAAATCGTGTTCCATAAGGTGACCTGAGACGGCTGTGACTGTGAAAGTTGACCTCGTTTGGGGGTAGTCGAAGTCATAGTTCTTGATGTATTTGTTTCGTGTTGCTCGCTAAGTGAGACATCGAACCCGCTCATTCTATTTTATTAACGAGGAAGATAAGATGAAGGACATACCGTATTATATTGTCCACCAGACAATATCCCAGTAATCGAACGCGCAATAGACGGCTTCTCTGCTACACAAAGAACACGCATCGGCACGCCTTCACCACTTTCTGCAAGACTGCCAGCCCAGCGGAGACAACCTCGGCGACAGAAAACACGCTTTCCAAAGAGATACCTAGGTACAAGGAAAGAAGAGAACAAGACAGCCAGACTTGCTGCGGCAGTGTTACTAAATACTACTAAAAGCTGACCTCGACGCGTCCATGTATCACAACGCGCCTCTCATTCAATCTCCGACGCGTGTTCGCGTCGCTGACTAATTCACCTACCCAAAATCCATCCCTCACTCACTCATTCACTTACTTCACGATTCCGACGATAAATAATTGAGATTTCAAAGAAAAGACTTTTGTTCGATGTACTACGTATAACAAGACTAACAAGAGAGAGAAACACTCAACAAACAGACCAGAAACGACACACACACACACTGCCACCGAGTTCGCTAATGTACGAAAATGACTACGAGAAGATATCAAGATCATTCAATGCACGATAGTGATGGAGATGGGGGAAATGGGATTGGGATTGGGGTTGGGATTGTATTGAGAAGAGAAGAGAGCAACTCGGGCAGATGTCGTACAGTGAGCAGGATACAGTGGGCGAGTATATAAAAAAGAAAAGAAAAAAAGAGAAGAAAAGGTAAGAGGAGGGAATAGAAAAAAAAAAGAGAGCGGGAGATAAAAAAAGGAGGAAGGAAGAAATAGCATCTTAGAAACCTATAGAACTTAGAAGCCAAAACGGAAGTATAAAGACTGAGAGGTGGAATGAACGGATTGCGAATATATTCACAGACAGACAAGAGGACCGAACGGAAGGTGATAATCTGTGGAAATTGCAATCGTAAGAAAGAACACAATAAAAAAGATTAAAAAAATCTAAACAACATGGAAAATCTGAAAGATAGCAAAATTACTTACAAGATCGCGGCGGCGCGCTTCAGGATGACGATGACGTTCGGTTCGATGGGAAAGTAGGTTGGTGCGAAGGTGTGTCTTTTGGAAGTTTGACACGGAACTCGCTTAGAATGGCCACATGGCTGTGGAGAAATATTAAAACGGGCTCGAAACTTTTCAATGAAATCCACTTACTCGGATGGGAAGTGAACATTCGGGAACCCAACCACCTTCGACAAATAATCCTTATCTATCTCGCCAAGGAGCGACGTGACAGTCAGGTTGTTTGCCGTGTACCATATGTAGTCAATTGAACCCTGGAAGCTCGGTGTGTAGTTCGTCATCGGCAGTTCCCCGATTCCGGAGTACGCGCTTCGTAACCCAAGACGATGGCGGAGACCCTCCGACGTGTAATTACCGTAGATGCGGGACAAGAAATCTGGGTGGTCTGAAGGGACCGTTCCATTCGAAAGGAACTCATACACACCACTCTCCGGTATGGAGTTGAAGTCGCCACAAATGATGATCGGGATCTTCGTACCGTCGGTATACACGGGCGGCGGTCGCGATGGAGTCTCGTCAGTATTGGGTTTCGGTGGAGGAGGCGGATAACGAGCAAAACGGCTCGCGATTTTGTCGACTTCGTCAACTAACAGAGCAGTTTGTACAAGCTTCACATCGGCCTGCTGCGCATCCCAGTGAATATGTACATTGACGACAATGAGTCTAGATCCGGTTGCCTTGTTCTCGACTAGCGTCGCGACGGCAATGTTATCCCGTAGAAATACGCGATTGAACATGTCATCCGTTTTCTTGAAGTCTGCCCTCTGCATAGCCACACGACGAAACTCGATAAGCTGTTTCTCCACGAGATTGTATCTGAAAAATACATCCTTCAGCACCATATCTTCTTTCAACACGGACAAAATGACTCACTTGGCCGACTTGAAGAACGTCGCACAGCCATCTACTAACCGTCTCTGTGATTCGTCCATCGTGTTCGCTCTCGACTTTGGCCAGAAAACTCCTTCATAACCTTGCTCCGAGAGGTGATGCAAGAACGTATCCTCATACTGCGCCACATCAACTTCCTGCAGGCAAATGAAATCCGAATTGTAGTGCTTGACCTCGTCGAGGATGAGATTTTTCCGTGCTGACCACATCAGCGCATGCTTTGGCGTATACCCATACAAACGTTCCGTTGCAGCCCTTTCACAAAGGATATTGTAGCACAGCACGGTCAAAGACTCATTGTACGGATCTGCCTCCTGCGCCTGTCGCTCCATTTCGGATTGCATACTCCTCCAAATTCGTTGAGGTGGCGGCTCCGGAACCGGCGCGTTATCCCGAAGATATGCGATGAGCGCGGGCGTACCTTCACGTTGCACAATTTCTTTCAACTCATGAGCCAGCGGGTTTCCCTCAATACCAATCGTCTGTAACTGATGCAGCGTCCCGAGTTCGTACGGGAGTGACACGAGATGATTATCAAAGAGGTACAACTCTTTGAGTGTGGTCACCATACCAAGCTCCGGTGGAAGGGTCTGCAATAAATTCCCAGACAGATCCAACAGCTTAAGGTTCTTGAGACGTGCAATTCCCGGTGGGATGGACTGCAGGGCATTATGATTGAGGAAAAGGTTCTCCAGAAAGGCGAAAGACCACAGCCCCGATGTTCGCGGGAGGTTCTTGAGGTTTATTCCACCCAAGTCCAGCGCGTGCCAGGAACTGTCCTGATTTTGCGTATCCGATTGCCGAGCTGCAGGCGCAACGGGCGCAGTTGTCGACGAAGGATGGTTCTCTGGCGTCCCTTCACCACTGTCCGAAGTCGATCCATCTTCCTTACCATCGGCGGCGGGTGTCTTGACACGATTTGGATCTGTTATGGTGATCGCCGATTTGGCCGTTGGTCGTGACGCAATCGCATTCTGCCGTGCACGGTGGTGTGGTGAACGGGATGCGCGGACCATGTCGTATTTGAGCAGCTGCTGTTGCCAGTGCTGTGACATGATCGGGGCGGATGGAGGCGGCGAGGTAGTGAGTGGGTGGGTTTGCTGCATGGACGTGCCATTGGGTGGAGACGAGAAGCTAGGGTGCGAGAGGGAGTTCTGGTGGTGGTGTTGAGAGTGCGAGTGAGGCAGCGGCGGGTGCTGCGGGATGTGCGGATGTGCGTGGTGGGAGAGGGCGCCATTGGCATACATTGTGTATCCTGGGGTGGGTGGGCCGACGCCGGTTGCTCCTGCGAGGACATGATGCTGGTGCTGATGGGTCGGACGACCCCAGGCGTCGTGGTGAGACTGGAGTTTGTTGATTGCGGGTGACGTCTGCGGGGGCGCGTTGAAGTACATCACCGCCTTGGGGCATCTGACACCGCTCGGGATAATAAGTTGGGTACTGCGGTAGCGACGGCGAGAGCAGTGAGCACAGAGCCTTTGACGACGGGAACGACAACGACGACGACGAGGACTGACCTTGAGCAAGGATTGGTAGAAGAGGGACTGACTGGACAAGGCAGACTCCAGAGGACGAATCAGGCAGGGCACGTATTCCTGTCACGCGTCACAAACAAGGACAAGCACGTCACTCTCTGCTCTCTGCTCTGTTTGTACACGTCTTCCTCGTCTCACATCCACTCAGTCATACGTGGCACTCCTACTCGTTGCTTAATGTGCCCCAAATATGACAACTGTCTCTATGTTATCCGTTGAAAAATACAAAATGAAACTACAGATTCTATCCTAGCGATACCCGCCCAAGTCACGCCTTCACTTTCGGAAGTCCTTCTGCATTCAGCAATGCCTCTTCTCCGCCAAGCACCCTCGGTCCGTCACCAACCCGGGTGTGGATAAGGCCCTTAACAGCCCCAGCCTCAAACTTCTTCGCAACAGCCTCGTTGAACCCAACCGGGACGGCGCCCTGAGGCTGATTGCCCCCAAACAATCCAAACACATCATTGAACGGCTGTGCCTGAGGGAAGTACGCGACAATAATGTCGACAATCTCCCTGATGTTTTCTTCCGGTGCGTAAATGACAGCATTAGGACCTGCGTCGTAAGTGTACGCCGCTTTCACCGGTCCACCAGCCGCGACCGATGCACGGTTATATTCCACGATCAACGCGACAATCGACCGACTCACGTCGTTCATGTAGAAAATCGGCGGTTCCGTATCAAGCGCAACAGCATGAAACTGGTTCGAATCCGCCATCGTAATACGCGCAAACTTCTCGAAGTCCCGAGCCTTGATCGCCTCGGAAATCGCACGCATACGTGCAGGTACAACCTCTTTAATACGATGTTGTAACAGCGTAGACGTCTCGACAGTTCGCTGCATTCCAGACGTAGAAGACGTTCCCTTCTTGTCGTCCGATACAACGCATATAAGCGCATGTAAGTTCGGCCAGTGCTCGCGTGGTGCAACCTCAACAGCAAACGAGTCGCTTCCATCGGCTTTCGAGCCCATCTCCCATGCTACGAACCCACCAAACAGCGATCTGCACGCAGAACCAGAACCCTGGCGCGCAATTAACGAAAGCTCAGATGGCGAGGCAGGTAACTCATAGAGAGCAGCAAGCGATGACACAAGTGCCGCAAAACCAGATGCAGAAGATGCAAGTCCCGCTGCTGTTGGGAAGTTATTGTGCGAGGCGATGTGTACGGGGTAATCCGCGATCTGATAACATAAAACAATAGAAATAAATGTGCGTATATGCGTGCGCGTTAGACTAGATCAACACGTTTCATATGCACGGTGAAATTCTTTCTTACCTTCGGCGTACCCTCTTTTTTCTCCACTTCACGGCGAAGACGTCTCATCTCTGCGATACACGTCGCGAGACGCCCACCTTCTTTGATCTCTTCCTCCTTCCCGTTCAACCAGAGTCTGTCATGCTTGAATGACGGATCTGCGCGAGAGGTTGTCGTTGAGCGGAGGTGATCTTGGTCGAGAGTGACAGACAACGAGGAGTTGGTGGGAAGGATTAGCTTTGTATCGCGCTTTCCCCAGTATCTTGAATATAACATTATGAATGTCAAAAATTAAATTATCGAATATAAAATAAAGATCGTACTTGATACACGCGATGTTCACTGGTGCAGACGCTGTTGCTTGGTAGACAGTCATTGTTGAATGCAGCTAGACAATGTCGTCAATTTTCAGCAGCGCGATATACACCGAGGAAGCGAAGAAAGGAGGAAGAAAAGGAGACGTTGGGGAAGAATGGTACGAGCGTTAGGTTCCATCTTTATGCAGTTTGAGATGGGTGATGATAATTGTTTCGAGTCTTAGCCAATCTTGTTTGATTATGTCATTTCCATGTCTCCCACGATTACTTTACCTCGAATTTTGGTGCATTTGTAACATATTAATCACAATCACTAATGTTACTCTGATACTCTTTCTTGTCTTTCGAAATGTCTATCCTAACAGCTCGTTTTATCCATCGCCTAAATGATACTGGTCACATTCTTACTGGAAGATTCAATATCTGGAGGACATCGCAGTTAGCAACCCCAACAAGATGTCTCTCGTCGTACGACTCATCCGTGCGACACGGGCTTTTCGTGTCTAACGTCCGACGCGGTAAGTACTTAGCTCACACATCATATTGGGGACATCAGTTCATATTTCCGACACCGGGTGTAAAAAGGCTATGCAAGCAAACGCAAATCGGAATCAAATTTAGATTCGGACAAACTAGCTTCGTTACGCGACCCCAATCAAACGATTCAAAGCCAAAGCCAAAATCAAAACAACGAGCTAAAAGTAAAACGACCTGACCGAATCGAACGTTGGCCAACACCCGTCCTCACACAACATGAAGTCGAGGAATTCTTGGTTCCCTTATACGATCGCGGTTGGGCCATTAGTCACGTCGAGGGTAAAACTCGTTATGGTGGATTATACAACGTTCCTACCTTAAGGAAGTTTATTATTATTCGTGGTGGTGAACATGTGGAGAATACGTTTATGAAGATCTTAATAGACTTGGAGAAAAGTGAGAATGTACGTACGTCTAGCTTTCTAGTATCATTTTCACCTTCCTACCCGCTCAGGTGTTTTGTTTATTTAATCTATGAATCTTATTGTCAAAATACTAATCTCGAATGTTAAATATTACTAGCACCACGTGCAACTCAGATGGTCAGGGAAGAGAGGGAAAGGATCCTGGTTCACGACTCAAAAGGGGCCTAAAGATTACGAAACCGAAAATATGCCCCGATCCGACTATCCGTTTTTAACAATCTCCATACACACTCACAGCGCTATCTTACCTCCTCCAATCGAACCTTCCACCAACACCAGCAATAACGAAAACGCTAAACAAAACGAATCCAAATTCGAAATCAACTCCAGGCGTGTCTCCGGCCTCACGTTACGTGATATTCGATTTGCCATGTTACTGGATGAACGAGTGGAGGAATGGAACGCTCAGCAAGATAAACCAGAGCAAATGCTCGAAAATGGCGCTTCGATGTTCATTTGGAACCCCAATGATGAGGTCTTTGTGTTCCCGGATAATGTGGAAGAGTTGGCTGAGGGGCCCAGAGAGAAAGGTCATTCGATGGAGTGAATTTGCATCTGCTTGCTACGCAAGGACTTGGCGCACAGCGAAGCCGTGTCAACGAGCAATACATAGCCTACTTGGCAGACCCACGACTGAGGGATCAGGCTTCTCTCCCAATCTCCGTTTAGTTAAACAGCCGATTAGGCACGCATGCAACCTCCCCTGGACAAGCCGTGCACAGTAAGTCTTGCAAAGCTAAATGATATTCTTTATCTCGCGGTATCTCTACGAACGCCGACCCTTTAAGCTTGTCCTTCAACTTATACTCGTTTCTAGTGTAATTAATTGTGATAATAGGGTAATCACTGACAGAGAATGTTGAGCTTTTATTTTGACAGTAAGTAGGGTATTTTCAAGATTGAACCATCGGTAAACCTAGATCAGGTCTTGGCGACGTGCTTTGCGCGTCCTTAAATCCCCGTTACAAGAACTTGCAGGTGATTGGCCATTCTCTTGAGCTATCAGTTTGCCTCTATCAATCTGAGCAAAGTATCCTTATCAATCACGTTAGCTTTTATTTGTAATCGGAAATACTTAGCCGTAGTGCAATGGTACACTGGTTTGCAAGATCAATAAGTTGCTCGTGGGTAGTATAAAGGTTTGCAAGGACAGTCCTACCTTAGGCACAAAGAAGTAGGATACTCAAGTACATTACCAAACAAAGATGGAAGCTGAGGGGTTTGAAGCACTATCTGAAACTGAGTACAGAGGAAAAGTTGTGGAAGTCTTACAAGGTGGAAAGTTTCTGGACTGTGAATCTAGGCACTACTGTAGTTTGTTTGATATCCAAGCTTACTGAGTCACTTCTTAGGCTTGCATCTCGTATTTGGAGAAAATGTACAGTTAGTAGTGTATGGAAAGGGTAGCAAAACACACACCACTACAACAAGGCCCAGACTTCGTGACAGTATGTGAACTCTGTTTTCTTATTATGATTTATACTCGACAGGAACATGTTTCATAGGTGAAACTCAGGGTAGGTGCATATTTGACAAACAGTGCAAGGTCCCGTTGAGAACTGGAAAAATATGGGCTGTGGATGATGATGAAGTGAAAAGAAACACTACTCTACACATACAGCTCTTAGAAGCAATATGCAATCATTTCAATTCTTGCCATAGTGAAAATGCCAATAGTTGGCAACAGACGGTGAATACAAGGGTTGCAGCGCTTAAAGGTGGAGTTGAGGAATTCCAGAAACAGCAAAGCTGAAGAGGGGAATAGATGCAGAAGTCCGAGTCGAGCTATATAAAAGTTATATACATGAGTATACCTCTTAGTCAACGTTGTAGTTGATACATTTATTATATGGATCACTGTGACGGCCCTTGAGTTCGAAAGTAGGGACTATTACTATTAACCTAATGTATGCTACAGCAGATCTAGAGTGGCGAATTAATAAGGGCGTATTTCCATTGATCTAACGTTGGATCCTTCGTTGTACTCTATTGTAGAGAGTACCAAGTACTAGTACTTGCTAAGGTATTTAGTACATAATGAAGATACCCAGTAACCTATATGCACATCAGATTAGACCTGCACGTTACAAATGCATTGTATACCTTGGCCTTTGCTGTTATTCCCTCTTCTCTATCTCATGACACGGCCGTCTCGTCACTCCAAAGTATGTTGTTGTAAATTATACTCCCATGTCCTTTGATAATCTTCCTCCTGTTATTTAAAGTCGTGCTTGTCATGCTGAAACACGGGTCTGAATGTAAAGTCGTTGTTGACTCTAACTGGCCTTTGTCCAGAATAGCAGACAGCAGGGAGTTCACAGGAGAATCAGCTTCCTGTTACTCTGTTCTAGGATCTTTAAAAAACCCTATACAATTTAGCCATTAATGGATAAGTATGTCTTGTCCTTGATGCACGCAGTATTCACCGGCCCAGACATTAGTATCAGTACTGTTGCCAGTGCTTGATATACGATTGCTGTCACACACAACTACACGACATCTCCAGTTTCCAGCTTAGCATATGCTGTAGAAAACAAATAAAGACAAGTAAGGGAGGATCGGACGTTAGTAGGCAAGAATGCTACAAGCGTCAAGTCCATGTCAACATTCAATACTCACTCAGTCGGATACAGAAACTGTGAACACTCGATTAAGTCACTTTACACTAGCTTTCTCTGGTTTCTATTTTCAGTATCTAGGCAAATAGTCAAAGCGCATTGACGTAGCCGGCATGTGTTGGTTCGAATTTCTTCTCTTTTCACACATTGCACTATTATTGAGCTATTCACAATGCATACATGACGTGTATAATTAGGGTTCCGAGACTGTTGTTCACTGACAACTGTATATATTTTTGAGAACTTACACTGAATTGCTTGATTATTATTTTGTGCTACTAATTTGATTCTACTAGGTATGAGGACTACTTTGCATTTTACTTGTAATCCAAAGCAGTCTAAGTGTGCAATGTAATTACCCAGTTCCTTATTTGCCAGACTTCCAAGTTGCTAATGAATAGTAGTACAAAGATAAGTAAGGAACAATACTACCCCTTAGGTACAAAGAAGCAGTATGATCAAAAGGCTGAGAGATGCATTTAAAGGTAAGAAAGACCCTTAATGACCAGACTACACTTAGATATATTACTCATATACAAATTCAGAAGCAGAAACTCCAACTGGGTTTGAAGCACTGTCTGAAGCTGATTATAGACATCAAGTCATGCATTTATTGTGTGGAAACTTGCAAAACTGTAAGGCCAAGTGCTACTACTGTTCTTAAGCTCACAGGCTTAATTGATCAGGTGTAGACCTTGCATTTGGGGAAGCTGCAGAGTTAACTTTTGACTATGACGAGTGGCAGCATAAATCCATTAGAATGCTCACCCTGATTGATGGTATGTGATACTTATTCGCTTAGTAGTGTCAGTTTCTACTCTCTACTTTATTTGAACAAAATAACAATATACTTTTCAGCGGAAAGTCACTGGCAGGGTAGGTGTGTATTCGACCAGAAATGCAAAATCCCACTAAGATGTGGAAAAATATGGGCTTACTATGACAGATATACTAACTGTATGTTGCACAAGAAACTCTTGAAGGAGATATGCAATCATTATGATTCTTACCATAAAGATAAGGCTAGCGACTGGGAAAAGAATGTGCATTCAGTAGTTGTTGAAAAGAAACGAGAGATAGAGCAGCAACTCCAACAGAGAATGAAACATCACAAAGGCAGAACGAAGGTATGAGTGCCATATCTCAACTGTCACATAGTCGATACATCCATTGGGCGAATCACTGTGACGGACCACGAGAGAGTCGAGGAGACCTGCATAGAGAGAGACCTGCATGGAGAGATGCAAAGTAGACACTAGAATCTCATGTACCTAATAGCAAAGTAACACGTCAATGAGAAAGCTTTACTGTCGATGCATCGTTGAGTTCCAACCCCACTTGGTCCTAACATATAACAAATGCATCTTTAAGGTATAACATCAGCAGCAAGTTGTCGTTTCTCCTTGGAAGCTTCGAGCCGTGCTGCGGAGCTGACGCTATAATTCCCGTATTCCAAATTGACACGTACATTAGCAGATTGGTGACAGACCATTGCTTAGGTGTGGATCAGACTCTGAGACTGCGACCGCCAATCCCAGCACGAAACGCGTCTAATAAGTTGGTCTATAACGTCACGTGTATCGTGACAGTAGACGCGTCTTGCGCGCTTATTGATTCTCTCGTCGACCGTCGACAGTGGACACATTCGTCTTTTATACTAATTATAGAGATCAGACATGTCGCGAGGCTCTCGGAATCGCAGCCGTAGGCAGGTGGATGATGAAGACGAAGATGTCGGCGTTGATGCTCCCCAGGAAATCGATGGCGAATATGTCTACGACCCAGATCAAGACCGGGACGAAAAACGCGCTCTAAGACAAGATTATAGGAAGTTGCAGGATAACGGTACGTCATCCTAGGTCTGAAAGCGTGATATTCTCTTATGAAATGTTCTATGCGTAGAGCTGCTTTTGGACCCGAAAGCAATCAAAAGCGAAGCGTTGACGCAGATGGTGCAACGCGCGGATACGCTTTTCTCAAAGGGTGCGTCCTCGTTAAGTACGCGATAGCACACGATATGCTCACTATCGACCCGGCATGAACTAGTAAAGGGACCGCAGGAAGCGACACTTGACTCTTCTTTCCTTGTCACAGCAGCGACACTGGGCAACGCTAAAGCACGTTCTATGCGCGCTGGTGCGGGAGGTTTTGAGATCGACGACCTTGTTGCCCGACTGTTCACGTTCATGGGTGGACATAGACCCGGGGAGGAACGTATAACTGAGGACGGTGAGAATGTGGACCCAGATGTTGAAGGCGATCGCCCACTGGATTGGAGTGCCGTTGGGAGAAAGGCGATGGCGAAGAGTCGGAGGGTACCTGCTCAGGACTTCATGTGCGTAACAGAGTACACTATATTTCCATTACGCCGATTGATAGCACAATAGGCTTGGATTATTGACCGTTGAGGCGAAGAAGAGGAATATCGCCAAACGTACCCAGCGCGAGAAAGCTGACGCTGTAGAAAGGCGTCCTCAAGAGGTTAGAGCATCTATCTGGATTCTTGTAAACGCCGATTGGCTCAATAGTAATATCGATCTCCAGCTCAAAGAAGATGATATCGAACGTTCAGAAAATGAGACAACTAAGAACGTCGCAGCAGTAAGTCAAAAAGCATTTGATATTCTGTGAATATTCATACCAACTTTCCTTGGCAAATTTGTTTAGCTCGAGGGCTTCCTAAAAAAGCAGCCCGCACCAATGAACCTCTTCCACTTAATAATCAACCCGGAGAGTTTTGGACAGAGCGTAGAGAATCTATTCTACTTGTCGTTCCTTATTCGAGACGGGAAGGTCTCGCTGGAGTACTCGGAGGATACCAATGAACCAATGATCAGTGAGTATATTGAACTGGGATTATCTTTAGATAGCTTACAGCTTCGAACTCACTGCAGTGCTGGTTGAGCCGCCAACGGATGAGGACTATAAGGAAGGACTGACGAAGAAGCAACTGATTTTGGAGTTGGATATCACTACATGGAAGGTGAGCCCAACCAATGAACAGTCTCACTTTGACTCCCTGTTGCTCACCTTTTCATCGATTTCTTTCATGCCAGAGAGCAATTGAAGTGTTCGAGATTAGGAAATCCGCCTTACCAACTCGAAAAGCAGCGAGAACAAAATTGGGAGATAAATGGTACGGGTAGAAAGGACAGACTTACTTTCTTGTTTTCCCTGGATCTCTGTCTATATAGTATTGTAGAATTAATAATTCTGAATAAACTAGGCTTACAAGTTTCATAAGTAAGACGGGTACTTATCTGTCTGAATGCAGATCCTCCGAAATAGGAAGCTCGTTGGGCGACGCGTAACTGGAGTGACGCGTCTCCTCGCGTCCTTACTTACCCTTCACTCATCTTCTTCTCCAGAGCTCTCATCTGGAAACTTGACTGAAATAACAGAATGGTGAGATAAATGATATTCAACTCAGGAAATGCGGTACTAATTCCATGAAAGGCCAGGAGATATGACAGTACGTATTACCGAGAAATAACGTTGAACCATATGAATGCAGAATTTGTGTTTGTATAGGCCGGACAACCATCTTCTCGCCTGAAGGTATGCCCTCTGTATCTTTCATATGCTGCAGAACTTGACAGGCTAATGGTTCAACAGGGCGTCTGTACCAAAGTATGTGGAGCTGCCCAAAGGTCAGCGTCGTGCTTCTAACTGGACGTTTACAGTCGAGTATGCCATGGAAGCAATCTCGCACGCCGGTACGGTGCTAGGCGTGCTCTCCAAAGAAGGAGTTGTACTTGCAGCTGAGAAGAAAGTAACCGGGAAGTTGCTTGACCTATCAGGTACAACGACCGGCGGGTATGGTGGTAGCGGCGAGAAGATCTTTCTTTTGAACTCGTACGTTCACCTTTTACATCACTCCAGAGGGATAACGTGGCTAATGAGTTTGATGTGATACTAAAGAAACGTTGTCGCTGGTGTAGCAGGATACACAGCAGATGCCATTTCCCTTGTGAACTATGCGCGTCAAGCAGCGCAACGACATTTGTTTTCATATAGTGAGGATATTCCGGTCGAGCAGCTTGCTCAGCGGTTATGTGATTTGAAGCAAGGGTATACGCAATATGGAGGTATGCATCCACTCATCTACTAATACAACTATTTCATACCATCTTCAAAAAATCTAATTCACGACATTATTTGTTAACCGAAATCGCACAGGTCTACGACCGTTCGGTGTTTCGCTTCTCTATGCCGGCTGGGATCCACACTATGAATTCCAGTTATACCACTCTGACCCTTCAGGGAATTACTCGGGCTGGAAGGCGACCTGTATCGGAGCGAACAATGGGACTGCACAAAGCTTGTTGAAGCAGGAATACAAAGACGAGATTACATTAGATGAGGCGATCGGGCTTGTTCTCAAGACACTTAGCAAGACTATGGACAGTACAACTCTTGGTAGCGAAAAGTGTAAGTTTGGCTCTCCTCCTTTCAACTATCCTTGGTTAATTTACTGACCCAACTTTCGATGATGCTATAGTGGAATTTGCAACGCTAACGCTTGACAAGGAGACGAAGACACCACGCGCCAAGATTTATCGCCCGGCCGAAGTTGACGCGTTGTTGGCAAAGCATAACCTCGCGAAGAAAGATGAGGATGTAGAAATGAGAGCATCGTAATGTGTTCCTAGCTGTGTTTCATATTCAATGCCACTTTGTATCTGAAGCATCGAGTCTGATAATCTCAACACATCCGACAGTAACTCGCAGAACTCGTTACAGACAATAAATAATCATGGGTTACTGCTTAAGGCATAGAGGAAGTAGCGACATAGGTGCAAACACATCATATAATTAACTATTTTCCATTTTTCAGTTAAATAGTGCTTTCTGCAATGCTTCGAAGTCCGGGTCGGAGGTATACTGCTCCAGACTGATGTCCTTGGTGATCACGCCGTGCTTCATCCTCTCTGCATTCTTGCTACCTGCGAGCGGCGTGATTCCGTTCTCCTGTGCGATACGGAAGACGATCTGAGCTGGAGTACACTCTAATGACTGTGCCATGTCAAGCACCGTCGGGTGCTTGAGCAGTGACGGAGAGCCAGTCAAAGTCCAAAATGACCTGTAAATTCATATCGTTCCGTTGGTAATTAACATATGAAAAGTAACTGAGAGTACTCCACGCAACTGGTACATCACTCCATTATCCCTACAATATCTCACTACGTCTCTATCCCAGCCATTCCTCTCATACCACCTATTCTGTACGACTTCCACCTTCCTCTCAGCCGCCATAGCCTCGATGACGTCCACATCATATGCATTGCTCACGCCGATCATACCTACCGAACCGGAATCCTGGAGTGACCCCAGTGTGTGCCATGCCGTGAGTGTGTCGTGTAATGTGGGCAAGGGACTGTGTAGTATGTAACTGTCGAGGTAGGTTGTGCGGAGGTTTTTCAGGGACGTTTGGAAGGAGGCTTTAATTTGGTCCGGGATTGAAAGGGAGGGATCGTAAGGGAGAGGTTTGGAGGTGTCTTGGCCTGCGATAGAGGTGAACCTGGGCAGGCCTTAAGTGTATTCGGGAGCAAGATAAGGACAGACGCCTACTTCGTCTGGAGCCAGAGGTCATCGCGCTTTATCCCATGCTGATCGTAGAGGACTTGCAATGCCTCACCGACGAGATCTTCCCTAGTGCACTGGTAAGATAGACACTATAGCTTTCCTAGTTGCAATGATGCAGACCTGTAGTGCTTTGGCTGACATGCTACTCAGAGTAAATCGATCTCAATTCCTGACTTGTTTCAACTAGTGAATGCAATAATATGCTTGCCTGTATCAATAGCAGTAAACCCCTGCAAAACAGCAGTGATTACCAAGTCTTTCGTAGCTTCTTTCTTCCTTGAGATCAGAGTCATTACAGTACTCAGACGCGCGTTCTAAGTAATGTAGTATAACGTTAAATGCGAAACATACCAAGCTGTTCCGTAGATGATTTTGGGGAGGACCTTCTTGGACATCATAATCGACCGAGTCAACTTGCCAAACGTCAGTCAAGGCGGAATAGGAGTTCGGACAATAAGTGAAGTGAATCCGTTAAACTGTCCCAGACTGTATGGGTGCAAGTATGCTACCACTTGATTGATTGTGTTGCTAGCATAAATCAGTCCAAATTTCGGGTTCACGCTCACGTCATTTATTGACACTTGTTTGCACCGGCTTACGTTCCAGCCCCGACGGAAGAAAACAATTCAGATTCATTCCTTCGTCAGCCGCTTCAACTTTGCTTTGCCTTGCTTTCGGCAGTTCGGACCCCGCCCTATATGCACATGCTTGCTTGATGTCTTCGAGGCTTTAGTCTATTTACTTCACGGTGCATAGTTCGGGTTTTCAACGCCTCTCCTTTTCTTTTTTTACGAATTCTGCTTTTGGCAATATCTAGGACGACGAAATCTGGTACAAAGGGACTCCTTCTGGTAATATACGGGTTCAAAACAATTCAATCTGCACTATTGTAATTCTACGTCTTCTCGCATTCTGCTGCTTCGTTCTTGGGGAAGTAGTCTCCCTGTCTATCCTGCGTATTACTATCTCGCCAAGCTCCTCGAGAGTGTCTCAGCATTGAACCAATCCGCAACAACCTAAAGTCTCTCTTGCTTTATCTACGATGATCCTTCCTGATTTTCCTACGCCATTCTCTCTTCTTTTCGGGTTTGATGCCGCCTTCACGAGTTCGAGTAACCAGGTCACCATACCCAACAAAAAGGTGAAAAAAGACCGCAAGCGCAAGCACGAGAAATACGTCGACTCAGATCCGGACTCTAAAGCACATGATAACTGCGATACCACATCGCTCATCAAGAAAGCTCGAAGGGAGGAAGATACGCACGTAGACTCTGAAGACGAAGTCGAAAACGATCTGTCTATTGGCACATTGGATACTACATTTGTTGATTCTGAAGATGAAGTATCAACGAAAGCTGTTGATGGATCTAAGGTTATCGATTCTCGTTTTGACTTCACTACTATGACTCCTCGCAAGGACGACAATCACCCAGGTTCCGGCACTCCGTGTATCATCATCTCCTCGTCACCTCCTCCGTGTTCTCCATCGCCGGCCTTCATCCGTTCTCCAGCACCATCTCCATCTCCTCGCTCTTCTAAGGTCACAAAATATCACCCGAAGGGCAACGACGAGAACAACGAAGAAGATAATACACGAAGCGAATGGGAACTCCGCTGGTTCATCTGCGCACACCACACCGCATTCACGGCAGCAACCGGTATGAGCCTCCGTCAAGAAATCCGTCGGCGCAAGGTGCTTTCTCGGATGTGGAGATCCTTGAGAGAGGAGAATGACTTGTTGAAGAAAGAATTGGAAAGGTTGACTGGATACGCTGGTGTTTTGCCTTGATGCTACACAATGATATAGGGTTTGTAATGACAATACCTTGGAAACTTTGGATATTTTTATTTCATATTGGGACTGATTTAGTATTTAGTGAGTGGGGTTCTATTTTTCTGAATTGGTTTTGTTTGGAATAGATACAAAAGACGTACTATAGTTGATTGTAAGCATGCATATATTTATCTTTTTGGTTCTCGCCATGTCGTCATCTAATCATAGGAGCGAAAAGTCTGTAGCGCGGATACAGCAACACCAGCAGAACAAGCGTCCAAGAACATCGCGGTACAAGGCAAATCGTAAAATAATCAAGAAGACAAATAGGCCATATCTTAGATTCGGCTCTTTAATAGGAACTTTTCTGTCAATGAAAGAACATTAGCGAATGAAACCACACGACGAGAGAAAATTAGTACCTCAAAATGACGCATAAGGTAGAGATAAGTTTGAAGAAGAAAGATCTTGATACTTGATAGTAGTCAAGCCTCTGCATCCGGCCTCCCAACTACATCGTCATCTCTGCTCATGTCTTCGACTCCGTTTCCATCTTCCAATCTCAATCTCGATCCCTCAGCTTCTCCAGAGGGAGGGCTGACAAGTACACCAAGCACTTCCCTTACCTCTCTAATAATTTCTCCCTGCCTCGCAAGCCTCTGTTGAGCCCCTCTCACATCATCCGCAATAGAAGCACTCGAAGCGTCCAACGAGTCGAGCTTCGCAAAGATGGATGAGAGGGCAAGGGAAGATATACTTGGATTTTGAGATTGAGAGTGGAGTTGGAGCTGAAGCTGGAGTTGAGATGAGGATGACAGAGAGGATGGGGAAGGAGCTTGTTGTGGTAAAGCTAAGTCAATCTGATTTGGGCTTGGAAGGGACGTCGGGGTGGGAATCTGGCCTGGGTGCGGAGCAGGAGACGTTGAAACAATCACGTTCGTATTTACACTCGCAGTAGAAGTGAAGCCGCGATCAACACCAGGCGCTGAAGTTGAAGCTTCAGGTTCCACTTCCATCTCCCTACCAGATTCAAGCTCTGAAGTCGTTATCATCCGCGGTCGAGTAATTGACCTCGTCCGTGAACGTAGATTCAGAGATGCAATTGACAGAAGCTCCAGGCCAGGAGCACTCGAGGGCTGAATATTTTCTCGTTCTAAGAACGAGGCAATCCTTTGCCGCAAAGGAGTAGGAGTAATAGAATCCCTCAGGTCTGAGCCCGTGCCCAAGTTTGCGTCCGAAGACGAGTTCCAAGTAAGTGATGATGTCCCTTGCCCCCGACTTCGGCTCCTCCTCATCCATGTGGGGACGGATGCTGAAGCGCGGTCTGGGGGCTCGGAGGTCGCTCTTGGAGGGACGGTTTGTCGCAGCCCGAGTTCCACTTCCGTCTCGCTATCGGATTCAGGTTCATGCGTTGGCCGTGGAGACAAGCTCCTGCGTCTTTTCAAGGGCGGCGCATCTGTGTCACTCATGTCCTCGTCCTCGTCCTCATTTTCGTTGATTTGGTTATCATCCTCGTCCATTGGGTCTTCCAATAGCCTTGATGTCCTTAACTTCCTGAGCATCTCTGAATTTGGTCTCGCGACCTGCTTCCCCTTCCCCTTCGCGCCCACATTCATAAGTCTCCTGAATGCACGTCCTAAATCATTTACCTGTTCCTTTTCTTTTCCCTTGCCTTTTCGATTAAGAGTTTCCTTTTGTTTGTCGCGATCTTGTTGCTTCCTCTTTCCCAACGCGGCTTTCTCGGTATTCTTATTCGTAACCCTCAGCCTGGCGTATGTACAATGCCCTCTCCGTATGCGCCTACACCTTCGACACGCGCCCCCTTTACCCGGCTTGCCGAAACAGCTGAAACCTCGCTCCCCACATGCAGAACATGGAGGTTCGTGTGACTCATCACCCGGTTCACGGTCCGTCATGCGTTGCAGTTTGATGGTAGTTTGCACGCCAGAGGTACCGCGTCGGGTGCGAATGACAATGCTTGACGTGATGATCTTGGATCTGTCGGGCTTGTCGTTTGACTCTGGCGCCGACTCGTTGCTTGTAGGCGCCGGCACCCACTTCCACTATAGAACGCGGTATAAGCATAGGAAAAAACAGTAAAGCGCGTTGAAGGACGTACCGGCACACTTGGAGGTTGAATAAACGGGACCGATCTTCGTTGTACGGATGGACGGGATAGATCCTGTCCACTTCTAGTCATAAAGTTTGTGATCTGAGAAGACGAGGTAGACACGATCGGGCCCGTATTGTCACGAACCCGTATTGTGGTTTGAGATGAAGTAGCATATGCTTGCGGAGCGTTGCATATATAACGGGTAGGATTCAGCATTCTCTCGGCAAATTCAATGAGCTCGACGTGTGCAGACTTGAGGAGCTTCAGCGTGCTTGCAACATAACGTACTTCATCACAATCAGACAGTCCAGCATTCGATACGCGTGCAAGTGCCCCTCTTCCATCGACCTTCCGGAAAACATTTGTCAGGACCAGGGCGGACTCAGATATCCCTCGGTACCACTTACCTCGCATTTCCTCGCCCGACTTGTCCAATCCTTCAGACCCTTCTCGTTCTCATCACGCGCATCGATATCCTCTGCTTCACCAATCAATGCATCTGCTGTTGCACAGATATCATCCAGTTCTGAGAGGACCGCCGGTGTCTGACCGTCGTGGTATGGCTGCGGAATCCATGCCCGGCATGACGTTGACCGTCTCGAACGCGCGCTGTGTTCTATTGTATGAGGCGGGGCGGGCGAATCATCCGGTGGAACAGAAGCAGTCGAATATATGACTGGGCTGGGGGATATGGACGGCGTCGAAGCTCGTATACACGGTCTTAGGCGAGTTCGGTCAAAACTAGTGCCAGATGCAGTCTGATCTGAATTCTTCTCCATCACAAGCCTCTCGAACTCTAGTACGTCAAAGTTCCTTGTAGTAGGGGATGCCAACACACTAATATCCCTCGAGTATGAGGACGGAGACGAGTTCGCGCGGAGCGACGAAGAAGGGGAAGGAGTGCTTGTAGAGTAGCTTCTCCAGTCTAGGGATGGTGTACTCCCAGATGTGACTGTGCTGGGGGTAGCGCGTACGAGTTCTGCGCCTAATGCTACTGCGGAGTCGGCTGCGCTCCTGTGACGATGCTTCCCAGACCTCTGCGCTATTTTCGTACCACCCCTCATCGGCGTGGCGTGTTCAGGAGGCAAGATATTCATCATTCGCCCGAGAGGCACCCCGTTCGCGAAGCTCTCTTCAACGAGCCGGTCAAGGTCTTGAGGCCACTTTTCGTAAAAGCGTGGGACGTCCACCGCAACTGCGAAACGCCATGCCTCGCTCACGAAAGAGTCTATGTCCGCGAATGATGGTGGTATATCACATCGCGCGATGTTTGACGAGATCGATTTGAGTTCACACTACAATCATTTTTGAGTACGCGTCAGCATACCTCATATGCTCCCTTACATGCCTATGGCACATAAGGGGAAATAAAAACGATGTATATAGCGTTGCATTTGGAGAGCATAGAAGCAACCAAATGCATAGCTAAACAAGACTCACCAACAACCTATTGATCCTAATAGACCACGCAAACTTCTCTGCCATCATCGCAGAATGCGGCGGGTGCATCACTTCCCTAATCATCTCCACCAACGTGCGCTTGTAGTTATTCTCTACTTGCGCACGGGTGAGAATATTAGGATTCGCGGGACTAGTAACCGCGGAGTCTGCGCGACTAGGACCATAGCCAGATGTAGGCGCAGTAAAGTTTGACCCAGCGTTGGACATGAATATCAATCACCGTATGTGACCAATAAGAACGAAATCGAAGCTCAGCCAAAAGCCAGTACTAGTAAGCCCTCAAGTAAACCCTGAGTTCAATGATTACTGTTGCGCTTGAAGCCGCATATGAGTAGCTTCATGTGCATGAACTTTAACGGGTAATAGGCTCTCTAAGTATTTCCCCCCGCTCGATGAAATACAGTCAGTTCCAGGAGTCAGCAGCAAAAGTTGATTCAATTCAGCGTTCCTTCGATCAAATTGGTGTCAAAGGTCGATATGTACCTCGTAGGTCGACGACGTTGAATAAAAGGCTAACATGCAAGACGTGGCATTGTAAGTGCTGTCATGTCACCCTAGTCACGGCTGGCTGAGATATTTGTGGTGACCCAGAGGGGCGTTGAGCTGCGCGAAGCGGGACCCGCTTGAACCATGCAAACGCCATTCATGCTTAGATACGGGGACTGAGAGGACAAAAATAAATTCACGAGGGCACGTGAATCAATGGTGATAATTGATGGTAAATTGATCCGATCACTTACTGCTCCCATTGTGTCGTATCCACAGGTCTCGCAGCTTCTCTTAACCTCGCAGGGTTGCTGTCCCGTGGTACGCGCAAGTACTGAGGTTTGGGCATCATCTGCTGTCCATGAAGGTGCAATATGCTCTCTTCATCCTCGAAGATGTCGGGAACAGTCACTTCAGGTGCTTCCAGTCCGCTTGACCTCTACGAACCCCTCGAGGTTATCGGGAATGGATCGTTTGGCATCGTTCGTAAAGTTCGACGTAAGTCGGATGGAGAGGTATGTGGAACCGAAGTTTGCTGAATTAATTACGCTCTCGTGGGTCCGTTTGCTGACTGAGAAAACCTCAGGTCCTCGCGAGGAAGGAACTCAATTTTGTAAAAATGTCGGAAAGTGATAGAGACAAGATTATGGTTGAAGTGTATGAGCAGTATTGGTTTTTGTTGACACCTGCCTTTTATTTACAAAGTTATGCACGTGAACAGGAATATCCTAAAGGATTTGCGCCACGAGAATATTGTTAGATATACGGACCGGGTACGTGATGAGAAGCCTCCTATAGTTTATATATATAGTAACTGGATGGCTCAAGTTTGCGGACAATGATGCTGGTATTCTGTACATCCTAATGGAATACTGTGAGGGGGGTGACCTCTCTTCCATGATCAACCAGAGTGCACGCTTTGGACGTCCACTGCCGGAGGACACCATTTGGTCATACCTCCTTCAACTTCTTCTCGCACTGCATCACTGTCATTTCCCAGGATCTAGGACCTGGGGGGACGGTAGCCTCGATGGAAACCCGCGACAGATATTACATAGAGATTTGAAACCAGAGAATGGTGTGTATGCAACTTACTGTCCAAGGCCCCATTGTGTCTATAATTGACGCTTTGTTTAGTTTTCATTGGCAAAGGTGGCATACTCAAGCTCGGTGATTTTGGATCATCAAAAGCCCTCGATCAGGCATCCTTCACGAACACCTTTGTCGGAACTCCATGTCACCGGAGCTATTTCAAGGGAAATCATACGATACGAAGACTGATATCTGGTCTCTCGGCTGCTTAATCTACGAACTCTGTGCTCGCAGGCCTTTATTTCACGAGGCTCGGACGTACGATGAACTGAAGGCATTAATTCACAAATGCAGCATACCGCCTTTGCCAGAGGGCTATTCGCAAGCGTTGAGTGATGTCATCAAATCAATGCTCAACCTAAACGTATGTCTGTCTGTACCCACACTTTCGTCCCGTGCTGTCTGATTTTTCCCTGCTAGCATGAAACAAGGCCGTCTACACAGCAACTTCTTCAGCACCAGCAAATCGACTTCGCTCGGAAAATGGCGGACAAAGAAAAGACGTGAGCTCTGTTCTAAGACCAATCCTATAGAGTCGTACTCTAATTTGTTCGCATCTTTTTCGAAAGCTTGAAAGCTCACGAATCATATATTTCTGAACTTCAAACCCGCAATGCTCACTTAGAACTACAGGTGGCAATGTATTCATCCCGTGATAGGGAAAAGGATTCTTAGATCAATCGTCTCAAAAGCATTCTCGCTCGTGCTCGCACGTACCTCAGCGTTCACAGTAGCCATGATTTCTTCCCTTCAGCAAAGGATGATAGTATCCATTCACTTTTGAAGAGTATTGACGTGTTTAAGCCATACGTTGAGCACACAGACAATCAGTCCACTTCTGAAACAGGTCTACAGGGAGCGAAAGGGCTGGAAAAATTGATAGAGAATATCAGGGTCAGTACTAGTGTGCTAAATACTAACATATTCATACTAATTCAGAATCAGATTGACCAGCATATATCTTTAGAGCCAGGTTCATCAAACATACAGAAATATGAACCAACAATGCCTCTTCCCTCTGCTCAGCTTATGCCAGCTCAAGTACTAGTGCCTGCTCCTAAACATAGTTCATATGGATTGCCAATGTCTATTATCGGGTTTAGTCCAAAGTCACTGGTAAATGGATCTCCAATGAATATTGGATAGCAATGTAGATCTTAAACAATGTTGCTTTACATCAGTTGTCCTATAGATATATCCGATGTGCTTGTCTGGAATAAGGAACTTGTCTTCAACTTGTGGATTATACAAATTTACAAATAAAATATCAATGTTGATTGTATTGTAAAATCAACTATTTACACAAAAACAAAATGCCACACCAACACAACTGAATTTGTACCCATTTTGTCATTGATTTAGTTAAAGAATGTGTGTTTTATGAACTGACATAAGAAAAATAACGTGGACAAGTTATGTATGTATTTTAAATCCGAATATTCTACCAGCGAAAGCAACCGCACATGATCGAGCAAGTGAGCAAGTGGATGAGAGTTAGATAGGATGGATGGAGTAGTAGACGACGAATGACATGCTGAACAGAGCATGATAATAGTATGTCACACATTGCATGCATGCTCTGTAGTGCATAGACTCAAGAGTCAGAGAGAGAGACTGAGATCATGAGATGTCAAAATGCTGTAGCTTTCCATAATAATGCAGATGAGAGATGTCCAAACCACTAAACGACCAAAGGTGAGGGAAGCAAGAAGTTGAAGGGAAAATAAGCTAAAATAAAACGTACTTGCCAATTCGCTATCCATTCCTGCGAAACAAGAAAAAGGGAAGACAAAGGAAGGAAACTAAAACGAAAACAGAAACAAAAAGGCAGAGTTAAGCTCTCTACCTGCACATGCATGGCAGAAATAGGGTAGGCAGGGATAGTATAGTCTGCACGACAGATCTTAGCCAGATTCAGTCGCACGCAGAAAAGTTTGCCTCATCCGACATGAATATAAAGCTCCGCATGTGTCCAATAGAAACGGGCAAACTAAATATTTTACTCAAAGCCGGTACCAACAAGCGACAGAAACCACCAAATTCAATGACTGCTGTTGCACTTGAAGCCACATCTGAGGAGTTTCATGCGCATGAAGTTCAACAAGGAAACAAGCGCTTAACTAGTACCACGGGCACAATGAAGTAGGTCAGTTCCGGGTATCAGTAGCAAAGGTTGATTCAATTCAGCGTTCCTTTGATCAACTCCGTGTAGACGCTCGATATCTATCTCGTAGGTCGACGATGTTGAATACAGGGCTAATATGCAAGACGTGGCATGGCATGGTAGTGCTGTCGTGTTGCCCCAGTCACAGCTGGCTGAGATATTTGTAGTGGCCCAGAGGAGCGTTGAGCTGCGCGAAGCGGGACTCGCCTGATCCATGCAAACGCCATGCATGTTTAGATGCCGGGACCGAGAGCACGAAAATAAAAATAACGTGAACACGTGAACCAATGATGATGATTGATGCCAATCACTATTGACTCACTGCTCTCCTGTATTTGTTTCCGCGAGTCTTGCAGCCCCCATCAGCCTCGCAGGCTGCTGTCCTGTGATACTGCACTAGTGCCGAGATTGGAACCCATCCGCTGCCTCTCGAAGTACAATACGTGCTCTTCATCCTCCAAGATGTTGGGAACAGTGAATTCAGGTGCTTCCAGCCCGCTTGACCTCTACGAATCCCTTGAGGTTATCGGGCATGGATCATTTGGCATCGTTCGTAAAGTTCGACGTAAGTCGGATGGAGAGGTATGTACAGGCGAACTTTGCTGAATTAATTACACTCTCGTGCGGTCTGTTCGCTGACGTAGTAAAAACTCTCAGGTCCTTGCGAGGAAGGAACTCGGCTTTGCGAAATTGTCCGAAAGTGATAGGAAAAAGATCATGGTAGAAGCGTACGTTCAGCTAAGCTTTGTTGACACCCGCCTTTCCTTTACAAAGGTTGCACGTACAGGAACGTTCTAAAAGATTTGCGGCACGAGAATATTGTTAGATATATTGACCAGGTACGTTTTGAGAAGCTAAAACAGATTGTATAAATTAACTGGATAACCTCAAGTTTGTGGACAACGATACTGGAATCTTGTACATCCTGATGGAATACTGTGAAGGGGGTGACCTCTCTTCAATAATCAACCAGCGTGAACAAGATCGGTTTGAAGAATCTCTATCTGAGGACATCATTTGGTCATATCTCCTTCAACTTCTTCTTGCTCTGGACCACTGTCATAACCCGGGTTCCAGGATCTTGGGGGACGGTAGCATTGACGGAAATCTGCAGCAGATATTACATAGGGATTTGAAGCCGGGAAATGGTGTGCACCCAACTTACTGGCCAAGGAGTCTGTTATTGACGCATTGATTAGTTTTTATTGGCAAAGGTGGTATACTCAAGCTCGGTGATTTTGGTTTATCGAAAGCTCTCGACCAGACATCTTTCACGGACACCTTTGTCGGAACTCCGTTCTACATGTCACCAGAACTATTTCAGAAGGTATCGTACGATACAAAGGCCGACATCTGGTCTCTCGGCTGTTTGATGTACGAGCTATGTGCTCTCAAGCCTTTATTTCACTCAGCTCGGACGTATGACGATCTGAAGACGCTGATTCACACTGGCAGCATACCGCCTTTGCCAGAGTGCTATTCGCAAGCATTGGATAATGTCATAAAATCCATGCTCAACGTAAATGTATGCTTGATCATACCTGGATTTCATTCCCGTGCTGGCTGATTCTGTTCCTGCTAGCCTAAAATGAGGCCATCTACGCAACAGCTCCTTCAACACGAGCGAGTTCATCTTACTCGCAAACTGGCTGATCAAGAAAAGATGTGAGCTTTCCTTATTCAAAACCAATAATGCAGCAATGTACTCTAACCTGTTTACATTTTCTTGACAGAATAAAAGCTCATGAATCGCGTACCTCCTATCTTCAAGCTTGCAATGATCGGTTAGACTTACAAGTGGTAGATCTTTTATCCTGTATCAGGGAAAAGGATATGGAAATTGCACGTCTAAAAATGCTTAATGGTACATATTTGGATTCTATTGAAAAAGTTGAATACAAGGTTACTGACTATAATTCTCAAACAGGTTTACAGCAAAAGACATGGCTAGATAAGTTGAAAGAGTTGGAAGAGGCTGTCAATGTCAGTACTAGAGCACTAAATGTTAATATAACTGCTGATTGAGAACCAGAATGATCAGCAGATAGCTTTAGAGCCAGGCTCATCAAAACTACAAAAATATGATCCAATGAGGATTTCTGCCTCTGCTCAATTCCTGTCAGGCCAAGTACCTGTATATTCAGTTAGAAGCAGTTTATATGGATCCTCAATGTCTATAGTTGGATTCAGCTCAACATCACCAATGTCTATAGTTCAATCTAGTCCAGCATCACCAGCAAATGGATCACCAATGACTATAGGATAAGAATATAGATCTCAAATATTGCTGATGTACTAGTTGTCCTATATAGTTTTCTACAATGCTCTTGTCTGGAATAAAGGATCTGTTCTCAGTTACAAAATTACAAAAGTCAACATTAACATTAATTACATTTCAAAGTCAACTACAGCTGAAAACATCTTATTGCACAATGTTAGGAGAGAGATATACTCAATGACATTGATACAATTTATGTATTACAACAATGTTTTTTTACTGTATTTACAAATACAAACCACACTAATACGACCCAGATTATACCTACATTATTAATAATTTTTCAGTTAAAGAACACTTTTAAAATCATATATGTACTATTTGTAAGTCGGAAATAACGTGGCTAAGTTATGTACGTATTATAAATCCAAATATTCTACTAGCGAAAGCAACAGCGAGCGGGTGGGTGTGAGTTAGATGGATGGAGTAAATGATGGACAGGAATAGATGACGGATGATGAAGGACGTGCTGCGCAGAGTATAATATAGTGTGGTATGTTGTACATTGTGCGTACGTATGCTCTGCAGTGCACGGACTTCATGGAGAGATTGAGATAATAGGATAACAGAACTGTCACGATGACTTCCACCAAGACTGCTAAATTGGAAAAAGGCAACGAAACGAAGGCGATGGGGACGGAACTTTTTAATTGTCCGTCCAATCCACCAATTCAAGATCCATCCAGGAAACCATCAAAAACAAATGGAAAGAGCAGGAAAGAAAGTTGAAGGAACAAGAAAACCAAATCAAGGCTCTACTCGCCCAGCCACCTACCCAACACCCCGAAACGAACTCTGCTTCAACGGCGGGTGCGAAAAATCAATTGAGTCGTACGCAGGTGGAGCACCGCATCCATACACATCACACTCTTCACCATCCTCATCCTCGCTGTTTCCCCCCATTATCTTCCTGTTGCCCACCACTCCGCCTAGTGATCCAAAACCAGAGGAAGATACCTCAGGCAAAGAAGGCCGCCGGTCAGAATCAAGACTCGCCCGACTCCGCACTTCATTTTGTACATGGAACTGCGTCGGTGTACGTGGGGAATGTAAATGCATATGCATATACGGAACGGCGGACGAGGAGGCGGAGGTCACGCTCGAAGAAGTCGACGCTCTCGGATGACTCTGATTTTGCACATGAGAAGTAGGAAGGGGAGGAGGAGGAGTACGCGTATTATTATTGCTATTATTTCGAATCCGTAAAGGAGCTGTTCGGGGAATGACGATCGGTACTGACGGCACCGAGGGCGCTGATAACGTTCTGCTCGGCGCGGGCGGCGCTGATGGCGCTGATGGAGAATCCTCGGGACTGACGAGCGTTTGCCTCATAATCGAGCGCCGTTGCATATTTTTCAAGAGCGAGCCATCCGAATTATTCGAGGATCTATGCCGATCCCTCTGAATCATTTCTTCCAAATGACACTGCGAATGTGAATGCGCTGACGAATCCGAAGTAGGTGACGATGACTCCGTAGTCACCCGTACAGATAACGTGGTCTCAGACGCCGTACGTCTAATAGACCTCGGTCTATCCACCCCCTCCGCCGATGATGAAACAGGGCTCTCAGAATCAGGAGAAGCAGTAAGACTCGCCAGCCCTCCCATAAAACTATGCGAAGGTGAGGGTACGATCGACGAAAGCGACACAGTTCGCGAGCCATTCGGTCGGCCGCCGCCAAGACCGACGTCCTCGGATACAGATAAATCACTGCTATTTTCAGGGGACGAAAGTCCGGATGGCAGGCTAGGCACGGGCGGGATGCTCTCATTACTCCCACCTCTTTCATTAGACAGGTTGGATAGTGTTACCACAGCGCCCTGTGGCGGCTTCGGTAACGGCCTGAATGGCCTACTACTCTCCCTCGGCCTCGCACCGGCCGTAGCTGGCCTAGTAATTATCGGCGTAGCAGGTAGACTCTTACTCATAGGGCGCGGCGTTTCGGCGTCCGCGAGCGACTCAGCGCTCCGCGTACGCATAATCAAACGTTTGTTGACAGGCTGAGGTAACGACTGATCATCCGGACTCGGTTGCGTACTTGACATTGGACTTGGGCTGGAGTCTACTAGTGATACGCCTAGTGTAGGCGGTAAGACACATCTCAGAGGACTGAAACGAGCACCAAATTCGTCGACGGAGGAGGGACTATCCTCACCCTCGTTCGCGAACGGATGATGAGGATGAGCAGCAGAAGCGCTACGCACCGCCGAAGGTAACGAAGAATGCGAGAACGAATGACCCGGTGAGGTAAACGTCTCCGGTGACGTCGTCGTCGTCACTAACTGCGAAATATGTTTCGATAACCTGAGGGCAGCCGTGTCGGCTGCTCTAGAATCGGAATCTACATCCTCCGTCTTCGACGGACCGATATCAATTACTGACGGCACCGATGGACTCGGAGGCTGCGAATTAGAATTCGAATCGTCGAATTCCGCGATCGAGAATGGTTCGGTTTGCACCTCTAATCGCCACTTATGAATGGAACCTTGTCTTGTAATTGACGAGGCCGTTTGGGTACTAGTTGACGAAGTTGCACCGCTTGCAGCTTGCAGCCATTCGTCCTTTTCTGACACGACAAGTAAAGCGGTCACTACCAGGTAGTCGAGTAGGAACACTGGTACTCCGCGATGTTCGCGCTGTGGACGCGTCTCGTCATGTTCGTACAGTGTCTGGAACACTTTGATACGCGGTGGGGCGGCAAGCACGGCTGGTTCCAGAACCGCAACTGTCGCTTTCCCTTTCGCCACCGTAAGCTACATGCGTCGGAGCAAACCAACGAAATCCGTCAGATAAAAACATAAATAAAATCAAAACAAACATGTTCAATATAAGAATATAAGAATTGGCAATTCCAAGAAGTCATGTACACGTACTTTATAAGTCCCTCCCGATCGCTTCCATTTCAACGAGTGCGGGTAATGGGGGATGTTAAAAAGCCGAGAGCTATATGGGGTTTAATGGAATTTACAGTTTGCACAAAACAAATCAGCAAGGGAGGTAAAATATGAAACGTCAATAGAAAGGAAGGCAGGCACACACGAGCACGTACCTCGTGAGTTTGGTGCGTTTGAGGAAGTCCTCGACATAATATTGCCGCCCGTGCGCCATCTGGATGGTTGCGCTGCTCCGAAAGCCTACAGGCTTGTCTGCGTCATTTTCGTCGACCCAGGTGACCGCACCGACATGCGCGACACCCTGCACGGGGTCGTCTCTTGCAATATTCGTACGCGCACCCTTTGTGTTAATCACATACAACCGTTCCCCACTCTCCGAGATTGTCGTATCAAGAAAAGACGTGCTGGCCAGGACGAGTGTAAGCAACGGCTCGTCACCATTATTTGCAGTTATGGGGAGGTGAGAACACGACTTTGAACGCGTTGCATGCGCGAGAGATAGGTTGTCTGTGCTCTTGTGCGCGGCTCCGAGACGAGGGATCGTGAATGCTGCTGCTTTCTTAGGCCGGGAACGCAGCTCGGCGGCGAAGGCGGAGACGGCGCTCGTGAAGCTCTGGCGCCTTTTGACAGAATCATCCTTGTTGGGAGAAGAACCAGAACCAGAGGGCCCATTCTGCGATGCGGGGGAGAGGGAGAGGGAGGGTGCCTTCCCAATGCGCATGTTCTTATGGGACGGGACCGCAATAAGCAGGCTGGTGATACAAATGAGCGGAACAGAGACAGGAGCTCTGGGGGAAGGAAGTGTCGTTAGAGCGACGAGAATAGGGAGGGAAGGAGAGAAGAAAGAAGGTAGCACAGGCAGGCAAGGCAGGCAGCTCTCGCAACTGACCTCGAGCCGAGTGCTTACCCAATGCCGCCCGAGCCCAGGGAGCCAGGAGGCAGCAGGAGCAGCAACAGGAAGCAAGCCGGGTCCGACCCACCCTTGCAGCAGACAAGACCCAAAAATGAAGAGAAATATAGTTTAAGTATGCCTGCGGGCGCTGATTCTGGGCAATCTGCTCTTCTTATCAGAAATGGACAAATTATTCGTCAATTCAAATGGATCATCCTCCTGCACCCCTCTGCACCCACGCGACATGATCGCTGATCGCGTGGCCTTCGCTAGTCCACTCTGTCCCTATGACGGAATGAAGCCTTAAATCCTTTTCCCCGAATGCAAAGACGGGGCGCGGTACGCGGTACGGACACTTATCCAGGCTTATCCTTGCTCGATCGTGTTCCATGTGCACGCATCAGCTCCCCGAAACAATTCGTTTTTTTCTTCGTGGGTTAGGTTAGCTCTGTATACACTGTCACAATGCGTTGTTGGCGTCACTCACTTACCTCACGGATTACATGTGGCGGGCGCTAGAATAGAGTCGGAGACGCTGGCGGTTGTCAAGGTGCTCTCCGAGTCCGCTTCTTCTCTCCGACCGCACCGGGGGGCGACATGAGGCGTGGGTAACCTCATTACCATAATTGATCATCTCCGCTGACATAACACAATATCTGATCTAATCAATGTTTAAACAGCTGTCAACAGTTGTATACGCGTTACTTCGGGTAAACGACGCGTCTCGTCTCTCTTCCTTTCACCACCAACTTTACTTTCTTTCATCATGTCAGAAGGTATACCTGCATCCGGTATCACAAACCCGTAAGCTCATTCGCCCTTTCCAGAACTAATACACGCAATTAACAACTAAATTGATGTAAATTGATGTTGATCACGAATAAACAAACAGTGACGCGCCAGAAGGCACGACCGCGACGCCACAGCCAGTTACCGCCGCTCCCGTAGACAAAGGCAAAGGCAAACGCACGGCAGAAGAAGCAGAAGTCGAAGAACGTAACGCCCGCGAGAAAAAACGCGCAGAAGCAAAGGACTTAGCTAACTCTCGTGGCAACGAGGATGAAGACGACGAAGCACTAGCAGAAGAAGATGAGGACGAAGACGAAGACGAGGAAGAAGGTGATGAGGGGGAAGATGAGAGCGAGGAAGAGGTTCGTTCCGTTTATTTCTTACTTTTCCACTTTTCGCTCGTTTAGCGTTTATTTTTGGTTGGGATTGGCTTATTAACTTATTGACTTTTTGTCCCTTTTCGAACGAACTACCAGGTGGAGGAGAGCTTTGAAGAAATCGACCCAGGCGCAATCCGCCAGCGACGCACCCGTGGCGTCAAAATCGACTACACCAGCCCAGAGGCGCTCGCAAAAGCTGGCCTTAAAGCAGATGACGGGGACGATGATGAGTGAATGTAATGAAGGAATCCTAAAAGTCTCCTTCGCTATTCTGGTCAGTCAGTATCATATTCATATCTGTTTACCCCGTTATTCACATCTCACACTGTAGTCCGCAGGCATAGACATTTTGAATCTCGGTCTCATAGTGTCTCGTATTATTGTCTATCCTTAAGACTATCTTGGCTGTATGGCCAGTAAAAGACTGTTTGTATCAAATGCGATGAAGTCGACAATTCCACATCAGCATTTCGATATTCCAAACACCAAAAAAAGTTTGCGTTTACATTACAGTTAAATACATCATAACGCATAACATTGGGAGACGACCAAATCCAATGTGCTATCTGTCTTATGCATTATTATATACAATTTAAGCGGGCAATCTCAATTTTGTAACAGCAGGAAATCTTAATGCAGTATGCCAAATATGCAGTATAAATTGATGCATTGTGACATTTTACCTGTACATTCAACTCACGAATTTCACAAGCATATACACAAAATACAAAGTAAATCACCTCAAAACCAACTTTCAATTGCCAACACCATCAGACAACAAGCAATAACTACTGTAAAGTATCTACGAACTAAACCACTCAAGCGCTCACCAGAGAACCCGATCCATATCTCTCATCAACCCGAAAGGGGAGAGAAACATGAACAAGAGTAAACCAGAAGCAGCATCAAGCAGCAAAGAAAGAGAAAGATACAGAAGTGACGTCCATCGTCCAACGGCACAAACAAAAAGAAAGCCAGAAATCGAGGTGAATCTAAATATATGTGAATGAGAGGAGACCGGTCCGAATATAATACGATGCTGAGAGAAATACGAAATGCGGAGAGAGTATTAGGTAACAACAGAAACCAAGAGAGTAAAATCCAATGAGGGCATAGAAAGAAGATGGAAAGTCATTTGTTGTACACTTTTTGAGCTGAGAACCCGCCAGCGCGCCTCATATGTTCAGAACACACCTACACCAGATGATGTTGGTACGGCCTCTCGCTCAACATTCCACCCTCCGCACAGCTCAAGTCCCAAAGCCGTGCTTACGTCGTCACCTGCTTGTGTAGTAGTATCAGCAAGGACGTCGACGTCCCCATCGGGCTGGATCGTAGTAAACAGCTCCAGCAGTCTCTGCATCTCCACACCGTTTTCCCACTCGGACGTGATCTCCGGCATCCCAATCAGCGGCGCCTCGATGGTGGGGGTGGCCGCGGAGGATGGGATCGCCGGCTCTTCGCCGAAAGTATCACATTCAGGCAAAGAAGACGCCGGCGCATTGACGGGAGAGCCCGAGAATATTTCTCGGATCCAGGCGTCCACTGCTGCCTCGTTCGCTGGCGATGAAGCCGCCGCGTCGTAGGCAAGGGGAGTCGGCGCGAGTTCCGCCTCAATGAGAGAACTGGCGGAATGGGCGAACGTAGATTCGAGAGTCGGGAGTCCACCCGCTGCTGGGGCACCACGGGGGGAGTTGCCGTGGTGGTCGCCACCCGTGCTAGGTGGCGAGTGGACTCGGACTCATCCGTATCTAAGACAATGCTCGCGCCAGAGATGGACGGTGATGGAGTGATGGGAAATACAGGTGCAGATGGGACTAGGACGGGAAAGGTGGTGGTAGTGTTATTGCTGGATGATGGCGGGGTAGATTCGTTTGACGAGGAAGTTGTTGATTCGGCGGAAGAAGAGGGCGTTGGGAGACCTTGGGCTGCGAGAACCTTCATGACAGCCTCCCACCCCTTCTCGAGAGACTTGATACGCTCTTTGAGCTCTGCGTTCTCTCGCTCCCGCGCTTTCTCGCGCTCCTGTTCCTGTGCGCGTCTGATGTCCGCATGCTGGAGATCTGACAAGGTCATACCAGCGCGTAGCTGCCTGTTCTCCTCTTCTAGCTCGGCTACTCGTCGCTCCAGAGCGGTGAACTGAGCTTTCCGTCTGTCACGGGAGTTCTGGGCAGCGATGCGGTCTACGCACACTCCATCAGGGTCTGAGCCACTGCGGATTCACAAGCGAGAACTTACTGCGGTGAGCACGAGCCTCTTTGCGCTCCTCTGCGCTCATGTCGGTCCTTGCCCGCTTGCGCGAAGGACCAGCGGTGTTGTCGAGATGCTCGGAGCGCGGTGAGTCGGGTACATCAGATTGCGGCGAAGGCAAAGAGAGGGTCGACGGGTCGACGAAGTTGGCGGACATTATCGAAGTCGTACTTAGAGGGCGAGAAAGACGTGGAGAGTCGTGGAGGAGAGAGAATAAAAGAGCGACGTGTCTAAAGAGATGGAGGAGAGTGAGTGGGGTGGAGGAGTCAAGCGAAGTGTCGACGTGGCGTTTACAAGCGCAATTCAAAGGACACGTACTCTGTCCTCATTGGCTGATGTTTGATTATGTCATCAGACAGACTGTGCAGGGCGGTGCCGCACCGCAGTTTGATCTCTCCTGCCCCCGAAGAAACGTCGAGAAACTACTATTTACATAAATTGAGGCCAATATTGGTTTGCAACGTGTGCTACCAGGTTAATTTGTTGGCACTCCTCCGAGCTATCTATACATCTGTTCATTCATTGTAGCAATGACTACAATGAATAGAAAATAAATATAAAATAGAACCAAGTGAATGCTATCGTTACTCTCTTGTAAAGCACCAGAGTAGCACAGCAGTGAGTCTGATTCGAGGTCTCGGTTATAGATCTATAGTCGGTAATAGATAAGGGCAGACACCTGTTTTAAGCTTACTCTTAGTGATGGAGACGAGACCGATGTAAAGCCATGTGTAGCCCTGCTGTGCTTGATGAAGGCTGAGTTGTTCAAGGCCCCTCTCACCCACTTTCTGACAGTCCATTCGGCAGAACTTTTATGATTTTAGGTCCCTAGTACTTAATATTATCCGTGAAGCAGTCGAACATTAGTACTCAGTTCCATCAAATCACTTAACTCATGGGCGCACGATGTACCTGGACCCTTTCACGTTTCGCGACAACGTTTCGCCGACATACGTGGAACCTGAGCAGCAATACTCCTATCCTATGGTCCTCAGTTTAGTTCCTTCGGCGGACGGAGATAGAGAACACGCAGATTTCTGTTGCAGGATAACCGGGTCTTATACAACGTTATTGAGATCGTCCATTCAGAACTCGTTACACGTAAGGGAGCACATCTCCATTTGTCACTTTCATGAACATTAGAGATCGCGGGTTGAATCAACTTGAATAAAAGAATTCTGAGAAAGCATTTCTCTTTGCAGCAGAAGCAAGAGGCAAGCAAGAAGCCAATTTTGGAACATCCCAATCCGGACAGTCGAATTTTTTTGTGTTGCGTAGTGATCGACGCGTATCGCGTTTCCTTCCTCTCCTCCTCCCCCTTTGTCCTTCTCTTTGTCCTGCAAAGATGTCTGCAGCTGGCCCTTCTACAGCTACAAATGGCGACGTTGTATCATCGGATTCGATGACTTCCAGAGATTAGTGCGTTTATACCCGGGGTGTGGTCGGAGTTGAATTAACAATGGTGTACGCAGCTATGCCGACTCCTATGCACATTTCGGTGGGCTCCGCAATTCGTTCTGTGGGTCTTGCAGTTCATCTCATCGTCTTTACTGTAGGTATCCATGAGGAGATGCTGAAGGATACCGTCCGAACGGGCTCGTACCGTGCTGCGATCATCAACAACCCGCATCTCTTCAAAGGAAAGACTGTCCTAGACGTTGGTTGTGGGACCGGGATTCTGAGCATGTTTGCCGCAAAGGCTGGTGCTTCACACGTTGTCGGGGTATGCAATCATGTTCCACGTTACTCCTCACTTGGCTGAACTGAGGATACGACTAGATCGACATGTCAAACATCATTGACCAAGCACAAAAGATCATTGAGGCTAATGGCTTCAAAGACACGATCACGCTTGTCAAGGGAAAACTCGAAGAAGCCGTGCTTCCTATAGACAAGTTCGACATTATCATCAGCGAATGGATGGGCTACTTTTTGTTGTACGAGTCCATGCTTGATACTGTCCTCCTTGCGAGGGACAAGTACTTGAAACCCGATGGGCTCATCTTCCCCGACAATGCGAAGATATACCTAGCAGCGATCGAGGACCAAGATTACAAAGAAGAAAAGATAAACTGTACGTCGTCTAATCTTAGCAGTAAATCGTTGTATGATTACTGATGGACTTCGCAATAAGTTTGGGATAATGTTTACGGGTTTGATTACTCGTGTATAAAAGATATCGCATTGCGCGAACCCCTCGTAGATACTGTAGAATTAAAAGCTGTTGTGACAGACCCCTGTCTCATTAAGGTTGGTGTGCTCTATACCTCGGTTCGACTTCGACTGCAACTTTCGTTTCTAGCACGTAGACCTGCGAACCGCGAAAAAGGAGGACCTGACATTCACGGTTCCTTTCTCCCTATACGCTACTCGAAATGATTGTGAGTACTCTTAAGTTAAATATGAAGTGGTTATTTTGTTGATCAGAACGCATAGATGTCCATGCTTTCCTTGCATGGTTCGATATCTCTTTCGATTGCACCCACAAAAAGATTTCGTTCTCCACTGGTCCTCACGCAAAGTATACCCATTGGAAGTCAGTATTTACTCCATTCCTATACGCCATCCTCCTCCTCCTCCTGACATATACCTTGTGTTAGGCAAACTGTGTTCTATACTCCTACAACGATCACGATTTCCGAAGGCGAATCAATAACTGGCACGCTTTCGTGTGCACCCAACGTACGCAACAACCGTGATCTTGATATCTCGATCGCATGGGCTGCGCCTGACGGGCAAAGCGAGACTGTACAATACAAAATGTGCGTTTCTCTTTCCTCCGTTCACCACAATATGTGCTTTTAAAAAAAAAGTTGCGATACGATTGCTGATCGATGGCTAGGTCGTAATATGCTTTCATTGCATGCTGATCATGAAACGTGTCGTTAAAAAAACAACTTGCTTATTGCCATACACCTTGCACACGCACTCAATGATATATAACGATGACACCACATTTTGCATATCAATTGCCACTTTTTTCTTGATGCATTTGTTGTTACAGGTATTGATTAACATAATAATGAGACTTGTGCGGAAATTTTGTTGTCGTTATGCAAATTCTGCCTTGCATTCTCATTTCTGATGTTTAGCTTTTAGATCTAGAATCTACATATCTCACGTCATGTAGACCGAGTGTTCTGTGATCGTACAAACTACATGAGCTTTGTTGTGGGAACTTCAAGTGAGATTCAGCCTAAGGGTTAACTGTCACTCTGTACAACACGTCATCTGCAAAAAAGTATATCATTTCGGTGCTACCCACACCGGCGAAGTGCAGTATGCATGAAAGAGAACGCTATCATTTGCTTGAAAGAATCAAGAGGTCCTTGCGATGTCCACACACAAACTGCGCGAGAGTATTTCACGCGTTATTTGCCTCTGTTTACTCAACTAGTCGCGTCGTCACGTGTTGCCAATGCTTCGTCCGTCCACGATAAGTAAGAGAATTACTTGCTACTCGTCGTCTTCTTCCGCCCCTAATCTCCCCCATTTCAGCCCTCCCCATGGACCCTCAAGATGTTGCGAGCAACATCAACCGCCAGAGTATCGCAGAACGTGTGATCAACGTTCACACAACGAAAGAATATGATTGGGTGTTAGAGAACATCTTCAACGAGGCCAAAGTAGGAAAACGGTATGTGCATTTAATCACAATCAAGCACGAAATTCCCCATCATTCTGTATCTCCATAAAACAGGAGAGTATTTTTCTGGAAGGCAGACAAGCCCGGGTCTTGTCACTTCTTCGTCGAATTTGCGAGCAAGGACTTCGTCCCAATTGCTCAGCGCGAGGCAGGTCCAGGTGTGACCGTTCATTGCCTGTCGCGCAACATGAACATGTTCACCGCATTTGATTGCCTGAGTAAGGGCATTGAACTCCCAAAGAAACGGATGAATCCCGATACTGAAGGATCGCAAGCTGGTGATCCTCCAGTTGTGAACAGACTCCCTACGGCACCGTTCATGCCGCCGCCTGCAAAGCGTCCTAGGCTTTACGATGATGAACCTCCGAGGCGGCCAAGCCCTCCTCCATACCGCGAAGCGCCTTATAAACCATACCGGCCGAGCCCAAATCTCCCTCAAAACCCTCGCGATAGTTCTCAGAGGAACTATCCTTACAACAGCAACATCAACCCAAAGTCGAAGCCGAGTTGGAGCAACAATATTACCTTGGACAACCGCCGACTTCAGAGTAATAATTATCAAAAGTCTCGCTTCCGTAACGCGGATTTCCAGAGCTCAAACGGATCAGTCAGTCCACCTCGTCGCCCTCGAGAAGATAACTTTTATTACGGTGATCGAGAGGACGATCGCGCTCCCGGCCGCACTCGAGATGTCAGCCCACATAGGACATCACGCCGGCGCTTATCCGATACATCAATTAGACGCCTATCTGACGCGTCTACAAAACGTCCGTCAGATACTTCATTAAAGAGACCTTCCAACCCAACTATTACTCCTTCCTCTGATACTTACAAACCAGCTTCCCCCCACTTTTCTGTTCCAATCGTCGTCCCACCACCGCGGGTAAATCAATTTGGTTTACCCGAGTTAGAGGCCTTGAGCGAAGATAATATCGGAGCTGTTATTGATCGTCTGAAGACGTCATTCAGTGGACCAGAAAGCTGGATGACAGTTGCAGCTCATTATCGTCGCAAGAAGCTTCATAAGAATGCACTTGCAGTCATTGACTCTATGTTAGAGGGTAACTACACATTTCATTCTTATGTTTGGAAGAGAAGCTGCGTGATTTTATGTTAATGTTGCCTCTTCCAGTTATGCGGGACAGAGGCATGGACAAGGCAGATCTGCGACCTGCCTTGCTATTGATGGCTCAATGCCATCACAGTATTGGAAAGCAAGAACGGAGAGAGCCCGACTCCCTGGAAGACTCGAACAAACACTTCAACCTTCTACTCGGCTGGTTACGCGAAACGTACGGACCAAACACGCCTGCAGTCGACGCTATCGCGCAATCAGCAGGGTTCAGCAACCCATGGACCACAGAGAAAGATAACAGACCACTTTTCGGGCAGACTCAATACGACTTTACGTTCCGCACGCCTGTTCCAGGATTCGACCATTTACAAGCACCACCAAGCTTATTCGACATGCACAGCTCTCTATCATCTCGTCTAGAAGCAGTCACAGAAGAAAATACCCGGCTGCGAGACGCGCAGTCCGCAACAGAAGCCAAGGTCGACTCACTACGCGCAACACTTCAAGAAGCAGAAACCTCAATGCGCGCAACCGAGGCAAAGCTCGAACGTGCGCTGGACGACCTCCGAATCCAAACTGGTCGTACATTGCGCGAGAGCGATGGGCGTCGACGAGCAGAAGACCGGCTTGCACAGGAACGCGCGGCTTGGGAACGTCGTATCGACGACCTGCGCGACGAGGGTGCAACACGTGCTGTACGGGACTTGAATGCTATTGTTGCAATGATGACCCGTGCGCCGACGTCTATGTTAGAAGCTACCCGTGTTTTCTGTGAAGCGCGGAGCCGGTTGGAGCGTACGCCTCCTGACGCTCCATAAATATTCCCACTTTATCCTTTTCCCATTTGCTATCGTGAACGTTGTGGCTAGATGAAAACGGCCAACGTTTTCTTTTTGATATCCCGCGCTAAAAGTAAATACTCATTCTGGACTGTCCGACCGATTCTTGGAGCTTATATACCGCATACCGCAATGTGACCAATTCGACCTGCAGTGTAACTATATAATTCGTTATTTTCTCGGTGTTTACTTGTGCAGTACCCTTACCAATACATGCGTGAATGCACAAGTAAATAAGAGAAATGAATTGTACATATGTATATTCATAAAGCAAACCTCTTGACTTGTGAGGACGTCGGAGTCGTCATATCGGTACAGTGCATAAAGCTCATAACTTGGCATAAACGTTGAAACAAAGGAAAGGGAGAAAACAGGAGAAGAGGAAATAATGCAATGGTATGCGATGATAAAAAATGTCACAAGCAGACATCCAAATAAGCAGAAAAGTAAAGTGCAAGAAACAAAACTTATCTATGGACATGAAATTGTTACACTATTGAAGTTTGATGCCATTCATTGATTTCGCCAGACTGGACGGACGCTACAGGGAAAGAAAAGAAAAGAAATTGTTCTCTAATTGAGTTGAAATTATCACGCTATGAAGCTTTGACTCCAGCCGCAGTCGTTACAGGAGCAGAAACGGCATTATTAGCATGAGTATCCTTGACCGCATTCGCAGCAGCCTTCGCACGCAACAAAATCTGCGCGCTCTTCCTTCGCGTACCAGCTGAGATACCAGCACCACTCACGCGTGTCATCTTGGCACGCTCTACGCGTCGCAAGAACGGACTCGGGAAGTTCTCTTCGTCTGAAGGGTCGTAATGAGGTGTAGGAGGAAGTGGAAGGACCTTCTTCGCTGCTGCGGACGTGGACGAAGGTACCGCGACAGTGGAGAGTGCTGGCGTCGAAGCAGATTTGGGCAAGCTTGGACGTCCGTTTGATGGTCTAGTAGAGGGTCGACGAATCTTCGTCTGTGCCACTTGACTGACCCTCTTCACTGCCACCTTCTGAGGCGATTGCTTTAGAGCACATGGTACAGCAGAAGTTCTCGGCTTGGACGACGATGGCCTACGTGCTGTCGCCCGCGTACGCGCCGAAAGGGAGCCAGATGAGGACGATGCAGTAGCAGTAGCTCCCTCACCGCTTTGCCTTGGGCGGTTCCGCGCCTTCACGTTCTTCGTCGGACTATTCAATTCCGCGGCACCGTGATCCGATGCCGAACCGGATCGAGTCGTTGTGGTAACGACTGTCTCTGCAGTATACGCGTCATCATCGTCATTGTCAGGTTCGGGACCATCGTCTGAATCCTCAGATTCACTGAAGTCAAAGCACTTGCTGAACTTGAGCGGGACTGCGGGTGTATTCTTGACGATTCTGGTGAGCCCAGCACGTGCAGGCGCAAACGGTGCCGGCGTCTTCAAGGCCTCTCCTGTCGCGGTAAGGACAACGCCTCGCATTGCGGAACCTAGGACAGCGATTGACAATTCCTGGCAAGTACCATTTTTCACTGGTAACGGTGTATCAAGGTCACGGAAGTGATGCGGATTTGCGGAAGGTGTCTCCATATCAGAGAGTGCATATTTCCGGGGAGTATTCTCGTATTCATCGGGTTCCTCAAAAGCAACGCGTCTATATGGTGTGATGAGGTTCTTGACTTCTTCCAAAGGGGCCTTTTTCTTTTGACCTGCTCCAAGATCCGTGAGCCATGCACGAGCACGCCCACAATAGACACTGACCTTTAGAATACTGCTGTATCGCTTCGACTTCCTTCTCTAACGTTAGTCTTGCGGTCTCTATCCTTTCCGCTTCTTCTGCGAGGTCCTTCTGACGAGTTTCCACCCATTGAATGGCAGACCGAAGTTCCTCTCGCAGTTGCTCCTCCCTTTTCTGCCACAGTGTGCTGATCTCCTCTTCCCTTTTATTGACAGCTTCAAGGATTTCTTCCTCTCTGCGAGTCATGGCCGTGCGTGCTTTGGCTTCCATACGCATTACTGCTACACGGAGCTCTTCCTCTCTAGCTGTCACAGCTCGCTTGATGCGCTCATCAGCTTGGGCGACAATGTCCGTCAGACGAGAAATTTCGGCGTCCTTTTGCTCGATGATGGTCGATAGCGATGCTTCTCGTTGCGCCAGGGCGGCACTGAGGTTTTGAAGCTCACGTTCCTTCGCAATAACATTCGATTTATGGGCCTTCACAGAAATAAGCCTTGCGAAAACGAGTATATTAGAACACGTAAGCGCAGACGTCGAAATCTACTCACATCTTTTCCGTATCAGCCACTTTGCGAGCAAAGTCGATACGCTCGTGTTGAAGAAGTTGTTGTGCGGAAGGCCTCATTGCAGGCTGGTGGGATCAGAATCAGTTAAAGCTAAAACGAAATGTCAACGTGGATAACCATACGTTCAAGTTGAGCATGGCCTTGATGATGTGGTTCAATGATTGGGAATAACCCTTCGGTAAAGGAGGTATCCGACCATTGCGGATCAACATTGACAATTCGCTGTGCGTCTGAGCCTCGTGGAATGGTGGCCTGAGAGCACACAACTCGTATATCAAACAACCGAGGGACCAGATATCACTCTTCGTATCGTATGACTTTTCCTGAATCAGTTCCGGAGACATGTAGTACGGAGTTCCAACGTAGGTATTCGCAAAGGAAGTCTGGGTGAGGGCTTTTGATAAGCCGAAGTCACCTAGCTTGACCATGCTTCCTTTGCTAATAAATACTGCACAATGTATCAGTTTCCGAAGTCCTATATTAGCGGCACAAAAAAGTACCATTCTCTGGCTTCAGATCTCTATGCAATATCTGTTGCCGTTTACCGTCCGAGCTACCATCGTCTTTCGAGTTCGGGCAATGACAGTGCTGCAGTGCAAGTAAGAGTTGAAGGAAATATGACCATACTGTGTCTTCGGGTAGGGTGCGTCCGGATCGCGCGCTCTGTTTGATAATTGAGGAGAGATCTCCTCCATCGCAGTACTCCATTAGGATGTACAGAATGCCAGCATCCCTATCCACAAACTAGAAGCCACCCTAATTAATCTGTGTATCCGGACTACAAATTCAAGACTAACTCTGTCAATGTATCTAACGATGTTCTCATGGTGCAAGTCCTTCAGAATATTCCTATACAAACGTATCAGCAGAGGTTCAGATTCATCAAATAATCAACACTGCACGCACACTTCAGCTACAATCTGCTTCCTATCTCTTTCCGACATCTTCTCGAAATTAAGTTCCTTCCTCGCAAGGATCTGGATATTTTCTCTCGATCAGTCGACAACTTTCTACAAGCATGTGGTTCACATAGTCGAGCGTGAAGTACACGTACCTCTCCATCCGACTTCCGTCGAACTTTACGAATAATTCCAAAGGACCCATTCCCGATAATCTCGAGGGGTTCATAGAGATCTAGAGGACTAGATGCATTTGAAGCTGTTGTTCCCGACATTGTGTTGAGGATGAAGAGGAAGAGCCTTGTGGCCTTTCGAGTCGGACTGGCTCTCCGCAAGTTGGACTTTTGGAACACTGAGACCCTGGGTCATGTGATCGTGGCGCATCGAAGTGTACGCCCGTTTCGGGTAGTATGTCTTATGTAACATACGTCTTTTCCTCTTACTGTACTTTGTCGTGGCAATACAATATTGCGAACTGTAATGCCGAGGAGTGCAAGATCACTATGAAAGCTGCAAAATGTATGGTTCTACAATGGCAAAGTGTATAGAAGTTCCACAGCGTCATTCATGTAGAATGAGTAAGTTTCACGTGCTTTTCTTCTTTCAGTTAGCTGGTAACATTTTGCTCCGCACGCCACAATCGCTGTAACGGGTCCAGTCGCGCTTCGTCAATGGATCATTCGTTTCGGTCCTCCTTTATAGCTCCGGTACCAAAGCGACTAATCACACTATAGGGGTTTTAACATCCCACAATATTAGAGCATTGCTCCGTTGTGAGATTTGCTTGTGCCCTGTCATGTATGAACACCTCAACGACCGTAACCTTTTGCTCTGTAGGCCACCAGTTTCAATAACACTACCAATTACATTTCGTCGAAAGATCAATTTGTCAAGCTTACCTTGTACCCCAGAACCAATTTGCGATCGAGTTTCGTGTCAAAACATGGATAACATATACCAGAAGCAAATGAAATTGTGCAGGAATCAAACATTCACCACATTCATTAATATGCAGAGGAAATGCACTCCTAGAAACCGAGCCACCGCCAAATCAGTACACATAATCGAGTGTTCTTAGGGGCTCATGGAAAAAGCTACAGTAAGCTGCGTTTATAAATCCACAGCTTCACTTGCTTTGCCTTTCCCTCTTGTGTACTGGATAGCATCTGATTCTCACGTATCTATTCCGTATCTACTCTATGTAGATCCTCAGGGCTCATGTCAACTAAGTGTCCGATACCAGTCTCGCTAGTGCAGTTCTGTCGGTTCACGGGAGACGTGCTTGTGAACTTTCGTCCAAGCTACTGTGCTTCCCGCATCCACTATTCTTCCATTATAAGGAAAAGAAGAGGTAATCTGCTCCTCCGGCATCACCATAAATCACGGCTGGCTTCTCATCTCTCCATAATGGCATAGCTCTGGCTCGAGAGCCTAATGCGATTTAGAGCAGCGAAGGTGAAGCATGCACAGTACGAAATTCATCAACCTGTCTTGCTTGGAAGGCGAAGAAACCAACAAAATACTGAAATATGAAAAGTAAAGCACGTTGATTGACCTTGATTGAAACTACTTAATGTGTCGATACTTATATTATTCTGGTAGGATAAGCACCATATTTATATGATGGGAAATGTTCAACGGAGATATCGTCTCAGCATTTGACAACAATGAATCAAGTGCATAAACTGTCTTTCGAGCAATCTGACAATCCATGGGAGCCTTGCGTTCTCTTGATTCGGTACCGCAGATGATGAGCAGGCCTAGACTATCATTCTTGAGTATCCTTGAGAACGTGCAATAAACCAGTGCTTCGATTCCTCACGATGCTCTGCTAGATCATTTCTTCCTTCTCAATACCCACTTTTAAGGTCTATCAGGTATTTACAAAAATTCTAGTCGCCTCATCAGTCGATTTCATTATGAGACCATCCAAGTGCCCTGCATACTCGGCATTTGAACATCAATCACAAATAGAAGTCGCCTAACCTCCACTCCTCCCTAACAGGTAAACATGTCCAACGGATATACACACTAGTCACCCAAAAGGAAGCATGCCCTGCACATGCGGACCTTCCCAGACTCTTCTCTTCTGTACTCCACCCGCCAGCTCACACCAGGTAGCCTTAACCTCGGACGCGTGCTTCCCAAGCTTCTTGTGTAGACAAACTCCCACTCCAACTACTCGGCAATAGAAAATACATGAGATCCTATTCGACAATCGTACTGTCCGCTTTGTCGGATGCCTCTTATGTGTTGAGCGGTTTAGATTAAGGGGTCCGGGATACGGAATGGAAAGAGACTATTTGTGTTCAGAGACATATGTAGGTTGCAGTGACGATATTACCACTAGAGAAGTCCCGAAGTATTAATATATGAACAGCCAAGACTGATAAGCCGCCACTTTTAATTCTTGTAAACGTGTCGAACCACGAGGGAATCGCGAGGCGTCGCTATGTTTAAATTTTTTATGTCCTTACAGTTGCAAATTTTCATGTTTGCATATATTTTATTCCCGACTAGGATCATAGCATTTCCAGACAAACACCGAGCGGAGAAAATGAACAAGCAGCCTATTTGGCTCTACCGCATCAGTGCGAACCTCGGGAGAAAGACGTTGAACAGAGGAAGGTCGGGGCGTCAGTGGCTGGTGGGTATATGCGTATATGTATGGTTTTCAGGCACCATGTATGTTCGGCGGCTTTAACACGAGGACATGCAGAAGTGTTGTTCCGTTCCATGAACGCATAAGTATTTATTACATACCGCCGAAGATACAGTGAATTCTTGCAACATGTGTACCCCATAGGTCTGCTTGCTCAAATTATTTTCCGCTGAGCTCGCGAGACGTGAATAAGCATCTCATGGGAAGGTTAGAAACTTAGAATTTAATAGAACTTTGGTACTGCTGTGCATGCATGGATTTTGCACAGTAGCATTCATATTCGTTGAGAGACGTAAACATACATTCAAGTTTCGCAGTTCACCACTAGATTAGGTCCACACGTACACATGGTCATCTGTAGGAACCTCAAGGATTTGTCTATCTTGGCGAGTCTCCTTGTGGCTCAGCCGTCCGCTTCGCATGCGGCGAAGACGCCGCCAACAGCCACCGCATATACTCAAGATCGAGTGATCGGGCCATCAAGATAGCTTTGTCGCGATGACATCAACAATTCCAGAAACAGTCTTCGTCATCGGCGATTGAGCGCCTAAAAGAATGCCTTGTCTTGTCGGCTTCTATGTGTATGGAAGCAAAGTGGTTCCGGAATCCCGCAAGTCTTGGAGGCTGGTGTAGCTACCGGCGTCAATTAGAGCGATATTCATTTAATTATGCAGATTTTTAAAAAGTAGGCAAGGCTAGAGTACTGATGTTTCTGCTGGTTGTCAATTAAAGAGTATAGCAGAATGGATTGGTGCCAGCATATTAAATGCAATATTATACAGTATTAAATGCACTAGTGAACAACCCCATAATACCGTAAATGAAAACTGAAGTACTGATAAACTTGTCTTCATGAAAAGAAAAGTTTTAAAAAAAGAGATCAACGGGAGATAGGAGAGAGCAAGTGGCGTGGGCGGTGCCGTCGCCGATTCCCCGTACTACAAATGCATAAATCGCTCGGAACGTAAGTTCGGTATAACAAGGCAAATCGTCATCCAGTCAATCATCCAAGATCAAATTAAACCCAGATCGAGTTGATTACCTTCTCGCATCCTATCCTATCAAATCCAATCGAATCCTAAAGTAATAAGCAGCCCAATGATCTCGAAGGGACAGGAATAATACCAAATTCGTAACAAAAGCACCCATAGTTTACGAAGATGGATTGGCCTCTCGATCACAATGGAGGTCAATCAGATAGAGTTGTCCCTGTCTCACTTAACCTGCACGAGACCAATCGTGTAAACAACAATAATTTTGAACTTGAGCTGGAGTGAGAGGTTGGAATATGCCTTGCAACACCAATGCACATGCTAAAAATTCAAGACAGATAGAGCAGATCACGAACAAAAATATAAAAGAGAGCTTGTCTCGACAACCTTCCATGTAGAGCACATACGAAGATCACCTCCCCAAATACAATGAAGTAAATAACAAAATCTTATTCGGGTCTTCGGACTTTGATTCGCACTAATGTTGAAGGCTCGAAGTCCTTCGATTAAATTTGGCGTTCCTTGCCTCTCCCACATGTGTGTTAACCCACACTGTCATCCGATGAGCTGGCGCTGCTTCGGAGGATTGCTTTACCGGTTCGGTTTAGTGACGGTGACGGTGAGTGCGGGTTTATTCCCAATCTCACAAAAGATGGAGAAGAAACTTTGGAACTAGTTCACGAAAAATAAGATTGTGAAAATGTATGGTCGATTTTTCATTTAGCTTGGAGGATACAGAATGAACGTCCAGCAGACCTGCTAGCTGTACTGTAAAATGAAATCAGTAAAATCCGAGATGAAAGACATCTTCCTTCTTCTCCCTCTCCCCCTTCCTCTATTCCGTTTTCGTTTCTCGTTTGAACTTCGAATACTTGCCACATCTGTTAAGGTGCCTGGACCTGGCGCCCGAGATCATAGGTCATGAACGTTCGAATCACAAGCCGCAAGTTGCATCCGCTCGTATCGGCTCTGCCGTCCACCCCAAATCATCCCAAGAAAACTTTAGAGAATCCCAGACTATCCACAGAGAGCACCAAGCACGCCAAGTATCTCCCATCCAGACCGAGCTCTCTTACACTCTCGACGCGGCGAGAAGAAGCTCTCTATGTAACAACACCTCATTCCACAACTTAAAGTGAAGTAAAATCAGTATCCGGAAGCCGGTGTCTTTCTGGCTCAGGCACACTCGAGACGGTTTGAGTTGATCTTCGACAGTGTGTGTCAGTCTAAACGAGTAAAGTGGAGCCTTGTTCTGGATTCCCGAGTTCTCGAACCGCTGGCCGCTTGGTTGACCTGCTGGCGTGGTTGTGGACGTGCCTCGGGAGTCTATCGGGTTATCTGAGGGGTAGTGGAATACTGAGTGGCCATGTGAGCTGGAACATTAAGATGTTGCTAAAGAAGTTGCTGCAGAAGAAAAATAAGGATTTGCACCTTCCTTCGATCAAGTATTGCGAACGGAATCAAATCTGGATCAACGTTCTTCCACAGCTCTTCTAGCAAAATTATATGAACAAAATATGAGAGAAGAAAGAGAAGAAATGAAAAAGGAAAAGCCAGCACAAATTGCCGATTTAAGTCTGTCCGTCTTGACAGATGTGATCAGAAGGAAGAGAAGAAATCGACAGGAGCGGGAGGGAGTGCGGCCAGGGCGGGGGGACAGAAGGCATGTATGCATATTGGCTTTTTATAGAAATGAACACTCTTCGTGCATGAGGTATGAAGGGGTAGGGACAGTACTAGTGTCGGGAGAAGCAAAGAACAAACCTTCCATGTATGTAATTGTACAACCACAGACCACACATACATACTTATCTCCGTGCAAAACGCAAAAACACAACACATGCCTGCGTCGCCGAAGGGAGATTTCGGAAACGAAAAGCGGCGGGCATGAGTGAGAAGAAAATCCGTTTATGTGGAGGTTTCGGTAATGGGTTAGGGAACCAGCAGCGCCGATGAACGCGGTATTTCCGAAAAGCAGTTCTAAGGCACATACGAATATATGCGCCTTTCTCACCGTTCCAGTGTTAAAGCGAAGAAATTGACAAATACTTACGAAATCATCCTGCAAAGTAGTACTTGCCTTAAATATTAATTTTCTGACACGGTCTTTCCGGAAAGCAGTTTCAAGACAAATACGCATATATACACCTTTCATATCATTCTAGTTTTGTTGCGAGGAAATAAACAAAACATGAGGAATCTCTGCAAAGTAGAACTCGCCTTAAGTGTGAAACGTCAGTCCGAGTGTATGCTTATTAAATCCGACATTTGGAATGCCTAGCCACAGCTTTCGGAGGAAGCGCACATCCGTCTTCCGCATACAGCAAGCATACGGCGCTCGTAGATTCCGTTTACCATAGATATTCGGATTCGTCGGCAAGTCCAAACAGTGAGCATCACTAGATCAAAGCTGTTGCGTTCGCGTGCTACCGACCCGAGATCAGATGGCGGCAGCGGCGATAATTTGTTCAAATTCGTTATCATTAACATTGAAACAAGCTGGGGGCGCAGTCGAGTGAAACGGAGTGGGCGTCTCAGGATATTGTATAATTGAATCAGCCAGTGCAGTTGCTAATACGAATAAACCGCAAAGGAAATAATTGGATGATGTTAGGTGACTCGAGTTGGAGTACAGTACAGGAATGACTGTGACTGTAGCTGGGACGGTACTCTCTTCTTCGAGAAGGTTCGTGTAGTCAAAAGTACAAGCCAGACCATGCATGATGGACACTGGGACGGTTTGAAAGCAGGTTCGGATCGCCGAAGAGGCGTTCGCCGATCCGGATGGACTGCGCGCTAGCACTGCGCAAAGGCCGCTCAGAGCCTCAGACATCTACTTACCCACATAAAGTAAATATGGAAGATCTCTTCGGTCATTTGTGTGAGACTCGCAAGGCTCCCGACTAGACACTGCGGCTGCGGGTACTCACTATAGAGACAAGAGAAGACGTGACGGGCTATATTTCCCTCTTCCTTTGAAAGCGCAAAATTAAACGAAAATGGATATTGATCACGGATTGCCCTGTCGCGTGCAACGCGAGGTTTACCGTTTCGATGACCCGGACTTCTGGGCCTTTGGACCTACCCACCCGACGGCGCATGCGCGGTTGCGTAGTGACGCGAGGGCGGGGCGGTGCTCGCTGTTGCGCGTGGTTCTCGGCCCGACTGATGGACCGAGTTTGTTGTGTTGTTCGATTTCGATGGCGGCCTGTTGGTCTGGCTGGCTGTGTCCTACGTGACACCAGTACGTACTGACTGACAACTGACTCGCAGAAGCGCTCAAGGAGGCTAGTACAGTGGCTTTAGCTCTGGCTCCAGCAACAACGGGCGTAGAAAGACGCCTGATATACGTTTCCAATTCCAATTCATCGCAGATCGGAGACATGATTCCCATCTGAGACTTTTTCGCGTCACGTACATATCTAATTAGTTGGGCAGGATCGGAGTGACAATTAAACATGTCAAGCGAGCAAATACGGATGAACGAAATGATAAATAATAGCGGAGATACATACATGCATACGTACCGTACATATATAGTGATATGGAGAGACAGGATGTTTAATCATTATTGTGGCGTCGGCGTCGGAAGGTTACAAATAAGGCTGCAGATGATGATGATGATGATAATTAGAGGACGGCTACGGGAATATACTTATTGACTCTGTGCCTTGGCCGGAAGAAGTGTGTGAGAAGAGAGAAATGCCGGGCATATTGCGAGAAGGGACGGCTTGAATAGGCGAATCAGGGGAATGGAGAGTGATGTGTGGGTGAGCTGGCAAGGCAGACATGCCAATGATGATGTATGCATATATCCATGCCCATGTGCACCCTGGAGTCCTGGACGTAGTGGATATTATTCCGAGTCCGTCCGGAGGCAAATAAGCAAAGGAGTGGAAAGAGGCAAGAGCAACACGGGCTGTGGCGGCTAGTACGACGCTAATAGTAGATGTGCAAAGGCGGAGGGAAATTGGGAAATGCAACGGTTACGGCAGTGAGTGGAGGATTGCGGGACATATGGACGGCTGAGATGAGACCGTCTTTGGGAGGAGGCAAAGGCCGATGGACCTGGAGCGCCATTGTCACGGACGGACTGTGAAGGGTCCGGTCACGCTCACGGTCACATTAGGAAATGCCGCCTTGTTCAGTCGCTCGCATCCTTCTCTGAATCTCTCCACTTCCCAAGTGCCCTCGTCCTCACTTCGCCGTACTTCCTCCTCCTCCTTCCCTCCCGCCCTCCTCCCGCCCCAGACAATGTCTGCACACGCCACCGCGTCCGCAGGTCAGCTCCAGAGGGCTCGCTCAAAGAAACGGTATGTGGCATCGCCCCTCCCACCCATCTAGTATTCCCCGCAAGGACCACCTATCTCATCTTGCCTCGGGTCACCCCCATCCAACAGACGAGCTATCCTCGAACATGCACTCAAAGGCATAAAGGTCGGTTGCGCTCTGCACTTGTATCCTCCTTTGCATCCTTGCCCTGACACGCGGTCCGCACCCCCGTCCCGCGCCCCATAGATCATCGGAACCATCGCGGCTCCTTTAGCTCCCGAGCTACCGCCGTCCCCGCCTGCCTCGCGCAGTCCGTCTCCAGCACCCGCACCACTCCCAACAGCCAGTTCCTCCAAGCGCAAGCTTGATGCTTCTGCAGACACGCCAGAAAGCGCAAAGCGGCCTAGGGTAACCAAACCACAGCCGCATTCCTCGGAACTGGCATCCGCGTCCTCCTCGGCGTCTGCCACTCTTGTAGCCTCCTCATCCTCCTCGCCTACTAATGCAGTAAGATCCACCGGACCAGCTCATGTTTCTCCAATCGCGGCTGCTGCATCGTCTTCCATTGGGGGCCTGTCTTCGCGGTCTCTCACGGTCTACGAACCCGTCCGACGGCCGCGGCATGGTGTTGAATCATTAAATTTCAAACAGATGCATGATAGTTATCACGCGCAAGCACGAGCGTTCAAGTATTCCGGTGAGGCGCGTTATTTGGCAAGCTACCCGCAAAGCCACCAACGTCACCGTCCATTAAGGGAACCGCCTGCTAAGGGTACACCATACCACACACATGGAGGACTCATGGGCTTGCTTGAATCGCTAGAAGCCTTGATCTGCTTCATCTATGCTGCTTGGTGTCAAGATCACTACAATAGAGATGAAAATTCATGGGAGTCGATCCCCGGTTACTTGGAATGGTGCAAGTCAAGATGGTTAGGCCAGGTGGGGTCGCGGGATAACGTCCGCGAGAAGTCATTCCTTGGTCTCATGTGAGTCATTTGCTCTTCCTTCATATCTCGGCGTCGTGCTAGATGATCAATATCAAACACGTTGCTAACCGCGCCTTTCGTTACTCTAGCCACATGATCGAGGCCTTCATGCGTCAGCGCCTTGTGCGCTACAGACTCAGTTCGTTTTTGGAGCTGAGGACGAAAGAGTATTTCTACGAGATTGAGCGTGTTACAAAGGCGAAGCAGGCTGCTGCAGAAGCATCATCAGCGAAACCCAAGCCTACCCCGCCCGAGAAGTCTTTACCTTCCCCGGACACAGACGCGGCGAGTGCCAACTCAACACCGGTAAACCCCGGTAATACACCTTTAAATACACCTTTCAATGCGAATGACAGTCGCTCGGAGGATGCAAAAAGAGGTATAAACAAGATGGCGTCTACTCGTCCACCCGAATCAAACGCACCGCCGGAAGTTTTTGTGCCAGTCAAGCAGTCTTACATCGTGAATACCAGGACCCTCCTGAATCTCCAGAGTATGGCTTCACGAGAAATGCGACAGTCGGAGAAGCTCCTTTCTTTAGCAATAATGCGGGAGCATTTCCCGCACACTTTTGGCAGGATGGTGTGCTCAACACTATCCGCTGATGAGGAATACGAGCCTGACATGGAAGACGGCGAAGGCGAGCTGTTCTGGCCCAGTCAATGCGTAACAGGCGATGGCATCGCTTGGGTTTGCCTGATGGGTCGTGCAATGGTCAGAGAATTCGGAAAGGAGATCGGCTATACCAGTCTCTCTGGGGCCATACCCAAGCCTACCTCCAGCTAAAAATCGCGATGCCTGCGTTTCAGCATTATAAAGTCACTCGGGTGCTAAATTATTGGTACTGGTATGTGCTCTGCGAGCACCACACGCATGGATACTCTTTATTAGCAACAAACTGTCATGCGAGAGCTCCGAACAGGTAGTCGCAGTCGTTTCACCTCTAGATGGGAACTCTATTCGGTTCTGAGTACATCTCAGGCCGCTACGGTCATCTCGCTGCTCGTAAACGCTCATCATCGAGCCATAGGCGGGGATATCTAGTGCCGTCTAGGGTATCTATGCTCGCTTCATGTCTTCGATGCATGCGAGTATACACCGCGGAATGCGTCTGCCATTTGGCGCCGCTCAGGACCCGCAGCCGGACCGCAGAGCACACTCCCACGCTTCTCACCTCAACTCATTTCTTCGACCCCGTTTACCCATCTGTCTAAACTCCACGCTCTGCACACCCGGTTTGAGTTATCCTCGTGTAAACTTACACCCCTTTAGAAGGGTACATACTCTGGAAAAGCGGGGATTCGTCGAGCCAAGTCGGGGCTCGGCGTTGACCATCTGGTTGGCGCATTGCGGAACACACACTGGTTTCTTGGGTCTCCGATTTACTTCTGGGTATTATCTCACGTCGTAACATTTTCGCCGCACATGGAATATTCACCCGCATCTGATTTCATATCGCACCATCTTCTCACTTCGTTTATTTACGCCATATTAGGGCATTTTCATTTGTTTTATTTCTTTGTCTATCCACGTCTTTAACTTGCTGTCGATTGTGCTTTGCTTCACCTCTTACTCATCGTCTTATTCTACTTACCATCTGTCACATTAGTACCAAAGCAATCTGCATTATCAGTCAGCACTACTTCTCTCCCGCCGTTTCCACTCTCCCGGACATCATCATCATCACAGCCACTTACTCAAAAGGTCGCATTTGTTCCTGTTTTCTTGGTCACCACTCGTGGATACGGGTTTAAGCGGAGGTTTCGGACGGCATCGCTCATTTCATAGTTGCGCTGCGTTCATCCGACTGTTACCGCCCTTAGAGCAATTGGACGGTGAGGTCGCGCGACTTAGTGAAACGACCGGATATTGGTTTTCGTTCTTGTATCAGCGGCCGTTGTTGGTCTCCACGTTTTACCAATATCCAGAGCTCGTCTCGGTTGCTTTCGTCTCGCTATATAGGCCGTCTCCCCATTACCCATCCCGTCCTCTACCCCTGTGTCCCTACGTCTCCATAACTATTTTTACCACGCTTTGCTCCCCTTGGTTATCTTGTGCTATATCCGTTTTTGTACGATCAGAGGCTATATCGAGGAAGGGCGTTCTTTATTTGTATAGTTTGTAAATGTAATAATGCGTTGCGAACGCGCATAAATTGGAATCGCAGCGTCTTGGATTGGATTCTTTGCTCTGCGAAACTCTCTTTCGTTTCATTTTGTTTCAATTTTGTGTATTGTGTATTGTGTGGTGTGTGGTGTATGGTGTATGGTGTATGGTGTATGGTGTATGGTGTATGGTGTATGGTACGTACGGTATGTATGCGTTTCGTTGAGGCTATACTTGTTTAGGACAAGGTTCTTGCATCGATGTGCGTGTAATATGAAAAATGAAAATGTGCGGTATGGCTGATTCCATTCATGATGAAACCACAACCCCCTCTTTGCCTGTGCAGGCGGAAGTTACTCATATACTCATATGTCATGTGGAGTATCGAGTGTGTTTTGTGTTTTGGTGGGTAAACTATGCACGCGACAACGACGCAATTTTCGATTGTGCGACTTCAGTGTTGTTTATAAGTCTCTTTGTAAGAGAGAAAACGTGAATAGTGAATAGTGATGATACATGAACACGGACACAGACAGGACGAAGCGAGAAACCGGAACCGTGATGTTCGGGTGAACGTGCGAGAGACCGCGTGCGTCTCGAGGCGGAGCTTGAGGAGTGTGAGAGTAGTGGGAAGTGTATCATTTTTGGGACTGTATGCACATGCGTTTTTCGGGAGCGCAGTTGGGTCGTTCTCTCACGAACTAAGTACAGAAGTGCGTACATTTAACATTGATACAATGCACGTTTTATTGTTAGTGAACTTCGAAGGTGTCGCCGTCCGCGCCGACTTTAGATATAGTTTCCGGCCAAGGACGGAGAAACAGCGACGGAGCGAGATGAGATTCCTTTAATAAAAAAAACTTAACTAAAAAGCAGAGCAAAGAACGTGATATTCGCGAGAATCATCACGTGATGCCTCAATTACCCTTTAGGTTCTTAGAATCTAGTATTAATATTAATTTGTGGAACGGGTTTACATGCGCAATGTGAATGCTTAATGCAGACGGCTACGGCTAAAGTTGCTGCCTTCAGGGGCATGGACCAGTTTGAGTGGAGTTGCGAAATGGGAAGTCGCCGCACTCGAGACGGCGCCAGTTCTAAAATTAATTTGTTCCAAATGAATAAACCTTATTATGTAAGTAGAGACTATATAGTATTATCTCAGCATATTCTCACACTCTCATACCTCGAATTTCGTGCCACTGCAACGACGTTCGCTAAGTGCTCAAGATCGGTACGTGCTGCTGCTGCTAACATTTCGTCCATCGTACTGAAAGTTATTGTATAGCCCACTCGCTCAAAAGCTCGTCAAGATGGCGGCCATCGAAACTCTCCCCTCGTCGATCTCGAACCTTGGCTCGGACATCAAGCTGTTTGGAAAGTGGGATACTCAAGAGTGCGTCTCCTTTTTAACTCGTTCTCATGCATACTTAGAGTTGACCATTGTTTCTGTCCGGTGTTTTCAATCCTTGACTCGCTGAAACTTGGTGTTTTGTTATGAAGTGTCGAAGTCAAGGACATTTCGTTGACCGACTACATCCAAATTCGCCATGCCGTGTACCTCCCACATACTGCTGGCCGTTATGCGAAGAAACAGTTCAAGAAAGCTCAGATGCCGATTGTCGAGCGCCTTGTTGACAGGTATGTGTCGCTTTGTTCACTTCACGTCTTTATGAAAGTTGCTAATTATTTGTGTTGAAAGCTTGATGATGAAAGGTCGCAACAACGGGAAGAAGCTCATGGCGCTCCGTATCGTTGCACATGCGTTTGAGATCATCCACCTGCTTACGGACCAGAATCCTATTCAGGTGCGCAACCGCGTCTGGTGCAATATTTATTGAATACTGAATGAGGGTTGCATACAGGTCCTTGTCGATGCAATCGTCAACACTGGCCCTCGTGAAGACTCAACTCGTATCGGCTCGCAGGGTACTGTCCGTCGTCAGGCCGTCGATGTTTCACCTCTTCGTCGTGTAAATCAGGCTATTGCTCTTCTCACCATCGGCGTAAGTATTGATTTAAAATCATTTATCTACGAAGATTAGAGAAATAATTATGCTGATATGGCATTTGTGTAGACCCGTGAATCTGCATTCCGCAACGTTAAATCTATTGCAGAGTGCTTGGCAGATGAACTCATCAACGCCGCCAAGGGGTCATCAAACTCATATGCGATCAAGGTTTGTATTTTCCTTCTTCCCTGTATTTCTCACAAACTAATGCAGTTCCTTGTCAAATAGAAAAAGGACGAACTCGAGCGTGTCGCCAAGTCCAACCGGTAAACCTTCACGCTCAACCCTTCTTCGCATTTGGCAGCAGGTTTGTGTACTCAAATATGAGAACTCCAAATGTACATTTGTCAGGGATGTTCTTCGTCTTTGGCTGCTATGCGTAATTCTCTTATGTCGGCCAAGCCTATTCCCAATGTTTGTATCCTCATGCCTTTCTCTCCGCATTCCTCGCCTTGCAAATAACAAAAAAGGCTTTTACGCTGAGATCTGAATATGTGCTTGCTTGGTCTGCGTGAAGTCCTGAACGTGTAATTCCTAAGCGATCCCCTTTGATCGTGAAAAGAAGGGCGACTCTGACTTAGCAAATACCATTGTAGAGAGGAGATAAGCTGTGCTCAAAGGGCTTATCGCGTCGCTCGCGTGTTGTTGAGATCATTCGACCACAAAAACAAAGTCTTATCAACCAAATATATGGTTGCATATAATGAAGCTGTACTATTACAATAACTCACATTCCACTATTTTATTTTCGGTTCGATCTGATGTATTCTTCTGTGTTATATTTTAAACTTTGTTTTGAATACCCCCTTTTTTTCTGTACAAGCTAGTCTAGAATGTTAAGTAGGAGCAATTAGACATAATCACTATGCAGCATTTGTTACACAGCTATTAGCTGATTTATAGCAAAAGACAAGACTGGATAAATGTTATTTCAAGTTGCCAAGCTAACATTCATTCTGTGCTTGAAAGACACTGCATCCTTTTTGCCACCCGAGTCTGCAGTGCAGTGTGTACTGCCACGCTTGGCAGCGCGGTCGAGTTCGCAGCAATAGCAAATGTGATCGGCCTAATCGTATTATAGCCAAAAAATTATTCGAGGATCGTGCTCCACACTTTAATGAGAAGAAGCGAGCCCGGAATTGATGATTAGAGTGGGACCTGTGCATGAATAGAAGCATGAGACCTTGTCAGCAGGAACACAAACTGATAATAAATACTGTAAAGCCCTTTATAGTTTACAACGTCACTCAAGCACCTATATGCACAAGGTTCACCCATCGTTCAGTCCGAATACCATCCCGCGCTTTCAGCTGCGAAGCTGCTTCTTGAAGGCCACCAGCCGCCCTCTTGTACTTCGCCTCGCCGTCCTCGCAATTGTTTATGTACTCATAAACAGCTTTAGCTAATGCAGGCCCATCCTCGTCAAGCAGCTCCACATCGAACCAATCACGCTCCGAAAATCAGAGAATTGCATAGCTGCTGCAAGGTGAAGGACCTCGTCGTGCGCGCCATCGTGAGGTTGTTCAGCGGTGTGGCAAGCAGAGAGGAAATCGAACTCCGCATTTGGAAGACTAGCTTGGACGATATCAAGCATTGTTAATCCACCGTCCGATAGATTGAATGAGGAGCCAAATGCTTTCGAAACTAAAGACCCATGGCAAGTGAAATGGACCCATGTTGCCTCCCGGAGGGCTTTGATTGCTGCTCTGCGCGATGGGCATGTGTTATTTCTAAGCAATTTGGTGCTCATTCCGCAATTTCGGATATTTCTAATTTCCTGCTTAGCTTTGCGAAGTGAGCTACTATCCCTCAAATCCCCGATGAAAAGCACTGTTGGTTCTTCCTCGGCACTCCCTGCTCGAGCTTTGATGAGGGCACCGAGCGTCGGAGTATATGACGAGATATAATCGTCCAATGAATATTTCGTATTACCTGCTGTATCCTTGAAAGGGCCTGCGGCGTGGAATGGAAGCACAGACAACATCGACGTCGGACACCACCAAATGCGACTACCTTCGGCGATCCCACGCTCCCTCAGTTTGTCAACGACTTTGGAGACTACTCTATCCCATAGCACTTTCATTGCGCCGCGAAGCTCCTTGTCATACTCCAGGGAATCAGCTCCGAGCCGTCGGCGCGTTACGACGAGTTCATTGCACAGCTTTATGCTATCGTCATAAAATCTGTCGTCCAGCGGAACGCAGTCGACTGATGAGGTATCATTAGAGTGGATAATGAGTGCATCAGAGCGATATCTGCTGTGGTTGACTACAATGACTGGCCCCTCTGAAGCCGCCCGCCGCACCACGTCAAAGGGTGTCGCGCCGAGGAAGTTCTCAAACCCCGGGATTCGCCGGATTTTGCTAAGAATCTCCTCTTGCTCATTCATAAGTTGCCTCTTTAACTTAAGCAGCTCATCAAATGATTTTCGTTCCGCCTGCGGGTCCCATGCACTGATCTATCTATCCTGACGATCGAACTGGACCTCAACACTTCATGCGAGAACATGAGATTCTCCAGTTGATAACTGATATCCTTGAATCTGTCGGCGAGTTCTCCGTTCGTTTCTGCAAGTTGATCTAGAGGAGTCCTAGCGCTGCGCAGCTGCGACCAGAGTAATCCCCTTCCTTGCTCCAATATTTCTACGGCTTGCTCCATTTGATTTTTCTCTACTGCATAGGAAGCCGCATCCAGAGCGAGCGTTCTGTATTCATTATTCCTGAGAAGGAAATCATGTTGTGCATGGAGCGTTGGATTAATGATGAGAGCATGCTGAAGTATTGATATCGTTTCCTTGTAAGCGGTAAAGGCAGTGTTATAGCTGTGCCGACGTGCGAGATTGCCCATTGTCGCGCGGCAAAAAGGCGCTCCGATAATCCTGAGAATTTATGGATAGCAGCGAACTCCAGTAATTGCATACAGTCTTCAAACTCATCTGTGCACCACTGTTTACTGACCCGAACATAAAGAGAAATTGCGAGGTTCCCGAGTGACGTAGAACGATCAGGATGTCCTTCGGGACGAAGCTTGAGGGCAGATCGGTGCAACTCGATGGCCTCCTCGAGGTCTTCAGTCCTTCCATGCTGCAAATATTGAGTGGTCAGAGAACTTGCGAGGTTGTTGAGAATGAGAGAACGGTTATCGTGGCTTTCAGGAAGGACTTCGAGGGCGGCTCGCTGCATCCTAATAGCCTCCTTAAGATCCTCAGCCCTTTCAAGCTGCCTGTATCTGGTGATCAATGACTCTGCAAGATTGTTCAGAAACAAAGAACGATCAGGGTGGCCTTCGGGGCGAAACCCGAGGGCGGCTCGATGCATCCTGATGGCTTCCTCAAGGTCTTCAGTCCTTCCACGATGCAAGTATCGAGTGGTCAATTGATGTGCGAGGTTGTTGAGAAGCGCAGAATGATCAGGGCGGTATTCCGGGCAAAGCTTGAGTGTGGATCGGCACAACTCAATGGCCTCCTCGAGGTCTTCAGTCCTTCCATGCCGCAAGTAAGGCGACCCTGATCGTTCTTTGTCTCTCAACAATCTCGCGGATTCATTGACTACCCGATACTTGCAGCACGGAAGGACGGAAGACCTTGAGGAAGCCATTGGAATGCTCCGATCCGCCCTCGAGCTTCGCCCTGAGGGACATCCTGATCGATCTTTGTCTCTCAATAATCTAGGAAGTTGTTTGGGTACCCGATACAATCGGTATGGAAAGGCTGAAGACCTTGAGGTGGCCATCGGGATGCACCGAGCTGCCAAGGTTACGAAGTGAGAAAGGGCGATTAGGATGGCTTTCATGAAGAAGCTCGAGTGCGGTTCGGTGCAACTCGATAGACTGCTCAAGATCTTCAGTCCTTCCGTGCTGCAAGTAACGAGTGGTTAGAGAACTCGCAAGATCGTTAAGAGACAGAGAACGATCGGGGTGGCCTTCGGGGCGAAGCTCGAGGGCGGCTCTGTCCAGCTCGATAACCTCTCCTAGGTCTTCTAATTGGCCCCATCGCTCATATCGTGCCGAAAGGTAGCTTGCAAGGTTATACAGTGTTTCCGAACGATCAGAGTGTCCCTCAGGACGACGTTCGAGGGCAGTACGACCGTGAGCAATAGCCTGTTCAAGCTCTCCCCGTTCCCCTGATTGCTCGAAGATCCTCCAGTGTTTCAAGGCTAGAATGTGATGTGTTTGAGAGTCATGGAGGTTAGGAAAGCCATTGATCAAATCTTGAATCGCGGTGTGACTTGTTTCAATTCCATCTTATATGTGATCTAGCTCAGTTTTATATTGGTAAGAATTCAATTCTAGCAGCAAATTGAAACTATACTAAACATTACCTAGTAGTAATAAAGGTAGCCTGCCTTTGTACTCTCGTCCTAAACGAAACGTTGAAGCAAAAGATTATAAGTGCTATGCGGCGATGTTGGCCGCTGACTAGTGTTGGGAACACGTGGAGTAGTACTGCCCCCGTCAATTGGGCTGCGAAAGGTGTACGTGATGGAGGGCAGCGCACAATGGGCAAGACGTTCTGGATAAGAACTTAAAGAAGAGTCGGACACTTGCTCATCACACTGGTCATACCGAGAATAACAACGACAGCGTGATGGGGTTTGTAGGCATAAATAGGCTCGACCACCATTCATGTACTGACAAGGCAATAAAATTTGAAAAACACAGACCGGATCACATGATGCACAAGACAAGCCCGAATCACCTGATTCCCGGAGCATATGGCCAGCTCTCAACCGCTCTATTTTTTATTTATTCTACGCTCACTATGTATTATTCACCTTTAGATCCTCTGCAGGTATGGTATGACTATGATATGGTTTGCAGATGTTTTGCCTGATATAGATTATGAATAAATGAACGTAAATTGTGTGGGGTACAGTTACTTGCTATTGTATCATTGTATGTGCAATACTATTGTGTGTGCGAAATAATTAAAAAATGTGTCTAGAACTATTTATCCAAGTCCATGCAGAAGTATAAACACAGCAGTCTACATCTATGTGGTGTCCAGTGTGCAAATTCAGTTTGTTAAGGACATCAGTATCTACTCCGAGTCGACCTTGAATGCGGCCTCGATAGGTCAAGGATGCTACAAACTTGAAAGTGCAAAGGCTTTCCTTGAAATTGACCTTCTCCACCTATTCAATCAATGCTGCATGCGAGTGGAACACACCTAGTCCTTCTACCTGCATAAAATACCTTGTTACAATCCTATCAACTTCTTCGAGAAACGGACCACTGCTACCTTATCTTCGTCAACGTCAAGCAACGCAAGCAACTTTTTCTCCCCATTCTGCAAAGATTGATGTCTAGTACTTGTCGCACTGCCAGAATAAATTCATTATCTCTTGCAGTCTTGTTTTTGTTTTCATCTACAACAATATTAGTGTTGCATGATGTCCAGACAGATGCATTCTGCACATATATGGAGAGGTTTGAACTTCGAACGTGTAGGAGAATCGGGATTGATAAAACTTCTTGTATGCTCCTCATAGGATACCCTCCCAGAATTTGCCCTTCCCTAAACTTCATCTCACAGATCACAAGTTCACAAATCCATAATGTTAGCCTTATAATCCTCGAGCTCACTCAGTTGCACCTGTAGTAGTTTCCGACCATCTATCTCATCTGCGTCTCCATACATGACTCGAAGAATCTAGGACAGGCTCTCGTTCGAACATCTATGCACAGCTCTCTTACAGTAACTTAGAATAGTACATGTTCATGTTGTGATTTCCAGTTTTGGTTTCATCATCAAAGAATGCATGGAAAGTAATTTTAATCAAGAATGTCAGGTATTGCTGAAAGTGGCAACTTATGTCATATTCAGCCATGTATTTGTTGTCTGGAATGTGAAAGTGACCTGAAATTGACGAATGGAATGAACGAACGGAGAATAAATTTGTGCGTGCGTGAGTGCGCGAGTCCAAGTCCAGGCATCAGATTAACAATAATACATAGTAATCCATATTGTCGAGTCCATTACAAATCAATCAAGCACCTATATGCACGAAATTAACCCATCGTTCAGTCGGAATCCCTTCCTGTGCTCTCAACTCTATAGCAGCTCCCCGAAGACCCGCAGCTGCCTTCTTGTACCTCGGTTCACCGTCCTCACATTCATTCATATGTTCATAAACCGCTCGTGCAAAGAAAGGCCCATCTTCATCATATAGCTCCCACATTGTCCCAACCACGCTTCGGAATCCACTGAATTGCATAGCTGCTGATAGATGGAGTGCCTCGTCGTGTGCACCAGTACGGAAAAGCTCGGCGGTATGGCAGGCAGAAAGAAATGCGAATTCGGCATTTGGAACGTTTGCTCGGATGATATCCAACAACGTCAACTCGCGGTCGGAGAGCTTAAAAGAAGAGTTGAAAGGCTTTGGGTCCAAGTGACCATGACATGCGAAGTGAACCCATGTAACTTTCTGGAGACGCTCCATTACTGTACGACGAGATGCCCTACGATCGAGCAATATTGTGGTTCCTGGTTTGTCGCTGCCCAAGCAGTTCCGGACGTTACGAATTTCCTGTCGTGTCGATCGTAAAGTGGCAGTATCTCCGACGACAAGCAATTTCGTTCCGCCTGTATTGCCACCAGATCGGGCATTAATGAGTGCGTCAAGTGTCGGAGTATATGACGAAATGTAATCATCTAACAGGTATTTTATAGAACCATCGACGTCCTCGAATGGGCCCGCGGCATGGAATGGTAATGCAGATAACACGGATGTTGGACACCACCAGATACGAGTGCCTTTTGGGACCCCAACTTCTTTAAGTTTGACCACGACATTAGAGACCACTCTATCCCAAAGCATCCTCAACGTTTTGCGAAGCTTCTCGTCATAATCGGGTGAAGCCGCTCCACAGCGTTGACGCGCGTCCGAGAGCTCGTTGCATAGGCCAATACTATCTTCATAGAAAGCGTTGTCTAATGGAACACAAACGACCGACAGATTATCATGGGCGAGTACGATAAGCGCATCACATCGATATTTACTGTGATTGACAAGGACGACTGGTCCCTCCGATGCGGCCCTCAGTAGTATCTTAAATGGTGTGGCTTCAAGGAAGTTTTCGAACCCCGGAACTTGTCGAATGTCGTCAATAATCTCTTGCTGCTCATTTAAAAGTTGCTTTTTCAGTTTCAACAGCTCGTCAAATGATTTCCATCTTGACTTGTCGTCCGGCCTAAGCGACCCACTTTCATCCCTGATTGGTCCAGTCATTAACGCTTCGTGCGATGTTGCGAGATTCTCCAGATGGTGACTAACTTTCCGGAATCTGTCGCCGAGTTCTCTGTTCATCTGCGCAAGTTGATCCAAAGGCGTCCTCAGGACACGCAGCTGCGACCAAAGTAAGCCTCTTCCTTGCTCGAGTATCTCTACAGCTTGCTCCAATTCATTCTTCTCAACTGCGTAGGAGGCTGCCTCCATTGTCAACATTCTGTAGACATTTTTCCCGGTAAGGAAGTCGTGCTGTTCAGTGAGAGTTGGACTGACGGTGAGAGCATGTTGAAGTATCGATATTATCTCCTTGTAAGCCTTGATAGTAGTGTTATGGCTGTGTGATCGCGCGAGTTCTGCCCATCGACGCGCGGCAAGAAGGCGATCCAGTAATCCTGAGAACTGATGAGTAGCAGCGAGCTCCAGCAACCGCATACAGTCGTCAAACTCATCCATGCTCCATCTTTCCTTGATTCGAGCATATGAAGATAATGCGAGGTTCTTCAGTGACACAGAACGATGTGGATGGCCTTCGGGGCGAAGCCCGAGAGCGGCTCGGTGCATCTCGATAGCCTCTTCAAGATCCTCGGCCCGTCCATGCCGATTGAATCGGGTGCTCAAAGACATTGCAAGGTTGTCGAGAGAAACAGAACGACTAGGATGATCTTTGGGGCGAAGCTCGAGTGCGGTTCGGAGCAACTCGATGGCCTCCTCAAGGTCTTCATTCCTTCCATGCCGATCGTACCGGGCGCTCAGAGAATACGCGAGGTTGTTGAGAGAAATAAAACGACGAGGATGACCTTCGGAACAAAGCTTGAAAGTGGTTCGGTGCAGTTCGACCACCTCCTCGAGATCCTTGGTCCTTCCATGCAAATCATACTGGGTTCTCAGAGAAATTGCAAAGTTATTGAGAGACGCAAAACGTTCTGGATGGCCTTCGGGGCGAAGCTCGAGGGCGGCTCGGTGCATCTCGATGGCCTCCTCAAGGTCTTCAGTCCTTCCATGCAAATCGTAACGAGTGCTCAGGGAATCTGCGAGGTTGTTGAGAGACAAGGAATGACGAGGATGGCCCAAGGGACAAAGCTCGAGCGTGGCTCGTTCCAGCTCGATGGCCTCCTCAAGGTCCTCAGGCCTTCCATGCTGCTTGTATCGGTTCCTCAGAGAACTTGCAAGGCTGCTGAGAAACATAGAACGATGAGGATCGCCCTCGGGGCGAAGCTCAAGGGCAGCTCGGTGCATCTCAACAGCCTCCTCAAGATCCTCAACCTTTCCATACTGCTCGTATCTGGTACACAGAGAACTTGCAAGGCTGTTGAGAGACATAGAAAGATCTGGATGGCCTTCGGGACGAAGCTCCAGGGCAGCTTGGTCCAACTCAACAGCCTCCTCAAGGTCTTCAGTTCTTCCATGCTTCCGGAATCGGGTCCTCAGAGAATTTGCAAGGTTGTTCAGAAACATAGAGCGATCAGGATTGCCTTCGGTGCAAAGTTTGAGGGCGGTTCGGTGCACTTCGATGGCCTCCTCAAGGTCCTCAATCTTTCCATGTCGCTTGTATCTGGTGCCCAGAGAAATAGCGAGGCTGTTTAGAGACATGGAACGACCGAGATGACCTTCGGGGAAAAGCTCGAATGCCGCTCGGTCTAATTCGATAGCCTCCTCAAGGTCTTCAGCTCTTCCATGCTGCTTGTGCCGGGTCCTCAGAGAAGTCGTGAGGCTGTTGAGAGACAGAGAATATTCAGGATGACTTTTGGGACGAAGTTCGAGGGCGAATCGGTGCAACGCGATAGCTTCGTCTATATCTTCCCATTGACCCCATCGCTCGTATCGCGTCGAAAGGGAAACTGCGAGGTTATACAGCGATTCCGAACGATCGGGATGTCCTTTAGGGCGAAGTCTCAGAGCTGTACGATCGTGAGCAATAGACTTTTCGAGTTCTTCACGTTCCCCCGATTGCTCGAAGCGCTCCCAATATTCAAGGGCAAGGTCGTGATGCGTCCAAGGGTCACAAGGTTCATTGAATCCCACTGGAGAGTCTTGAATTGCAGAAGCGTACGATTCCATGTTTTACATGCTCTCCCTGGATTTGCACTGATTACTATGCAAACCTTGCAGCAAAGAGCAATAAGCTAAACAGAAATGCATTACCTGGAACTACTACCAGTAACCTGCCTTTGCTCTTCTTGTTGTATACAATACGTATACTTGGGCAATTGTAAGCACTATGTGAAGAGATTGGCTGCTGAGGAATGTCAGGAAATAGTAGACTAGTGCTTTCTTTTTTGTGAACTGGCTGTGAAACGTGTACAGCACAAGGGACTGGCAAGCAGCAGGCAGAATGTTGGTGATAAAGAAAGAGGCACGTGTTGAAGCACTCAGGCTGGTCATGCTCGGTACCATGGTCCATGGCAATGATAGATTGAGTACTTTTAGGTCACATGATGCAGGAAAGTGTTCGGATTACCTAACCCAAATTCTACTGGGCTCTTAGCCAATAGTTCTTCTCCTTTTGCTTACTGTGTCATTATGTGATTATAGATCTGCTGTAGGTCAGTTAGGGAGAAAACCCAGAAGGGGTCTAATTAGAGAGACTCTAGGGTCCCTTTTACCCCTCCTAACTAGATTCAGTAGAGTAAGTATCTTAGGTGCAAAGTCATGTGAGAAGACGTGTTGGATATAGAAGAGGAAAGCAGTGATTGTCTAAGCTCTTCTCTACCTGGGATTATTGTGAGAAAATAGCATTGCTGTACTACCACAGTTAGTGCTTCAGCACAACCCCAAGGGCAAGGATTATCATTAGATCCTGTCCATTAGCTCCTGTCCAGACACATCATAAATGGACTATCTCTGTGGCCCTGGATCTCTGTAGCAATCTTGTCTAGCTAACAGAAGCAATGTACCAACGTGCCAGGCAGAGCTAAAGACCATCTATCAAGTGTACACCTTGACTGTTACAGCCTGTAATAGAAATAATTGTTGTATTATAACTGGAGCAAAGCAGAGAAACTATTCCGTCCAAAATCTACAAATGCATTTCTATTAAAACCAAGTATAATTTCGCATTACGCTTTATCATTCCACCTAAATTAATATCATATAAAATAGAGTGAGTATGGGACAAAGCGTATTCATCCGGAAAAATAATAAAAATCACGACTTACAAATCCAAAAACAACTTCCAAAGTATCGAGAACATCAAACCCTGCAACCCATTCGCAATTATGCGCGTCTTCAAGCCTCTACCAAATAGACCCTTCAACCCATCTGTAGCAATGACAGCACGTGCAGCGGCAGTGTACGAAATCTGTGTTGCGTTTACTTGACGGTAGGTTTTGACGACGCGGAGGGAATTGGAGACGCTGTCAGATATTACAGATGCGCAGAAGCCGATTAAGGCTTGACGGAGGAGCTTTTGTACGAGGGTTGTCGGTAATGGGAGATTTTCGTCGAGGAAGTTGTATGTGCCGAACCACTAATGCAAAGGCTAAGTGAATGAATATCGGGGGGGGGGGGAGGAAACGTACAGGATAATATCCTACGAACGTTGCAGCGGCAGTAGCGAGTGCACCGTACCATAGTGTTCCAATCCCATGAGTCTTAATCTAAAATAGGGAATTAGCACAACGTCAGTCATTCCTGAGCCATAAGACTAGAAAAGGTTAACTTACCCTATTCCTTAATATCTTCAACCCATCCTTTCCCTGAGTCTGCATAGTCGTCTTTACCGTATCCACCGGCGTCAAAAAGATCCTAAACACCGCTGCCGCAATACCAGCAAAGACCGTCTTGATAAGGGAAGGAAGTTTCCTCAAGTATTTGTTTCCTTTGAGCAATGCAAGAATTCCAACGTTTGCTGCAGTGTCGCCAAAACGCGAGACTGGTCCTTGTATAAGTGCAGCGGTGAGCCCTTGGTAATAACGCGTCCAACCGCCGTCGTGGTATAGCGTGTGGATGGCCTGGGTGGTACTGGTGCCGTAACGATATTGGTAGTTCATAACCGTCCGGAGTGGCTATATTACAGTAGATTAATATCATGAGTTAACAGCATGTTTATCCAGATGTATAATCATATTTACCATAAGTGTCAAGACCTGCAAGACCATGGCTTTCGAGATAACAGACATATGAATATTAACCTTTTCAAATTAATTAACACATAACTTACCTGCAGCTCCGCTTAGCCCACCCCCTAGGGCACTCTTCAGAGCCTTCCCGAGGTCGAACTATGTCATACGGGAAGAAAATTAGAAAGTTCCAGTCGGCGATAAGGATTGCCTCCACGCACCTCCACGTCGTCAGCATCGGTATAACCTTTTATAATAACGACTAGAAGCGCAGCAACTATCAAAACAATAACAACATTCCGCAAAACCACTCTCGTCGAGATTCCCTTCGCAGTAACTTCTTTACTGGTGGGGAGAGTAGTCTCTTCAGGAGTGAGCAGTGCAGCAGACTCGTCTGCGATAGGTCCGCTTAGACTATTATTATTAGCTTGATAAGTGACGGTAGTAACAGCAGGGTCTATGAGCGGCATACGGTCGCCTGGCGGAACTGCATCTGCTGTACTCATGCTTGATGGTGCTGAGTACTAGTGATAGTACTGAGAGTAACAATGTGCGAGAAGCCCGCAGCTTCAGGCCGTCCAGCGCCATTGTCACTGAGAAGGCCTTAGTCAGTGAACACGCATGATGATGTGTGAAATTACGGCAATAGCGTGCTTGACGATCGCCGGTGATCAACGTTTTTGAGGCAATCCGCCATCGTCCCTGTCCCTAAATGAAGTCGCTGCGGTCTAACTGAAGATAATTAATAATAGACATTCACATAACAATTCGCTAGGGAGACTGTAGGGAAATAGGAAAACCCATCGATGCTGCTGATGCTCCGATACGGATTATATATATTTAATCTCCTCCCTTTATTTCAGGCCGAAATTTGCAGACTCTCTGAACAACGTCATTGTGAAATTCATGCGCCCGCCAGACTGTATATCTGGACCCTGAGACATCTAGATGTCCAGCCAGCATGCTTCCGTATGGTTCCTGGAATGAGAGGAGGTATACGGAACATTAATCTGGATGCCAAGAATGCTGTCGGCGTATCGAGACTCTGGTTGTCTCACCCAAGGTTACGTGAATTTCGCTCGATATCAATCCCCGCCACGCTCATGCTGATTCGCTCAGGCAGTGGCGGTAATCTGAGACTGTCAAAACAATGGACGACCACAATGCTATCAGTGGCTTTGACAACCAGATTTGGTGCACTGCAGTGACAATATCATAAATAGTGCACTGGCTTTGTGTATTCGATATATGATCGTGGAAAAGTGCAAGAAAGTCGCACATCGCTCAAGACTCTCGGTAAAAGATTGGAAGCAGCCACTCTGAGTTGGCCAAGGTAGGCGGATGGGAGCGGATGTCAGAATAAAATAATAAGACATCATCGCGATCAAGTGAATCCGTCATGCGGTGTGCACGATCCGCAGCCAATTGTAAGAGGGTGGTAGTCATACGAAATTCACAAACCGGCGCTGATGACCGGCTGCGCAAAAGCTGGGCCTTGGGAGAATTAGGGAGATGGAGATGGTTGCTAGCCTGCTATTCTGCTTTATTGGCTCTGCCCCTTAAGACGGCTGACTTGGTGGAGGAGACAGTCTGGTGTATGAATGTGAGGTATTTTTTTTTTCGAGCACGGGTCGACCGAGGAAAGGGACAGTGACCGGGACAGGCAACTGGACCATGCACTGGTTGCTGCGGAACACGGGAACGCTGCACCGATTTCTGCCTAAAAAGGAAGGTCAATCATGTTTAAAAAAGTACCCGCTCCAATTGCCGAGATGCGCCGTTGCACCGCCAACCTCGCACATGGATCCCTTATAACATAGCGTCTTTCGCCACTTTTCTCTCTCTCACTCACCTTCACGACACCTCTTGCAACCACTCCGCAGCCGGTTCCTGCGTTTATTCGTCCACATTCAAGCATTTTATCTTCGTCGTAATGTATTCCCGACTTGCTATCGCCTCTTCTGCCCTTGTCTTGGCCTCCGGAGTTGCAGCGTATGTTCATTCTTCACACCCCGTTGACTCACGGTAATTTGCTGACCAAATACTGCAGTATCAGCCTCTCCTCGCAGTGCCAGAGCACCCTTTTAACTGTGGCTTCCTCGCCTGATTCAACTTGCTTGAACGTAGCCGGGCTCGCTGGCTTGCTCACGACTCCCCAAAACCAATCGCTGGTCCAGCCAATCAACACTTGGCTCGCGGGCGCTTGCGGTGAGGACCCATGCACGAACCAGTCTTTGGCGGCTATTGTGCAGAACATCACCTCGGGATGTGGCAGCGACTTGTCCTCCATCGGCTTTGATAACTCGTCCACCGGTGACGTCGTGTCCGTCGTCCAGCAGGGATACCCGACGGTCCGCAAGATCGCTTGCTTGAAGCAGAGCTCGAACAATTCGCTTTGTGTGACGTCACTCCTTACTCAGATCGAGCAAGCTGAGGGTCAGCCGTTGAGCATCGAAAACATTATGAACGATCTGCCGGCGATGGTCATGGGCCAGGCCAAGAACGTTCCATCTTCTATCGCTTGCTCGGATTGTGTGAAGCAAGCGTATACTGTACTTAAACAGGACGAGCCAGCAATCGCCTCTAACACTGATGTCTCGAACGCTCTGTCTTCGCAGTGCGGTGCAAGCTTCATCGGTAAGTATAACAACTGAATTTACCTGTCTTGACATGTCGCTTATAATTCTTTCATTAGATGGTTCCGCTGCAAGCAATATTGTCGAGGGTACTGGCACAGCTGCCCCCAGCGGTGCTGCAAACGGTGCTATTAGTTTCAGCTCCCGTGGAGTATTAACGGGTCTTGCTGCGTCTGCATTGGCTGCTGTTTCTTCCGCATTCTTCGTTCTCGCATGAGATGCTTTACGACGCCTCGTTTAAGGCCCTGACAATGGATTTTTGCTCACCGGACATCTACCTTACATGTCTTACGGACTTTTAACCCATTAATTATTGTATATACGTCTTGTTAAAATCAATTCTTATATGCGTCACTATATTACGTAATCTGACGTGGATTGAGAAGAGTGCCTCAAGTCGAGACAGGAGTATTCCGTCTGCAGAGCTGAAGCCACGCTGTTTCTTCATTTCCTTACGGCGACGAAGAGGAAGCAGGCTAATGAGAAGGGTTGGGGCATAGGGTGGAAGCAACCTATTAATCACCAACGAATTCGACGACTGAAGGCTTGCTCAGCTTCAGTCACGACTCAGTCTATTCAACTTCTGATGGAGAGCCCCTCACGACGACGTGTAGAGACCCCCAGACCCGAAGCGGGACTTGCAGAATGGACTAATAAGATCAAAGCGCTGCAGCGAGACGTCGATGCGGATGGGGAAGCTGAACAACGCAAGCTCGAGGATGAGATTCGTGCGTCTCGGCTTGCGCGTAGTCGAAGGAGTGGAGGCATGCAGTTCACTGGGAAGGTTCCATTGAATGCCAGTCCGGATGACAGAGGTACTTACATCTAATTGTATGTAAAGAAATGGACAGCGCTGATGTTTAATGTATATTTTGTGTAGGTTCTAACCCTGCTGAAGCGCTCCGCAAGTTAACTGGCGAGCCAACAAGCCCGTCACACACTACTCCTGTTACTAGTTATGCTGCAGAGCGGAAGCCGGCTCCATCACCCGCTGCGACGAAACCTGAGCCAATGTCGCTCGCGGCATTCATGGGAGGAAAAGCAACGGGTCCGCGATTGAACCGTCCCACACCGCAGCCCGATGCGCACGATCCGACGCTTTTCGAGCAGCGCACCCGATCGGACATCAGTGCGCCTCATCCCGTGTTTGGGAGTGGAGGAGTCGCGCTGGTAGGCCTTGCGGGGAAGGGGAGGGAAGTGGTTGAACCGAAGGCTCCTGAGAAACCAGCCTTTGACGAAGCTCCGAGTGTTAAGCAATCAGCAATTCCTCCTGCTGGAAATGTTACGACTGCGGCTGGAGAAGGAGTGCCTCCCACGAGGAACTGGGCGCGCGAGAGGACAGTTAGTTCACCGTCGCCCTACGTCCCGCCGAAACCTGTAGAAAGGTCACCTCCGCCTGTTATCACGACGGGAGCACCGGGCGTTCGAGGTCGTGTCGAATCCCTCTATGCTCACGCAAACCGCTCTACTGAGCGTGTTCCTACCACGCCTGTGTTACGCAGCTCGAAGAGTACAGACAAGATAACACAGCCGCCTGCGGCACCTGCGAAGCCCGAGGCCTTGCGGAAGCCACCACCCGCGACCAACGAGAGTCCGGCTCGAGTATCACCAGCTCCTCTTTCCGCCTCCGTTTCGACTCCACCCCCGAGAATTCAAACACCTACGTCGTCCACTTCTCAGCGAGCGACCTCTGTTTCTCCCCCCGTTTCCACACCTTCGCTAGTACGGCCCATCCAGCCGCAGCAGCGGCCATTATCAACGGGTCCACAAATTCCGCAGGCGAAGAACCTTGCACCTGCGTTCCTTAAGCCTGCACAACCAAAGGATCTCACTCCGAGTCTTAGCAGGCTACAAGGTCGTGGATTTGTTCAGAGCTTCGTCAAGCTTTCTAGCGAGATAGAGGCAGCGGCGAGTAGTGGTTCGCCGGAACGTCCAGCCAGTGCCACTAGTCCATCGCCGAAGAGATCAGTCCTTGATCGATGGAACCCACCAACTCCGAGCCCGAAATCGTCACCTATATCTGCGCCTCCGCTGCGCAAGGCGAAGACATTTGATACAGCGCGGAATGTTCAATCAGATGTGTCTGCATCACCTACTCCTGCGCCTGCTCGTGAGTCTGTCCGACCGACACCTCAGCCCAAGCCTGCATCGCTGTCTAGCGCGGCCAAAGCTACACCGACAAAGGCAAAAAGCGTGCCTGCACCAGGTGACGTCCTACCTCTTGGCTCGTCGAACACCCTCATTTCGTACATCAAGCCAACGAAAACAGGTGACGCTCCTGTTACTGATGCACAACCTGCGGCTCGCTCGAAGACCCCGAACAGACATATAGATGAGACCACCTCTAGTGTTGATGAATTAGGAGTACGCCCGAAGTCACGCAGCTCGAATTCTAGGTCGTCCAGCCCGACGAAGCCTGCTTCACGTCAAAAGGTGGACTTGGCGTCTTCTCCTGTGCCGAGTGGACGCCCCTTGAACCATGTGCGTTCTCTTTGGTAGCTGTTGTGTGTGATTTTAGAGTATTGATAATTTCTCTGCATTTTATGATCTTATTTTGCAATGTAATGGACCTGTTGTTGGATTACGTTTATTTAGCCTACGAAAGATAGGGCGAAAATACGGCGGCGAAATGCTAGTGGGCAGGGTTCCTCCGAGGACAGTCATCTTGTGCAGTCGGCTCCTGCACTAGTTGGGCGTCAGGCTTTGGAACCTTCACCTGAGCAAATAGAGGTAAAGCGTGCGGTATTTCCAAGTCAAGTGGCAGTTGCCACAGCTAACCCAGGAACTCCGCCCTCGTCTACCTTATCCAGCCAACAAGGACAACAATCTGTTGCACCGACTCCACCAGTTCGTGGTGAGAATGTCCGACGACTACAAGATACATGGGTCAACCAAGCACCAATCAGTGTCAAGCAAGTGCGCAAGCCACCACTTGCGACTCCTTCACCAACAAGGACGTCCTTCGGTGCACCACAAATAGCACTAAAGGCAAGCAAGCAGCCACTTCCAGGTCTCGCAGTTGCAGTTGAGAACACACAACCGGCTGGGTCTCCACCTTCACCGCCGTTGACTCCACCACTAAGTTTAGCTGCACGACAAGAGAGGACAAAGTCACCGTCCAGTCCAATGCGCCATAGTAGGATACCGAGCACTGGGTCTCGTGCTACCGTGATGGACGTAGCGCAGGCGTTTAATGATGTTACTTCTCCCGCATCGCCTACAGCAGCTCCGACATCAGCGACTGATCCACTCGCACGCTCTGGTGAAGAAAGGAACTATGAGCGTAATCCCGGAGGCTGGGGTGAACCAGAGGACGAACGCACGATTACTCCGGCAATGATGAAGGCTGAACGCAGACGTTCGAATTACGAGAAATATGCCAGTTTCATCCTACCCGCACTCCCGGAAGAGAAGACGCCTGTGTCGAGTCCCGTAGGGACTCTGAAGAACGCCCCAGACGTCTCAACTCTTGATAGAGGCGTAGAAAGCGAGGAAAAGGTTGAAGCGCGGGTTGAGAGACCGGTACAAGCAGAGAAACCCGTTCCACCAAAGAAGCCTGACTTTGCACGAGTCCCGTTAAAGGTCGAAATCGGTGCGTAGGCATCCCATGATGTAGTCCCCCAACCATCTGTTACGCATATGTAGATAATGACAATGGACAATCTGTTTTGATTTTGATTAGATGTTGTGGATGAACCTATTCCGGCGATTAACATTGCGAAGATTTGGGATGCGAGTCCTCCGAGGTTTGTCCCCGATCCGGACGTGCATACAGTCTCGGTCGAGGTGTTGAATGTTGAGGGTGGATCTGCGACGGAAGTTACGAAAGGCACTGATAGCGTGTTTGTGTTTTATGATACTGAGACGATTGCAATTGTGCATCGTGCAAAATCTCGCTCCTCTGGGCTCGTCACTTCGAAAGTGTGGGCTTGGAGTGGGAGGAAGGCGCAAGTTGGAGAGCTTGAAGAGAGAAAGATGCAAGATCTCGCGAAGAGGTATGGGACGTCGTTGATGAGATGTGGACAGTGTGTGGAACCGCAGGAGCTCGTAAATGTTTTGGGAGGCTTCTTAGTTGTGCGACAGGTGACTACATCGGTCGTCGTTCCCGCTCCCATTTGTAACTAATGATGTCTCGTTCTTAGGGCAAGCGTTCATTGTGGTCGTCGGAGAACACGACGATGCACATGGTACGGTCTTCGGCTGGTTTGATCGTGATAGACGAGGTCGACCTGGTACGCAACTCTCTACTAGGTCATTTTGAATACATCTTAACTTGTTTATCAGAACGTCAAGAACCTCTGTTCCGGATTCAGCTATTGCATTTCGCTACTAGATACATTGTGGGTATGGTACGGGTGCGGTTCTGTAGCAGCCGAGCGGAACGCCGCACTGCGATACGCACAGACTCTCCTCTCCAAGGACTCGGACAAGAACTTGGTTGAGGTGGAGGAAGGGAAAGAGGATGAAATGTTCTGGATGTTCCTTGGTGACGACGGATACGCTAGTGCTAGCTACTGGAAGTGGCGAAAGAGCGATAAATGTGGAGAACCGAGATTTTGGAAGGTGGATTGTGCCAATACAGGGTCAGAGGTGCGTTGCACTTTATTGCTCCTCGACGACTAATTATAATTATGTGCAGGTCAAGGAATTGGAAACATTCCCCTCCCCAATCGACGTCTCCAATTCCGTCCTTGTCATTCATCTTGCATACGAGATTTTTGCTCTAGTCGGCTCTGCGGTTCGAGGACAACGACGCAACATCAAGCTCGGTTTAACACTTGCTCAGGTCTATTTCCTCATCTAGTCCACTGAAGAGATTCTTGACTGACATACAAATTGTATAGGAATTATCTTCGCATACCGCACGCTCGAAGCCTTTCCGTCCGCCTGTCCATGTCCTGATATTCCCTTCTCAAGTCCCTCTGGACCTCCAGGCTGCAGTTCGTGGACTTGATGCTGATGCGCTCGTGAGTCCATCCAGTCTACTTGTTGTTTGTCAAACTACGTATTAATCATTTGTATTATTGAAGCATGGATCAGACGATGTGCCGGATCACATGAACTTACTCACTCTAAACGATGCTTGGATACAGGTTCGCTCCGCCTTTTCGTGCTGCCAATAAAATTCGGTTTGATTAAACATTCACTTCGTTTATAGCTTAAACAGAAGGTATGGGAACAGAAGGATCTAGAGGATACGAATATGATGCCTTTGGGATTCACACCGTCTTGATATTATGTTTTTGGATGATTTTTTTGACATTAAAGACTGATTGATCAACTGACTGCTTGACTTCTTGCATTTGTACAATGACACTACTGTAACGATAACAATTCACGATCATTATGCAACTCCTTTCTACGGCGGATAATTGATGCAAAGTGTAAATGGAAGAATTACATTGTAATCCCAGAAATGATCTAGAGAGCCCAACGCCCGACCTTTGCACTCTTTTTGAATGCGCTCATCCATTGTGTATTCTTTGAGAGACTAACGACCTCAAATCCAGGAAAGTGTTCTTGTCGAGCACGGTCCACGTCCTGCTCTCGTGTAAACTCGACGAAGAAGCATTTCTTCGTACTCTTTCGTGGTTTAGTAGGAGAACCGTCGTGAATTTTAGTGCTGTTGGTGCAACAAGATTATACATGTCCCATGCCTGTTTACCATAGAGGAAGAATAGGACGTACATTTCTCCACACGTAGACAAGGCAGATCGAACTTCGTCTTTATCGTATATCGGAAGACAACGCACGATGGCTACTCGATCTTGACATTTTGTAATCTTGGACCTCTTGTTCCTTGTAGCTTTTGTGCGGGAATCCGCAGTTTCAGAAAGCGATAAATAAAGTGGTACGAGCTCCGACACATCGACCAGAGGGTCGACCTTGACGTCCTTCGGGAGGTACGTCTGCAGCGCTTGCCCTGTAGCGCGGATCTCTGCAAACTGGACGAAATAGTGCGATAATCCTGGGAAGTCTCGAAGACACTTCGGTGGCAAATCAAATGGGATAATTTTGATTCTGAAATATTTCTTAAAATCTCAGTATATAACACATTGAAATGTTACTTACATTTTCCCGCAGTTGGAAAACAGACCTGAGCATTCCTGTGTGGAAATCGTTCTTGAGCTGTCAACAATAATGACCCTTTCCATGCTGAAGTCATGCTCTGCTCAGACACTTGACCTTGAATTCAGAGGCGACGTGGTCAGGCACATGTTGAACATAGGTGCACGTGCCCAAGTGAACTTTAGCTCCGAATATTTACACGTATTTGGTCCAACATAATTCTTTGGCTATTACCTTATACTTTATTGTTAATGAAAGGCCATGTCTTTATTCTGTCGTTCTTAATTCAATCATTTTTCCTTGTTGAATTATTCATAACAACGTATTTCCAATCTATTGTTACATACTCTTAGATCTACGCAAGATAACGTTTCCCGAAAATACCCTCTTCATGAGCATTGATCTCTAAAAAAAGTGTCAGTCCTAGATGTCAATTTTCGGATCGGAATGGCATTCTTACGCAATGCAAGGAGCTTTGAGTAGAATCTACTTTGCGCGAAGTTTCCTATAGAAGCCAGAGGTCATGTTGTTTCTCCGGAGTATTTAGCCGCCAAATGCTTACCCATCGTAAAATACAGGCCAGGAACACCACAGTAGCGGAACATGGAATTAAGTTCACCCTCTTCGTTGAGGCCCCATAATGTCCCAGTTCGATTCGCAACATCATCGTTAACAAGGGATCTCACGAGCTCCTTTGCATTCTCGTATCTATTCAGAACAGTAAATTATGACATACTGGGAAGAGAAGTCGTACACTGAACGGATGCATACCCTGTAGCAAGGATCACAACGTCTGCTGGCAACGTTGAACCATTCTCAAATTCTATTCCATTTTCTGTGAATCGCGAAATAGTACTATCGTTCTTGAGTTTGATTTTGCCGTCGACGATTAGTTTACTTGCTCCAGTGTCTATTACACAGCATTAGAGTCAATTTTCAACTCATATAACCAACTTACCGAAGTAGAAACCACCTCCGCGACGATGATAAAGCATAATTACGCCAGAACCGTCCTCTCCCATGTTATACTTAAATCCTCGTTTCTTAAGTCCTTCAAGGAGTTCTCTGAAGCAGCAGTCAGTCCTTGTTCTACAAGATGGGAAAGCAGGATACGTACTTGTCCAATTCTGCAATCTCGGGCGCCATGCGTTGATGCATAAGTTTGGTGAACAAAAGTGGGAAGGATGCAGCTAATCTATCTGAATGCTCCGGAGGAGGCGTATCCTCCGCATACATTCCTGCGCGAAATGTTCAACTTTGATTCAGCATAATATCACTTGTTCCCTTACCTTGATTGAGTCTCTTTAAACCGTATTCCGTGGACATAATAAAAGTGGAACCTCTCTGAACCATAGTGACATCTAAGTGCAATTTATACTGAGTATAGAATGAAACATGTGCTCTAGGATAACGCACCAATGCCTCGTTTAGCATGATCGTGAGTTACATCATGGGCTATCTCGTTGTTAATCATTATACGAGTGATAGTCAAAGCAGGATGGCAAAACGAACCTGAAGTGCATGATCCGATAACGACAACCTTCTTGCCATCATGTTCTTTCGCACTTTTGTATTGCGTAGTATGAATGGTTTTCCCCTTGAAATCTCCCTGATAAAACACGCAGGTCAAACGGCTTCAGCAAAAGCAATCGATAAAATTGATGCGCATACAACTCCGGGGAACTTTGGTACTCTCGCTGGGCCGCCGAACACGCCAGTAGCGAAGATAATATGCCGTGGCTTGAGGACCCTCTTCTGCCCATTGCCTCGGGTCATGTAAACATTCCATAAAGTCTGCTCTGGCGTCCCGATCTCCTCTATCTTATCGACGTTTGTATGCGTCCAGATGTTCAGTTCGAGAGCCTGAGCGTAATACTCGAGCCAGTCTGCAATCTGAGAGAACGAACACATCAATGGATCTGAGTTGACTAAGTAGAGAGAGGCCTGCCTTGGGCGAGGGTGTCCAGAGTGGCCAAGTGGACGGGAATCTGAGCGACTGATCTTTAATGAGCAGAATTTCAGGTCATATAAGTTCGCTCACGGAAGATAAGGCATATGTATCACATCTAGGAAAGGTAAATCACGCTAATCAGCATGGTTGTAGATACAAGGAACAGTTGTACTTACGAACGGGATCATGCAAAGACAGAGCTTCATATCGAGTGCGCCACGAGTCGCCGACACGCGGATGGCGTTCGACAACCAATGTCGGTACACCTAAGTACTTGAGGCGCGCTGCGATTTCAAGCCCGCAGTGACCTGCGCCAATGACAACGACTGCCGGTTCCACATTCTCGAACGAAACTTCCCGCTGTCGAGATTCTAGCCATTCGTCTCCATGATTACTTGCAGTTGAGCGCAAGGGACCAATAAGTTCCGGGAAACCCTTCAGTCTTTCAAGATTTGTGTAAACGACATGAGCTTTCCACGGGCCAGCTGAAGTCGGCACCAATCGAAATACGCCAGAACCAATCCCGACGGAAGTCTCAAATGTGAATATGCCTTGGATCCAGGCAAGATCCGGATAAGGCCTTTGCAAAGTTACGCTGTCTTCATTCAATGTCATCTTCGATACTGAAACCAAAGCACCATGATTCACTTTCGAGGAGTCCGATAAGACATCTAAAAGAAAACGAGCAATCTTATCTCGGCCATGGAAGGTGCGGAAGTGCCAGGTCAAAGCTAATGTGTCGCGCCAGAATGAATCATCAACAAATAGGGTTGATACGGCCTCTCCATCACCATTTTCCAAGTAGCGGAGGAACTGCTGGAACCATTGAGATGCGATCAACTCAGCGTTCACTTCCTTGGGGGTTTCGACATTGAGTCTCGTGAGAGTTGGCAACGCTGGTTCATCAGAGGAAATCGACATTGTGGCAAGTGCTATAGAAATTTAAGCGAGACGATACGAATCTTTAACGGGTCTGCTTCGTTCAGAATATGGATAAGAACTCTGATTACCGACCACGGCATTCAGGGCAACAGCATGGCTCCATTCAGACTAATGATTTAATCTCGGCGGCATTTGATCGGGTTTAGTTAAGCTTGTGCCCGAGTGGGATTTTATCCCGTGCGTGATGTGAATAATATCGTGGTGCAGTGTCATCGTATAAAAATTGACACAAAACTGTCGATTCCAGTGGTACCGTAAAACAGGAGTGACGCCGACTGTACCTCACAGGTGGTATTTTACGTTCTAGAAGTACCACGACGACGACAAATAAGCTCTTTCGTAGCACGTGTTCGAGTTGCGCTGTGGTGTCCACAATCCTTTTCAGCTCCGTCAATTTTTTGATTATATCTATTCATGCTCAGCGAGGATAACTAACCTACTGTATAGCGATGCTCATACTTAGTCTCACAAAAATGCTTCTGCACTAAGTACAACGTTTCAATACGACTTGTCTCAAGTCAAGATAAATTAGAAAATAGATGAAGATGAAGTTCAGATGGGGATTATTTGAGGTGTGCGAAGACCTAAATGTGTTAAATAAAAACTGATAGCATTCGGGAGAGCTAATTCCCGCGACATATTCTCTCTTGCTTACCTCCTATGTCGGAGTTCTCAGTGTCACTGCAGCAAAGGAGGCCTACACTTTGCAAGTCCAGATATAATGAATCGACACAGCTCGGCGCGCAGTCAGACTTGCCGCCACTGCTAGGGCAGCATGTTAGCTCCGGAAGCTCAAACCTCCTTCACGTTGATTTTTTGCAGCGACGAGATGTCAGCTAAACATCGTAAACACAGAGAGTAGGTCGCAATAAAGCCTTGCAAGTTGGAACCGTATTTTTAAAAGATGCGCGAAAGGTACCCTGTAATTGACATAGTTCCTGGAGATCGTTTGACCAAGCTTAATCCAACTAGTTTCTGGAGCACTGTATCAGTCAACGTCGGCCCGAGCATAAATCATCGCCTCTTATTCAGAGAAAGGAAGGATTCATTCTGAGAGACTCACCATAAAGCAACCGAGATGGCATGGCAGAAACAGTCAGAGTTAGCGAGGTACGGTGCACAAGTGCAAAGTGCGATAGGCATAGGTGAAATCATCGCAGTAGCAGTAAAAGCATAGATTTATTTCTAGAGTAGTGAAGTCATCTAGATGCTGCATTGCCGATGTACACAACTGAGGTCGACGGCTACATTTAGTAAATGAGGTTCTTGGCCGTTAACATGGGCGACAGCGGCCAGGCGTATCATGATCCTTCATGCACCAAATGAAAACGAATCATCAGTATCCATTACCGGTTCCTAACTATGCTTGTCGTAGATGCCGGCCAGATCCAGTAAGAAGGGATCAGTGTCATGTCATGTAGAATTGGTAGATGTAAGAGCGGTTGGGACGGCGCAAAACATGTGCCGCAACTGGTCACGTGCTAACATGTACTTAATGCAAATTAGTCCATTTGGTAATTGACTACGCTTCCTTTTGCTTTATTTCAGTCGTGTAAGACAGGAACAATCAGAGCCAGGCTGTGTCAGCCAGCTACAACGCAAAGAAAACTCCATAATTTCTGCCAGTATGCGCAGAACCGGGTCACGAGATCTGTATCAGCCTACCTTAATTGAGGTCCAATGATGTCAAATGGCACATAGCTAGGAATGACACGCTCAGGCTGGACATTGTAAATTAAGTATGCGTTAGTGGTAGGCTCTTTCTGGCAAAGCTTTGCTGCGCCGAGGTCTCTATGACGCTGCCCCTGTCCATTCTGCGTAGTCGCCCTATTGTCCATAGATTAGAAAAGTGCAAACGGATGTTGCAACGGGAGGGATAAAGGTACATGGAGCTGGGACACTGTCCCCCATAGCATCACAGGCAAACATGGCTCTAATGTTCGCGTTGTTTTTGGTCTTCTCCATACTTACCAGCCAGGCAACGGCTGAAACACATAAAGTTACCTTTACCAACAAGTAAGTGGTCTTAATGTGTACACTGTGCCTCTTCCGATCTCGTATTGATAATTTTCTGCCACCGAAGTTGTGGACACGGTACAGTGAGTAGCTGCAGTCCTGCTTCATGCTGCCTTTTACTCACCTCTTGCATCAGCCCAAACTGGTTCGGGGTGGAAATGTCCTTTCCACAGGTCAAGATTATACAAGTAATGGGCCTTTCGAAACAGCCATAGCGTACGAGCCCCTGCTCCTGCTATTGATCTACTTATGCATGCACCCTTAATGTATCAACAGGTATCTTGATAATGGTAACTGTAAACTTAACGGTGAAGGATGCGGGACTGTCGAAATTACACTCAAGAACGGTGCAAACGGAGCTGCGAGCAGTGCCGACATATCATTGATTCCTCCGTGAGAAAGTCCATTTTAACCAAGTCGACCCATCTAATCGTCTCGTCTTTCTAGCCTCGCGTTTTCTGATGCCCTTGGATTCCAGTTTACCGGTTCATGCAACGGCGGTGCTTTTTGTCAGTTGATTCTACTGCATTCATTTATGAGAATGTTGGCTCACAGACCGGTTCATTAGGTGGTGATTCAAAGTGTAACACGGCATTCTTCAAACCCGACGATAACTGTGTGCAAGTGCAGTGCCAGCAAAATGATGTACGTTATGTGCTTTTTTCTTTCTTTCTTTCCATCCATGTCGTAACGGTATTTGTAGGCCGGAATCAACGTCATTTTCTGTGGTGGCTCAACCCATTTCACAGACTCGAGCCAAAAGGGCTCGCCCTGCAACGGCGCTGTTTCTAACAACTCCACCACAGCGTCAAGTGGTTCTACTAATTCAGGTACTAACACTAATACAGCGTCTAAGTTTTAAGTTATACAGCAATGCACTTTTATACCTGAAGCACTGGATGCTATTATAACCAGCCTCAGTTCATGTCATATCTAGAGTAGTGAATTACTGTAGTAAATATCCAATCGAGAAATACTACTCTACAGAACAGTTGTATACTTAATAGACAATTCTAACTTCATATCCCCCTATTAGTTGAAGAATATCAGTTACAACAATCAGGTGTAGTTTCTACTCTTGAGCCCAACTTTAGCTTTCTGGATTATAGTATATTTTCAGAAACCTCTTGATACTGTGTCTTTGTGCACAATCTTACGAATCAATGAGTTTATAATGCAATTGACGGTTGATTACAAGGGTCTTACATATATTTGGTACAGTACTGCATTATTGTCCGTTGTAATCAATGTAAACCTTTGTCATAGGAAAAAATTGCAACTATGTCTGGGAAGTAATTTATCCAGACGTGAACGATATCTTTATATCATTTCCTACTATTGTACACGGTCATATTGGCACTCATTTAGGACAACAGACCGGCTTAATAGGAATTCCCTTACGAAGGACCATTTCCATGGCACTCTTTTGATGATGTAATCGTAACTGGCGACCTCATGAAAGTGTACTGCACCGGGTTAAGAGGGGGAACGTGTAGACGTCCGAATGAGAGCCAATCAAGCATTTCCCGAATCAAGCATCAAGGCGTGTAATCGAGAGGGATGCTCGGAAAACCTGTGCGGACAGATAAAGCTGAGTTCGAGAATCACAAATTCCAGACTCTGGATCTGGAACTAACTGAATAAAGCTTGGCGAAGTTGCTAACAAAGATGGAGGATTTCTTGGAGAACATTATTCAGGATATTACTCTTTTCTCCGTCTCAATGGCGTTAGCAAAGTCATGCTTTGCACACAATGAAAAAGGATACCTGCAATGTATACAAGGACTTGAAGTCCATCGATCTCACTGGCAAGCGGCTGAGTTAAATATATGCATATGGAACGTGTTTATCATGTCCTTGCACAACTATGATGTTGATAACAGGTTTATAAGGGAAGGGCCGCGCGATCTGGACTAGCAGTGCACCAAGCACTGTGCAGATTCACTGGCACTATCGAACTTGAATGGGAAGTAAAGTTGTGATGCTTTCTTAAGAATTTGATCAGATCACGAAAGGGTTGCCTGTGGAGGTTGAAGGATTGGCTGAGTTAGACACTGGTTTTATGTCCATTAAAATAAAGTATATGAGTTCAAGAGAAGTCTTGCGGGTTCCAAATATCCTAAACCTGTTGAAGCATTCAAGGTCAAGTAATTTGAAAGACTGATACTCTTCACGGCCAAAATTCATACGTTTCATACCTAAGAATGTAAACTGCTACTATGCAACTCTGTATAGACTTATATGAACAGTAACATTTACTTTTTATTTGTTTTGCACACACAATATTATTATCTATACAGAACTTAGAGAGTATGTGTGTCGCATAATTCACGTTATTCATGTACAAGGTTCCATATCAAACGGAATACCTACGAACTCCTGGCATAATTGAGGTGTGTGTGTAGCAGGTCCAAACTTGGACGAAGACAAGGACAATGGTGGGCAGGGCATGGAGAAAAAAACTGTTGAGTAAGTGTTCAGTACTGTGACAGATCCCAATTTATTCTATCAAAGGCATTACAGTCAAAAACCGCTCCTTTAAACACAACCGTTCCTTTAAACAGACTGTAATATCTTACTCAAATCTTAATATTATTTTATGAAAATTTAATACAAGGTATTACTATATGACCCGAATGTATATATAAGATTTGAGAGAAATTGAGCAAGAAATAAAATTAAGAAAAATCAGACAGTTAAAGAATTTAGCAAAATTGTCCTGTAGTAAACTTTGCAAATTTTCTGGTGATATTTCTATTAATCCAATCAAGTTGAAACTTTGCATATATGATTATTAGTATCCAAAATATGTAATTCTGCAGTTTTTATTTTAATACACTGAGTTGTACAATTTATTAAAAGTAAACATTAAGAAAAGTCAAGAAAGCGTGACAGAGAGAGAAATGATCGACACAATGATGTAATTTGCCAAACCTTCGTGTGAGAATCGTGTCAGAGCATTTGCCATACCCTCGCTAATAAATTAGTGTTTTTTTACTCTTTTTTTCTACTTGCTCACTCTCTATTCTGCTTAGTACACTATGGTCAAGTATGCTAAGTCTAAATCTCTAAAAAAAAGGGAGGAATTGGAGGAAAGGGAGAGGAATATGGGTCAAGCAGTTGAGGCTTATCAGTTGGACCAAAAAAAGCCCTGGAGAGAGTGTCTAGGACTAAGAGGAGTGGCTAGTATGTTTAAAGGGGTTACAGTTGGAACATTAAGGAATAGGGCAGCTGTAATGAAGTCTATCCTGGAGTTTAATACTTCAAAATGCTGTTTAATGAAGGAGGACAATCAGGCACTTACAGAACTTATTTGGATCTCTTCTAATTGAAGCTGCCCATTCAGTCATAATGACATTGAAAGGGCAGCTAATCGACTCCTTGAGGCACAATATGGTACAAGTTACAAGCCTGTAGGACCTACATTTGTTCAGAGATTCCTGGAGTGTTATCATACCAAGCTAAAAACTTACTAGAGTTCTCATCTTGATACACAATGAGCAAATGGTCTAAATCCAACAGCTGTTAGTAAATGGTTTGACATTCTGGAGGAGGAAGTGGTTAAGAAGGGAGTCTTACCTGGGCAAATATACACTATGGACAAAACTGGTTTCTCACCTACTAATGATACTGTTAAACAAGTTATTAGAGCTAGAGGGAAGAAGATTCAGCATAAAAGTGGAGGTGGAAACCAAGAAAACATTACTACTATTGTTACCATCTGTACAGATGGAACATACACTAAGCCTGTTACTATCTTCAAAGGCCATAGTGTGTGGTCCAAATGGACAGAGAACAATATAGCCAATGTGAGGTATGTACCTATACTTCTTTATGAGCTCTTACTTAATAAGAGTAACAGGTTCACCAGCTCTCCAAATGGTTGGACAGACTGTGAAATAGTACTAGATTGGTTCACAAATCATTTTGAGCCTGAAACAAGAGAGAAAGCACATGGACACACTCAAGTTCTTATTGTTGATAGCCACAACTCACATTATTCATTTGAACTGTTAGAAGTAGCAGTTCAACACAATGTTGTGCTATTAGGGTATCCTCCTCACTGTACACATGCTCTCTAGGGCCTTGATGTGGTTTGCTTTGCACGGATGAAACGAATTTGGCAAGACATGGTTGACGATTTTGAGGCACGGATGCTATGAACTGTTGGGAAGCAGGATTTTCTTGGACTTTTTGGAAGGAGCTTTTTACTTGCCTTTGATTCACAGACTGTCCAGTCTGCCTTCTGAGTTACTAGAGTTCATCCGTTTGACTGTACTGTTATTACAGGTGATCAGATGAAGCCAAGTAAGGTGTCCTCAACATCATTGACCTTTCTGTTACCTCTCACAACTCCTGTTTGCTGGATAATGGCTGTATATCACTATCAAAAGCCTACAGGCTTTGATGTTGACATCTTAACACATATTCCAGCACCTAGCCACACATACACATTACTAAGTGAGCAGACCAGTTCTTGTGACAGTAGTATTATTACATACCAGTCTACTACTCCTGCTATTAATCCATCCATCAATCTGTTGCTCTTCACACCCTCAAAGTGTATACAGTTGATGTCTTTGTCTCTAGCAGTGTCAAAATCAGCAAGTTTCCTGGTCTCAAAAGAGCATGTTACTACAAAGCACAATCTGCCTCCACCTGTACTAGAGAGAGTCCTAGACACTCTTGGGACTCCTAATTGGAAGGAAGTAGAAGGATGCTTGGAAAGGCTATCAGTAAGCACTTGTTCAGGCAAAGACATTACTAAACTTACTAAGAACCTGATCCAGGTGTGTCAGCACATGCAAATCAACCAGAGTATTACTGAGGGTGCTCAGGCCCAGCTTGTACTTGCTACCATGCATAATGCAAAGCTACAAGGAGCACTGAATGAGAAGGAGAAGGGAAAAGGAGTGGAAAATGTATGCATCTTCAATGGTGGAATGCCCAAGATCTTTACATCCCAGCAGGCCTGTGAACAGCTCAGACAGTGCAGGGATGCAAAGGAGAAGGAAGAAATGCAGGCCCAGGCACGAAAAGACGAAGCTAGGAAGAAGAAAGACATTAATGAAATTATTGAGAAGGAATGGGAAAGGGTTAGGATGCACCATCAAGCAGAAACACAGAATTGGCTGGCAAGATGTGCTCAGTGGGAAGAAGAAGGCCTCCCTAAAGTATATTGGGATCCTAGACCAACTTGTTTGACAAAGCAGGAAGTCCGGAAACAAGTCCTTGAAGCACAGGAGAACGAGACGGCTGTATGCACAGAAGTAGCGTCTGGATGTGGTGAATGCAACCTAGACCTGTGTAGGTGCGATGCAAGATGGATCCAAGAGTTCCAAGAGTCACAGGAGTGAATAGAAATAAGCTAGTAGCTTTCAAGAGGAGGAAATTTTGTACAGAGAGAGACAGGGGCCCAGGAGGAGTTGGTAGGATAGTTGGAGCGTGCCAGCGTGACAAGAGTCACAGTCTGTTCAAAGGAGCGCTTTTTGTGACATTTCCCTCATTTTTTCTTGCCTCTCTATTAATTTTTTGGGGCACTCTATGCCTGTACAATTTTTACATAGCATACTAATCATAGTCTAGAATGTATATAATAGAAAAAAACAAGAAAAATTTTGTATAAAAAATTATGCGGAGGGTTCAAAAGGTTGTGTTTAAAGGACCGGTGAATGCCTGTAGGTAATTCCGCAGCTTTCCGATACATCATGTGATCTGGTCATATCATGTGTATGTTTCTTGGCCTCGGAATCCGTTCATAAGGAAACGATTGCCAAAGCAATGGCGGTTATCTTTGCCATTAAGCCCTATCATGTCCCTAGCATGGCCATTACAGCAACCAAGTGCCCACCTCTTCCCTTTCATCCACAACGTCCTGCTTGTCGTGTGTCACTGCAGTTCGCAATCCAATTGACAAAGCCAGTCCTTTGTGTTTACGATAATCCTCTGCAGCCACTTTTTCACATAGTGTGTACAGTCCCTTTATTGTTTGCTTTGCGTAGGACAAGAGAGTGAACGGAGGTTACCACTAGTACTTTAGGTAATGCATCTCTGTTTAGCTTAATGCTGTCTCGGCACCTGCAAAGGGATTGCGTACTGATCAATGCAAAGATAAAGAGAGTGTATGAGAATATGGAATCAAGGACTCGCGCAACACGAGATCTTCATGGGCGTGTCATTGATCATGATGATCCCGAGGCACATCATAATCTGGCTGTTGAATACTGGGAGCGCTTTGAGCAATCGGGGAAACGTGAAGAACTGGACAAGTCTATTGCTCACGATCGTGCGGCCCTCAAACTCTGTCCTGTAGGACATCCCAATCGTTCGGATTTGCTAAATAACCTTGCTATTTGTCTTTCAACGCGATGCCAGCGGTGGGGCCAAAGGGCAGACTTAGAGGAAGCCATCGAGTTGGAACGAGGTGCCCTCATGCTCCGTCCCGAAGGCTATCCCGATCGTTCTGCGTCTCTCAACAACCTCGCCATTTCTCTGATCACCCGATACAGGTACTATGGAACGTCTGGGGACCTTGAAGAGGCTGTTGAGATGTACCGGGCCGCTCTCGAGCTCTGTCCTGAAGGCCATCCTTATCGTTTTATTTCTCTCATCAGCCTCGCAAACTCTCTGAGAACCCTACATGCGGCACGTAGAAGAACGGAGGACTTTGAGGAAGCCATCGAGTTAGAGCGAGCCGCCCTCGAGCTTCTCCCGAAAGCCCATCCTCATCGTTCTTCATATCTAAATAGCTTTGCATTTTCTATACTCACCCGATATATGCAGCATGGAAGGCCTGAGGACCTTGAGGAGGCCATCGAGATTTTCCGAGCCGCCCTCAAGCTTCGACCCGAAGGCCATCCTAATTGTTCTTCGTCTCTCAATAGCCTTGCGAATTGTCTGATGACCCGATACAAGCTCCATGGAAGGACTGAAGACCTTGAGGAGGCCATCGAATTGCACCGAGTCGCTGTCGGCCTTCGTCCCGGAGACCATCTTGACCGTTCCTCGTCTCTTAACAACTCGGGAATTTGTCTGAGAGCCCGATATCAGCAGCATGCAAGGACCGAAGTCTTCGAGGAGGCCATCCAGCTGCACCGAGCTGCCCTTAAGCTTCGTCCCAAAGGCCATCCCGATCGTTCTTCGTCTCTAAACAACCTTGCAAGTTCTCTGACTATCCGATACGAACAGCATGCAAGGACTGAAGACCTTGAGGAGGCCATCGAGATGCACCGAGCCGCTCTCATGCTTTGTCCCGAAGGCCATCCTGATCATCATTCGTCCCTCATCAATCTTGCGTATTCTCTGAGTTCCCGATACGAGCAGCACGGAAGGAGTGAGGATCTTGAGGAGGCCATCAAGTTAGAACGTGCCACCCTCGAACTTTGCCCCAAAGGTCATCCTAATCATTTGGAATCACTCAACAACCTTGCAAGTTCTCTAATCACCCGGTACAAGCAGCATGGAAAGAGTGAGGACCTTGAGGAGGCCATCGAGTTGGAACGAGTATCCCTCGACTTTCCCCCCCGAAGGTCATCCTGATCGTTCTTTGTCTCTCGACAACCTTGCAAATTCTCTGAGAATCCGATACGAACAGCATGGAAGGACGGAAGACCTTGAGGAAGCCATTAAGCTGCATCGAGACGCCCTCGAGTTTTTCCCCAAAGGCCATCCTCATTGTTCCATGTCCCTTAACAACCTTGCAAATGCTCTGAGTACCCGATATGATCAGCATGGAAGGACGGAGGATCTTGAGGAGGCTATCGAGATGCACCGGGTCTCCCTCAAGCTTCGAATCAGAGGCCACCCTGATCGTTCTACGTCATTAAGGAACCTCGCAAATTCTTTATATGCTCGAATCAAGAAGCAATGGAGAATGGATGGGTTCGAAGAGTGTATGCAGTTACTGGAGCTCGCTGCTACTCATACATTCTCTGGGTCGACGGAGCGTCTTTTTGCTGCACGTCAATGGGCAGACCTCGCACGATCACACAACCATGACACCGTCTTCACGGCTTACAAGGAAACAATATCAATACTTCAGCATGCTCTCACCGTCAGTCCAACTCTCCGCGAACAGCATGACTTCCTTATTGCGAAAAATGACTACAGAGTGCTGACAATGGAGGCAGCTTCCTACGCGATTGAGAAGAATGAATTGGGGCAAGCCGTAGAGATACTAGAACAAGGAAGGGGCTTACTTTGGTCGCAGCTACGTGGTCTTAGGACCCCTCTGGATCAACTTGCTGAAATGAACAAAGAACTCGCTGACAGATTCAGGAATGTCAGCCGCCAACTGGAACATCTCGCAACATCGCACGAAGCATTAATGACTAGATCAATCCGGGATGACAGTGGATCACTTAGGCCGGACTGCAACCCAGGACAGAAATCATTTGACGAACTGTTGAAACTGAAAAAACAGTTTTTAAATGAGCAGAAAGAGATTATTAACGAAATTCGACAAGTTTCGACGTTCGAAAATTTCCTTGAAGCGACACCATTTAAGATACTACAGAGGGCAGCATCAGAGGGACCAGTCATCATTGTCAATCACTGCAAATATCGATGCGATGCACTTATTATACTCGCCCATGACAATCAGTCAGTCGTTTGTGTTCCATTAGACGATGATTTCTATAAAGATAGTATTCAGCTATGCAACGAGTTCTTAGAAGCGCGTCGGTGCTTTGGAGCTGCTTCGCCTAATTACGGCGAGAAGCTTCGCGAAGCGATGAAGATGCTGTGGGACAGAGTTGTTTCTAAAGTCGTCGATAAACTTACAGAAGCTGGTGTCACAAAAGGTGCTCGTATCTGGTGGTGCCCTACGTCCGTGTTATCTGCGCTTCCGTTTCATGCATCGGGGCCGTTTGAGGATGCCGATGGGACTTCAAAGTACCTATTGGACGATTATGTCTCGTCGTATACTCCGTCGTTCGGTGCTCTTATCAATGCTCGGTCTAGCAGTAATTTGAACAACCCAAAATTACTTGTCATTGGCGACACTGCCACGCTCGACTCGAGATTCGGAATGTTCGAAACGCTATGGGGGACTGCGAAACAAGCCCTACAGTACTCCTTGACCGTAGGGCAACTCGGCTTACGGTAATGAAAATGCTTCAGAAGGCCACATGGGTTCACTTCGCTTGTCATGGTCATTTAGACCCGAAGCCCTTTGACTGCTCCTTCAAGCTCGCCGATCATGGTTTGACGTTGTTGGATATCATCCAAGCAAACGTCCCAAATGCCGAATTCGCATTCCTATCTGCCTGCCATACTGCCGAGTTGTCCCATTCTGGCGCGCACGACGAAGCACTGCATCTCTCAGCAGCTATCCAGTTCAGTGGGTTTCGGAGTGTAATTGGGACGATGTGGGAGCTATACGATGAAGATGGACCACTCTTTGCACGCGTGGTGTACGAGTACATGAATGAATGCGAGGACGGTGAACTGATGTACAAGAGGGCGGCTACAGGACTTCGGAAAGCGGCTTTACAGCTGAGAGCGCGAGAAGGGATTCCTATTGAGCGATGGGTAAATTTTGTGCATATAAGCGCTTGAATGATGTAATTGGTTCTACACCGTGTATTGTTTATCTAACAAGAAGGTTTTGAATGTTCACACTTTCACTCGTGCACAAGTCCTCTGCCCACGTCGTTCGGCAATTTGTGTCTCGCTCCTCCTTATGTAAAGCGTGAAGCACAATCCTTTAATGATATTTTGGAGGAGAAAATATTCTGAGTTATAATCCGGTTGCATCATCTGTGCTGTTCCACTGAAATCGAGTTCAAGATTGTCATTCAGACGCCTTTATGCTCGTGCATCCATCGTGTGAAATTCTGACATGCCAAATGCACAACTGCACAAATCTTGATCCACTACTTGTGCTATTTCATGATGAAAGAAAATTAACAGGTACCAGGGCCAATTGTCCTACTTCATTGGAGCCATCATTGCATTCCCTGTGACTCTCCTACTCACATTTTTGCAGCGATGCGACTTTGAGTCAATGCCCCATGTCCAGCATAATCATGAGCTCAACATCAGTGTAACTCAATTTGGGTGCAAACCTGGAAAATGCCACTTAGATCAGGTTTGTAGGCGGAGGATTGGTCGGTTTGGAAAAAGATTGCGTCAGTAATGAATTTTGCGGCAGAGTATTGACCATTCCGTCATCATACTACTTCCGGGGGCTGCTTTGCATGTCGTAATTTTTTCTGTCGACGGATCGGAAGTGCAAACGGATATGCAGCGGGGCTATAAAAGTTACAGCTTGTTCCCCTGCCCCCTCTCCCAGGACGACGGGCAAACATGGAGTTACTGCGTGTTTTGTTGGCGGGCTTCTCGATTCTTATCAGCCAGGTTGTCAGCCAAACGACAAGTGCAACGAATACAACTGGTGCGACCAATACTACTAGTACAAGTAATAGCACGGGCTCAACAAATACAACCAATGGATCGGGCGAATCACATAGGGTTACTTTCACAAATAAGTATGTGGTCCTTTCAATTCGTACGTAGTGCCTTCTGCTTTCGCATCGCTAACATCCTGCTGCTACCGAAGTTGTGGACATGGCATAGTGAGTACCTGAAGTCGTATTTACGATCCTCTTTCGTTCACCCCTGGCTTCAGCCTAAATTGGTTCAAAGTGGGAATGTCCTTTCCACAGGCCAAGAGTACAAACATTCCGGGGGGGAGTTTGCATCAGCCATAGCGTACGAGCCACCTGCTCCTGGTATTGATCTTCTTACGAATGCGCATTCAATGCATCCATAGGTATCTTGATAACGGTAACTGCAAACTTAATGGTGACGGGTGCGGGACTGTTGAAATCACGCTTAGGAATCCTGTTACAGGCAATGGGGATGGAAGCGGTTGTGATATATCACTGATTCCTCCGTAAGCCTTCGTTAATCTTTCTTGGTTTGAACAACTTCATTACTTTCCTTTCTCAGTCTCGCTTTTTCTGACCCACTCGGGTTTAAATACATCGATGGATGCGACAGCCTAGACGCTTTCTGTCAGTTGTTTTCGCTGCACTTGTCCTTTCTAAGAATACCGGCTGAAAGACAGGTTCACTAGGTGGCGAGTCAGGTTGCAACACGGCGTTTTACCAGCCCAACGATAATTGCGTGCAAGTGGCTTGTCAGGAGAATAATGTACGTGCATTTTTACACTCTTCTCTCTGCATGTATTGATGATTTGTGTAGGTGGGTCTCAACGTCATTTTCTGCGGTGACTCAACCCACAGCTCGGGCACAACTTGCAACGGTGCTACTTCCGGAAACTCGACATCTGCTAGTGGAACAAGTGCACCAGCAAGTAGCTCAACAGCTACCGCTGCTGGAGGGTCAAGCACGACATCTACTAGTGCTCCTAGCTCTAGGTAGTTCGACCGCTCCCGCTTCTAGAGTCTGAGCTTGTACGAGACTGTAGTTTATATCCAAAGCACTGGATGCTCCCTTACACAGTTTTAGTTAATAACATATGATAAATAGACTAATACTCAGGGTATAATAATATCTAACAACAGAGGGATATTCTGCCTTGCTTCGTTATTCTGAACTGAAGAGTACAAAGATGCAATCGTAAGGTACTCCTTCCATTTTTGTATACGCGGACTTTCAATTTCAATGATGCGCGTCGCGTACGCGTTGGGCAACGAGGCATCTTTGGACGTGACTGCATTTTCAACTTTCTGGGCAAGACTGGTACTATTGAACATCCTGCTAATCTATCTGGCATGGACGCGACGCAAGCCGCCTTGAATAAATCCGCCACCGCGACAGACGGAGTGCCAGCGGCAACAGCGGTCCCTTCGACGGAACTCGATCAACCACCGACACTTCCTGGAGTACCCTCATCATCCTCCGCCACGGGTGATAAAGAAGCAAGACTTCCAGCTGGGACACCAAGCGAAGCCAAGGCAGAGCCACCTCCTACGCCCTCCAAGACTGCTACGCTTCAAATGCAAATACAGGCTCTCGCTTCTCTTCAGACGCGGCTTGCTAAGATTCGCAGCTTGCCACTGCATCTCCTCATTTTCCACTCTCAATCTCCGTTAATCTCCTTTGGAGGCTTACACGGAATTGGTCTAGGTGGTGGAAATGGACCCTCAGACTCGGATACCATAGACTCAATATTGAATCCCGACGCGGAGGGTGGAGCAACTTTGCAGGCACGCGAGATGGGCTTGCAGGCCCAGGTTGCGTTCCGCATGCTTAATGATACTAGAGAAGTATTAGGTAAAGAGATGACGCAAGGTGCACTTAAGTCAGCTCGTGAAAGTGAGACCCAAGATAAATTGGATATCTCATTGTACAGCCGGCGGGCGCGGAAAAAGCGGTATGATGTCTTTCCCGACGTTGACAACTCGATCCTTAATGAAAACTAACGCAAAATGACAGGCGCATAGCAGCGGCAGATTCTCCTGCCCCCTTTCCGAGTTTCCATCTCGAATCGACACGTATATTTCCACCGCTTCAGCCAAAAGATAAGAAAATGGAGAGGCTAGATGATCTCGTACTGTATATTCGAGAATTCAATAGGAGTAAGTCAAGCCCGGGAGGCTCTGGCTCTAGAACGAGACTCGGAATCTGGGCGCCTTCGCGGCCAAAGTCAGGCGCTTCACGACGTGTCTCGGATCCACTCATAGTTCAGGTGGTGATTCGCGACGTAACTACCATATATGTAAAGCTGAGACATTGCAATCGCAATCAAATGGGAAACTGTCTCTCCGTAGAGAGTGGAATTGCTCTTGGACCTCGGGAGAAGGTACGGACATTTAGGCTTTTCGTCCGACTTCACATTTTTTCGCTTAATTAACTCTCACGTGCATAGAAGGGTCCCTATGGCCATTCGGACTTCACGGTGTATCAAAAACTCACACAGCAAGTCGCGCGCATGGTTGAAAAGGAGCCGCACGTGTCATTTCCTCAAATTATGGTAGGTAGATCACTTTGCGAGATACTAGAGTTGAGGCCTCAATGTTTTGTTATTCAATTTTCAAAGGATCTGCTGACGTCGTATGATGAGCTTTTCATCACCCACTGTTCAGTCTGTCAACGTGTACTCCCCTTTGAGGGCCATGTGCCTCCTGTTGCACGAGTATGGAAAGCCATTGCAAGCAACGCCGACGGAGAGAAGGGTCAATGGGAAGCTCGTCATATCTCATGCCTTCATGCATGATATTGATAAGCTGACGGGCAAAAAATCAATTTTGGACGAACGAACCCTATCCATGAGCTCAGCCGGCGCCTGATGCGACCGATCGTTTGGTAGAAGAAACTTTTAAGTTACGTTCTACCTTCCCAGGTATCGTTGGAATGCAGAGGTCGTTTAAAGAAAGTGATCTACAAGCAATTATTGTGATCTGTTTCCCTTATCTATCGACGATGGTCAAAATGTATTCGAGGGGCAAGTCATATAACGGCGTCACTCCCTCTGGAATGGAGGAGTCGACAATTTATTGGTAGAATCGGACCAAATCATCTGATGTTTGCTCATACCGTTCGCGCGCGCGATTCCGTGGTTGCCGCAGCTGTAATCCACTTGGCTGTGCTGTTTGACGCGCTATGCTCCGCCCCTTTCTCTGACATCGGCCCCTGACCTTTATGCTCATGGTCTACTGCCTTATTTGTTATTGATAACCTTTTGCGCGCTTTTTCGCCATTCTAATATTGTTGGCTAATTTCTATCTCGGGTTGTGGATCTGCTCTTTGAAGTCGTTTACCATTCTTGTGGTTAAGCGGTTGATTGTGCGGTCGAGATCTTGGAGTGTCACCAGTTTTGCGCAACCCATCTGTATCATATTCCTCTCCAGACGGGATCGGACGTCGAAACATGTGCTTCGGTGGTGCTGACAGCCGATCAGTTCCCAAGCCCCGTCGATTTTTGTCTTGTTCCGAGATTTCGGTTTGCGCTGCATCACTTGTACGTCGAATTTAGGCCACCTTCCTCCATTTTGTGCTATCTCGTTATAGATGTTAAAGAAATCGCAATTTTTACTGTTCTGTTCATAACCTCTTCCCCTAGCTTGAGTATTGACTACTATTTCTTTTGACGCCAGTGTACCTATCTAACTTCTGCCCCCACACGATCTTACTTAAAGCACCCTTTGTCAATTCACTCTCTTCCTCACTCCCACCATCCTCCTCACCAGGCTCTTTTTTTTCGATCTCTAACCCTGGTGGTTTCTCATCTCAGGTTTACTTGTTATGACAGCCGTTCTTCCAAGGCATACATCTGACATCGTCGAGCTGCACCCTTCGCCACTTCCCACCGAGAATTCGCAAGCCGTCGGTCATATCGAGCTCCATTCCCCATGGTTCGCGTATGGCTGTAACCTAGCGGCGGTCTGCTCCAGCCTGCATTCAAATGGTATCAGTCAGCCGGACTCGTCATCGCCTTCTGATCGGCGCTCGTGCATCCCACAAGTCAGGACATCTCCCCCGTCACCCCCCTCTCAAATTCCTCGGTATCGTCCTACTTGCGCTGTATCGCACCGTGGCATGATCACCGTTGTCGATTATTCGCCATCCGAGGGCGAAGCGAATTGCCTCATTATGGTCAATATTGAGGTTCACTCGGATCCCGAAGACGATAAGAATCCATTTGGGAAAGCTGCACCTTTCAATAGCATGAAACTTCGTCTCGTTGTTGGACGCTTGCCAGTGAGGACGACTGTAACGCGCCGCTCACCAACCATATTGCACAAGGAAGGCGAGAATATGCATGACGACTGTCTTCGGTTTCGGCTGCATGCGAACGCCCCATCGCACTCCGAAGTTTGGTATCCGACTTCTATCCATGTGCCTTTGACCATTCAAGCGATGGACGATGCAACGGCCGTAGTTGACTCGGTCACGTTCGGATCCTTCACATTTTTTACACCGAGTTAGTTCCTCCTGCGTACCTTATTCTCATAAATTTCTAACCCAAGACAAGCCACGATAGAACCGACAGCCACTATAGATACATACAAAATTTCAGCTCAGCCATCTCTTCCGCAGAACAAGCGTAAGCGAGAGGATGATGTCGAGGGAGAGACGCGACTACGACCTGATTGTCCCGCGTCTCTGGACAGTCCGAAGAAGGCTCTTAATGGTGGCTCCCCTATCGACAAGGCTTTTAGACTTGTGCGTACAACGAATGCTCCTGTAGAAGCGCTGGAAGACGCCGACACGCAACCGGCTGCATTGGAATGGGTGGTCAGTGATAATTCGCAGCACCCGAGGACATTGGACAAGAATTGGTTAGGAATTAGCCACGTACTCATTCTCAATTGTCTAACTCGCATTCAGGTCTAGTCACGAACTGGCTGTCGGCCGACGACTCATACGATTCGGCCGCGAACAGGTCGGCCACAGGTTACTTCTTTCTTGTGAAGTGATCGCACAGGAAGAATACGATGAGTTGGACATCGTCATCTCGTGCGTGTATCGTCAGGAGACGCGCGACTGTTGGTTCACTTCTGTGGACGTCATCTATCTCCTTGAACGTCTCTTAGGCGGCCCGTTCTCTGTTGAAGAGAAAAATCGTATCCGACGGAATCTCGAAGGGTTCAAGCCGACGACTGTATCGAAGAGTAAGGCTGGATTCGAGATGTTCTTTTCTCGTATCATGGACTTTCCCCCTCCCAAGCCCCGGAATATTGAGAAGGACGTGAAGGTGTTCGCGTGGACTTTACTATCACCTGCATTGGAAAAAATTATTTCGAAATATGTGTGTTGCTGAACTCGTATCGAATCAGCTTTCTCTAACAAATTTTCCTATTTGCAGTCGGTCATTCCAGAAACCTTTCACGATTCGTCACCGCCGCTTGGGACTCCGTCGCTTCCTGCTTCACCCCCCTCCGACCGCGTTACCGGGCAAAGCCGAACGAGGTCTTCCTCATCGGCATCACAGGCGTTTAAAGGAGAGCCAACAACTTCAAAGGCTCCGCAAACGGGGCCCTCACAGCCTGCTCTTCATCTCGTTGTTGATTCGCCCCAGCCAATGCACTCCGAGACATCTGTCTTGATTCCCGATCCTGATCCTACTCCAGTGTCGATGGACCAATTCTATTATTCACAAGCACCGGACTTGAGCTTCCCCAATGGCGACCAATGGCAGCGTCGCGACTCTCTAGCTTCAATTGCGTCTACGTCCACTCGCGCAGATGACGGATTCCAAGATGTAGGGAGCCACCAGGGAGATCACACTCCCGAGCAATTGCAGGTAAACGCGTTCTCTAACCCCTTCGCATCCAACGTGCATTTCGGTGCCATGTCGCTCAATCCCCATGGAACTGGAGTCACTTTTGACGGTTCCGAAAACGCACATGGCGGTGCAGACATGCATATGCCAGCTCACCTCATGCGGTTTGGTTCTAATCTCACAGACGATGTTTTTGCGGATCGGCGTCCCAGTTTGCAAAATGATCTCTATTCCTTTTCGGGCATCTCATCCAATGGTAATCATGACACGATCGTAGCAACATACGGCACCGGCGTAACGGATTCCCATAATGTCCCTCACGAATTTTTATACACGCAGCTTTCTGGAGGTTCAATTCATCATCCTTCCCTCGAGGATATTCATGCATAGACTATCCCTGGCATTGGAGCATTTTGGAGTACATACACGACGTGTTTTGCATGACCTATGTTCTTTTTTTATTTTGTCTTTTTCGGGCTTTATGAAGTACTTGCTGTAGTCTGGCTGCTCGTCCGTCTATCCTGCGTTCCTCCTGTCTTTTGTTCTTGTCGCAATTGTATCGAGAAAAAACCCTTGTACGCTTAATTAATCATCAACCCCTGTATTCGACCCTGCCTGTGTATCCGAATAAACTGTAGCATTTCCCCTGCGTATTTGAATTCTGGGTCCTATGAATTGATTTTGTAGTTGTCGCAAAAACAATTATTTGGGTAGTATGGTTAATTACTTGTTACAATGAATTACCAATTCTATCTACACGTGAATCTCAACCCTAAACAAGACGCGCCGATCATTAGCGAAGTGATGTCCAAAAGTTAATGGTCAATGGTCATCTTTGATCTCTTTCACTCGTTCATCTTCCATCCACAGTACGATAGGAAAACAACATGGTGAGTTTCAACTTTCTGCTAATATCTAATTCTACTGTGCTCACTTTTACTTTATTCTGTTATTCTCCTTTATGTAGCTGATCTTCTCGCTATTCAAAACACTAACTGACCAAACGGTCACTGTTGAGCTAAAGAATGATCTTTCGATAACTGGTGTTCTCAAATCGGTCGACCAGTGTGTGCTTTACAACCACTTTTCTAACGATTCAGTTTACGAAGTGTAATATGCGTTTGTGTTGGATATAGGTTCCTCAATATTCGTCTAGACAACATCAAAGTCCTGGACGAAGCGAACCACCCACATATGGTACGCCTTCGTTAATCATCCCTAAAACCTAAACAGGTGCAAGTGACTCAAATGACTTGTGTGGTGTGGCTTGCATTTCAGATGGCTGTGAAGAACTGCTTTATTCGGGGTTCGGTTGTGCGATACGTACAGCTACCTGCGCAGCATGTTGATACGCAGCTTTTGGAGGATGCGACAAGACGCGGTGCGTGTCTGTGTTTCTTTTTATTTATGATTGTTGGTTTGTTCGAGGGTATTGATTATTTGATTATTGTCTATGACAGAGGCTGCGAATCAGGTCAAACGATAGAGTCCCGTCGATGCAGTTTTACTATTTTTCTTCTTCTGTAATTCCTAATAATACTGTCCGAAACTTTGTTTTGTCTCGCCAAAATGATATTTTTTTTTCCCGCAAGCTTCATCATTAAAAGTATCTACTACAAATCTCACTACTGCTTCCAGACCTTCACGGTGCCGTCTGCACTCGCAGTGACCATCTCTCCGACGTCAATTGGATGGTGCTCGACCCAGGTTATCACTTTCTCATGTACTTTGGGTGGAGGATTAGGTGCCAATGGTTTCGCCTATTTCAAACTCGGAATTCAGCACTTAACATGGAAGAAGCAGAAACAAGAAGACTTGCATCTAATAAATCCCAAGCCCACACCTGCCCATTTTCATCTCCACAAATTACACTTGCTTCTGCATGTCCGAAACACGCTCGACATCTGAACGACTCGTTCGTGTGTCCCGTAAAGTCGTTCAGCATTTTTCCAGTTTGCATATCAAGGAGCCGGATGTGTGAGTCGAGGGTTGTGACGAGGATTGCTGTGGAGTCTTGCATTGGTTGTACGGAAGTTACTGGTTGGCCAAGATAATCGGATCGTAGTTCGCCTTTACGAAGGTCGTATGTGCGTATGTGCCCGTCTACGGAGCCGGATGTGATGTATGTGTTGCCGACGGAGAGAGTTTGGATTGCATCGCGCGCTTCGGAGAGAGTTTGAATTGCTTGTCGGGACTGCGATCTAAGTATATCGTTTCAATTATTTATCAAGCCACTAGAGTCATTAGCGCGTACCGGAGATCCCAGAGACGTACGGTCCCGTCGAACGATCCTTTTGGTTTGGGATGGTGGAATTAGATAGCTGCCGAGAAACTAAAAGAAATTGAGGCGAAAGAATTCGCCACTACTTACCGCTTGCGAGTACGGATGCATCCTCATTGAACTCGACCGCATTTATCTTCCCCATATGTCCTGCGAAACGGCGGATTGTGTTTGCGGTCGCCACATCCCAAAGGAATACAGATCTGTCGCCGCCCGATGAGGCGAACTTGACGTTGTCGTGGGCCCTTCAATCGCCAGTCAGTAATGTAAAGAAGTACAATGATACATGATTTGAAGATAAAGATAAATTGACGGTGCGGACGTACACGGTGATGGAGAGGACTTCGTAGCCATGGCCCGCGTAGGTTTTGATTTCGAGACCGGTTGCGGGGTTCCAGAGACGGACGCTGCGGTCTTGGCCGCCTGTGAGGACGTACTTTGAGGTACCCTTTGCGTAACGTGCGACGTGGACTGCGCCTTTGTGATTATTGAGTGTTATGTGTAGTGTACGTGGTATTGCTTGAGGGCCTCGTGAGGGAGCCATACGATAGCTATTTGTAACTCAATAGAGACGCGAGCTCAGTAATAATGGCTTGTAGCACAAAGTGTGAGTGTGATTGTGTAATTGATGGGATAGAAGAGAAGGAGGTCGATTGTCGAGAGAACGACAGAAGTGAAGTGGATTGATGGTTTCTGTGAGCGCCGACACGGAGGATGCGAAGAACACAGGAGAGCGATGTAATTCTATAACAATAATTTCCGTATGCAAATATTTGCAATTACGGCACTCGACGTGAACCTTCGCTTCCTCTGGTTCTCGCTCTGTATTCGCCGCCGCCGCCCTCGTCGTCGTCGCTCAGATAGAGTCAAGAGTTGTGTAGTGTAAACAGTGTTCGGTGGTAGTAGGTTGGATCGACGGACGCGTGGATAAGGGTCACGTTTCCGTCTGTCGGAAAGATCTTGAAAAGCTACTGCACTAGCACTCGTCTCCTCCTCATCCGCTTCCTCTCTCCCTCCCGTGGCAATTCCTCCCCCCATGCTGCCGTCCTCGGCCAGCCAGCGCAGAGGCGTCTGGGAACCCCTCTCCCTCATCGTATACGGCTATGCTATCCACCCGCTTTCCCCAGGACAACGCGACACAAGGGTTTCTGGTCGCACTGCTCGCCTCTCCACGGTTACTGAAGGTTCAGAAGGCGACTTTCCTCACAGGGATATCGTCTCGTTAGAGGTTGGTGATGAGATATACGCGTTTGAGAAGTACACACCCAAGGGCAAGGAGTGCGAAGGTGTTTGGTATCGCGGGTTAGTAGTTCATTTCGCACATGCTTGTTTCATTTCGAACGTATCTAAATTAAATACGTGTACTATAGATATGTTGTGTGTACAACACGGCGACCACCGATAAACTGGTCTGCTGCTTCGGATCCGTCGTCTTCGAAGACTTTGAAGGTGGCGGAACCCCAGCAAGTGTTCATTGGTATCTTCCCCGCCTCCCACATCCATGTTCGAGACGAACTCTCGGACGCAGAGGGGCGCCTCGCGGATGTGGCATCCCAGGTTAATGGGAATAGAGACAAGACTCGAGAGATGGAACCGTTGAAAGAGGAAGATGAAGAGTCAGAACAAGCGCCTAATCGCAGTCAATTTCGGTTAGGACCTCCACCGGACCAGGCCAACTCGTCGCGGGCGGGTTTGCCTGTCTACCCACCTAGCCTCCGTTCAGTATCACCATCAGAGTCACAGCCCTTCAAGCCGCTTCCTCCACGTCCATCGCTCAAATCTGGGGACGATACTCTGTCTGGGCAAGAACAACCGATTATAGACGAAATCGCTTCTGCTCTACGAGAATGGCATAACTTAATGTTTCTCTACCTCGCAAGGCGGGACTATGCGCTGTTTTATACGGTGCGAGAACATATTGAGGCGTTGCACTTGGGGCGCCGGCAATTGCTTGCTCAGACGTTGAGTGCAGAGGAGACTGTGAGTTTGCGGCGAGATTGTGTGGGAAGACTTGTTAGCGGAAACGTTGTTCAAGGACTCGACATCATTGTGAGGCATCCAACTTGGGGTGGCCTTGTCACCGTTGACGTTGAAGGCGAAATTGACCCGCGAAGCTGGGTCAGTGCTGTGCGGATGTATGCCATGCAAGTGGCGTTAGCATACATAGACGTCAAGGCACCTGCGTTGGGCGCCGCGGCGGAGTACACGTCGGTCGTGCCACCCACTGGACCCTTGCCTACACCTGCAAGTTCTGTCTTTCCCGATGTCGGTCGTCCTAGGGGAAACTCGCGCGTCCTCGGTTCACTTGCGCCACCTCAGCCAACAAAGCCAGTATCTGCTAAGTTTTATCATGTCTTCCTCGATTTGCGCGCTTTCGTTGCGTCGCCATGCTCTCCGGGAGAGACGGCCGAGCTGTATTTCTCATTGTACAACAAGAACGATATGCGCTTTGTAACAGAAGAATTTTGCGCTGTGTTGAATCACAATGGTGTCCTCGCTCGGGATCCGTCTGCACGTATCAGGACTTTGTTTACGGACCTCGTGCAAGCGGACATCCAAGAGCCGATTTACCTCGTCTGTAAAATTATCCGCAATGGTGCCTTGAAGATAACAAACACATTCAACTCTGGGATCCCGGTCGAGAGTGCGTCTCGCGGCTCTGGGGAAGGTGCAACAGCCGGGCGGTGGGAACCTTCCGCCACATTGAACGGTAACAATTCATCGACCAATGTAACACGCGCTGGTACGGTATCTGAATCGGGATATTCCGGTCAATTCAGACGGCCATTTGGTTGTGCAGTTCTGGAGCTGTCTCAGTTGAGGGAGTTTGCTAAAGAACATGCTGCTGAGGGTAGTGGTCCAACTAGGGAGCATACGATGCCGATTTTTGTTCCGACGAATGAGGCGGTGTATTCGATGCTTCACCAGGATATCATTGCAGGTAATAATAAAGAATATGAAAAGTCACCAAGGTAAATTGTTATTTCTTATTTTATTCGACCTTCTACGGACTTTACTAACGCGCATGCATATCAGGGCGGAAATGCTGGCTGTATCGATTAAGGTCTTTCATGGAGACGCAAAGACGATTGTCCGCGAGAATCCCTCGTTACTCATCAATATTCCTTTGACTGCACGTCTCGGGTTTCCTGACGTCGTGTTTCCCGGAGACGTTCGCAATGAAATGTACATCAAGCTGTGGAGTGGAGAATTCTTCTCTTCAAGTAGTAGCGCCCGACTTAGCGTCACGAATTTCACGCGGGGCTCGATATCCACTTCAAGCAATAATGTACAAGTGACAGTCGAACTAAGGGACAATCTAGGGAACGTGGTGGACCGAGGCATATCTCCAGGTAGCGGTGAACCACCTGTTACGCAATTCCATTCTATGGTCTTTGTACGGAACAATGTGCCTACGTTCGGGGAACTCATGAAGCTGCAGTTGCCGTTGAATGGACCACCAAACTGGCATCTATATTTCACGTTCCGGAATCGTAGTTCGAGAGAACGCCCAGGGACGCGTGGTGTTAACGAGCTTGAGAGGCCCTTTGCATTTGCTTTTCTCCCTCTACTGCCTGATTCGCGCGCCTTTTTGGAGGATGGAAGCCATGCGTTGATATTGTATCGCAGTTCGACGGTCAATCAGATTCCTGCGGAGACGTATCTCGCAAGGTTGCCTTGGACGTCAGGAGGGCAGAGGATGGAGAGTCTGGCAGTTGATGCTGAGATGATGAGGACATGCCCTCCTATTCGCGACAACCTGGTCATCCGGTCTTCACTCTGTTCCACGAAATTCACGCAGAATCAGGTATTGCTGAGCCTGCTCAATTGGGATCAGCTTCATGACCGGGAAATGCTGTCGACCATCCTGTCGAAGTTCACCTTCGTTGGCGAAGTGGAGATCGTGAAGTTCCTACGGGATATTTTCGACTCGCTGTTTGCCATCCTTATCTCACCAAGTAATATTGCCGGGGAGATGGATGGCCTGGTCTTCAATGCACTGGTCACTGTTCTCGGCATTGTACAAGATCGTCGTTTCAGCAACTTCCAGCCGGTTCTGGATGTGTATATCGAGCAGCACTTCAATTGCTCGTCTGCCTCGTCTCACATGATCCAGTCGTTGAATCGTCTTCTATCGAACCCTACTGCAGCAGAAAACGCTATGCCACTTCGTGCGGCGCTTAAGGTCTGGCATTATCTCATCAAGTTCATTGTGCGCTCGCGTGAGCTGCAGAAGTCGAAGGAGCTTGGGATTGCTGGTGGGGCGACTGCGGAGCACTTGGAGGCCACTTTCAAGCGCGAGCTGCAAACACACCTTGCGGAAATCAATCGCATGATGTCGACTACGACCCCCGCGTCGATAATTGGGACGCAAACGATTGCGTTGCAGCATTTTACATCTATCTTACCCGAGCTGGCTAAAGTTTTCCCTACTGTCGAGCTTGTTTCAATTGTCACGAGTTTCGCGAACTCCGTCGCTAGCACTAAGGGAAAGGTTGTGATCTGGAAGCTGATTACGTATCTTCAGGTCGTGAAAGGCTTTTTGTTTGACATTCCTGCCTCTCGTTCGCTTCTTGTCGAAGCTGTTGTGATTTGGATCAAGCCACACTTTGGGAGGTTCGATGAGTATACGCAGACGAGCCCTGGTGATACGGAAAATGCTAAGGATAATGCGAGGGTTAGCTGGTTGGAAAGTATACGCATTTGCGTTACTGTTATAGCGGTTATGTTGGATAAACTGCAGCAGAACCTCGTTAATCCAGCTACTGCCTCAGATCGTAATTTGTTGAGACAGGAGCAGGATAATGTTGAATATCTATTGTCGCTTATGCCTAGGTGAGTTAATGACTGTCTTTGCCTTTGAGAAATAATAGCCCATATCTAATCAATATCATTGTTTTGTAGACTACTTGACTCATACAGAGAATTCCAAAGCCAAGAATCCATCCGGGCGTTGGAACGAACTCGCTCCGGTCAAGCATTAGCTGCACCTGTGCCTGTCAGCTTCCCCGAGTCCTATCCATTCTCACTATTTGCACATGCGCCGAGCACGGATCGAGAGGCGTCGTCCGCTGCTGCATCCAGCCAATCAATTCAAGGCGCAGTATTCAACTGCACCCTCGCCGAGATTGCGATTGTTTTCTTGGTACTTGTCCTCTCTTCGCCGAAGAAGGACATCACGAATTTCCTTGAAGCGAGCTTAGAGATTGAAGGGAAAGAGAACTTTGCTAGTCTCATTTCTGGGTTCTTTAAGGTGGGATGCTCGATATTGGATAACGAGGCGTTCCCGAGTAGTTGGTTGAATGTCAATATTCTGGCGCATAAAGTGCTTATCAAGATGGCTGATCCGGTCGCGAAGCTGCTCGAACGGGATTTCATACCGGAGCAGGAGGATGAATACCTGTTCAATAAAACGTTGTGGAGGGAAGCTTTGTACACGCTTTTGAAGTTGTTGTCATCTGAGCAACTTGTCATTGAAGAGTTCAGTCCGCAGGTAAAGCTAAGCTTTCTAGGCCCTTATCTTTTGTCTCACTATATTGCCTGCACAGAAACGACGGGCGGTATGGCGATTAGCTGGGGATATTCGTGGAGAAGGGGCCACTATTCTCTTACGACTGTGGGAGGCCCTGGGATGGCCCGAACAAGTATCGGCTGAGGCTGGTGCTGTAACGAGATACGGGGTAAGTCCGACGCGGTCCTCAATATTCAGTTCAGAGGTCCCATTCCATTATCAGGGATATCAGGTTGCGATGAACACACTGGTCGGGCACGTCGTCAATCTGTGCCTGAGTCACCACGATCGGCTGCGAAACAATGCCGTCCAGATTCTCTACAGCATGATCGTTTCCGAGTACCACATCTCTCAAAATTTCGACGATATCGAGAATGAGCTTGTGAACAAGTTGGATACGTTGTTTATGTCTGATAGTAAAGCGGACGATATTTCGCGGACGTTTTTCATTGGGCAGCTTCGACATCTTTTTGAGAGTTCATTTGTGGATGAGCAGTTACGGCAACGGGTGTCGAATTTTTTGGATTCTGTGGATTTGTTCTTGGAGCTTCTTCTCAATGTTCGCGCGTTGCCGGAAGGAGAGGAGTTTGCGGATGATAGGGTCATTGCAACGGTAATGATCACATTTTCAATTCCAGTCCAGAATAAATTTAGCTGATCTATTTTTAACAGCTGCGCTTAATGAACTTTATCCGCCGGATAGGTCGAGATGAAATCTATATTAAATATGTGCACCAACTCGTTAATGTGAGTGAGCTAGAATGCACTGTCAATAGACCGGGTCTCATGGTATTTTTTTTTTAATTTCGCAGATGCACCTGCAAAGTCAAAATTATGTTGAAGCGGCTTTGACCCTCAAGTTACATTCGGACCTGCATGAATGGGACCTTAATTCATTCGTCGAACCTATGGAGGACCTAGGCCTTCCTCGACAGTCACAGTTCCATCGTAAAGAGACGCTGTGCCTCTTGATCCTGGACTACCTGGGTATGTAGTGACAGCTTTCGAATCTTCGGTAAGACCATTTTTTAACGCGTGTCTAGGCAAGGGCAAGGCTTGGGAGAATGCTGCTCTGATTTGCGACGAACTCGCTATCCAGCATTCCGAGGTCACGTACAATTAGTAGGTTTCTCCTTCGTGCCTATTTGATTTTGTCTAAACTCTTGATAGTTCGCGACTGGCTGAGATTCTCCGGCATAAGGCATCACTACTTGAGCACATAGTGACAGAACAGCGCTACTACCCCGATTACTTCCGTGTTGCGTTCTACGGTACATTCCCGGTGGCAATTAGGAACAAGCAGTTCATTGTAAGAGCAATGATTTTTTAATTAAAACCTGCCTTGAATGGAATATTAATTGCCTTTATTGCCTTATAGTACCGGGGATATGAATGGGAGAAATTCGGCGCGTTCTGTGATCGAATGTTGAATAAGCATCCTGGATCTCAGTTATTGCGGACGATGGGAGATCCACCGGTTGATATACGTTTCGGCACTGATCAGTATATTCAGTGTACTGCTGTTACGCCGGAGCCGGATAAGTCGTTGCCTATATTTAATAATCCGGATGTGCCGACTGCAGTCCGGATGTATTATGAGCACAGGTGCGAGGAAAGGATATTATTCAACATTTGTTAACTCACTTTGGTTTTACCCCACAGTGCGATTAATATCTTCAGCTGTCAACGTCCGATCACCAAGATCGGTGCGAACGGAGAGGAAGAGACTTGGATACTGAAGACGTACTTTACAACGGAGGAGACTTTCCCAACGGTGCTCAAACGATCCGAAGTCATTGACATCCATACGGTCGAGATCTCGCCAGTCGAGAGTGCACTGACGGATGTTGAGCAGAAGACAAAAGATCTGAACATACTGAAGGTCAAATATTCAGCTTTGGCAAAGACTGGGCAGCCCGTATCTACGAATGCGCTATCCATGACGCTTAATAATGCGGTCGATGCGCCTGCCAATGGAGGAATTGCTCTCTATCGCGAAGCCTTCTTGTCGCCTGAGTACATTGCACAAAATCCAGACCGTGCGGAATTAGTGCATAGATTACGAGAGGCGATCGACGATCAGGTACATTTTCTATTGCTATCACACTTGATATCATTCTTCCAGTCCAGTAATGCTGATCGTCATGTCTAGGTCCGGATTATTGATGGCTGCCTAAGGCTTCACGGAGCGTTATGTCCGCCGGAGATGATTCCCTTCCACGAGACGCTTGAGCGTTTCTTCCACAAAAATTTCTCAGAGGAGATTGGTCGCCTTTCGATGGACGCTTCGCCTATTGCGCCATCCATCTCGCCTTCTGCACGGTTCCCTCCACAGGATTCGGGTTCGTTGACTCAGCTGCAAGAGCGTAATCGGTCTGAGTCTTCCCATGCGACTGGTGCAACGGCTCGTTCCAAGAACTTCTACTTGCCGCCACTTCAGGTGGGACGTTCAGTCGTCACACCTCCACCTGTGTCTCCACATTCCGTTCGTGCGCAAGGTGGAATGGACGGTGCTCATGGTGGTTCTACTGGTAATATTGCTGGGCCGTCTGTACCGCACGCGAAGCAAACTCCGCTCCAACGGAACCTGGCGCATCTCGCGCGGCATGGGTTTAATGGAGTGGCAGTTGGTCCGGGTCCAGGGACGAATATGAGTTCAGACGCTGGCGGAGGGTACAACGTGGGCGCGGGTGGGCTAGGCGGTGATACTATTTCTGTTGGTTCGCCGCAGGGCTCGCTTGTGAATGTTGGAACGACGATTGGGGGTGCGAGTACGATAGCGAGTGGCGCTGCTTCTGCGATGGCGTCGAATTTGGGGAGTAGTATTGGATCGATTAAAGGTCGGTTCTCGCGTCTTGGAAGTTTGAACTTTGGGCGGCACGGTCGTGAGGGGTGATTGGGCTTCCGCTTGGATAACCCGGCTAGTTGGTCGGTCTCCTGTCGTCTCGTCTCTTTTGCTTTGTATTTGATTGCGCTTGCATCGCATGTTCTTTTTATCAACTAACTCCCTCAAGTATTTTGTCCGCAATTGTTATTTGTGCTCATATCGTAGGGTCTTATTATCGTTGACTTGTTTTCTCGTCTATCTATCTCCATCCCCATACCCCCCTGTCGAATCTTTTTCTTTTTCTTCCTGCTGCTCTTGAAAATATCTATTTCAATCTTCTCGGATCTTTCTTATCTCTGTCTGTAGCGATTTTAATTGATTGTAGAATTTGAATCATTACCCAGAGTATTGTTTTGCCTTCCTAGATAGCAGCAAAGGTGCAAGGAAGTGTAGTTGAATCTACTGCCAAGTTGCGTCTGGTAAGCGGATTGTGGCGAACATGAACTTAAGGTCCTTATAATCGATTTTAAAGCTAAATGTAAATACAATGAGGCCTGTCATTAAGCATTCTGTTCCGTGGAGACAGAGCATTGCGTAATGTCAAGTAAAGTAAAACTTGTTGATAAGTGGTTACAAGGGAAACAACATTAAGCATTGCTTCAGTGCACAGACCATAGTGATGGACTGCAAAATGTTCGACGTCAGGCCCAGTCTTGTTTCTTTATCAGTGATACGTATTATGTAATGTGCGAATTATGCAATGACAGACATAAATGCCAAAAGACGCCCAACTTGGCTCTTACACATTACCTCCACATTTCCACCTTCCACAACGCCTCCGAAAAAATCATGGCGGATGAACATGAAGCACTTGACTGGGGAGGAGAAGACGACGAGCACTACGGTGTGTATTTTAGCCTGTCTGTGTCGGCTTTTGTGTGACGACGACATGTCTCTTCTGTTGCGTGGTGGCCTGCGACACTCACCAGATGCAAATGACAGAGACGACGTCGTGTCTATTGGAGGAGAGGAAGATGATTTACAGGAACTAGCTGCATTTCATTCACGCACGCAACAGGGCGATGGGGAGGATGGAACTCCACATCCTAACGTTCAGCCACCGTCGGTGGAGGCAACGAAAAACAGCCCACAGCGCGACCCTAAGGATGCGCCTGCAACGCCCGGGTCTCCTCCAGCTGATACGCCCTTACATGACTCACAAAATGAACGAAAACTTCCTCCAGAACAGTCTGAATCTCAGTCTAGTTCTGGGTCAGTGAGGGCGCCGCTCATGCACGCGCTGCCACCCAAGCCTTCTGTCGGTGCGCCTGGACCCGTATCGCGTAGTTCAAGCTTTGTAGGTGCGAGTTCCATGTCTGATTCAAGACGAAATCAGGAAGGGGATAGTGGTAGGAGAGTCGCTGTGAATGGCTCAAGACAGGCAATCTCCTCTGAAGCGCTTCCCCCTGACTGGGAGACACGCCACTCGTCCGGAGGAGAACTTTATTATTACAATACTCGGACTCTTGTTTCTCAGTGGGATCGGCCAACACTGAATGGTAAGGCACCGCAAATGACCACAGGGGATTCTTACACGGGCGACAATCTAGCGAAGACCAGAGATTCTGGCGACTCACGTTCAGATAGGTTTAGGGAGACGCGTGAGTTCAAGCAAGCAGATAGATCGCGGCCTCCAAGTCCGGGACGTGAGCTCTCTCGTGAAGATCGTCATTATCGTCCCGCTGACACCCCAGACGTGTCATCATATCGTTATCGCCTGCGAGACCGACGAGGACAGTCACCTTCACCTGATCGTAGTCAAAATGCAATTCGCGACGATATGCCCAAAGATATACCCAAAGACGGTTTGTATTCTCAAGCACGTGCGGATAGGGATACTGCCCGTTATGACCAGAGACCTGGTATCAACGAGGCAAGAATGCGACGGAAGCCATCCCCCGACGTACCTGAGAGGCCCTCTATTTCTCGCAATGACTCAAGGGATGAACAAGCTGATCGGATGCGTGGATCTACATCCGATAGAGGATACGGGCGCGGAGCTAGACGTGATGTAGTGCCTGCGCAAGATTTCAGGTCCGGGCAACAGCGTTTTGCTGATGATCCCACGCGAGGTCCATCGCTTCCCTCTGGTCAATTCAAAGAACCTCTGTCCCATCCGAGGGATGACGCATTATCATCTACCCAAAGAAGTACGTTTCAGCATCGCATATTCCCTCTTCACGGACTGCGCAAACACATGTTATGGTTCAGTCTCTTGAGTGTCGTGTGAGGAGTCAAGGAGTTGCAAACTTGAAGCATACTATAGCTTGCTCTTGCTTTGCCGTTTGACCATGTGCGCCATATGCCTTTTACAGGCTTTTACAGGCTAGACATGCTATTCATGTCCGCGCTAGCTTTGCAATTTTTTCTCATCTTCCTTCGCCATCCATTCGCTCCATCGGGTTCTCATTCATTTGTCTGTCCTTCCACAGGGAACAGATCTCGCTCCCCGCCTCCCCATCTACAGGCTTCGACATCTTTTCGCGGTGGAAATGATGCGAACCGCAACTATGGTGAACCGTTCACTGAGCACCAGTCGAATGCACGCTTGCCAGGTAACAGACCGTCAAGGACGGATTTCCAACCCGATGATTACGTGCATCGTTCGCAATGGGAGTCTTCATCAGGACATCGGGATGCTGGGCTTGCCATTGATGTTGATCTTCCTATTCGCAGGCCCCGAGAACAGGATTCCAGATTGAGGAATGACATGGGCATAGATGTTAAGAGGAGAAGGTTAGATGATCATAGTACTGACTCGGCATTGGCTCGTCGCCGCCGGTCGCCTTCGCCAGTAGAGACACGAGATGCAGCCATCTCTTCGGGAGCGTATGCGACTGGCAGAGACACCCGATCGGACCGTCGCGCAAACATCAATGGTACACCTTCTCACCTTCTCCACACCGTTCTTGCAAATCTCATAGGATTTGATATCATCTGCCATTCTTTTTATCGTAGATGGGAAACGTCCGTCTGGAGCCTTGTCGCATGAAATGTCGAGAGATGATGGTTGGGCCTCAAGAAGAATGCGACAAGGCGAATTGCCTAACGAAATGCTTGGCCCTAACCCGGGGAACAAGACTGCAAATACATTTATCCGGCCAGCTGATGCATACCGACCTGACACAGAACGCTTTGAGCGTGACAACGGGTGGCAACGGGCACCTACCGTTTCATCGAGAGATCAAGACGCAGGTAGACAGCTCAGAAGGGATAGCCGCGGATTTGAAGCCAGCAGGCGTGCAGCGGACCAAATAGCAGAAAGCAATTCTAGGTCACTAACTTTAGAGCCAATGGACATTGACGGTCCTCGTGTCAGGGTTGGGCCTCCACCCGGAGCTGGTTCAATGTATACGGGACGTTCGCTACACTCGAGAGAAAGCCGAGAAATTTCCGATTTCTCCGTAAAGGACGCCAGAAACGTGAAAACGAAAGGTCTTCCACCCTCACCAATTGGATTTGGACCGTCTAGAGATATGCAGGTTCATGATGTAAGAAACCTGGAAACTCCTGGCATTGATGGTGCGTGCTCCCTTCGTTAAAAATGAAGCGTCTATTTATTCTGTATGTACAGGTCGAGGTTCTCCATGTTCGCAGGAGCATCGCGGAACACGATTCGGTGCAGAAGAGGATACTCGGCGAGCAATTCCTGGCCATGTCGATGAAAACGTAAGGGAACCGCGAGTCGCTGCTTCTGACCCCAGCAAGAAGACAATCGCCTCAGATAATCGTCAAGCGAACATATCTGCTCAGCCTAAAGCTCCACTTCTCCCGAATGTGCGTTCGAGACAGCTTTATCTTGACGCATCCATAAACATATTCTTCATAGGACTGGATGCCAAGTGAACGGATAGATATCCCGAACGCTCCTCGATACATAAGATTAAATCGAGAAAAAGCCATGGCAGCAAAACGTGCACGTGCTAATCCTGTTCCAGTTCCTCCTCCGATGACGACGACGACGGGCAGTACTGTTGCGGATTCTGCGTCTGTCGGGAGCCAACGAGACACAAAAACTGATTCACATCGTCCAGAAGGAACTCAACCTGTATGGAAATAATTTTTCTCCATCTCTAGCTCTTGCTCAGTTCGCGTCCTTCAGATTCAAGATAGCCGTGTTGCGGCTTCTCCAGGAGTACGCTACACCAGCCTGCATGGCGACGTGGAACGTCAAATGTCGTTGAATGACAGGACAGAGAATATGTCCAGAGTTGGTTGTCGTTTTTTATCCTAAGAACTAGCTAATATGTCGACATAGAACCGCATCTCTGAACGTGACACCGCGCGTGGATTGGATGAGCCAGGATACCAGCCACAAGTCAAGCAACGTCCTATTGAGAATGGGGACTTTCATCGATCTGGGTCTCGAGCTGTAAGTTATTTAGAGAAAAATGTGCTGAAGGCATTTTCTGATTTGTCTGCCTGGCAGTCTCGATTCAGCAAGCCGCACGACGACGGGTCTCTCGTGAGTGAGCCACGCGTCTGGATTACGCGGGAAGATGCTGCAGCGAAGAGCGAGGCTCGTACTCGCAGTCCACCTTCTCCCAGCGGGGTCTCGATGGGTCTGGTTACGAATCTGTCAGGCGATGCCCGTGCCCATCGGTCTCGGGACAGCTTAATGAAAGATGCTACGGACCCTAGTGCAAGCCCATCCTCAATCAGCACGTACAACAGACATATCCCACCGCCCGACAGCAGCACTCGGCGACAAGTCCCAGAACTGCACTCTCCTATCCAGTATCCGGATGATTCACATGGAGATAAAGCTGGTGGTCGAGATAGCCCGTCAGAGGATAGGCGGATTGGACATACGCTTCCATCCCATCTGCCAAACATAGTAAACGCACCCGCACCACCAGAGGTCGCTCGACGTGCAAACGAAGGGGATAGGTACAATAAGGGACCACGGAATTTACGGGGCCCAAACAGTCCCCTTCTGCAATCGAGTAATTCCCGACAGCGCGTTGAGACGAGCAGGCTGGAGGCGACTCAAACAGAATCAGGCTATAAGGACGGCAGATATGATCGCCCTGGGCAACTTCGTTCGAATTCGTTGCTCCAACGTTTGAGCATGACGGATGGTAGCTCTCCTCCTGGAGATAAACTGCCTTTACGTGACCGTTTTGACTTGTCAGAACCGGCTTCCGTGGCCAAGTCCGGTTATGAGGAGCCACTGGCCAGTTCTGAGCACAAAGCGGAGCTTGACACTGGTCACTCAAATAGTGAAGACAGGAACAGAGGACGAAACCAGCTACGCGGACGAGGGCGTGGTCGGAACAGAAGAAGGGGAAGAGGTGGTTATGTCGATGCATAAGAGGAAAGGCAGTAGTTTAGTTCCTCTTTCAACGTATAAACTGCAATGCAGCGGCAGCGCTTATCGGAACCATCTGAATGTGATCATTAGATGGGCCAGGGGTACAGAGGTGTCCAGTGATTTCTGCAAATAGTAAACTTTCTACACCTACTTTACAGTGATTTTTTCATAGCAAGTGAAATGTGCCAGAGATAGTCGAAACAAGTTGGTAATGATTAAACATTACTGAATGGGGTATGGCAAATAGTGACATGCAAGAGGTATTATGGGTGTTCTTTACCTCATAGTTGATGATCAACAAAGAGATGGTCCCTCAGATCCTTAAGTACAAAACAAAAAATAGTTAAAATCCAATCAACTAATTGCGAAACTTGGAAGAAATGAGACGCACCTGGACATTTGCGAATAATGAATTGCATCTACTGTTGCTCTCATGATTCATCCACTTGCAGATATAAACTTTCTCTTCGCCGCGGTCCAGGTCATTGGCCTGCATAGACTCTGACGTTGTGAGGAAAACTTTCTTGAAGGCCTTCTCCCGTGCAGTAAGTCGCGAAATACGGATTTGTAACCAGCGCATATCATCAACTATCTTGCTATATTTTCCACGTGTTTCGTCGAGTTCGTCAGCGAGTTCTTGTTTCTCCACGAGAAGATCATTCCGAGCGCGGACGAGTTTTGCTTGTGTAGCCTCCAGATCACCTATCTCCTCCCGTAGCTTACTAATCTCAGCACGCAGCTCCGGTTCCAAAGCAGCGCGACGCCGGACTTCGTCATCCGTACGTTTATCCTTCGCTGATAAAATGTGCACGAGGGTTTGTTGTTGTTCAAGCTCAGCTTTCAATTTCTGTTCTTGAGCAGCGTATTGTCTACGGACGAGCTCAACTCCGATAGTGGCTTGGCCTTCAGCACGCTTGGTTCGCTCACTTAGCTCCTGATTCTCTCGCTTCGTTTCGTCCGCGAAAGCTGATGCCTGACCGTATAACTCTCGGAAAATCTCACCTTGCTTCACCGCATCGTCTCGACCCATCTTGAGTAGCTTTATCTCCGCGTCCAAGGCATCTCGATCTTTCGCTAAGCTCTCGCATTTTTCTTTATACTGCTCAAGCTCTTCTGAAGAAGCTCCTCCTAATGAGTCGGCCTGCTTCTCTTCAGTTTTCTTGAGGACCAAGTTTTCTGCTCGGAGTTCAGCCAATGTGTCATCTTGACTTAGGCGTTTCTCCTCGCTTTCTTCGAGTTGACGTTTTAAGGCTTCGATTTCTTCCGATTTAGCGTGAAGAAGGGCCATGGCTTCATTGAACTGCCGAGATGAAGTTTGGACAGGGAGCTCAAATTTCTATAGAGTAATTCCCAAGTTAATAACGTAAATTGAAGTTGAATATAACACGAACGCTTGGAGAGCCCAGTATTTTGAATCGAGGTTGAGCAGGTGAATTTGGAAGATCCATATCATCCTAAACGCGATATACGATATAAGTTAGGACAAAACCTCCATTAGAAAGTAATCACCTGTTGCGAAGACGTGGTAGATGCGGTAGCGCCTCTTTCGATTGCGTTTGCTCGAGACACGAATGGATCGTCTTCATGAATTCCGTCCGGCGACGATTCAACATTCACTTCTTCGTATGCATCCGCCTCAGGCTCAATGGTAGCATCACCTCCGGTTAAATCACCCTTCGTACTTTGTGCATTATCTAGTGTTTGTCGTGGTGTGCCAGCATCAAGAGAGGCGGCTCCAGCATTGCCTTCAAAGTCAACGTAATCTTCTTCAAACTGGCGGACCCGAGCCTCATCGTCCTCGTCCTCTTTCTTTTCTTCCCAAGCTTTGGAAGTGGATTTCTCTGCAACCTCAGAAAGTGTCTCGGAGAGTTCTCCGTCTGAAGGACGTGAATTGCTAGCGTCCGTATCGTGAGATTCTGTCCTTGACACTGATCTTGAGCTAAGGAGATCGTCTAATTGAACGCGTGATACAGGCTCGCGAACCTCATTCCGAATGCTTTCGCGTCGTTTCTCTGCAAGTCGGAGACCACGGCGCTGATATTCGATGCTGAGAGGCATTTTGTCATCAATATCGTCGTCCTCATCCTCCTCCGCATGCCTGTTTTTACCAACATCAACCCCGAGATCCTGCTCTCTTGTTCCTGTTTCTTCAGTATCGAAGCACTTGATAGGACTCTCGAGTGAGCTGGCTGGCTGGATATCCTCGCCTTGGGTGCTGGTGTTCTGCATACCTTGTATATGAGGCGGTGGCAGTGCTGACAACGGTTTACGTGGCTCCGGAAGATACGGTCTGAATTGGGACGGACTCATAGCAGGTATCTTTCCGTGTACCTTCATCCGCATACTTGAAGGTGCACTCGGTTCTGGGTCTGTTACAGACTGATCGGCTGTGCCGGGGGGTTCATCGGCAACAATAGGGGAGTCCAGGGGTATCGATACTATCGACTCAAGTACAGCATCGTTAATACCGCGCCCAACATCAGTAGGAGACCCATATGTAGCTATCACTGAAGCAAATTGTGCACTGTCCTCGGTACCATTCAAAGCGTCGGAACGTGATAGTGACTCAAACTGCGACTGCGTTGCTGGTATGACTATATCCTTCTCCGCCTGTGAATTGTTTTGATCGGCAACTTTAGAACCAGTGTTAGGTTCTGGTCCTCGGCTGTGTGCGGTGTCACCATTGGTAGTCCGTTTGGAATCATCAGCGGCATCTGCACGACGCTCTATTTTCCACGGTAAATACGATTCGTAGTCGATGTCATCCAACAAAGGGTGGTCATCTGGGTTGTAGTTATAAACTATACCCCCATCATTCGCACCATTTGGCCGTTTTGCTGATATATCTAGACTCTCCGGAAGAACGGCAGCCGGAAATTTTGGAGAGTGTTGCAAGGAGACAGAGATGGAGCGGCTGCGTTGCGAATTGTTATCATGAATTTTCTGTTTCTCCTTCCCCTTCAAGGACGATGTCGACCGTTGTCGCATCTTCGATGGCATCACAATTACACTGTGGTCGGCCTCTATTGATTGCGAACGCGACGAGCCATGCTGGCCATTCGTCCTTTCTTCAGCGGTAACGGAGCCCGACGAAAGGTCAGATGCTGCCAATGACTTCTGCTTCCTACTCTTTGGACGAGATGCCTCTGGCATCGCTGCACGTTTGTCCGCTGAGCTTATGCGAACTCCAGGAGATTCTTGGCGGTTTGGAGCTTCTTCCTTGCGGGCTGAAGGAATGATTGTGGAACGACTCTCAGAACGTGCGGATGCGCTTTTTGTCAGTGTGCGCCTTGGAGGCGTTGGGCGCCTGTCTGAAATTCGGTCCTCGGGAGAACGTTCCGCTGGAACCGAACTTCTAGATTTCCCCTTCATGCCAGGTGATGATATGCGTGTCTCTTGCCTTTGTACCGGATCCCTTGACGGTCCTGCGATAGCTTCCCTCTCTTCTTCTCCTTCCTCTCGGTGAGTAACGACCTTCCTTGGCTTTGAATTTAACTTCACTTCAGATGTTGCCCGAGGAGCACCTTGTTTGTGTCTTGATGGGGCTTTTGCGTTATCCTCAAGATCAGGTTCCTCTTGGTCGCTGTCCACTTCCTCTGCAGAATCAGACGGTCTCTGGTTAGGCCTTCTCCCGGGAAACCGCTGTAATTCGACCTCCGGGACAGTTTTACGTCGTTTTCTGCTCGCAGAGGTATGCTTATCATCGCTGTCATCCAATAATACATCCTGCTTGCGTTTTTTCGTCGGCGTTGAACGTACAGTTAATGGGGAATCGACTTCAGCACGGCCTATTGTGGTAACAGATGACTTCCGATTGAAACGTCTTGGAGTTACATTTGAAGTCGTGGTTGAGGATCTTTTGGAATCTGTCCTACTTTTTGATGCACTCATCGACGCTACGAAAGCAATAAAGTGGAAATTCGACGAAATTGCACATTTAATCGAATTGAACATGTTCAAGAGTACCACAGGAATAATACTCACATCCCCGCCTTTTCCTTCCTCTCCTTCCAGGTGTCCCACGCACTTTCTGCACCTTCATCTCAGCTTTCTTCCTCTTCCACGCTTCGACCAAATCATCTGTAACATCTTGACGCGGTACCCAACTGTCATCCCACGGTTTCCCATTCTCATCCACCCCGGCCCACTGTACCAAGTACATTCCCCTTTTCTCTCCCTTAATTTCAACGACGTCATATAATTGCTCTGAATCACTTTCGTGCGGCTCAAAGCCCTGCGTCGCGAAGTCTTCGTCTAAAATGTCCCCTTCACGAGCTCGTTCTTTGCCTTTGGGTTCCTTGGTTGGTGTCACATCTATAACAACAAATGGCTGGGGGACACCCATTCGCTTTTCAAGAAAGGTGAAGGAGACAGAGGAGGATTTACGACTGAGAATCAGTGAGATGCCACGGAATGCATGTAAAGAAGAATCAAGATCACCCTCGAGCGCTTGTGGCTAAAACCAGCTTATCACGTGTAGCAGTCGCGCTTACCTTTCAGACTCCGCTTCAATGCCCATCCAACTTCTTTTCCCTCCTCCTCCTTTAATTCCGTCTTACTACTATTTTGTGAGACTTGCCTCAGGTCAGGACTTAGACATATTTGTACGCGATGCTTAATTCAGCTCCATTCTGCTGGAGGTTTCTGTGGATGATGGTATCAAGGGAATGCATCTAAACTTATTCATTGTGTACATTTTATAATTCTAGAAACTAAAAATACTTATGCTTCTTATGCTGATCGTGTAAATAACATCACTTCTTACGACAGTCCTCGACGGGTACATTTGCAGCCGAGAAGTACCAGTCAAATCTCTTTGACTTGTAGAAATAGAAAATACCAGTGTGATTGCATTAGCATCAACTACTCTAAACCGTGTATCCTGTCAAGAAACCCTTCAATGAGTACAACTAATCTAACAGGGCAGTGGAATACTGTAATTCGGGACAGCTCTCATACTTCAAGCGCAAGATACCGTACCTCCGCCTTGCCCAGTACCCAAGCGTCTTGCAAATTAGGCAACACTGTGGCCCGCATTACTCAAAACAGCGTGACAGCTTCAAGAGACTTCAGCTAGTGACGCTTCTCTCCTCAGCAAATACGTTCACTACGCTGTGAATTCCGTCAGCGCATATCTTTCTCCAATACCATTATCTCTAGATTAGCCATAGCCTATCAGCAGAGGTGAGTGATACCAAATACCTTACTTTATGTAGTAGTTTAATGTCTTCGACCTTTGATAGTCTGAAAGAGTTTACAACACCGATGTCGTCGAGTCGTACCTCCAAAGTTACATTAGCCCGTCCTACCTATGAGGCTGATAAGGCACTATACGACAAGTTATTGGCAGGGAGCAGAGCCACAGATTCTGTCACAACGCTCATTGAGCTACTTACTCTTGCATTTCGGGACCCAGACCAGTTTGATCGTTGCGAGAGAGTCGGGAAGGACCCATTCATATCATTTGCCGAGATCTGCTCTATACAACCACACCTCTCTGCCAAGAAACCAACAGTCAAACCATCTATGTTATCCAACACTATTCTTGCTCCCAGTCGTCGAAGCTCTCGGATTTCCGAGAAACGAAAACTGGAGTTGTCACAACCACTGCTTGGAATAATGTTCTTGGAGGAAAACACAAGTTCTGCACCCCACACTGGCTCCCGTGTGCCCTGTAAACGAAAGGCACCATTGAAGGACATTAATATACTAAACTGTAGCTCTGAAGAGCCAGTTCCAAATAAGCCTGTCAAGCAAGTGCGCTTAATAGTAAATGAGCGACCGAATCAGTCTTAGCCATACCACGCAATAGTCAAACGACTAAGTAGGCAGGGAGCAGGAGGGGGGGGGGTGGTTGTGGATATATCAGTGTATAAGAATAGTCTTACTGAAAGGAATAAGCCGCAGGTTGGATGTATTACATGCTCTCTCTAGTAGCTGTCATATATATGTATTTACTATATTCACAAAGCCTTTTTCCAAATCGAAAGGCACCAAGAGAAGGAAAGAAAGCAACAGTCTAGCTGTACAGTCGCTCGAATAATATGCATACATATATCAAAGCCTTTCAAATGTTGCATTATACCTTGTCTAACTTTGTTCATATTACTTTTCAACATTTATTACTTCAAAGGGCTCTCTATCCGCGTCTCCGGAGCAGTATCCCCACACGACTGTAGCAGGGTAACCATGTTGTCCTGTCCAGGATCTCCTTTCAAGTCAACCTCCTCAGTATCATCGTTTCATTTTGCATTATCTATTGCGAAGTAAAGCATCCATGCAATTAATAAACTGACGGATTGTAAAGTCGTCAAATACAAATCGTGCACCCGGGTGGCTGAATCACAAGACATTACATTGTTAAACTTGCGCATATATTAACTGACTGTGTTCGACTATAGTGCAAGGTGTATTGTCCGAATCCTCTTCTCTTTCTATCTCTCGATCCGGTCGCTCTATGCTAACTGTGAAGTCACTGCCGCTTCTTCTTGCGTTCATCTCAATCATATATTATAATCTTTATACACTTTCGTGTGGCTCAAAGCCCTGTGCAGTGTGCAGCAAAATCTTCGTCTGTAGCGTCCTGCTCAGAAGCTCGTCCTTGCTCGTTGCCAACTATACATTAACAAATACATAAAGTACCTTTATTTGTTTTTTCCTGCAAAATGTTGGAGGATGTGGGGAGAGATCTAAATGCCATGCAACCGAGATTGCCTTAGGCGCTATGCTAAATCAGTACATCACGTGTGTAAGTCGCGTAAAGTTTGGACTCCGCTAAAAAAAACACAGGAAATATACCATACCATACCATACCTGTCTCTTTCCCCTCAGTTCAGTATTCCTATTGACCTTGCGAAAAATTGCTTCTTTACAGGGCACATACACACAATACTGAAATACATCACAATTCACGCTGAGCTTCTGTGCTGATCAAATGGAGGGAGTGCTTGGAATCTTACTCATTGCCTGCTTTCCATATCTCAGAACCTTAAGCAGTCACCTCCAACTAATACTTTTCATGTTGATCGTACGAATCAGATCTAATTTTATAATTGGCACTTATGGGCACATATTTACACAAGAAGTGCCCAATTGGCATCTTCGGTTTGCAGATAATACTGGGTAATATATCCGTATAAACTCATTAACTACTCCAAACTGTGCAATTCGTCATAGGAAGCTTAAATGAGTCTGCTTGACAGACCACAGGTAGTTCAAGATACCACACATGCACAGAGGGAGATGCCTCCGCCTTGCCCGAAATCTAAGCGTCTTACCAATAAGGACAATATGTTACTGGTGTGGCCAAGACGTTGACCTTAACCAAAGCGTGTGACGAGCTTAAAAGAGACTTGAGCTAGTACTACTTCTCTTCTCATCAAATACGTTCGCTACTGCGCGCATCTTATCTGAACACATCTCTAAAGCTGTGCGGCTTTTCTGTATCTGATAATACGACAGTTACACACCAAGTAAGTTATTTAACGATGTAATACACTGTTTTCCATCTGATATGGATTCGGACAATCGCTCTACACTAGTAACACAGGATACCGCAATGTCGTGGAAGTGCAACACAGGCAAGGCACTCACCTACCCTACCTACGAGGCCGACAAGACCATGTATCAGGCCTTAGTAGAGAAAAGCCGCACCACAGACTCAATTTCAATGCTTATCGAGCTCATGGAACTTGCACAAAGAAACCCAGAGCAATTCGACCGATGCGAAAAAATCTCAAGGGACCCATTCATATCATTTGTTGAGATATGTGCTATGCAATCAAAACTCTCAACAAACAGAGGATCTCGAGCTTTGATAGAAGGGTCTCAATCTGATGTGTCTTCTCTCCCTGATACCAATACTACGTCAATCCGGAGGAGCTTTCGAGTCCAGGAGAGGCAGAAGATAGAATTATCCCGACCACTCCAAGGTATCAATTTCTCCGAGGATGACTTGGCTTCCTACACCATAGCCGAGGATAGAAAGTCAAATAAGCGAAAGCGAGAGACAACATCAATGAGCAAGGCTTCTGAGGAGGAGTGCAGTGCTATGACTATAGACACTCAGGGTCTTCAACCAAAGGTGAAGAGGGTACGACTTTTGGTATTCGCTAAGCCACATAGATCATAGTCACTTCCATTCTTGACTGGAAGAAACAAGTTGCAAATTGAATGTATTGATAGCCCTATAGATGGATTTTTATATGTATGTACATATAACTCTTAACAAAGCCTTTCTCTACAGTGAAAGAAACGAAGGAAAAGGAAAAGAAAGTATGGGTCTGGCTGTCGATACAGCCGTTCTGAATAACGTATATCAAAAGCCTTTCAAACACTGCATAATTCCTTATTTAACTTTATCCACACAGCCTTTCCTTTCAGCCCGTCCTCATAACAATTCCGATTACACATTATAATCTTTTTCATTTTGCATTAACGTCTATACATGTATGCCATGAGGGATATAAAATACGAGAGCAGTGGTAGAACAAGAAACAGAGAAACCAGTAACAAAGCGTGAAAGATACTATCTATGCGTAATAGATCAACGTCAAATCATCAGAAATAAAATCATGCCGCGGCTGGTGTCACAGCATTGGCAGATTTTTCAATCGCAACACTCGGACGTTCCGAAGCCACAATGGAGTCGCGTTCTTTTCCTTGCTTCTGACCGCGTTCAACGGTCCGTACCAGGGTGTACTCACGAAGTACCAATACTATAGTGAAAGTGAATATCAGCATAAAGTCAATTCTTACACAGCTAACATGCACGTACCACAGAGCAGACCGACGAAAGCAATGGGCGTGAAGGCGATATATATTGTGGCTAGACTTCGCGTAAAGGCATGGGTGACCTGCTGGCGCAACGAGTCCGGTTGGATATGTGAAATCGAGGTGTAATCCAGGAATCCTGATGCACTCATAGAGGCGGCGTTATACCCGGGGATCTTCGCTAGGCGATCAGGCAGTTCTGACTGGAAGATTGTGTCGCCCACAGAGATACCCACAGTACCTCCAAGCGTACTAGAGTCACGCCGCGTTAGAAAGTAGTCCACGTATGTTTCACGTTGAAAAGAGCTTACCGTAAAAGAACGAAAACAGCAGTGCTCGTAGCCATATCCTTGAGAGGCATAGCAGCTTGCAGGCCGATGAGGGGAGGTTGGAAAAGGCATCCGACTCCAAGGCCTGTGACGAGCAACCATATCTCCTGCTTTGCAGTGCTTGTGTTCTCCTCAAGCATAATCAACAGACCGAACCCAAGAGTCATCACGGTCCATCCTGCCCACATAACGGGACGATACCGTCCAGTCTTCGCAACAATTATTCCGCTAATAATCGCCATTAATGAAGAGCCCAGCGAAAGTGGTAACTGGCGGACGCCTGCCATTGTTGCACCTGACCCAAGGATTTGGAAGTATAAGGGTACATAGTAGCTTGCGGCGAAGAACGTCATCGAATGGAGGAATACAGAAATGAGAATTCCTGCCGTCGTTCGAGTCTGGAAAAGTCGGGGCGGGATGATTGGCTCGCGAGACGTGAAAACTTCATTCACGCTGGCAGCAATAATTAAAACGCCACCCAGTACCAGAGTAGAAATCGTCCCCGGAGCTTGCCATTTCTTAGCTGCAGTTTGTGCGCTCTGGAAGCCAATAAGGACAAGAACGACTCCACCAATGAGCAGGAAGAGGCCCAGGAAATCAAATGTTGCCGCAACATCACGAACGGAACGCCTTTTTGTCGGATTGAGGTGTAAGAAGAACAGCAGAAGTAAAGCTGCAATGCCACCCGTGGGAAGGTTGATAAAGAAACACCAGCGCCAACTGACGTGATCAGCGAAGGCACCTCCTACCAGCGGACCAATGACGCTCGCAATTCCCCAGGTGGCTCCTATCAATCCACCGTATTTACCGCGTTCTTCAAGGGTAGCTGTGTAGATGAAATTAGAACAATGAACTGATACAAATGGAGATAGTAAGACGAACTGATGTCGGAAATGATAATCATGGCCATTTGCATAATACCACCGCCACCAATACCTTGTACGCCACGGCCTGGATAATGATTTTGTCAGCATATACAAGCCGGTGTTCTAGTAAAATTCTGCTTACAGAGTGCAAGCCAGATAAAGTTCTGGGCGGCACCGCAGAGCGCCGACCCTACTAGGAAAGTGCCAATAGAAAAGAACAAAATTGGTTTTCGCCCTATAATATCCGAAAGTCTCCCGTATAGAGGGCTCAAACCTGTGAAAATAATGAATATTGTCACTGATGAGGTAGAGATAAGAATCCTTACATGCTGACACTAAAGATACATGGTAATCAGACTTGGTTCACTCAATAATTCGATGGGAAACACCTACTCAGCAAGTATGCACTACCGACCCAGCTATACCCAGACTGGCCACCAATATCTCGCACAATTGTAGGTAATGCAACAGCTGCAATAGTCTGGTCTAATGCGGCGAGGAACACTGTGAAAAGCGTAAGCCTAAGCGATAATATACTAAGTTAAACAATTTCCTAACCTGCCAACATGAGACTTAAGTAGATGTAAGTTATTTCGTTCGGTTACGGGAAAAGAACAGGAAAACGTACCCAGGAAAAACGAGCTTCATGTTACTGAATAAGAGCATTAGTAACAATTCATTCTGCTGTATAATAACACATACTTGTGAGGAATCTCATGCACTTCGCCCGCTCGCCAACGTGCACCAGGATTGTCATTCGCTCGCTGCTCAATGTCGACAGCTTCCACTTTCTCGGGCCGCGGTTCCTCGGCGAGTGTCCTCTGTTCGGGGTCATTGGGTGTCCTTGTAACAAGAGCGTCAACACCCGCAGTATTTTGCTCTTTCTCGTTAAGTACGTCGTCGGTAGTCATTATGGGGGAAGAACGCAAGAGAGAGTGGGAACAACTTTTTTTGTGCCCTCATGCCTTATTTATGTCGATGGTAGAGCCGAAGTTACTCAAATCCTTACGCGGGCATCGGTCTCTGCACGTGATCTATTTCGGACTTAAAAATAGCCATTTACCGATTCGGATCATATCTGGGAGAAATATGACTCGGCCTAAACTTCTTGCACATTACATACGTGTAAGCTGTCGGCGTACCTCCTAATTGATCACAGTTGCCACAGAGTCACGACCAACTTCCGACTGTTACCCTCTGTTTTGTTCATACGGGAATGAATTATGCAAGACTGTGCTCCGTAAACTTCACACGTAATGCTGCCAGCCGACGTTAACGTCAATCACTCTTTCAATTCGTGCCTGTAAAGGCTGCAACTGAGCCCGCAGGACACAGGCAAAAACGTCCTGTCCCACTTACAGGAAGGCATTCCCATACTCCACTCTTCTTCTCATTCACATTCTCGCAGTGCGACAGGCAATTTCTCGACGATTATCGTACTGATAAGGTGGGCCATTTCTCACCAAGATGGCGTAATCTGTACAGTCAGGAAGTGTGCGATAGCATCGGAAACAAAGGTCACTTTATTTCAAATTCTCACACACGGGACAACGGCATTTTGACCGTGCACAGCCACAGAGTTCTTGCTGCTTCGACAACTTCCTAAGATATGAAGATTGCTGCGACGCCATCGGTAAGAAGTCGAAGAGGTTCGAAAGCTTACAACGCACACTAACAGTATTTCTTGATTAACGAACACACCACCGTCGATATCTGCAAATAATTCCGTCATCTTGCTGCGTGTCATTGACAACACGTTCATGATTACGTCATCCATGCAACTTATAAAAGATGGCAACATCTCATTAGTTATCTTTCAAGTCAATATCACAGACATTATTCCGAGTTGAGGTTGTTCCATGTTCATAGCCGCCTGCCGCAATGGGTAGATGTCTTTTAAAGTAAATTGAGTCTTTTCTTCGTCTATCCATTTATGGCAAGGAATATTAAGGGAATGCATGTTTTTGTAGAGTATAATACACATTACGGTGTAGCATCTTACAATATAGTGCACTCATTAAATACCACGTTACACACTAGCAATAATTTCCATGGGTCCTTGCGCTTTTCACTACACTGTCTTTCTCTGTTAAATACACACCTTCACGTGGCCTAAGATTTACCTTGTTTGGCTTCGTCGATCTGCCAATCACCCTCCCTCAAACATTAAAGTAACTTAGTAACTTGAAAAGACTGTATATCTATAAGAATTGCAAGACTTCCTCCCGAACAGCACAGACAAACAAGACACAAGATAATATACAAAGTAATTTCATAACACGACATGTGCTGGATCAGTCTATTAGAGATATCTTAATTGTTGGAAACGGTTTCTGCCAGAATCGGTGCAGAGTTGTCGGTGGGTTTCTCATTGACAATGCTTGCACGTCCGGAAGCCACTGTTGAATCAGGAACCTTTTCTTGCTTCTGCTCGCGCTCGACGTTTCGTACGAAAGAGTATTCGCGAAGAACCAAGACTGACATGAAAACGAAAATTAGCTATTGCCTACGTCTAACACAAAAACCATGAACGTACCGCAAAGTAAGCCGACAAAACAGATGGGAGTGAATGCAATATATATCGTAGCTAGACTACGCGTGAATGCATGACTGACTTGCAGACGCAGCGAATCCGGTTGTATGCGCGAAATTGCAGTATAGTCAACGAGTCCCGAGGTCATTGAAGAACTGTATCCAGGAACTCTTGACAGACGATCAGGCAACTCCGATAGGAAGATCGTGTTTCCCACAGAAATACCGACTGTGCCGCCAAGCGTTCTGGAAATAGCTCAGCGTCAGATAATGCTTTTAGTAGTAAGGTAGACCAAACTCACCGAATAAGCACGAATACCGATGTGCTTGTGGCCATATCCTTCAGAGGCATGGCTGCTTGCAACCCGATAAGCGGTGGTTGGAAGAGACAACCGACACCGAGTCCTGCGATTATCAACCATATTTCTTGTTTTGCAGAGCTCGTATTTTCCTCAAGCATAATCAGGAGTCCGAAACCAATAGTCATCACGAACCATCCAAGCCACATAATAGGACGATAACGGCCAGTCTTCGCGACGGTAATTCCAGTTAAAGCTGCCACAGCTGAGGAGCCAAAGGAAAGCGGCAACTGTCGGACACCCGCCATTGTCGCGTTTGAGCCAAGAATTTGGAAGTATAATGGAACATAGTAGGTGGCAGCGAAATATGCTAGAGCGTGGATGAAGACGGAAATCAGAATCCCAGTCGTCGTGCGAGTCTGAAAGAGCCGAGGTGGAATAATTGGCTCGCGAGACGTGTACACCTCGTTCACGGCACCAATAAGAAGCAGTACACAGCCGAGGACCAGCGTTGAGATCGTCACTGGAGCTTGCCAGCGTTTTGCAGCGGTCTCAGCACACTGGAAACCTATAAGAACAAGGACGACTCCGCCAACAAGCAAGAACAAGCCGGCAAAATCGAATGCAGCTACTACCTCTCGTACGGAGCGTCTCTTGGTTGGCTTGAGGTGCAGGAAGCAAAGCAGAACTACTGCTGCAGCGCCACCTACGGGAAGATTGATGAAGAAACACCACCTCCAGCTGACGTGATCGGCAAGGACTCCCCCTACCAATGGCCCAACGACACTTGCAACTCCCCAAGTTGCTCCTGTTAGTCCGCTATACTTCCCACGTTCTTCAAGCGAGCTGACAATACAATTTTCAATAGCACGTCAACAACAAATCCAAAGGACATACTGATGTCAGAAATCACGATAAGGACCATCTGAATTATACCACCGCCGCCGATACCTTGTAAACCACGACCTACTCGGCGCATAAAACATGTCAATAAAGCAGACAGAACTAAATGCAAATTTTGCTTACAAAGCGCAAGCCACATGAACGTCTGGGCCGCGCCGCACAGCGCAGACCCCGAAAGGAAAACACCAATTGAGAAGAACAGAATCGGCTTTCGACCAATGATATCAGAGAGCTTCCCATAGAGTGGGCTCAGACCTGGTGCACAGTTGTGAATATCTTCTGCGTATATGCGTGGGAATAAATATCTTACACGCGGACACTATGCGATGTGAATCATCAATTGGGACTCTGACATAGAACGGAACAAACGTACTCAGCAAATATGCGCTGCCAACCCAACTATACCCGGACTCGCCGCCAATATCTCTGACAATCGTCGGCAATGCCACGGCCGCTATCGTTTGATCCAACGCAGCGAGGAACACTGTAGATCGAAACAGTCGGTCGGAGAATAGCAAAACATGAGGTAATTATCAAACCTGTCAACATGAGGCTGGACATCGAAATTAGTCTTCCTTCTAAGCGCAGAAAATTTTGGAGTCACATACCCAGGAAAGACGAGTTTCATGTTACTATATAATAATTAAGTATAAAGCATTGGATTTAATAAACTGATGCTCACTTGTGAGGAATCTCATGTACTTCGTTATTTTTCCAACGAGCACCAGGTTCATACTTTCCTCGTTTCTCAACGTCGACTAGCTCCACCATCTCGGACCGGGGCTCTTCAGTGAGTGTCCTCACATCTACTTCGTTAAACGGACTCGTAGCATGCTCTTTAATGCCCAGACCACTCCGTTCCCTTTCAATCTGTTTGTTTATGATTGACATTTTGCGGCATGAACGCAAGAGAAGATGGGGGTAAGGGTACTAGCATGCACTAAATCCTATTTATACCAACGGAAGACCGAAGATGTGCGAAAGTCGCATAATGCACGTGGACCAAAGAATCCTCGAACATCAGTTGCCAGCTTCGGATCATGTATGACTCGATGCTTCATCTTGTCATCGTTCAAGTGAATTTCTACTTGGTATTCAATCATAGTTTAACGCAACACACCACTTTCGATTCTCCAATCATAGCACACCCTGCATCCCGCGGTAACGCGCGAAAGCAAGCTTTGTACAGTAAGCACGAAGGGCGAGAGCATGCGTAGAGCAAAACGTGTATCCTTGGCAAAACTTATTTCCTAACATATCTTTAGCGCACACATATGCCACTTTCTCAAAGGTGTTATACAGGATGGATGATGGTTCTCAACAAAGGTTATATTGTAATCCTAAACAGTGACTGTGTTTGAGGTAATGCTAGCAAGATAGCAAGTCACATTGGACCCAGGTGCCATTCCATGTTGTTTGTCACATAATCCACCTAGATCCAGTAATGTTGTATACTTATTCAAAAGACTTTACAATACCCCTTTGTTCTGCCTCAGAGATTCCTTAAGGAGTTATTCATGGGGCAACATGCTTCTGAATACAAAATGGAAGACTTACAAACATACAAATCCCAATTTCAATCCTGCAAACGACATTCAATGAGTCAAACGGTAGACTCGGACCGTTAATATCGCCTAGATTGTCAGTGCACATCCACTGAATGGTAATCTTATCTGATGATTTATATCTCCGTCTTGGCGGAGAAATCAACACGTGATCGGCTTATCGACCTTAGTCAGCTCTAGTCTTGATTTGGACTTCGTCGGCCGATGCATTCAAATTCTCATCTTCTTCTCATTTACCTTCTTGTTTATTTGGTATATGGTATATAATAACGGTTAAAGCCCATTAACAGACATACACTTAGAATTTACATCAATTACCAACTAACGGCTTTGCTCACACTTCCTCCTGAATAAAAGCGGGCCAAAAATTTTAACATCGTAATTGTCATGAAGATATAAGAACCAAAACAAAGAAACTACGTTAAATTAGTCAACATGAAGAATTAAATAGGTCTACTACGGAAGAGATTCCTGTGAGGGAGTGAATGCACATCATGCTTTGATCGGCGCCACAGCTGCAGCAGGATTTACATCAGCGACACTTGGGCGCTCAGAGTCCTCAGTCGAATCAATAATCTCTTTCTCCTTCACCTGCTTCTTTCCTCTCTCTACATTACGTACCAGGGTATACTCGCGGATGATCAAAACTGTCAATGGATATCAAGTTAAAACAAAGCCAGAGAGAATAATAGCAATACACGTACCGAAAAGCAGACCAACAAACGCAATAGGCGTAAAAACGATGTATATCGTAGCCAAACTACGGGTAAACGCGTGAAGAACTTGTTGACGTAACGAATCAGGCTGGATTCTCGACAGGCTTGTGAAGTCCGTGAATCCTGAAGACACGATTGAGGAGAATCCAGGGACTTTCGCGAGACGGCCAGGTAGTTCAGACTGAAAAACCGTATCGCCAACAGAGATGCCAACTGTCCCTCCTAGCGTCCTGTAGTTCGGTTCAAATCAATATAAATTCAACGAAAGAGAAGAATTTAGCTCGCCGTAGAAGAACAAATACTGCAGTACTCGTGGCCATGTCTTTCAGAGGCATAGAAGCTTGCAACCCAATAAGCGGTGGCGGGAACAAGCATCCTGCTCCAAGACCCGCTACTAACAACCAAATCTCCTGCTTTGCAGTACTAGTGTTTTCCTCAAGCATAATTAAGAGCCCGAGTCCAAGAGTCAAGACAGAAAATCCAAGCCACATAGCAGGACGATAACGCCCCGTTTTTGTGACAGTTATACCGCAAGCAATCGCCGAGATCGAGGAACCAACAGTGAGCGGTAACTGGCGCACGCCCGACATCGTTGCATCCGATCCAAGAATCTGGAAGTATAAGGGTACGTAATAGCTCGCGGCGAAGAACGTCATTGCATGGATGAAGGAGCTACAAAGGATTCCGGCCGTCGTACGCGTCCGGAATAGGCGAGGTGGGATGATAGGCTCGCGAGACGTGAAGATCTCGTTGATGCTTCCGGCAATGAGAAGAACGCCACCTAGGACAAGCAAAGAAATAGTCGCAGGTGCTTGCCACCGTTTAGCAGCAGTCTGGGCACTCTGGAAACCAATCAGGATAAGGACAACTCCTCCCATGATTAAAGCGAGACCCAAAAAGTCAAATGTAGTCACGACATCGCGTACAGACCGCTTCTTCGTCGGATTGAGGTGCAAGAAGAACAACAGAATGAATGCTGCAACGCCACACGTGGGAAGGTTGATAAAGAAGCACCAGCGCCAACTGGCATGGTCAGCGAGTGCACCCCCTACAAGTGGTCCAACGACAGCTGCAATTCCCCAGACTGCCCCTACAAGACCACCATATTTACCACGTTCTTCGAGGGTAGCTGTACATTGGTTTAGTTATTTAAGTAAATGGACACGAAAAACTGAAGTCGTACTAATATCAGAAAATACAATCATGACCATCTCCATAATGCCTCCACCTCCAATACCTTGCACACCACGACCTGCTTGGTGTTTAGTACGGATTGTTCTAAGTAACGAGGAACTCTAGTATCTTACGCACACAATGCAATCCAGATGAAACTCTGTGCGGCACCACACATTGCAGATCCAAACAAGAAAATACCGATTGAAAATAATAGGATAGGTTTCCGTCCAATGATGTCAGAGAGCTTCCCGTACAGAGGGCTAACACCTTCACGGATGCATCAGTAAGTCGAAATGGCTACCGTAACAACTGCTCTTACATGCAGACACTGGAGGAAAATGGTAGTCAATGGCTTGAATATATGCGTTATATAATATCAATAGAACGACATACTCAGCAAATATGCACTGCCAATCCAGCTGTATCCAGACGAGCCACCGATATCTCTGACAATCGTCGGCAATGCTACAGCTGTGATTGTTTGATCTAACGCAGCGAGAAAAACTAAAGAGAAAGAGAGAAAGAGTAAGAGCGCATACACGGATTCGACACGAAGCAAGTTCTGACTTGTTAACATGAGACTTAAAATTGAACGTCAGCTCAATTTTCGCTGCGGTGAAATGCTCAAAAACTTACGCAGGAAACACGATTTTCAGGTTACTGGTCGTATTCCGTGAGAACTCAGTTAATGAATCCATCGATTGTTGGCTATACTCACTTGTGAGGAATTTCGTGCACCTCGCCTTCTCGCCAACGCGCACCTGGATCATCCTTTCCCCGTCGTTCAATGTCAACAGGCTCAACTTTATCAGGCCGAGGCTCCTCAACAACTGTCCTCTGTTCAACCTCGTTTCGTTCAGGAGCAGGTAGCGTATCACCCTCGCCACCTGCCCCTTTCTCAACATGCTCATCGTTAGTGGTCATCGCAAGCACAAGTGCTCGAATACAGGGGAATATTAAGGGGCGTCAATGCTAAAGCTCACATCCTTGGCATATTTATATCGGTGTATAAACCGAAGAAATGGTACTCTCCGTGCGCGAGCATCGCATAAGGCACGTGATCCCATGAAGTCTGCACGTCTATCGACCGGATTTAGTTAAACAAGGTCTATATTCGGTAAACGGGAGCGACGCTAACTGTAGGCCGAAGAGATGCGTAATCCCGGAAGCTTGCCGGAACCACACGTCCACATAGTCTCACTTCGACATGGGGCAACTCTGGCTCCAGTACCTTTTCGACCAGATATGCCGGATGGAAACGTATACCCAGTCACCGAGATTCTCGAGCGAGCCTATTCATTCCTTTTGACGTCGCATCAGGGCATGTGCCAACCGCAGTCCAAGCGCACTAAATTCACAGAACCTCACAGAAACTTCGCCATTTTTGTGGAGGCTCCTATGTAAAGTCTGTGGAAATGTGGGTAGGTAAACCCTACTCTACTTCTTGGCATTTCACTGCACTGTAAATCTCGCAAATCCCGTTTGCGGCAGTGTCTGTGCCTGAGCTGTGCAACGCGCATAAAAGTCTGACTTCCACTTCTGGGAATGATCACCGCCGGGACTACATAATCACTGCATGTCTGTCAAAATATTGTCTGTCAGAGTATTATCTGTCTGTAAAATTGCTCACAATATGCGTGTATTTCATGGGTGACGAAAACCTTAACCAGGTGAACAATGTAAGAAACACTGAAACCAGTGCTGACTGAAATAAATGTAAAATCCAGAAACCTATATTGCTTCGCGTCTTCAGAGACCAACCACAACAAAATTGAACAAACGGTGACTATGCAATTGCAAACATCTATGCTTATTTACACCAGTTTCTGTAGCTGTGTATTATATTGGACACAAACCAAAAACGACACTAAGGACAACAAAGAAAATCAATCAAAGTCAATCCGATAGCAATGCTAAATGTACCCTATAATGCTATATGCCAGAATGTATGCAAGTCACTAAGAAAACACCAGAAACAACCCAATATAAAGTAGGCTTGCGAAAAATGCAAAAAAAAATGCAAAAGTGAGAACTAATAAAGTCGGTAGTTAATGATACACGCTAAAGAAATTTCTGACACGGCAACGTCGATGCAAGAGACGTTCTTTTATAGACATGCGGAGAAAATGAGCGGGAAAAGGACGAGTATAGTTCTATGTAGTATTTTCCAGTGTTTGTGTGAATTATGATGGGGAGGATGAATGGATGAGGAGAGGTTTGTTTTATGTATCTGCTTGATATGCTTGATTACCAATTCCGCGGTTGCTAATGCAAGATGCAAATGATGCGATTTCTGCAATGTGTCGAAAGCAAAACGAATGCGTAAAGGCATGGTGATCCAGTCATGTTGCGATTGTCGTGCATGGTGGAAGTGGGTGGGTCGTTGCGCAAAGAAAGGTCAGATGCATGCCTCCAGGCCATCCCGAGAATTCAATCGTTTTGAGACTGCCGATTCGAGTAACCCTCGACTCGATGCACACGTCCAGGCCATCCAGAGAATTCAGTTGCTTCGAAATTGCCAGTCCGAATGACCCTCCGAGTCCAGAAACTCAATAAAATCTACAAGGAACCGTACTTGCTCGTACGTCTCAATAGCCTTCAAACTCCTCCGCCTTCTCATAACCAACAATGCGCGCTCTAGAAGCTGTACAGTCGCCCGGCAAACGCGTGGTACATTCGCTAGCGGCACCGTCGGGCTAGGAGACGGACTAGGCGTCGGAAGTTGCGTATTACTATTATTGCATGTTTGTATTCTGAGTGGACTTCGAGTTTGACCACGAAATATCGGTCGTTCAAATTCTGGGCCAGGTGAAAACCCGTGGGAGTGGGCGTGTTGAGTGCACGACCGTGCACAGACTTCTGGGTCTTTCCACCCACAGAGACCGAGCTTGAGCATCCAGCAGCAGGCAACAAGCCCTGCGCGGCCTACGCCACCTCTACAATGTGCGAGCACGGGAACACCGCGCAGCGTGTAAGTCTCGATAATTCGCTGTAGTTGGTCATCAAGTAATGCTGGGGAGAGCGGAGTAAGTCCTTCAGGCATCGGTATCCTGCAGCAACCGATAAGTTTATTAGTACTTCATTGATCGAGTACAAAGTACATTAGACAAGATACGAACCGGAGGACATCAAGACCTATTTCATTTGCTATACTGGAGTATTCAGCCCACGAGGCACCGAGGAACTCGAGTTCATTATCGTCCAAACAGCTAATTTGCAATCAGAAAACTCAGTCTCCTCCATCGATTACAAATAATAATTCTAATCCACTTACCAAATAACGCACTCGACCCCGAGATCCCTCACTCTACTGAGATCCGCTCGCAAGTCCCTACATATCGCAGCTCGGCCTTTGACAGGTCCCGATAGTCGAACTTCAAAATAAAATAAAAAAATGAACCATCACATATCAGCGATTAACAATTAAAGGTAATCAAAGGGAAACCAAAATATATTACTAGGACACATACCTTTCTTTCCCGGACATGAGCTAAGATACATATTCCCAAGCTGCCGTATATGGATATGATCTTCCGGAGCCGTATCGTCAGAAACTAACGCTGGTTCGATCTGCGCTGGTGGACTCGGAGTTACCGAGTCGGGAGGGAGCATGAGTCCGTGTTGGCCATTGTTGGAAAACTCGTCCTCTGGTGTATCGCAATCTGGTGTATCCCGTTCTAGAGATGTGATGACGGAAGGAACGACAGACGGTACATCAGTAAATCGCGAGGTCGGGATCTCAGGACTCGACCGCTGTCGTGGGAGACCCTGTCGCGCCTCCCTCATGTTTGACACCCTCCGCTGCATGCCTCTAAGGGTCCGAAATGCAGGCGGAGCAGAAGTTGCACGTCCATATCGTGGTCGTCTCCGAATCACACCTTTAGGTGGACTCGGCGGAGTCGGAGTCTGACCAGGAACAGCAAATGGAGGAAGAGGCAGCATCATCGGCTGCAACACTGTCCGTGGTTCTTGTGATGGGACGAACAGCGGTCGAGGTGGAGGTGGAAGTCCAAATTCACCGTTTAGCGCATTTTGCAGAAGCTCGCTGCTTCCATTTTGCGCCCAAGTTATTGGTACAGGTGCGCGCATCGCAGGATGACACGAAGGATGCATAAACCGATTGAACGGCCTGTAGCCCTGCACACCGCGTGCCCGAATCGCTGTCACGCGATCTAAGTGAAAATCCTGAGGAAGATGGAATAGGACCGGGGAGGAGGTCGACGGAGAGACAAGCTGTGAAGCTAAACCGGGCAAGGCTTCAGCTGGTATCACCATAGAAATGCTAGGCACACAATTAGTTCCGTCGAATCCTGATCCAGTCATCCAAACAATCGGATAAAACACACTTTATGGGATGTGACTGCGAAGTCTTCGTGATGTGCGCAGACGGCATCTGCGAAGCCATAGCCGCAGAGATCTCATGCTGAATATCTAACGACGGAACACCAGTCACCAACGTCGGTAGTGTCTGAACATCCGCGTTGACGTGTTGGGCCTGGACCTCATCACGACGGACCGCTTGTTCCGGACATAAATCGCAACCGCTTCGCCCGCTAATCCACCACGCCTGCTGTTCTGAGAAACGCGCCTGCTGTGAACGTAACCCGCGAATGTGTAACGGCGATTGGAGCGAGAGCGGCACATACATCGTGGGTGAACCTTATACGAACGGCAATGTCAGAACTCCACTCCACCAAGCAGAAGCACTTTAATTACTTATTTGCTCACCTCTCTGCCCGAACTTGAACCTGCTGTACTCGCTCGCATGATGCTGTGACGCAAGATGCGCAAGCTAGCATCATACACGAAAAGTAAAGAAATGAGCGTCGTGACATGTAATACAACGGGCACTACATACCTGAGCAGCAAGTAACCTCTCATGTACAGGTACAACTACAGGCTCTTCCACCGGCTGCTGAGGTAACTGAGGAGGCGGCGACGCGACTTGGACCTGCACCTGCACCTGCATTTGTATAGAAGTAGATAAAGGTACTGGCGCGGGTACAGACACGGGAAGTGGTGTCGCGGACACGGTTGCGTGGAACGCATCAACCTGCTTTCGCTGGGCTGGGGTCTGCACACATAGCGCGACGGGTTGTGACTGTGCGGCAACAAGCATCGCACTGTTACTTCAGCTACTATAACCAAATTTGCCTGTTGTCGAAAGACGTGGTGGAGGACGGAGGAAGATAGAGAGAGACGTGCAAAATGCGGGGGAGAGAAATACACAAGTTAAGCAGACCGATTGTCGAGATGTCGTGCTTCTCGGCAAGCACCGAAACGTCTGATTTGGAAACATCACCCTCGGTTATCTTCATCCGACCCGTCTTGTCACAGACAAACAATCACAACAAACTGAGATACGCCAGCTTTTCACGCTCCTCTCCGTCTCAACCTTCTCTTCCAGCGCACACGTACGGTAGAGCGAGAAGAATCAGCGGCACAACCATTGAATCACTTCTTCCAGATAACCACGCGGGTGCTTTACGACACTCCATCATCTCCTCACTATACCCGTTTCGTATCAGCGAACCTAGACCGGATTTGCTTCCGCATGTTGTGTGGCAGTCCAAACCTTCGAGTTTCCAAGCAACCCGCTATTGCCACACCGTCTTTCTCCCGCTCTTCTTCCCACTATGCACGTTCTCACTGATCATCCACGCGTGCTCAATGCACATGCTCCTCGTCCTTCTTCATCCTAACTATTCTTAGGTAGAGTTCCATGTGTTCCAGTATAGCGTTCAATAGACAAATAAAAAGGAAAAGTAACAAAGAAGAAGAATATGCAAACATAAGTTGATAGTCCATCAGCATATGGCAAATTTGGGGTTTGCTGCTTTAGTGTGCAGCTATATGCGGGCGTGCGTATAATGGTGATCGAACAGCTTAGTTGTGTAAAAACGGATGTCGTCCTGGTGAGAGAATGCAATAAAACTTGTTTCAGCCTCGTACACAAAACATGATGAGAGTAGACGCCGAAATCAAGTTGAAGGTGAAACAGAAGGGCGGAAGAAGAAAACGAAGGGAGAGTAGTATCAATATACAATCTACCATTCCAAACAAACCAAGCTAAAGGTCAACAGAGTCCTTGTGTTATATACTGCATCCCATCCACACGCACGCGCCAACGAAGACAAAAAAACGCGCACGGCGCGCCCATCTCGTGCGCGCAGCCATGAATAGATATTATAAAGAAGGGTTCAAGCCCCAGGTATAGTCATCAAACGAAGGGGTAATCAATTGATATGCCAACAAACGAGAGAAATTGCCAGGATAAAATTATGGGTTGCATGGCGTGCAGATGAGCGGACTTGATGATGAGAGCAAATAAATGAGGGAAGACAGGACAAAATCATGCAGGCGGTCGTTTCATATCCGATTACTGGGATCAAGTGGTCCTAAAGGCCCGTACGAGTTCGGACCTGGTGGTCCACCCCGCCCTCCGCTCCGTTGTCGGGCATGCGTTCGTACCCCGTTGTAACCACTAGTGAGTACGTTAGGCCCTGACGGCGTTATAGGAGACATCACTGGCGGTGCATACACTGGTCCACCTTCTGTTCGCGACACTGGCGTATATCTCCCTGGACCACCTCCAACAGGACCATCTGATAATTGATATCGCGGCAAGTTCGTACTCGAGGTCGACGAACTCTGCAGTAAGTTCTGACGCGACAGATTCTGATCACTGTCAAACCCCACCTCAAGCATCGCCTCAAGATCAGATGCGTTGACGGTACCCGCGGATTGCAAGACATCGTTTCGAGGTAACAGGACACCAGTCGGAGGTGGAGGATATGCGGGATTGTTTTCATTGTATGCTCCAATCTGAGGTCCCCATACATCGTCTTCGGAGGATGTGACAGAGACAGTGTCTGATCCATCATACTGACTCGAACGTTCAGAACGTATACCAAGATTACCACCTGAGTTGTAACCCGACGGGAACGCACGTTCCATATCTCGACGCCGTCGCTCTTCACGTTTCATCTTGCGTAGCCGCGAACGTTCCCAATCTTCCCATCGCCTCATCGGAACAGAAGTTCCGTTAAATACACCTTCACCATCACCATGAGCAGCGCCTTTTCGTTCACCCTCGACTTTCCTAAACACAAAATCAGAGATGGATAAAGCCGCATTAAATAATCGACATACCGTGTTTCACCCCAAGAGAAGTCATCAAAGTGCCAGAAGGAATAAACAGGGAGGACGAAGTTCCATATAGGCAAAGCCATCAAATAGATAAACATCCAGAAAACGTACACAATTTTGCGTGTCGTGATCAGGATTAGTACACCAGGAAGACCTATGACTGCCAATAGCAGGATAAGCGGAATGGCTTCCTCGAATGTTTTAGGCGGGTCCATCGCCATCCCAACGACGAGAGAATATGTGAGCGCAATCGCAACTGGTAATACAACTGTTCCCAATAGGTCCATAAAGACGATGAACTGCATGCTGAAGCAGAACGTTCCACACAGATTCCGTACTAAGACCAGCTCCATCAAATTATGGATGGTCGAGTTGATCCATCGTCGACGTTGCGAGAGTAGCACTTTAAATTCGTCCGGCACAACCGTGCGGCATTTCGCTTGAGGCAAGAACATCATCTTGCGATTTGGGAACGTTCGCAGGAGGAGGGTAGTCAGGAACCGATCTTCGCCAAGCAGAAGCAGGTTCTTCTGGTGTAATGTCGAAACCTCGCTCTGGCTGTATTCACGAATAATTTCTGGTTTTGTTATAAGCGGAACCCAGTCATCTCCAGTCATCTTTCGTACTTTTAATCGGAACATAGAGAAGCACCCCGGAAGACAGGTCACACCACCAAACACGGATTCGAAGGCCTTTGCAAGATGATGTGAGATGAAGTATTCGTAGACCTGAATGGCGGTCACCCAAGACTGTCGTTTATTCTCAATTCGAGTTTCGCCGCAAACACCCATGATCATCTGATCGTGGTGCATACAGTTGACAAGATATCGGAGCGAATTTGGATAAGCTTTTGTATCGGCATCCACCTAAGTTAACGTGTAAGAAGCCGCCACATTATCTGCACAGAAGAGGAAACATACCATCAAGCAGACTTCAAAGAAATCCGGAGTGACACCCATCAGCACATGGATCTTCCGGAATAGATCGAAGTCAAGTGGACTCATCCGGTCGTTGTATGTGACACGCGAAAAAAAGTTCATCAGGATAAGCTGACTATCGCGCTTTCCTCGGTTACCAGGCTTCTTGTCGGTCTGCGCTTCTGATTCGGTGCCGCATTTCACAATAACAACAGTCGGCGTTCGGCGGCCCGCGACCCCTGCAACCCATGACATTACAATACAGAAACATGATGAAGAGGTTTACTTACTGTAGTGACCAGCATAGACCATAGCTCTATTTTCTCTCTTCTTGCCAGAGCCAACCGCAATATAGCTCATTGGCATTGGGTCTCCGAACCTTGGGTCTGCCTCCAGCAAGCTCACACAAATATCTGGTGTGCTGCGTTTCTCTCCTGCGCCGGTGATCATACCATCAGCAACAACAAAAAGGAGCTTGCGTTCATCAGCATAATTTGTGAGTGAAATGGAGTCCAGCGTCGTCCGAAGCGAGCTTTCTCCTTCGGAATAACATGTAACAAGGCACACAGCGAAGAGCTCTGCGCCGATCTGTTCGAGTGTGATCGTCGGTGATGCAGTATCCGAGCCGCCTACGAGCGTAGTCGACGAGTTGGACGGCTTTATTAACTTTGTTGGCGCCCTTGCGCCTTTCTGCGTTCTACCATTTGCCCAAGGGGCGGTTCCCGTACGATTGTCAACAGCGACATTCGCACCTCCCGGCATCACAGCAGGACTGATGGTTGTCTTACGAAGCAAAGCAGGATCGGGAGGTCCAGCGAGTCTACCCGACATGACCCAGCTGAAAAAGCACGCCATCACGAAACGGACTAATACAAGCCCGAGAATAACGATTAAACCCGCGTATAGTACGAGCTGAGAAACGAAGCAACCCGGCGTAATCTTGTCGATATTGCCTGCATAATAACGTTCTTTCAAGCAGCCAACAGATGTCTTGAGATCGTCGCGGCCGTAGAACAAGCGCGTCCCGTCGTTTCCACTCGAGGTTGATTGAGAATTAAGGAGCGTGCGTAAGGCCAAGTCCACATTATCTCCTGTGATCGGCGTGCGATGCAATGACATATACGGGTTCATATTGAGCACTGCACCGTCGATCACGAAATAATTCTCCAGATTTGCCACTTGGTCCCAATCATAGCCGACAAGAAGTGTGTTGTTTGTTAAACCCAAGCCGGAGAACGTTGATGTAGAGTTAAGGCTGCCCAGCGTGCAATTAGTCTGCGAATTGCATGGCTGGTCGACAGCAACTCGAAAGCTGAGGCCCTTGCATGATGGGAAGTTCGCTGCATCTCGCTGGAAAAGAGGTGTGATGTCCTGGCTAGGCAACTGTTGTGAGAGCTTGATAATACTGGATGGGGTGTTTGGTGAAGCGATGAACGTATATCCTTGAATGCCCACGGCGTTTTGCACGGTCCCAAGTCGAGCAAATTTGTCAGAATCACTGTCACTGTCCGATGGACACAGGACACGCTGCATTCCCACCGTTGCGAAGCCAACTATGCCACCCAAGAGAAGAGCGATAAAACAGAGTGCGACCTTCTCTCGCCATGCCTGCCGCACAGCTTTCGTCTTCAACCCACCAATCGAGCTTAGAAGTACTCCTGGAGCCCAAAAAGTGATTATGCGAGAGAAGATCGACCATATGTCCCAACCGGAGTCAGCGGCAGGGCTGGGTACGGTGGAAGTGCCATTCGGTTGTACGGTAGGTTTGATCAAGGGAACAGGTGCTATGCCACGCTCCGGACGAGTGAGTGTTTTGGCACGGCGAATAGTGCCCGCAGGTGCTGGCGGCCTAGTTGTCGGGATGGGAACATCAGAGCGTTCATAAGAAGCTGGAGCGAAACGAGCGTGCTGGGACATGACTGTAAGGAAGAAAGAGCGTGAGGAATGCCGTCCGCGGCGCCAGCTCTTGCGCCGTCAAACGAAAAAAAAGAATGGAGGGGGTGAAGGAGGGAGTCGACGTTGCGTAGAACGACGAGGACGGGGGACGCAGGGACGAGGAAGATGGGAGCGGATGACAGACGGATGAGTTTCCTGATTGGTTGTCAAATCACGGCATCTTCATTCAATACCTTCCAAAATAAATACGTACCGCGTCACAGAATTGGGTCCAGACCTTGAAAATTTATTTCCGGCTTTCTCGCTCAACCTCCAGCACCACTTCAGAACCGCGGTTCTTCTTGCACGTTCGCGTCTACCGGTTTTACACCAGAGGGAAAGGTCGTGATGCCAGAAACGGAAATGATGGGCTTTGTGCTCAGCGAACCTGCCAAGGCGACGACCGCAATATATACCGAACAGAGACGCAACACATGTTCCACGATCACGTTCAACAGCGCAGTCACCTTTTGGACCTTCTTTTTGTCAGGTACGGAGAAGCAGAAATATTTTACAGGGTACTCTGCGTTCTTTCTCTGACTCAGCTCGCAAGAGACCTTGCTATTCGTATGCTAACCCAGTCGTTTCGTCTACTCTACGCATCAGTCGCCTAATGAACTATCTGGCTGAACACACAGATGAACTAGGGAGTAAGCCTGCTCTGTCTGTGGACCTCTTGCTGCGAACGTGCATCAGAATTCGAACCTCCCTGAATTCCTGAAACGATCTTCATGATTAAAAATAGCTTTCATTATGACTATAGAAACTTCCATAAAATGGGTTATTAGGCAATAAGGTGGGAACCTTCAGACAGAGCTTGGAATGAAGACTGGTCCGCTCGTGTTACGATCGCGCTGTTTTCCTCGAATTCGTACCCTCGATTTCCGTATTGTGTCTGGTACAGGTGTATGGTCTATATTAAGAAACAGAACTGAGCGGTTCTGGTGATCATCTCTTCTGTGCAATTTGCTTCAAGCCTCGCCGGAAATATCTACCTACCCTTCATTTGTTCACGAGTTATGCAGGCTGGCTCATACTCCTGTGCATAGTCTGACAGGACAACTTACAGTATTATTCATATCCAGGGAGGACAAACAATTCTGTACACAACGATCTTGCATTTACCTCATTTCACAATGCTTGTTGGGTGTTTTGGGAATAAACATAGCCGGATATGATGGTGAAACAAGTAATAAGTTCATCATTAGCCAAGAAACTGCCAAAATGTGATATGTTTATGACAGTCGTCTCAGCGCCAGCTAGTCCAGACGCATGTCAAACCAGACCACAAGCCCACAATCAGTATAGTAAGTCAAAACAGAGCGAATAATATCGATCGACATAGAGAATGAATCCCTACATCCTAGGCTAAATGTCAAAACTCCGGACTTCGACGCCAAATGCATCTGCAGTGATAATCCTCCGCTCATCAAACACCAACGCACCCAATGGCGTACCCATCGGAACCTCATCGCATGCAAATCCACTTGCATTCTCCATCTCCGATTCTCCTTCAGAGACAACTATATTACTTCCCGAGCTCGCACTGGTTGATGAAGTTGAGTCTGATCGACGATCAAGTGTTGGGGTGATGCCAGCAGTTTGTACTTCAACACCCCACCCACGCTCGAGATCCCATACCCAAATACTGCCGTCCGTACCTCGACTCACACATCGCCCGTCGGAGAGTGCGAGAGCTGCGACGGGTCCGGTATGTCCGTGCAAATATCGCACAAACGTCAGCCGCAAACCGTTTCCCGAGACAGTGGAACTAGATGTGGGGATGTACAAGCGATACAGTTGTAATGCACAAGCTGTCGTTCCAAGCTTCGGGCTACCTCGTGGTGACGAAGACGAGAAGGAAGAAGAAGGTGGCGAGAGAGGAAGTGGTAGCTTGTCTGCCGGCGCGAGGACAACCCATTTCCCGTCCGTTTGTACATCGGCCACTCGTGCAGCTCTGCGTCCCCACTGGTCTCGTATCGCACGTAATGCGTCATCGTCGATCCAGCCATTCGGCACGTCAAACGCACAAACCGTCCGCGTTGCTGTCACAATATACGGTATTGATGATTGTTCGTCTTCGCTTTCTTGAAGAACAGATTCACTACCTCGTTCGGGACGTGGATGAGAGATAGTGAGAACCGTAACCGCAGCACCCCAGTCTGATGGGTACACTGGTGCCGAATATGCTAGGACAAGTCGATAATTTCTCGCTCCCGACGTTAAGACCATTGACGTAGGAGGATAAGACGTGAATGAACTAAGCGTTTGACAAAGTACAACATTGCCGCTCGATAAATCGTATAACGATAGTTTGAACGAATGAGACAACGTCACGAGCAGTGGATGATGATATGCTGCCTGTCTAATAGGTGTTGTTCTATTGGTCTTACTTCGAGGCTGATACGTCAGGAGCAGGCGAGAATGTTGAGGTTGGTTATGGTCCACATGGAAGACGGAGAATTCTCCGCTCTCGTAGAATACTACTACCCGAAGCTTGTGATTACTGCATGACGGCGGGGACTGATCGAGCGACAATGCCGTAATGTACGTCGGTATACGCTCTCTATGCCGAGCCTTCAATGTGTAAGGAGCCGTGCCGCGTTTGTGGAGGTAAATTGCGGGTGATACAGTCGCCTCAAACGATGTGGTCACTGTAAGAGAGCCAGCAAGCAAGGCACAACTGTGAACATGGGACCCAAGTAAGGAAAGAGATTGGAAACTCTCTGGTTCCCTAACCCGTTCTAGCTCACAGCGGCCTGCACTCCGATGAGGTCAATCTGCAAAGCACTCCGCAGAGTTCGTCTAACGCACCCCTTCGCCAATTCAGGCTTATCCGAAACATCCATTTCCAGTCTATGTGGTCCAAATCATCTTCATGACAATTATTATTGCGTGTGTGCGGAAGCGGCTTCACTTTGCGCTCGTCGTGTCTCTGGATGAAACCTCGCGAACCTCTCAGGCGAAGTCGGCCATATTCTCGAATGAATTGGTTCTTCCACAGCTTGACCCAAGCATGAACCTCTTACTGAATATAGATCAACTTTGAACCGCATACCTGATTGTCCGAAGCAAGACGAGCCCAGAGTCTATTGGTAGGTTGGATGCTGCAAAGGTCGGTCCAGGAAAGGTACGAAAAGATGACGAGAACAAGCTCGTCATACAGGAACGAGTCGAAATTAAGCAATGGTGCCGACACAATTGTCTGCTCTGAGCTAGTATGCTGTCGCTTTGCAGCAGGTAAAGGGGCTGGTGATAGCCTGTGTTTCGACATAGTCGTTCAGTTAGACCGTTGCTTGGTATTACCAAGCCAATTAGTCTGCAGTGGCGTGCAGCGGCGAAGAGTGTGCGAGTCCAAATCGGGAAATTAGATTATGCGCGTGGTCTGCTTAGTATGTACTGCATAATGGATTAATGTGTGATTGTCCAATCAGAGACATGTACTAGTAATTAGGATGGTTGCAGCATTGATGATGTGGCAAAGTATGATTGCAATGTTATATTAATGGCACCTTCATGATGATGCCTTGTTCAATCTATTTAATCATCGTTTCTTTGCACACTCTTTCTTTGCCCTCTTAATTGAGTCACTATATATTCTCTTACCAGCATCACTCGTCGTCGCAGAAATACCCACTTACCAGTCTACTTATCACAGCGTTTGGTCATAAACCTCCAACATGTCAGAGACCAGCATTCCAGATACATACAAAGGAAAGGATTCCGATGTAGCACAAGGTATGTTGCAATATTCTCTACACACTCTGGACACCAGTGAATGCTAATCACAACTGCAGCGGCCATGTGGAAAAAAAGTGAAGCATTTAAATTCTCAACGCCGATTTAAATACTTATCAACAGCCTTCTTGCTTTTCATTAGATTGGGCTGAGAGAGGTGTTGTACTCTTCAGTTTTACGAAAGAAGAAGGTACAAGATACAATACCTATAAATTCCATAGTAAGTCTCTTCCACAACTACTCTACTTAGTGCTTCTAAGGCCTGCATTCCACTGGTTAGTACGTATGCTCGTAGTTAAGGATCCAGCAAAGACTTGCCCATACTGGACAGATCAGTTTGTCAAGATACACTGTGGAAGTTTGTTGGATCGTTTCATAGAAACCAAATTCGCCACTGTAGTTTCAAAAAAGGTTGAGGAATATAAAGGTCAGCAAAAGGGTTCTGAGTTCACAAAGGCACTTGAAGACTATTCGAAGAGTGACTACATGGAGGACTTATATGATGATTGATCCTGCAAATGTCATATAGTAAGACAAGTAACTCGACAGAAGTCTCTTTACTATCTAAATGTAATAGTACTGCTGTCCTCTACATGGATAATACTTGTCTATGAAAAGTCGACTTATGACTGCTCTGTCCAATATTGACCTGGCCATACGGCCAAATGGGGATTATAAAAGTTGAATTTTGTTGAATCTGGGACGACTTGCTATCAGCAGTTCGGGTCACGAGCAGCTGATACAATAGAATCTACCCATCCTGAGCAAGCATATCCATTAACTCTGTATCAGAAGTTCAAATTAGGAGAGGGTATATAAGACTATCGAGGCAGATAGGTTACCAAAAATAGGGAGGAGATACAAGCACATGATGATTACTGTAAAGAAGATTCATACATTAAATTTAACAAGTTGCTCTCGCCCAGTCTGATCAATCTTCAATAATCGTTTTGCTACACATCTGTATAATGCACGTGTCTCCATCGCTTTGTCTCCCCACCCAGCAGGCCAAGGCTTTCGTCCACTGGATCCACTGGCGTTCCACTACTTAGACCCTTATTTGCCTCAGCAAGTACAGCTTTCGCAGCATGACGTAGAACAGTATTGATAAGTGCGAGCAATAGATGTGCAATCAGAATAGCGTGTATGCTTTGTGTCGATGGATCAGTAGTAAAGGATAGGGTGGAATGGTGGACGGCTGGAGATGGCGATAGTAGTTTCTGTGTGGAAAGATTCTGTTGAACGGCTCTGAATAATGACTGAGCGTATTGCAAATAAATGTTTGATATAACAACGCACATTGTCTCTTTCACACGAGGTGGTTTATTCGTCGTTGCAGCAGCCGTAGTGTCGAACGGATGCCATGGTACGATGATTGCTCGCACTGTAGATCAAATCTTTGCGAGAATGCCCGCGCGCAGTGCAAGGAATGTAAAAGACCTACAGCAATCCGTTCAGTATCCATAGTGATCCTGACACTCACACGGCCTATTCTTGAAGTGCCAGGAGTCGCAGTCAATCCAGGTCCTGTTGTCACATTGCTTTGAGGCCCTGGTGTTTCTGGAGTCCTCGGTGATGTTGATGGTGTGGCTGGAGGTGTTGCAGTATACCAAGCCAATGGCATATAGTGGCGAGTTAGCATGTGTCCAAACAGGGAAAAGTTTACTAAGCGGAGGTGATCTAATTACGGAACAGGTACCTTAAATTTTACAAATATAACGATATCAATTATCACACTTTGCTTTACCCATCAACCGCATCTGATATATGCATGAATATGACGGTCATACTACAAAACAGATTTATGTGATATGTGATTGTTCAATCAGAGACATGCACTAGTAATTAGGATAGGTTGCGGCATTGATAATGTGGCAAAAGTATGATTGCAATGTCATAATTAACGGAACCTCCATTCACGAATTTTGATGCTTTGTTCAATCAATCTGATCATCCTTTATTTGCATCCTCGTACTTGAGTCACTATATATATAGTTCCTTACCAGCGTCATCCGATGTTATAGAAACACCCACTTACCAGTCTGCTTATCACAGCATTTGATTATAAGCCGCCAGCATGTCAGAGACCATCATTCCAGATACATACAAAGGAAAGGATTCCGATATAGCACAAGGTATGTTGCAACATTATTTACACGGTCTGGGCATCAGTGAATGCTAATCACAACTGCAGCGGCCATGTGGAAAAAAAGTAAAGCATTTAAATTCTCAACGCCGATTTAAATACTTATCCACAGCCTTCTTGCTTTTTCATTAGATTGGGCCGAGAGAGGTGTTGAACTCGTCAGTTTTACGAAAGAAGAAGGCACAAGAAAACATACCTATAAATTCCATAGTGTGTCACTCCCTCAACTGTTTCACACAATTCTTCTGCTGAGATCTTAATCTCAATGGTTAGTTCGTGTCAAAGTGGTGAAGGATCCGGCGACAAGAGCTTGCCCGTACTGGATAGATCAAACAGTCAAACTGAGCTGCACGCACTTGTTGGAACTTATGGTAGAAACCAAATTGGCTACTGTAGTTTCAGATGCGGTTGAGAAGTATAGAAGCAAGCATGCGGACTGTGAGTTCACATCGGAACTCGAAGAATATATGAAGAGTGACTTCATGGACGAGCTATAAGAATAAGTTACAGGATGTCGCTCCTGAAACGCTCAGGACAGCGGCTCAAGAGCAATTGCTTTATTAATCCATTGTAGTAGCACCGTCGTCTGCACGATAAATACATGTCCTTGAGCTATCCTAGATATATTTTGGGCAATCTGAGACGGCTTACCATCAGCAGTATGCATCATTAAAAACTTGCTACACGACAAATCACCTGCCTCGAGCGAGTAGATTCGCCAAACCTGTTTTAGACGAGATTTAAATAAGAGATATAGGATTTCAACAAGACAGTCAGACTACAAAAATAGGGGGGAATACAATTACATGATGATTGTAGTAGGTTCATACATTAAATTTAACAAGCTGCTCTCGCCCAGTCCGATCAATCTTCAATAATCGTTTTGCTACACAACCGTATAATGCACGCGTCTCCATCGCCTTATCGCCCCCACCCAGCAGCCCAAGACTTTCGTCCATTGGATCCACTGGCGCTCCGCTACTTAGACCCTTATTTGCCTCAGCAAGGACAGCTTTCGCAGCGGCAAGTGGCATACCATGACGTGGAACGGCGTTGATAAGCGCAAGCAGTAGGTGCGCAGTCAGAATAGCGTGTATACTTTGTGTTGACGGATCGGTGGTAAAGGATAGGGTGGAGTGAGAGACGGCTGGCGATGCGGGTGGTGGTTTCTGCGTGGAAAGGTTTTGAAGGAGGGCTCTGAATGATACTTAAACACAGTTGCTAATGTAAGATTGGTAAAACAACGCACACTGTCTCTTTTGCACGAGGTGGTTTATTCGTCGTTGCAGCAGCTGCAGTGTTGAACGGATGCCCTGGCATGATGATGTCTCCTACTGTAGACCAGATCTTTGCCTGTAGCCAGATTAGAATGCCTTCGCTATTTGTAAGAAAATTAGACGGCATACAGCAATCCGTTCAGTATCCATAGTAATTTTGACACGGCCTATCTTTGCTGTGCCAGGAGTCGCAGTCACTCCAGGTCCTGGTGTCGCGTTTATTTGAGGTCCCGGTGTCTCTGGAGCCCTTGATGGCGTTGATGGCATGGCTGGAGGTGTTGCGGCACGGGGAGGAGGTGAAGGTGGACGGTTTGGTTTGGTTAATATTACGGTAGTATCTCCTTCATCTGCTATATTAATACTGTCATCTACTAATGGCGCTTCCACGGATGCATCTCCATTCAATCCAGAAACTGGAGCTGGAGAAGGAGAGCACGAGGGCAATGGTACCGACGCTGGATCTCTTTTTTGTTTTTCTCCACTAGTCTGCGTCGTCCGTGAAGGTGGTAGCGGTGTTGGCGCCGCATCCGCAAGCGAGTTCATAGATACGTCACCGAGCATGGCACCCAGGTCGACCTTAACATGAGCGTCAAGGAGCAAGCTATCATCTGGTCCAACAGTGCCTCGTGCTAGTGTCGGAATGAGGAGGCTTTTGCGTCCCGTGCGAGGTTTACGAGAAGTGGCTGGGTCTGACCAGAATGCGTCTTCTTCTTTGTCTTTCGCTGCCTCGACAGCCGGAGAGTCATGTACATTTTGCTTCTTGAGAAGGACCTCTTTCTGTGTATGCTTGTGTGAACGTTGGATCTAGAGAAGGATAGATACGGACACACTCTTGCTTTTAACTGTTTAATCCGCATGTTGAGTTCCTGGATGCGTTTCTCTTCATCGTGGATTGTTGGTTCAGGTTGTGAATCCGGTTCGGTTTTCTAAGACACGGTAAGTATATTTTAGAAAAGACATAATGCTTATACTGACGTGATCAGTAGTCTCATTTAGCGATGCAATATCGCTGCGAATCGAATTAAGTCGCTCAATAATGGCCACTACTTCTTGACGTGCCCGAGGCATTGGTCGAATTGATTGACTACATATCATTGTAAGGACGGCCAAATAAACAAAAAAAGAATTACTCACTAGCGGTCAAGGTACTTGAGTGCAGCTTCCGCATACACTTCAGGCTCCTTGTCATTCTCGCGACGACCATGCTTAGATGCACCAGCAGGCTTTCGGAGCGGAGTTGCACCAGGAAACTCAACACGTGCCACGGAGCCTTTTTGTGCAGCCGATGCACCAACATCATCGCTCGGTGCTGAGAGAGGAGACGCGTCGGGTACAAGAGTGAAGAGACCAAGTTCAGACGTATCAACGTCGCGCGCAAGATCGCCGAGTGGTGTGCGCAAGACCGCGCGTACGTAGGGAGATGGATGGAGCTCGGACGCTGCCTTCGTTACTGATTTTATTGTCTGAGCGGTATAAGTGAAGCGGTCGACATGGTCGAGGAGTGTCGGCATATTGTTTCAAGGTGCAGCTGTCAATGACGCGCTGATATTTAATCGTTGAACACGCGAGACCGCGTGTATTACAAGATATCACATTACGTAATCCCATTTTATCCTTCATTTCACGCAGACGCGTTTATTTCTTCATCTCACTTCATGACCTTGTCATGACTACGTTTGTTAAGTCAAAGCTAAAGAGTGCGAGAGATTACATTGGAAAGAAAAACTTCGAAAAGGCGCGTGAAGCAGCGGAAGAGGTCATCTCTTACGAGCCAGATAACTACAACGCGTGAGTAATTCACGACCCGTCATTTACCTAGGCGACAAGCTATTATGCGCCAGTCATTGTCTGGTTCGTGCTGATAGAATTTATCGTACCTTTAGAAATGTGTTCCTAGGCCTTGCGTTCCTCGAGCTTGGGCAGCTCGACCAGAGTGAGCAAGTGATTTGCCTGCCATTTAACACACCTGCTATACGGGCGCTTATGCTACGCACCACAGGCATACATACGCGCGACGCAATCGCAGCCAGATCAGGCACTTGCGTGGCAAGTATGTAACTGTCTAGAGACTATGCACTGCTTTGCAATGTGCTGAGACGCCTCTGTAGGGCCTTGTCAAATTTTATGAACAAACAGAACGATGGGATAAGTATGCAAAGACGCTAAAGGTGCTACTGGACCTGTTCTCGAAGACGTATGTTATGTCATGCTTGTACTGTGCAGCGACTCACTCAGAGACAGTGGAGATGCAACCAAGTGTGCTGAACAGCTACAGAAGTACATCGAGTTTCGTCGGCGAAAGGGTTCGAGGAAAGATGTCAGTTCTCCTGCATATATCGTTGTCTCTGTGCTAAAGGACTCGCAAGATCGCAGATGCACTACTTCTGCTTCTTCCCGATTCACCATATTATCTTATACTATCCACGCTACCTCCGCCCGATCCAACTGCTCCGACGGCAACAACGACATTCGCGACTCAATCAGCCGTACACAACACTTTACCAACGCTTGAAGAGATTGTGACACTCACCGAGGCAGAAGAGGCAAATGTAATAACACGCGAAGTAGAAAAGCGGCGGACTCGATTAGATGCAGCTAGTGCCGGCCCAGAGGCTCTCAAGAAACAAGTTGGTCTAAGCGTATGGACAACATCGAAGGTAACCACAATAACTCAGAGCTTTGGTTAATCAGTGTTCATAATCGGAGTTTAGCTCCCAGAGCTCTACAATGAGATCCTAAATCACCCAAATACCTCTGATGACCTGCGACGTGAGACTGAAGCCAAACTCTTGCGGTACAAACACAGGCATCGCTGTGCACTTGGTTTGAACGGGCCCGAAGGGAAGCTTAAGGCCGAACTAGGAAGTGAAGTTCAGGAAATGGTCGACGGCATAGTGCTTCTGAATATTCCAGACGAGTTTGCATGGTCACTGTATGTTGAAGGGAAGAATGTCGATAAGATCGGTACGTCCGTGTGCCATGCGGCGCATTTTTCTGTTCCTAGCTGACGTTATTCCCGATGGGTATGTTAGAGGACTATGGGCTTGACATTCTTCGGAAGTATATGGGTCTGTTTCCGGATTCCCTCCTAACGCGGGCTATTCGTGGCTATTTCCTTTATAACAATATCCCACTCCACGACGAAGAGGAGGAAGGGGAAGAAGAGAAGGACGAACCGGACGACAGTGACAGTGATCCGTTCGACCATGTCCTGGTAGGCATTAAAGTTAAAGCATCTGCAAATACATGTTTCTGATGATGTCCACGTCTCAGGAAGCAACTGCTGGTTTGCCTGATTCGATCCTCGCGCATCGAATGCTATGCGACATATATGTAATTGAAGAAGACTATCAAAATACCATAGCTGCTTCAGAGAAGGGGCTTCAACTCATCGCACGACATAGGATAGATACCGGAACCGATCTCACCCAGTGAGTATCCTCTCCTGGTTTGGAATTATATTTTGCTGAGACGAACACGTTAGAGTACGGAAAGCATTTAATGCATCACTTGCAACAGGCCTCGTTCATCTTTTCCCACCTAAACACCACGCCCGAGCTATCCGTGTCCTCGATGACGTGCTTTCGTTCGAGCCGAATAACGTGACGTGTTTGATGGGTCGGGCATACGTATTTCAGGCTTCTCGCAGGTGGGACGACGCTGCAGAACTATTTCTTAATGTTGTGAATCAACTTCCAGACGATGTGGAGGTCGGCCTCGTAGCAAAAGAGGAGCACGCATGGTGCCTAGTGGAGAGGGCAGAACCTGCCCTCGATGTAGCAGTTGAAGAACTTCAGTTCGTTCTCAACAGAATCGAACCTTTGGATGGCTATGAACAACGGAAGGCAAGAGTTTGGTGGCGACTTGGCCAATGTTATTGGCGCCTTGGAGGTGCGGAATCGCTTACTAGGCTAGTTAGGTCAGCTGACCTATCATTCCCTAGCCAACAACAGAGAGAATGCATATCGGCATTTCATCACCTCACTCAAACGCTCCTCTTCCTTTGCTCCTGCTTTCACGTCTTTGGGATTTTACTACTTGGAAGGCGCGGAACCTCCAGATCCTGCTCGTGCAGCCAAATGTTTTCAAAAAGCATTCGAACTTGACGCACGAGAAGTGGATGCCGCCCAGAGACTTGCGCACAGTTTTGCCGAGGATAGAGAATGGGATCTCGTGGAAGTTGTTGCACGGAGGACTATTGAGGGTGAGGGCGGGCTTGGAGGTGGACTGGGCGATGCGGAAGCTACCAGCATTGCCAAACACAAACCCACGAATGCCTGGGCATGGAAGGCACTTGGAGTAGTCGAACTGGTAAGTCAAAAATTAAATTCCCTCCGAATAATGCCGTTTAAACCGTTCTCTTTAGAATAGGAGAAACTATCCTCCGGCAATGCAAGCATTTCAAGTTGCTCTTAGATCAAACGAGAACGACGGTTTATCATGGCTCCGCCTGGGCGAAGCATATATGAAGGCTGGACGACATGCTGCAGCCGTGAAGGCCTTGAATAAGGCACACGAGCTTATACCGGAGGACTGGATGTGCGTGTATCTACTCGGCGAGGTCCGACGGCAGACAGGACAACTTCTGCAAGCTATTGAAACGTTCATGCAAGTCTTGGAAAAGGTTCCTGATGAGACGACCGTGCAGCTTTCGTTGGCCGAGACCTATGTCTCTCAAGGTCGGACGGAACTCTCAACAGGTTATCTAGCAAGAGCATCGACATCTTTCCTTCTTGCTATCATGACCTCGCTGGATTTAATTGACTCAAGCCCTGGATTTAGGCGTCTAGCCCTCAAGACAATTGCCGATGCTCTGCTCAAATTATCAGAGTTCTCTGTATTCGCAGATTTAGAACTCGCCAAGAGTGTGTTCGCTCGATTAGCAGTGTTGCACAAGGGCCAAAGTGACGAGAGGTTAGCTGGCATCATCGACTATCCACTTGTGTCGCAATCTGCACCTATCGATGGAACCCTTTCTCTCCGCCTCGCTGTGACTACATATAGCCTCCGCTTATCGTTGTTTTCAAAGGATGAGGAAAGCATTGGGAGTGCTTGGTTCGACTTGGGAGTTGGCGTGTCTCGTATAGCAGCGTCGACTCGCACTACCAATGTAAAAGAGAAAGCTGAGAAGCAAGCTACTGAGTTCGTACGTCTTGCCCTTCTTGCCGATTCTGGTAATCCGACGTTTTGGAATGCCTTCGGGGATTTCAATTTCTTGTCAAAGCCGATGGTTGCGCAGCACGCTTACATCAAGGCTCTGGAAATCAATTCGAAGGTCAGTGTCTTATTTCCTTCGGTATTGGATCGCATACATTGAGTTTTTATAATCAGGATGTAGCCACCTGGACTAGCCTCGGTCTTCTGTATCTTCACAACGCCGACCTCGAACTTGCAAATGACGTATTGCTGAAGGCACAGACCCTTGATCCTGACTATACTCTGGCGTGGGTTGGCCAAGGACTTGTGGCTTCTGCGAACGGACATGACGGTGACGCGAATGCATTATTCGAGCACGCAGTCGGACTTACTGCAGATTCGGTTTGTGACAGTCATCTTTCTTTCTCCGTGGTTGCTGATCGACCTTTTATTAGCCTGCTGCAGATATTGAGTACGCGTATCGGTCATTCCGAAAACTCCCAATGTTGGCGTCTCGATCAAATGCCTCAACACAAGACGCGTTACTACCCCTGTTCTTTTCTCTGGACCGCTACAGCAGGCGAAAAGCAGATGACCCATCTGCGCTTCACCTCTTCGGACTTGTGTGCGAACGACTGCATCTGGATGACCTTGGCGTGAAGGTTTTGTCAAAAGCTATCAAACAGCTCGAAGCAATCTACGAGGAGACGGAAGATTCGGTCATCGAACGTCAATATGCAATCGCTAACACGAGCCTTGCGAGAGTGCTTCTGGCGACAGGCAAACTCGAAGCAGCAATTGAAACATTCGAAACGGCATTCGGGCTCCTTCCCACAGACGATCCTAGTAAAGAAGTGATTGCTCTCCGTTCTTTGTGTCAATTCGGGAGTGGTATTGCAAGCTTCCACCTGGGAGAATTCGATGAAGCATTGGTCAAGTTTGAAACCGCGCAGGAAATAGCAAGCGCGAATCCTCTCATTCGTGGGCAGGTGACTGTGCTACTTGCAAAGGCACTGTGGGCTATTGGTTCCGACGCGTTCCGAGATTCAGCGAAGGAGCAGCTGTTTAATTGGTTCGTTGCGGATAAGCCTTTTGACATGCAGATGTACTAATCTTTGCAATTCACAGTGTCAATCAGGATCCGAATAACTTGACAGCTGTCGTCGCTCTTGCTGCTATGGGCTTGCTCACGGGTGACGAAGCACTCATAGATGCTGCTTTGTCGGAGATATTGTCTCTTCCTCTTGACGAGCGACACAGGCGAGATCCGGGAAGAGACATCGAGAATCTGTTGACAAACCATTATCTAGCAGAAGTGAGCCTGTATTGCTTAATCCCGCACTGGAATAATTCTACTTACCGTGTATTATTAGGGAAATATTCAAAAGGCTCAGTCTGTAGTACAAGGAACAGTACACGCAGAACCGTCGCATCTCGGATCCAGAAAAGAGCTAGCAATTTTCTCGATATCCCAGGGTCGATCAGGGATCGCACAGGCTTTACTCACCAGCTTGCTGAACTCGTCGGATTTATACAATGTAGAAGGAGCTCACGAGGCAGTGCGACTTCTAGCGATTTCTTCAATAATCTCCGGAATCAAGTCTCCGGCGAAGGCAGAGTCACAGAAAGTTGCACAGAAGGCGATTATGCTTGCACCTTGGGACGCTAAGAATTGGTTATCACTTGCATATGTAAAGAACGCAGCTGCGAAATGAAATATGTACTTGTAATTTCCGCTCTGGACAGAATTTACGTAGTTCCCACATGACGGCCTTGACCGTACGCAACCGTATTCGGAAATTGTGTATCGCGTTCTCCACAATCATTATCACGATGAAGAGATGAGGCATTGCTGCATGCCGTTGATTCACCGCTCCAAATTTGGATTGACAAGTTGACAACTGACCACTCAACCTAATCAGTCAACTTACGTACCCTTTCTTTCTGACGACTCTTTCAACCCTACACCATCACTATCATCACTGTCTCAACATGCTAGGCTTTCTTGCAGCGATAGTTTTGGCTACCTACGTCTTAAAGAGGTTACATGTGCTAATAAAGTGTATAAAGGCAAGTTGTGCCGATCTACTGGAGGCTATATTTCAAGCCCATGTATCTTTTCCAGGACTTTGGCGGCCGGGTGCCCACGTTGTACAACCCATTCCAGCCTTTGTCAACTGCTGGATTTCTTCTCCCCCAAACTCCATTCTGGCGCGTCACGGGCTTTCACTGGCATGAACGACAGTCGTGTTCGTCATACTTACATACTGCATTGATGCTGCTGACGGGAGTTTGCTCTGTACAGTGTACAAAAATGCACCTTTGAACACGGTGGTCTTCACGCCTGTCCTTTACGGGGAGACGTGTATATTCTCTGCAAACTTGGATGCCTTGTATCAAAGTCTGGCGTTGAATAGCGATTTCCACAAGGCTCCAAATCCGACCTTGGAGTGCGTCGTGCGTTTACATTATCTCTATTACTTCCTAACCATCACGTCAGCATGCTTGGCACGAATGTCGTAACTTCGACTGGCGACGTTTGGAAGAGGCACAGGCGCATCACTGCCCCAGCATTTAACCATTCGACGTATGAAAATGTGTGGGATACGACGATTAAGGTGTATTCTGAAATGCTTGACAAGGAGGGCTGGCGGAATGTAGATGAAACGCCTATGGCGGATATGAGCAAGGCAACACACAAGGTCTGTATAGCAACTATTACAGCTTCCTCAGCTTCTCAAATGACCGCAGCTGGCTCTGTTCCTCATTGCCATTGTGGGCTTCAATATCCCGATGTCTTGGAATGAGCCTCCTCGGGATGATAGCGGGAGGCTCACAGCCCAATCGATGATCCTAGATGTCGCCAAGTACATTATGGAAAGAGGCCTCATTCCAAAATGGGCATATTCTTTGGGGATTGAAAAACTGAAACGGATAGACGAAGCATACAACCAATTTGAAGAGTTCATGCGTGAACGGATTTCCGAACGCGAGACCGAACTGAAAAAGCTTCGGGCCATAGAGGGCGGGGAAGCCAATGCGACTGAGAACCTCAAAGATGTGTTCGGTAGACTTGTCAATGCACGATTGTCTGAGGGTAAGCAAAGCCTCTCAGATAGGGAGTTAATTGGAAATTGCTTCGCTTTCGTGAGTGCTCTTTGGTTCTCCTTACAAAGTTATGTGCTTGATGTGATGCTCTCTTATAGACATTTGCTGGACATGGTAAGGCTATCATTCCAGTACTATTGCTGAATAGATTAGCTCTAACTATTGTGACGTCGGTACAGAAACGTCCGCAAATTCGCTTGCAGTCACTCTAGCTTTATTGGCCCTTTACCCAGAAGAGCAAGACTGGGTTTATAGGTCCATAGTAGATGTTGTTGGCGATCGCGAGCTGGTTAGTCATTTCTTTATCTAAGTAAGAGTCCAAAATCTAAAAAGTGAAACGATCTGCCAGACGTTTGACGATTTTGATAAGCTCGATGGCGTGTTAGCCTGTGTCTATGAGGGCGTACGGCTTTTCCGTAAGGAAGTTTACAGTTCATGTGCAAGTTGTCTGAACATATTCTTGATGACAATATAGCTGTTGCTTGGCTAATGGCCGAAATCGCTTCGAAAGATACAACGCTCACCCTATCACGAAGGGATAACCCGGAAATCAAGGAGATATTGCCGGTCAAGAAAGGGACAGCGCTTTACATTGACACAATTGGAATAGGTATGGCAATTTACTCAGCTTACTTCAGTATTTTTTCTAAAGTACAGAACTTTCATATTAAATCAGCGTATGATCCACGACTCTTCCCTGACCCGGAAGAGTTCAGGCCGCGTCGTTGGAAGAAATCGGGGAAATCTTCGTCAGCACCTACTGCACTCGCTACACAGGCTGATGAAGTCTCCGGGTCCTCGCCAGCGACAACAATTGAGGGATTCACGGGCTTCGCATACGGACCACGCACCTGCCTCGGACACAAGTTTGCCAAAGTTGAGTCGGTGTGCTTCTTGACTCTGTTGCTGAGAGATTGGCGTGTCGTCCCCGTGATGCAAGCTGGTGAGAGCAAAGAGGCTTGGAGGAAGCGAATACTCAAGCCTGGGTTTGGCCAAGCGTTGCTTATTGGCGAGGTCCCACTCAAGTTAGTCAGGAGAAAGTGAATTTTTACTTTGTATCGTGTGATATCTATGTTTGAATATGCCTGTTTTATTCTGTCAATGTCCTATGTACCTGTGAAGCCTGGTATTATCCTACCATATCTTTCAATGTTTCTGATCCATTAATAACAATTACAATGATTGGTCATGTTTTTAAAGATATACATTGTGCTCAGGATGGCAAGTAGGCCAAGCTGATGTTCATCAAGTATTGCCCAAAAGACAAGGTCCTGTCATAATTGACTAATAGACTTTCCTGTTATCCTTACAGTCATCAAACTACACATACTTCATGTCGTTCCGTTGGCAATTACACTTTCATGAGACAAGTCAGAGGCTTTCCTTGAGATCTTACAGTTGCCACGTCCACAAGCAGTCCCTATTGCTATGTGTATAGAATATTTAATATTTGAGCTGTGGATTAATGTGGAATTAAATTATCTATATGCCTATGAAAGGTTCAATATCCAAACCAACTCGAGGCGAGTTACGTGTAGATCGACACACGAACGAATGAAGTGGCACAAATCTCAGGACGCGAAACGGTCTAAATGTGATACAGGCTATTAGTCCGAGCGAGCCTCCTGGTGCATGAGAACGAGTAATTCCGCCCCGACATCTTCAGGTGCCTTCTGTGAGTCAGCCGTCTCGCCATGAACATTCTCTAACCACCACCGCAATCGATCGCGCTGCTGACTAGGTGTATAAGACTCTGCAAGGCTTCAAGAAAACCAGTCAGAGTGCGGATGCGATATCGAGAAGAAAAATTACTGACAATCCACGATCATACAAGGCAGATGTAATTTCCGCTTGCTTTAATTTGGCCCCCTTACCCTCCAAAAGAAGCAGCCTATCCTCTACAACAAGCCTGTGAAGATAGATCTTTAATCGATGGCGCTGCATGCCCAAAATTCCCCAAGAGGAGATTCCGACAGTACTGAATAGTTCGAAAAAGTCAGATTTTTCTCGCAAGCAACAATTGCTTAATCTCACCTGCACAACAGGTTGACCTGCTGATTGGTCAAGGATCTAAGCTTCACTTCTTCGACAGGAATATCTTTGAAAACACCGAGCTCCTTAGCTAGTGCATAAGCTCCACGTTGACGCTCGTGGCGTTTCGCCTCAATCCTCGCCCGTTGCGAGGGGAGCACGCACGTCGATGGCAGCATACCCGGAACGTACATCACAATCAGCGGAATGACCTCTTCGGCAATGATGACGGTCAAAAGGAAGGGAACAAGTCTTGGAGACACGTAGACCGTATAGTAAGAATGTGCCTGCGCGACTTGACTAGTAAACAACCTACTTGAATACGTCCGATCTATTTGTGAGAATAAATCTGTGTTCTCTCCACGTTAAAGGAGCTCCTCCACTTCTAACACGCGCCTGTAGTCTCTGGGCCTCCTTTCTATGGGCGAAGACGAACTTCAAGCCCGCCCAATAGAATTTCTTTGGGCAATTACGACCATCGTTTGTAAATCAAGGGAAAAGGACGTAGGTAAACACGCACAAAAAGCTCCCTTGCTTGATGAAATAGCCTTCCAATCTTGCTTGCGTCGGCTGGTGGAGGCTTTAAGATACCGTGCTGCGCCGCATCATACATGTCCTTCTTCGCGATGTCAATAATCTTCTTGCCCTCTACCTCCTTCAATGCCTCCTCCTTCGGAGAAGTTGCTGACAAAGGTGGCGGCTTTGTTGGGTGTGGCTTCACATTCGTCGACCCTTGAGTTTGAGTGGGCGGTGTACGTGATGTGGTCGGGTTACTGCTAGCCTTCGTACTTGGAGAAATTGAGGAAGGCTTCGCCGGGCCAGGCCTTAGCTCTACCTTGACCTTCTTACTTGTGCCGGGAGGAGGTGGAGGTTCCGTTTCCTTGGCTTTGGTCGAGGTTTGCGGAACGTTTGTAGCAAAGGCTCGAGTGTGAGGAAAGGAGCGGGTGGCATGGTTCACTACATGGTGATACCTATTATTGTTTGAAAGATTTCGATACCGTAGGCTCAGGATAGCGGGCGCATTGCTGGATGTGTATAGTCCTGCTTTGAAACATGACGGCTGGGCATTCCTGAGCTGAGCAGTAGTCACCGAACTCGAGAACGTTACGTTTGTCAGAAAACTCAAAAAACCTTTCTAAACGAGCAACTCACCGATCGAGAACATGGCTACTCACGCCCGCTAAAAAGCGCGGATGGCTCATGTAAATGCGTCCAACGCCGAGTCAGCTCGCCGTGTTGTGGATTGGAAACAGAGGGAGTAGAACTGAGAGACAAATGATAGACGGGTCTAATGAGACGTGCGATACTCACACATGCCGAATTGACGCGTCATACCATATACGGAATATGAAATCACGTAAGCGGAACGATTAGAGACAGAGTCCAGACACTACTTATGGATTCGAGGAACCTGGCTGGAAAGTGCACTTGCATGCTTGTTGCATCACGGCTCCCTGGACAAGACCAGTTTTCACGCAGCAGACGCTCACAGCTATTATAATTGGTACGAATGGGGTTATAAGAGGGTGTCTGCAAGACTTTGAAATTGGTGTGCGCGACAGCATTTAAACTGAACGATGGCTTATTATCACGTATATAACCATTTGAACGACGCTGCAATAAGCTCTGTAGTATGTATTAAATGTGGCAATGCATTAGTAAACGAATTTGCCTGGAGCACTGAAGAGCAAATGTTTGAATTTTAATGATATACACGTTGCTTGACTGGGCGGGCGTGTTTATTCGTTTCCCTTGTCCACCTGCATTATCGCATGTTCCCAGTATCCAAGGTTCAGATCAGGAGTGGGTGTAACCAAAATCGCGCGAACAATCAACGTAGGGTCAATCACTGGTGCATCTACGAAAGCTGGAATAATCGGGATCGGAAGACCACCCTAGACATATCAACCAAACTCAGCCATACGGAGTATAAGATAATGAATAGTAGACTGTGTGCACCCTAAAAAGCAAAGCTTACCTCCACATGTTCTAAGTATCCAATAACACTAACGACCGTCTTATTCTCCCGCAAACCTGGGAGAGCAAGCATTGAATCAAGGATTAACGACGTGTCTATCAGACATGCGTGATTTGCTCCATCGTGAACTATAAGGAGCTGGTGCTCGTGATCGTAAGACAGCAAGCTGCAAATAAACAAGTCAGCAAAAGTTTGTTTAGTCAGCTACCTATCAGAGAAATATCTATAAGTTTGTTTCACTGACATTCCGGCAGTACGCAATTTCTCATTGACAAGGGACGCATTAAGGGAGGAAATCGGTACAGGTTTTGCTGATTCGGGAGTGTTGGAGTTCACCATGAAAAGTTGCCACCATTGAGGTTGCAATCGACGGTATTCACAAAAGGGCTAGAAATATTATATCCACAATGGACAGCACAGACTGTTTGGTCGAGGAAGTCGAGTTTAACAGTCAGCTTGATCAATACAGAGTCTGTCGGACCACAGGATTATCGACACTTGTGTATGCGTGGCTAAGATATTTTGGCAGAAGGTATAGTAAAGCGCAAGACGCAAGATACTGGAATTGGAAGAGTTGTAATAAAGTGATGTGCAAATACATGATAATACGTTATCGGGAAAGGCCGAGATGCACGCCTGCATTGACTTGGTCTACATTTAGAGAGATTCGTCGGGCTTTGAAGTTGTAGGGATACACGTGCAGGCACATGTAAAAATGTTCGCAACAATCGTCGAAACATGTTCCAAGTAAACTATGTATTACAAAGTCATCTCTTGAAAAAGCTGTCTCATGCATATGCATGTCTTTTATCCTTTACAAATTCTTATCAATGCCAGCATTTTACGGGCTACATTTCCCCAATCACTTGAGCTCCCACTTCATCTTCAACAGCTCTTCCGGATAATCTTCTCCTCTCTCACCAACATCAGCAAGCTTACACGCCAAGTCTCCTACCTGCGGATTCAACTCCTTAACAAACGCAGCCATCAAATCTGTTCCGTTCGTTACGCCTCCACTCGTCCAGATCTTCCTTTCGTCATCCACAGTCCAACGCTTCGCAACCCACTTCACGTCCGGAAGCTTCTCGCGCAGGAGCGGGAGTATACCGAGTGGCGCGGTGGCGCGTTTACCAGAGAGGATGCCGGAGAACGCGGCAGGGAGGATTCCAGTGCAGATGATAAGTACTGCGTGGACGGACGCAGTGTGCTTTTGAATGAACGCAATTGTTTCTGCGGAGGGTTGGTATGATGGTGGTGGACCTGGGATGACGAGGTAGTCGAGCTTATCAACACTATCCAACGTGTCCTATATTCGAATAAGCATGGTTCAGTAAAGATGTCAGACAAGTGAAGATAAGATCTAACTTATGTATACTCACAGTAATGTGAACCTTCACATTCGCTGTCACTTCAGCGTACGTTGGGGCATCTTTATTGCCCTTAATAACGTCCGCTATGTAGCGAAACTCGAAGTCATGGCCAGCATTGACGATATTCTCCGGAAGTCCGCACGCCTTGAGATAGAATGGCGTGGTCATAGCCAGAAGGTCTACTGCAGCAAGATCAAGCAACTGCACGCCCACAGAACATAATAAAACGCCGACTTTGAGGGGAGCTGATTTTGGTATAGACATATCGAACAGCGCTGTGAACTTTGAAATTGAGTGTTCTTAGTTGTTTTGTGTACTCGGCGCAAACTGGCTTGCTCTTATACCCTGCACACACACGCTAGAATTTGTCCGAACGGACGGAAAGTCGTAAGGCATGCTATAAACAATACTGCGGACAAGGTGTTTCAGGCTGCGGTCAAGGTGCCTATGACCAAGTAGTGATATGATGATGTAGGTTTAATCACTGTCCTTATTGACACTGGACTGCGGTCATAATCCACATCCAGGGTAAAGACCTGTAGAGATTCCTTCCGCAGGGGAAGGCAACTACAGGCAACCATGCCGATTGCGTGCGCAATAATTCGTGTAGAAACACTTCATTCAGACTACGGGATGGCGGGCTAACACTGCTCGACATTGTTCAAGGCTATGTTCCGAACGCAGAGTTTGCTTTTCTTTCCACTTGCCATACTGCACAACAGCCTCGCAACAGTGCGCACGATGAAATTCTTCACCTCGCTGAGACCATGCAATTCTCTGCGTTTTGGAGCGTGATCGGTACGATGTGGGAGCTGCTTGATGATGACGGGCCAGATTTTGCAAGGGCTGTTTACGGGTATATAAACGAATGCGAGGAGGTAGAAGCAAAGTACAAGAGGGCAGTTGCTGGGTCTTGCGCTGAAAGCACGTGACGGGATTGCGACAGAACGATGGATTCTTGTGCATATTATTGGTGCCTGAGTGAGTTACTTGTTTGTAATAATAATAATATTCTTGCGATGCGTCTACTAGTAACGACTCTTCCACCTTTATCCAGCAACTCGATGTTGTCTTTCCTTCTCTGCTTCCATTGCAGCAGTGGCATTTTGTGCAAAGATACGTGTACCCACACCTATTTTGTACATAAATTCCATGTCAAGTTTGTCTGACTAGAGTATGGAGGTCGCGTAAGAACATTAGCAGAATCAGGAATTAAAGTTTTCATCATGCCTTGCTACTAAAGCTTTCAAAAAAAAATCTCAAGTCTATCCAGCTATCCAAATGCCAATACCAAGATGTTCATCGTTTCTCCTGCTGAACAGGCCTCTCCTCGCCAGCACCTGCAACGTTCGCAACATCCACGACGCTCGTTCGAGCTGAATCCTCTCCAAGTAGTTCAGCTCGCTCCGGTTTGGCAAGACACGGCGCTTCGAATATCGACCCGTCCCATATACTCGGAAGTGTCCGCGCCATCGCGAAGCACCAAAGCAGGAATGTTGCAACTGCATATATCGCGCCCCATATATGGAGGATACGTGAATCGAGTGTGCGGCCGAGTTGGATTGTCAGATTTGCATATACTCCCTACCCCCCAATCCGAAGTGAGTTTTTTAAGAAATAAAGGAAAGCAGAGTTGAGAACGTACGTTAGGGAATATCATTCCCCAGAACGTAATCTTGAACGGCAACGAATTTCTCTTCAAAACATCCCCAAGTGCGAGTATGGCTAACAACAACCAACACGTTGCGAAGCTCCAAAGCGCAAAGCTCACCACCCACGCTAAGACATAAATAATATGCGGTGTTAGCTCGTTCGCAAATACGTTCATCACCGGATCTCCGCCTGTTAACGGGAAAGTATCTCGACAAATTTCACCGAGGAGCAAAAAAGCATAGCCTGATTGACCAAGTGGTCCGAGAGGCAGGAACGCGGAGAATATAGTGACGCCCTCTGGCAGGCCGTGAACGATTAGACGGTGCAAGTAAATAGTGAAGACTGCAATGGCGAGAGTGATTCCGATGCTGACAAGCGCCATGCAAACTGCCAATGTGAGGCAGACGCGCGGAACGTCGAATGGGATCATTGCTTGAGCGACAACTCCGCCTGTTGATGATGCGACGATGAGAGTAACGATAGGCAACAGCCAGACCATCGTCATAGCAGACGTTTCGTGTGTTTGGCGCGTGAACCTGAAAAAGTCTAATTTAGCATTTTCATGAAATACGACCGCAACGAGCCAACATACATGACATGAAGTTGTCCAAAGCATGTCACCAGCGAAATAGCAACATCCAACCACCAAAGTCCCCAAAGCGCATACAACAACCGTGTTCCTCCGAATCCGAAATAATCATACACAATCCCCACAGCCGCAATAATAAGCGTCGCAAAACCCATCGGGAAACACCCCAAGTACAGACTCTGTACAGGATGATGTATCATAGAGGACCAAATTCCTCGGAATATGGTGTATCGTGCGACAGCACATAGTGTGAGGATGACGAAGAAAATGAAGTTTAGGATAAGGAAGAAAAGCGCTGCAATTTGCATTCCGCGAGTTTGGGTACCATAGGGGAAGACGTGAAAGAGCGTCGAGATCGCTCCGGTCCCTTTAGCATTCAATTTTAGCTAGTCTGCTAGGTTGAATGACTGTAAAATGTGCGTACCCATGTTCACAGCATGCCATGCTGGAGTGAAATGCCTTGAAGCGATGTGAGTCAGAATATAACTGTGCGTTAGATAAATCTTGGTACTCACCGAATACGCTCGCTCAGAGGCTTCGGCTTTTGACAACAAGGAGTACTCATGCTTGAGGCTACAGGCGTCTCGTACACAAATTCGCGAGGAGCGAACAGTCTATACGACGAGTTCGGTGCGTGTCTGTCCTAAGTCCAAACTTTTAAATAAAATTTAGCCCCAATCGGATCTTCCTGGATGGAAGTCGAACCACGACGGACTGATCGGTGTGTTGTCCAATAACCTGAACAAGCTCCACACAATGACCGAGACAAATGAGAACAAGCACTGAGCAAGAGCAATTCCGAATATAAGAGGGTGTTCGGATACAAGATCGCGCGGGGACATGATTTCCCTGAATCATGATCTGCAAAGTGTGCAGATCATAATATCGAAAAATGATGGAGTGTGCCGAACAGGTCAACTGTATGATTTCACAAGATCATGGGGTGTACCGAACGGTCGTATGATCTCAATGTATGCTCCAGTGTAAATTCCAAATAAAATGAATATTTTAATTGAATTTCTGTACATTTTCTAAGACATCCCTCCTGTACTGTTGTCCACTACTATGAGTACTTTCTCTGACCACCAGGATTTGGTTAATACTGTTGCTCTACTATGCTGTCTTGCTGCTGCTAAAGCTGTACAATCTCTTGCTCATTATTATGTGAAGGAGCCTCTTAATGAGTCCAAACTTTCTGGTGCTGAATGGGTAGCAGAACTTCGAAATGGTCACTCAGCACGCTTCCAGAGAGCATTTGGAATGAGGAAGCATGTTTTTAACAAGCTTCTGGATATATTGGAGAAGAAGGGTGGACTTTGTGAAACAAGATATATGAAAACTGATGAGCAGTTGGCTATCTTTCTGTACATGGCTGCTACTGGGAACACAAACAGAAGGGTTCAGGAAAGGTTTCAAAGAAGTGCAGATACAGTTTCCAAGTAAGTAATTTAAGTCAGTCTATTTACACTTATTCATACTTTTTATTATAGGTGTTTCCACAGGATCATTAATATGTTGAATTCACCCAGCATATACTATACATTTATCAAGCTTCCTAGAGAGGGAGCTCCTACTCCTGTGGAAATACAAACAAACCCAAATGGTACCCGTTATTTCAAGGACTGTCTTGGAAGCCTTGATGGAA